AAGCAGATGAATGGCATCGACAAGTGGAGCACGCAACTCTGATCATTACCAAGTTGGATGGTGAAAAGACCGATTTGCATGCCCGAATCACCACCCTGAATACACAGCTTGTTGAAGTAGAGCAGTCTCGCTCGCAGACCACTGAATTGGAGGAGAGGCTTGATCAAGAGATCAAGATGCTCCAAAGTCATTTGAGTCTTAAGGATCGTAAGCTTCAGGACATGGAGGCAAAAATGCTTGAGAACGACCATGAACTCGATCTCAAGCTCTCAACTGCCAGCAAAGATGTTCAAGAGTCGAAAAAGAAGATCAAGGATCTTGTGGACGAGAACCGTTCGATCCGCCAGCAGATGTCTGAACTCGCCTCCACCTCGACTAGCTACGAGGATTTGATCCGTCGCAAAGACAGTGAGCTCACCATCCTCAAGACCGACCTCAAAAGATTCCAAGACGATCGCAAGCGATTTGAGCAGGAGAAGCAAACTCTGACCAGTCAACACAACAGCATTCAGAGTCAACTACGAGGTACCTTGGCCGAGATGGAGGCCATGACTTCGCAGAAGTTCCAGCTTGAGCGCGAAGTCGCAGACGCCAAGCGAGCCTTGGAAGACAAGACCTCAGCAGACACCCAAGCTGAGATGCTGCAGAAGCAGATCGAAGATCTTAAAAGCGAACTCTTCGAAGTTCAGACTGACCTGAGCCGAGAGCGTCAGTCGCGTGACGATGTCAAGAAGATTGCTCAGAGTGAATATGAGAGTCTCCAGCGAGAGTTTGATGCTCTCAATGATTCCAAAGTCACGATTGAGAAGGAGATGTATGCTCAATCAGACGTCACACGCAGAACAAACGAGGCTCGTGCCGCTGCAGAGAAGGAGCGTAAGGACTACCAATCCGAGCTCCAGACTTTGCGAAAGCAGTTCTTGGATCTTCAAGAGTCCAAGATCGAGGCCGAAGCCATTGTCGAACGCAATGTGACTCGTCAAGCCAACGAGCGACAAGCTCTTCTACGACGCGATCTACAGAATATGGAAAGGCAAGTCGAGGATCTCGAGGCAGGCAAGAGTCAGATGGCAGCAGAGTTGCAGCGAATGAAAGACTTCATTTCCGGTAATGATTCTTTCCGTCTCCACCAGGATCAGCACAAGGAGCGCCTCGAGCGTGAATTGGTCACCATCAAGGGACGTCTGGCCGCATCCGAGAACGACAACCGTGCTCTCTTGAACAAGCTCCAACAAAAGAATCTGGATATCGCCCGTTCGAACTCGCGTGCTGTTGACACACAGCGGTCGAGGATCAACCAGCTCAATGCCGAGAAGATAAACGCCGAGGAGAGTTCAAAGAAGCTCGTGCGCCAGCTTGAAGATGCACACTTGACAATCAATTCATTGGAGAAGCAGAAGGAGAAGCTTACGCTCAGCTTAGAGGATCTCAACCACGAAATCACTCGTGAGCACCGTACCACCAGGAACGCAGAGCAAGCTTCCTCGACTGTCAATCTTCAACTCGCTGAGGCGAATCGCAAACTTGAGACCGAACGTCAACTTCGTACTCAGGCCCAAACCAATACTCGTGCCGTACAGAACAGCCTTGACAACGCTAACAATGAACTTGCTGAGTGTCGCGAGCAACTCACACTTCTCCAGAAGATATTCAACCCAGACATGGAGAACTTGCCCTCCAACTTTGATGGTATGAAGCCCGACATGGCTCGCACTGTCGATCTGGCAAAGAAGCTGGAAGCATCTCAGCAAGCTCTCCGTATCGCGAATGAGAAATTTGCTCGCGCTGAATCCCAGTTGAATGATCTACGTGCTCACCACCAGGACGAAATGCAAGAGAATGACTACAAGCACGCCAACGCTAAGCGCGTTCTGCTTGAGGAAATGAACTCGAACCAGGTCAATGCTCGTGCCTCACCTGGCCCTATGCGCAGAGACTGGGAGTCTAGAAAGCCTTTCTCTCCTGTGCACACACCATCCAACCAGCGTCATCTAAGCAATTATACCACCGACTCTGCACGTTCTGACCGGACCAACGATACATCTGCCTTTAATAGCCGCATGGATCTTGCTGCTGAGCTTGAGATGGTTCAAAATCAGCTCCAGATGTCTGAAATGCACAATAGACACCTAGAAGCTCAAATTGGCCGCAGTCCGTCCAAGCAGGATCTGTCAGACGAGAGCCCTTCACTCCGTAGAGTCCAGAAGCTCTCCCTGGAGAACAGCAGATTGCACGACATGTTGGACGATTCTGCTAGGAAAGTTTCTGCTTTGGAAAACAGCATTCGTCTCGGTCAGCTCTCTCTGTCCGAGGTACAGACCAAGTCCCACGAGGAGCTATTTGACCTCATCAACTCTCAAGAGCAATCACGTAAATCACTACTTGCTTCGCACAACGCAGCCATCTCCGAGCTCTCGGAGGCCAAGACTGCATTTGACGAGATCAAGCAGAGCAAGGTTTCGTCTGATGTCGAGCTTCGCGATATCAAGTCTGAGCTTGCCGACATGGAATATGAAAGAGAACAGGAGGCTGCAGGTCACCAGCAGCTGCTTGATGAGTTCTCTGACCTCCAGATCAGACTCGACGCAGAGACATCTAAGCTGCTTGATGTGACATCCAGCCTGAATCTGTACCGTGCCAGAGCTGACGAGTACTTCGGCAAACTCGAGCAGGCAGAGATCGCTGTCCTCAAGGCAACTAGAGCAGAACAATTTGCAAAGACCCAGGCCAGAGAAGTTGAAGACCAGTGCGCAACCATCATGTCGGAACGCAAGCACATGGACTCCTTGGTTGAGGACTTGCAGCGCCAAACACAGCAGTATGAGGAGAGAATCGAAGATATGTCTGCTGATCTCGACGGTGCTCTCCAAGCGAAGAAGCGTCTGCAGAACGAGCTTGAAGACTACAGATCTCAGCGTGCTATGGACATTGAAGACAAGGAGTCTTCGATGGAGCAGACTCGCAAGAAGTACCAATCAGAACTTGCCGCCGTTAGCAACGAGCTTGAGATTGAACGCGAGAATGTTATTCATGTTCGCGGAGAGAACGGTCGTCTTCGTGACGAGTTGGAGGAGTTGCGTAACAAATGGGACGATGAAGTCTTGAACAGCTCAACCTGGGCTAAGGAGAAGTCACGTCTTGATGTTGCTTTGCAAGACTTGTCCAACTCCCGAGACGAGGCAGTCAATGCCCACAACGAAGCTCAAAGCAAGATTGTCGATCTCCTCAGCCAGGTTCGCAGCCTTCGCACCAATGTCGACGATGTCGTTGCCGAGAGGGACATGCTTGTCAAGGAGAAGAAGGGACTGGAAGCACGTCTTAGTGAGGCTGCTGACCGTCTTGAAGACCTCTCCCAGCACGGCTCTCCCTCAAAACGCAGTGCAGCATCCACCGATCGCGAACTGCTCGAGCTCAAGTCAACACTTGCACACCAAGAAGACGTCGCCGCTGCTGCCGTTGGCAAAATGCGCAGAGCCGAAGCACTCGCCCAAGAAATTCAGAAAGACATTGTCACCGAGCGCGAAAATAACGTCAACCTGCACAAAGAAAAAGCAGCACTCGAGAAATCAATGAAGGACTTGCAACTCAAGTGCATCGACCTGGAAACCAAGGGCTACTCGAGCGTAAGTCAAGATGTCCGTTTCCTCAACGGCCGCATCCACGAACTCGAAGCCCAACTTGAAGATATCGAACACACCCGCAACACCGAAGCCCGCAGCGTACGCAACGTCGACCGCACGGTCCGCGACCTGCAATCCCAGATCGAGCGTCGCGACAAGAGCGTCTCGCTACTCACCGACGACATCAACAAGTCGCGCGACAAGATCTCTGGGTTGTTGGCTACAATCGACGAGCTCCAAGCCTCTGACTCGTCAAACCAACTCGCTGCTAAGCGTGCAGAAAGAGAGTTGAGGGAGGAAAGAGAAACGAGATTGAGATTGGAGAGGGAGTTGGAGGGCATCAAGGGACTGCAGATTGAGAGGGGCAGTGTGAGGAGAAGCGCACTTGCTGCGTATAGTGATGCGGGGGGTAATGGGAGTAGAAGAGGAAGCTCTATTGGTCCTTTGCCGCCTTCGCTCGAGGTGCCGCAGAGGATAAGTAGTCTTAGTAAGGGCTTCTTGTAGGTGCGAAGTGAGAGAATGGATGAGAAGGGATGATTTTTCGTATTCTCTCTTGGGGAGGGTGGAACACAAGGGGGGCGTTTTTGTTTTTGATGAATTTCTATGATCGAGGGAGAAGGTTTTGAATAACTATTGATTTTATTGTCTGCTCGTTCAAAGAGCTCTTCGAATGAAGATTTCTGTATCCCTTCCTCTCTGCACGCAATTTGTCCCTCTGCGATGACTCTCAAGAACATGCATGTGCCTCACGATATCAGAAAGGAAATGGACACATCAACCTCTTTGCACAAAGTCATACGTGTAAGATAAAAAATGATAATATCAATCTTCTACACGAAGTTCAAACGAACCACAAGTGACATGTTTCCGCTCTTACCTCCTCAACAACCACCAATAGAACAACATCGCCGGCCCCCCAGCCATTGCAACCTCCCTCGCAAATCTATCTATCAATTTTCTCCCAAACGTCTTTGGCACCCTAACTTTCATCGCCTTTTCCTTTTTGAAAATCGGGTTACCCCAATCATCACTCTCATCGTATATTTCTTCTTTGTTGTACATTTGATATTCAGGATTGTTGCCATAATATCCTGCTTTTTCGATCAGAGAGGAGCCCGGGCGGGTGGTGGGGAGGGTGTAGCCGTTGCTGGTGTTGGTCGCAGGGCTGACGCTGCGGGTGCGCGAGTTGAAAGTGCGGGCGGACAGGGTGGTGGTGGTGTTTGTGTGTTTGTCCGTTGAGGAAGTCGAGTTTATCGCTCCTGACTTTGAGTATGCTTCTGTAGTTTGCGGCGGCTTTGCTGGCTCTGAGGTAGGCAGGTGGGAAAAGTTTGTCGAGGCTGCTGCTTCTTCGTTTCTGACTTGCACCAGGGTGTTGATGCCAAGAGCGATTATGGAGAACGCAGCCAGAATGCCATACAGAATGAACACGCCGAGTTGGTCGGGAAGCAAACAGAGGTGCGTCTGCAGTGTTGGTCCATCGCGGAGAGACTCTCCGTTTTCGTCGACAGGGTTCCAGAGACTGACTAGTTGGAAGCCTGGTTTGCGGACGCCCATCGCCCAACTTATGCTTTTGACTGTGATTTCGCGGATGCCTCTGTCGTGTCTGGAAGCGTAGTCCGGGTGTACGACTTCGCAGTAATCGTGGTCGTCGCCTGAAAAGGCATGTCCAATGTTGCCGATCTTCTGAGCAACTGTGGTTGAAATCTCCTGTGTCAAGACGTTTTGGTATTGATAGCCGCCGGCGATGCGAATGGCGTTTGGTCTGTCGACCTTGAGGTTCGGCGCTTTGGGCGGGTACTTCTCGCGGAGGGGGCCACAAGGAGTGCCTTCTGGGCGGTACAGGGGGACGTGGCTGAGGAGAATGGTAGGAAACTCTGGCTTTGATTCTTTCGCCAGCTCTTCTTTTGTGGGCTGCCGACCGAGATCGTGAGGGTGTGTGACAGCATGCGCCCATCGTGTGTGTGGTATCAGACCTTGCTGTTCTTTGAGCACTGCACGCACGGCCTTGTATTTGAGCTGCTGGGCGTTGTCGAGGAATTGCATGGTCGAGTTCCAGAGCTCTGGCGAGCTGTCTGGCTGACCCATTGCGCTCAAGCTGACGGCGTCGATGCTGACAAAAGTGTGGTTTCCGACGACGTCTATCCTGTCACCTTCGCCAAAGTAGGCCTGATAGCGATTTCGGACAGGTACCTGGATGCCATTGCCGAAGCCCAGGTCATGGTTTCCAGGCAGACTGGCAACAAACTTCTTGACTTTGTGGGCAGGCCGTCCTCCGGTGACTTGATTCTGCTCGAAGAAGATGTTGCCAAAGCGGTTGTACTCGTTGAGCCAGTACCTGTCGCCGTATTTCTTCCACTGTTGGTCCGAAGGCAGGAAGCCTTGGAAGTGTGTAGACCATTCTCTTCCTCCGTCAAACAGATCGCCGAGGAACAGAGTTGTGTCGGGGTCGATATGGCGTTGTAGCAGGTAGAAGGATCGCTTGATGTACTTGTCGGTCGCGGTAATGGTCAACGAGGACAAAGGCCATGGGCGGCCGGGATACGTGTGTGGGTCGACGAGCTGAGGGTCTGCGATCAGTGCAATGCGGTGGGGTTGCGCGTCCGAGGGCTGTAGGAAGGGATTAGCTAGAGATGGATGAGCATGCGATGTGGGCTAGACGCACCCATTTCTCCCATTGGTCCCACTTGCAGGCATCAATACTGCTGTGAAAGACGCTTCGCTCGCCCCATATCAAGACAAAGAACCACACAGCAAAGATGGCGGCGGGTAGTGTCAACAGACGTCGGCGGACAATGGCCAGCCTCGTCCTCGGTTTCCCTTTGGCGTCGTACTGCGACTGTCGCAACACCCGCTGCCACAAGTTGTTCAGGCGGCCTTCATCTTTCGACGTCGAGTAGGACGTTGCATATTGATAGCTCATGGTATCGGCAGGTTTGCACTCATTGTTGCGAGTTGCTGATGTAGACAATTCCTGTTTAAACTGCCTGCCCCTTTTGGAGACACGATTCGACCGAGGCGTCGTCAGCCCCGCCAAATCGAACCAACATATCATCACCATTCTTGTAACACCATTCTGCTTGATCGACTTTTGTACATTCGACTATCGTATACCGATTCGTCTAAGCTGAGTCCAGGTCTTCCATCTTTCAGCCATGTGTCGTCCCGTAACGCCTTCGCTATGCTTTCTCCCATCATCTCAAAAAGACCTCCATCATCCTCGCTTCCTATGCAGTTTCCAGCACCGTGCTACGTGAAGCGAACCTTGAACTTGAAGTCGATGGTGAAAGCAGGGTCGCTAACTCCCACTTCCTGTCCGTCCGACAACAGTTCATCCAGCTTGCGCTTCAAGTTGGCCCGAGTCTGCGCCTCGAGACTGGGAGGTGAGAAGTAGTAGAGCGACTTCTCCTGAGTCCGAATCGATGGCTTTTTGAGTTGTGCTTCAGGTCTCTCGGCCAGATGCTCGACAAAGTCTTGCAAGGTCCACTCTTTCTTAACAGATATCTCCTTGGCCAGGTTGCCGCACACGGGGCAGTCGGCCTTCTTTTCGTGCTCAAACGTGTATGTGTAGATGCTGTCGTCCCCACTGTACATCATGTAGTTGTTGGTACCGGGGTTGCCCAGAAAAGGGTTCGTGCTAGTCGCGATCTTGAATGCTTCGTTACAGCACGAAGCCGCCACAATGGCATTGGTCGACGCAATTGCCGGGATGATGTTCTTGACCACTCCTTGTGTCATCGAGTACGTGACACCTGGAATGCTGAACTCCTGCGCACGCTTCAACGCCTTTGCAAACAACCAAGAAATGTGCTCGGTGTCATCCGTGTCGAGAGTCATGTCTAGAGGACGTCAGTGTCTCAATCATAAACTTGCCCGTTTCCAGCTGGACTCACCTTTGCGCTCCTCTTCCCAAGCGATGAGGTGCGCCCACTCGATACAGTGCTGGGGCTGGCGAGGAATGGTGGCTAGGGTACACAGCGGGACGGCAGCACGAGGAGCATGCATATCCAGCTGGCACTCGATGCAGCTTGTCACAGTAGGAAGGATGACCCTAGACTGGCCTCTGAACCCTTCAGTGCCACCGTCGATCAAAGGCTTCAGAGAGTCGGGGTTTTCGTCATCCACCATGCCGACCAATGTGGCGTTTATCCATCTCCTCGCTTCGATGCTGTCGAGGCCACAGACAATGATGTTGAATTGGAGGTAGTAGTCCTCATCTTTGTCCTGGATCTTGCCACAATATGGCGTAATTTTGACTCCTTTGACGCGACTCTCAACGAAGCGTGCGGCCACCTCAGCTTTGTATGATCCAACATCTGACTGGCGAAAGAGGAATTGGCGGTTCAAGTTGGATACGTCGATCGTGTCTGTTTGGCCGTTCAGCATGGAGCAAGTAAATGGCGAGGGTTCGGCGTACCCATGTCGATGACATCGATGTTCTTGAAGCCAGAGAGGGCAAGGTTCTTGAGGATCTCACATCCAAGGCCACCGGCTCCGCTGCAAAGGATTAGGTCGGTGTATAGTTTGGAGTTTGGGTTGTACGAACATGACTCTGTCGCAAGTTAGCTCCAAGCGATCGATCATGCGATGCTTCTTCACCTACAGAACTCTTGCTGATTCGAGGGTTTGAATGACCACGTCGCCGGGTACAAAGTCTGGGTCTGTGAAGGCTCCCTCACGCGAGAGAATTGTGTCCAGATGCTTCCTACACTGCATTAGTCTTGGTTAGAGTGGACAGAGAAACTTGCTGACCATCTCGCGCGATATCCTGTCACGCCTAGAGTAGGATCGGGTTGCGATGCAACTTCTGTAGCCATGGTCAAGCAGAGGTGAGTGAATTGAGCGTGCAAGGTTGGTGTTTGAGATGCCCCGAAGGTCGATGTCATCGCGTCGGTCGTCCGGCATTAGCGGCGTTAGGCACAACACATGCACGGTCCAAGCGCTCGCTTCGAGTTGTCGTCTTGGAGTCCTGCTTCGACTGTTCTCAAAACCGCCAACAAGTCGCCAAACGAAGTCGGACCATGGGCGATTTTCTGACGGCCGTGTCAACTGTTTCCCTTAGATCAAAGCCGACTAGTAACAATCTCATCGTCGAAGAAGTCAACCAACAAAGACCAACAGCTCGTACTGTTCGAAAGGCACCTACTTCGCCTGACGAAGTATTACAACTTTTACGATCAAGTCCAGATACAGATACACTGCATGACCTTCTATCATTCTTGAGCCAGCCGTCTCAAAGATCCGCTGGTTTCGATATCAAGATACCCACGCCGTCTTCTGCCAAAGTAGTCAACGAACTCATAAACACCACTCTGCCAGATTTCTGGGGTAGCCATGATCAAACGAATTTCTTGATCTTAAACTGCCTGAGGAGTGTAGCTGGTATTGGTGCTGTTCTAGCAAAAACTCGCCTTCTGATCTCACAACACAAGTCGAGCCGCCAAAGTGTTAAGGGACCAGACGCAACGCGGCCATTATCCGATCTAACATCAGTCTTATTGCAACTGTTGGACTCGGATAATTTGGCTCGGAATGTATACACGGATATTGACAAGCTTGTCGAAAATCAAGCAAAACGGACACTTTTGTGGAAAGAGTTCCTCGCATTGGTAGGCACAGGAAAGGTCATTGCAGCTGCAGCAGAAGCCGAGGATACCGTAAAGTCTACAGGGGGTCAACATGAGCCTTCCTGGCTCTCGAGTGGCTCAAAATACTCTGCTTGGCTTAGCAGAAATGTTTGTACAATGTTACAGCACACCACAAAAGACATAAGCACGATCAAAGCTGCTGCGCAACTTTGTGGCAAGGCTCTCGGTATTGGTTATCCAGGTAGGATATGAAAACACCATATTGAAGACATCCAGGTACTAAAAGTCTTCCAGTTCGAGTTGTTGAGGAGATTCATATCCGGATCACATTTGTGACGCCAGACGCCGGCCCCTTACTGCAATCGTTGTTACAAAATTTGCAGGTGCACGAACAAAGGCAAATTCTCGACCAGACTTTCAAGGTTTTATCAAAAGCATGCCTATCCCTCACATCGCTCCCAGACTTCCACGATGTCTCAATGGAAACGCCGTCCATAATCTCTGCAACCTCGGCACTGGTTGTAGAACTGATAGGGGGCAGTGAGGCTGTTAGAGCTCACCTTGAGACATGGCTCTCGGATCCAGCGCTCAATGCTTCAGAATCATTTAATCTGCGCCGGGCAGCTGTTTCTACATTTGCTCACGCAAGTAACGGAACTGCGAATGTGCTCGAAGATCCTATTCAAGAGCTTTTGGAGAAGACCATGAAAAGATTTGGTGACAATCTTTTCATAAAGCATTCACCAATCTTACAGCAAGAATCCTGCGCTCAGATTCTACTCCTGCTTGCAGGATATGCACACAGAGCTCAACCAATGTCTCTATTCATAATGGCTCGATCCAGCGCACATCTGAATGGAATGTCAAATCGCTTGAATTCGTCATCACCACGAGCCCGATTCCTCGGCATGGTTGTCGGTATGGCCATATCCGATCTTGTGGACAAGCCAGGATCTAAAATGAACTTTGACATTGAAGACCTGAAGACGCCGGAAGCGCAATGGTACCAGAGGCTTATCAAGGTCGACGACAAGATTGGTCACTTTGAAGATATCGAGGAAGCTTTTGGCGCCAACAAGCTTACAGAAGGAACCACTGCAAAACTCCAACCGACAAAGAAGCCCACCCAGTCGAAGCTGACGCCCAAGCCTATCATCCAAGAGGAACCTCAAGGACCTAGGATCATGGAAGTCCTGGATGACTCCGAGGAAGACGACGATCTCATTCCTTACGCCAAGCCAGACTCTGATCATGAAGACGAGGATGAGGATCCGACCATGATCAACCGTGACAAGCCAAAGGCGCCAGTATATATCCGAGATCTAATGGCTGGACTGAACGACTCTGAAAATTACGAACGACACAGTCTGGCCTTGCAAAGTGCTGCTGCTCTGATCCGTCGCAAGACTTCTTTCGGCAAAGAAGTCAGTGATCATGCGCTTGAGCTCGCATCGATCCTGGTAGGACTTGGCGATACATTCGACATGGAAGACTTCTTAGAACTGCGTTTGCAGGCACTGATTGCTGTACTGATATCGAGCCCCGCACAAATGGCGCCATGGTTCGCACGACAAGTCTTCGATGGAGACTACTCCTTGAGTCAACGCACTACCGTCCTGAGCGTTCTGGGGCTGGGTGCGCGAGAGCTGGCAGGCTACAAAGATGAGGACGAGGAACTCAATCCGAAGATTGCAGCAACCTCGTTCCCTAGCAAACAGCTTCCTGAAAGACTACACAAGATGTACACTGCTGAGAGGAACGCACCAATCGCTCGAATCGCGTCCAAGCTAGAAAGATCCATGATACAGCCCATGGCGCTAGATGCAGCCGACAAAATGTCTGGACCCAACATCCTAAAAGTCAGAACGTTCTCATCACGTATGGAAGTGGAAAAGAAGAGAAAGAAGGTAATACCGAACGCATTAGCCAAGATTGTCGCAGAAGGCTTCTTCTTCCCTCTGACCGGACGATGGTGGCAGAATTTGCAGGCATACGGAGCGGAAAACGTGCATTTCCAACCTTTCTTGCTTAGCACCTATCTCAAGACTCTGTCACTGATTTTACACGCGGCTGGATCAGGAACAATCAGTCTTCCTCAGATGACGGCAGAATTTTGGGAATTGATCTTGAGTATTAGAACAAATGCGTTGGCAGATGTCAGTGTGTTGGAGGCTGTGCTCTTTGCGACTCTCACTTTGCTGGACATGAATGACGACAAACGCCGACTGGCAGAAGAGCATTCGAAACAGCTGATTGAGACACAAGAGTGGGTGGAACTTGTGTTTGATAGGGTTGGTGGAGGTGATGAAGAGGGCGAGAGGATTCGGATGCTGGCTGCCAGTGTGTTGATGAAGACTAGAGAGGTGGTTGACAAGTATCAACGCTTGCTGGTTGGCGACCTCGTAGACTACTGAGATAACTCGTTCTATTCCCTTCTACTATAAATACAGTCAATCACCCATATCTATCAAAATATAGTGTCTCGCTGCATCCACGATGAAGCCAAGAACCTGGTCAGGGTCACGCAACTCTCTCTTAACTCCGAACCACGACATCATCTCACTTCCAACCACCAACCACCAACCACCAACCACAAACCACAAACTCACATACTATCATGCTCGACCAAGACGACGCCCTCCTCGCCAGACTGAACGCCCTGCGCAAATCTCCCGTCACATTATCCAAGACAGACTCCCTCGACTCGCCGTCAACACCACAACGAACCACCGATTCCGACCTAACAGCAAGGTTCCGCAGCTTAACACCCAACAGCACACTTAGTCCACCATCACTGGATACAGAAGACACAGAACACAATGAAGAAGACGACCGTACGATTGAAGAACTTCTTGGCGACCTTGGACCCGAGGAACAGTGGAGTGTTCAGCGTGATGAAGGCGAGCGCATCCGCGACTTGATGGCCGAGGCTAAGAGTGCCCTGCCCGCTGAAGAGACAGAGAATACAGAAGGCAAAGAGTTGGATATTGAAGTCGGCGTCATTGAGCCAGAACACGAGGATGAGAACGAGGAAGACGAAGACACGGAACGTAATCAGGACAAGAAAGATGACGAGGAAGCGGATGACTATATCCAACGTGTCCTCGCCGAGCTTGAGTTTGACAAGAAGTACGGCGGCGTGGAGGAGGAGGAAGAAGAAGTGGAAGGCGACGAGAAAGAAGGGAATGGTGATCATGGGTTGACGTTGCCGTCTGCGCCTACGGAGCTGCCATCGTCGCCTGCTCCCAACCAGGATGATAATATTGATGACGCTCTCTCGGCACGATTCGCATCTCTCTCACTGCCCGGAGTACCTTCTTTCAACCCAGCAAACAAGCCTGTCAACATTCAGAAGAGGGTCAAGTCGAACTTGCCCAAGTACACAGACGAAGACATGGAGAACTGGTGCTGCATCTGTAACGAAGACGCTACCATCAAATGTATAGGCTGCGACGGCGATCTCTACTGCCAGGAGTGTTGGTCGGAAGGACACGGAAACGGACCTGGTCAGGAAAGAGGCCACAGAGCGCTTGCTTACGCCAAAGACGCCTCTTGAAAGTCATTTCCATGTGTACTGCTCTACTCTGGTTCTTGATCCTTGAACTTTTCTCGCACAGATGCGACATCGAGGCCACACAACTCTGCCTTTTTGACGACTGCCTTGGCTTTGCCTACCACAGGCACGTCAATCATCTTTCCGTCCAATGTCCATGCGCCTCTGCCTTGGACATCTGCCTTCTCATCTGCTATCACCACTCTGACGGCATACTCCACCTCCTCCTTGCTAGGGCTAAAGATGTCCTGCACCAGCTCGACTTGACTGGGATGGATGCATTGTTTGCCGTTGTATCCCATCCTCTTACCACCCTCACTTTCCTCCTTGAGCACCTGCTGACCTTGTTCGCCACGGAACGCAGTCGTGACCAAATCAATGGTGGACGGAAGATTGAAAGCTCTAGCCGCCGTGGCAATGGCCGAGCGGGCATACAGAAACTCCTTGAGGTCGGGTGTCCGTGTGATACTCAGATCAAGCGCAAAGTCCTCAGCAGCAAAGATCAAACCACTCAGATATGGCGATGCCTTGCAAATGGCGGATAGATCCATGACTGCTCTTGCCGACTCAATCAAAGCGATCAATCGAAGAGGAGACTCGGCGTCTGGTCCATGTCGCTCAGGAAGAGCATGACGAATAACATCAGTAACAAAATGCAAATCAGAGGCACTGTTTACTTTTGGAACAACCAGAGCATCGAGATTGGGTGCTTTGAGCACTTGAGTCAGGTCGTCGAGTGCATAACCACTATCCACGGAATTGATGCGAACAGCTTGTTCTTTGATGCCTGCTACTCGCTCTCGAGATAGAATGGTTTGGAGATTTGATCGTGCTTCTGCTTTTTTGCCGGGGGTCACTGAGTCTTCGAGATCGTAGCAGATGGTGTCGACGGCCACGCCTCGTGACTTTTCGAGGAAGCGCATTGATGAGCCGGGGACTGTGTTCGTATCTCAGCTAGACGGTTATTGGTGATGTGTAGTTGTTGGTACTTACCATAGAGAAGTGCCCGACGCACGATTGGTGAAGCGGCCATGTTTGGTTGTATACAGTGTTTATTTGAAGAGATTCAAGAGCAAGATGGATGTTGATGCCATCATGGTGGGGATCCAAGCATGACCGAGGAACGGAACCGGCATCGCGGAGCTCTCCCCACAATTCGACGACTCGCGCACGAACAGAACAAGCCACAGAAGACTCATGAGCACGAGTCAAACATACAACGCGTCCCTTAGAGCTGTCCACTCCGATAGCAGCTGCCTCGATACAAGCTGCGTGTCGCAAACCACCTCCCTCACCCACCACACGTCCCACCACCATGGACGCCCCCCAGCAAGGCTCTCTGAGCTGGCGACTAAGCTCACACCCCATAACCCTCCTCTGCTTCCTCGGATTCCGTCTGTGTAAGCTTCCAGCCCTCTGCCCCTGTCCCCTCCAACCCTACTAATTCTCTCTCACAGCAAGTCTCCTGACCTACCTCTTCGGCCTCTACTTCAGCACAAACTACGTCCTAATCTTCATCATAACAATCATCCTCCTCGCCATCGACTTTTACTATCTCAAAAACATTGCTGGAAGAAGATTGGTGGGGCTGCGTTGGTGGAATGAAGTCAATGCTACCTCTGGAGATGGAAACTGGGTGTTTGAATCTGCGGACCCGGATTCAAGACAGATCAATGCGACCGACAAGAGGTTCTTTTGGTTGGCCTTGTACTCGCAGCCCGTCAGTTGGGTTGTGTTGGGTATTGTTGCAATCTTCAGGTTGCATTTTATTTGGTTGAGTTTGGTTGGTATGTTGTGCTGCTCCTTTTACTGATTTTAATTTGGGAGAAGGAATACTTTGCTAACCACTTTGTGACTAGTCATCGCCATCGTGCTTGCTGTTACGAATACCCTTGCCTTTTCGCGTTGCGACAAGTTCAGCCAGGCCACGAATATCGCAACTGGAGCCTTCTCTGCCAGCGGCCTTGCGAGCAATCTTGGCGGCGCTGTGCTGGGTCGTTTCTTCAGATGAGAGACAAAAGCTGGGTCATGTACTTTCCCTCTTTCCTTCTAGTTGCTGGTTCTGCTTGCTGTCTGCATACACCTTTCTTGCTTGTTACACTGGTGCAGAAACAAATGCAAAAGCTCCTTCTGTGTTCATTGCTCTGTCCTGTTCTTGTCTTATATGCTTGTGCTGTAGTTTTGCTGAGACTGTATCTTGTCTTCGTGCTTATGCTTTGTGATAGACTCCCCCTTCCGCCGCATTTCCTGCTGACCGCCATTCATTATGGCCATTGCCAGACACCAACCATGTAAACTCTCTCACGCCACCTCGCTTCCCGCAACGATCCACCCTCTACACCATTCCTTATATTTGGAAAATGTTAGGATCCCTTCACCAAAAAAAAGCCGTGGTGGTGCAGTGGTCAGCATACGCCAACTGGTATCCTAAGCCCCTATCCGCTTTCCCTAAGAACCTAATACTCTCTCGAGGTTCGGGAGGTCGTTGTTTCGAATCCTACCCACGGTGCTTGTCTTTTTCTTCTTTTCTTCTTGCTCAGACTCGTTCCAGGTGACATCAAAGCGTATCGACAGTGAACGACGCGACAAATGGACGCGCTGGTCCAGCTCGTGTGATCAAAGATGACCGCAATGGAATACGCAGTGACAAGCCACCCGTCGAGGACGGACAACGGGCGTTTTGTGAGACAGATACGAGGTCTCGAGGGAGCTGGTCGACTGCTGAGAGTGTAGAAGGATTCGTGTTGGCTGGTGAGCAGCACAAGGCTAGGGATGGCCAGGGGGCAAGCACGATCGAGGTCTGTTTCCGCTTTTGACCGAGTCGCATCGTGTAGGAGCTGATGATAGCAGGGGCCAGCGATGGACGACTGAACAACGATAGCGCGGACGGAGACTTGTGATCGAGCAGCTGGGAAATGGACACTGGAGTAGGAGATACGACTAGGGATTCACGAGCGGCTTGATGAGGAATGCCCCTATACCACATGCCAAAAGCCGAACGCCATCAACATTTCTTCTACAAGCCCCGGCGCCAAATGCCAGCGACACATCGAAAAAAAAAAGAATAAAAAGATGTGGTAGTATCTCAACATACCACGAACACATGGACTCGAACCACAGTTCCTTTTTGTGGCAGTCTCTCGACATACCATCAGCACATGGAATTCAAACCACAGCTCATCCCTATCCCTCGACTAAGACCAAATCAGCAGTATCATCAATAAAACCAAAAACCAGTGACACGAGAGCGAGTCGCAAAAAAAAATCAAATCACACACCCTTCGCAATCGGCGCAGGACTGACGTCTTCTTCGGCAGGTATTTCATTTAAGCCTAGTAGCAAAGACTTTCTTGAAATGTTTTTAGTCTGTTCGGAAGACACCTCTCTTGGTATTCATTTAAGCCTGCAAGCGAGAGATATTCTTCCTTACTAGTGCCTCAAAACAGAGGTCCCTTTGCCCGAAGGGGGAGGTGCCGGGGGAGAAGTGCTAGGGAGAAGGGAGGAAAAAGGAGAGGGAACTCAGCTAGAAACGCGATCGATGCGGTAGACGTGTCAGGAAAAAAAAGAAGGGACGGAGAAGGAAAGAGAGAGAGAGGACTCTTATATTCTACCTCAGGGGCTCGGGTAGGTTGCACTTTTGCTAGGGTGGGCTGACTGAAAGCTAGACCTGCTAATACCAATGAAAGTCTTATGGCTAAGCTGGAAACAGACTCAAGAGACGCCGACTTGACGCGCACCATACCAGCTTCTAAAGTTCTCCAACATATCACAGGACACAAATGAACTCAGGAATCAGCACACAAGAGATCTTCGCCGAAGACCGGAGAGGAAGCATTGGATGACACCCGTCTATACGGCGGCAGCAGGACATCACACCCTGGGACGACAAACTTTAACAAGATAATCGAGGAGGACTTGCAATAGAAACTACTCCTGACGCACAGATCAGATTGCTGAATTTCTGGCTCAGGGCGCTTACGCGCTGGTGGTGCTATCGAGCTCATTCCTGGTATGACACGGTCTCGAGCGACGGGAAGCTCAAAGCTCGTCAGTGATCGACTGCGCTTTAAGACGACTTAGGGAATCGCGAGCGCGTCGAGCAGACCAACCGACAAGGAGCTGCGGATTCCATAACATTGCAGCAAAGAAAAATCACATCACTTCCTGCTACTGCTACTGCGCAACAGAGTGTATGTCAAATTCAGGGGCAAACATAGTATAGCCGTTGACGCACTGAAGCGCCACAACTACATTGATTGAACATCGACACACCAAGCATATTACGGCCATGTACCGAATATCACCAGCAGAACTCTAAGGAAGCGACAAATTATTCGATTGAAGATGGTAATGCTAAACATTTGTAAAAGCTTTCTTGACACCCTGTGATCCCCTAACTCCATTGCTATCATCCTCATCATCACTGATATCTTCAATAACCAGTGTCAGCCGTGCTGGCTTCGAAGCCGGTGCGTCAGACTCTCCAAATGGGCGAGACCATGAGCAGCGCCGCGGTTGGGGTGCGGGTGATGGCACTGCCAGCGTTTCTTGCTCAAGCGCAGGAATATCTTTCAACGCCTTTGTTGAGTTCCAGGAATTACTAGCAATATCCTTCTGCGGGCATATGATGGGCGACAACTTGATGAACTCCGAGTTACCCTCCTCGAGGAATATACCAGCGGTAGGCGTCGGCGCCGAGTCGTGTTTTTTGCTTTGAGCTAGTATGGTTGGGAGCCGGGTTGCGTTCGTCATGGATGTCGCAATGATGGCGAACGCCATTTCTAGCACTACGCATGAGATGATACTGAGATTGGTTGTGTCGAATCTCTTCAGAGTCGTGAAAGCTCCAGATCCCAAGACCCGGAAGATGGCGGCCACGCCACTCAACATCCCAACAACGGTGATTGAGGAGACCGAGACCTTGACTTTTAGGCTGAGCTTGGATGTCCAGATGACGACTGCAGGAAGCAGTATGTAAATCCAGGTTACGACGGCGTTGAAAATCGAGGCGGCCAACCACCATATCAACATGTTTGGCCAGTACTTGCATTGCAGCAGACTCTCTTTGCGAGCAGTGTTGCTGGGCAGTCCGCAAAAGAACAAGTCAACGAAAATGCGAGTTATAGCGTAGATGTAGAATGCGAGCGTGATATTTGTGACGATAAGGCGCTGCCATCTTTCTGCGAAACACCTGTTCAAGGAGAGTGCGAATGATGTTTTGACGCATATTGAAGTCATGAATGAGAGGTTGTAAGCGGCCATGAACATGTAGGTAGCCATCTCGGGTGAGCTGCTCGTGATCATAGCAAGTACGCAACTGCACTGGCCGCTAAAGAGTATCTGTACGTGGTAAGCCACTACTACAACAGCACGAGTAGCACACATACCACTGCCACCAGCAATATCCAATCATCCCATCGTGTACGACCGATCATGAAAAGCTTGAGCCAAAACCGCACGCACACCGATACCCATGATAACGAAAGACACGAAACAACCAGCGCAAGCACATGAACCATTGCAGACCTTAGAAGGCGTCGACGCCTGTATAAAATGAGATGTCAAGGCGTCGACAGCCTCTCGAGGTAGTCATCCAATGATCGATGGAACAGAATGCGATTCTGAGTTGGCTTTGGCTGAGTTATACCTACGGTGGGTTCCAGTGGGTGTGGATATGGATCTGGCCCTGATCATATAGAACATGTACGGAAGCCGTTGTGCGGCTGCACGTTGGTACCATACCTTTCTCAACTGCCGCTCCAGAAAATCAGAAGAATTGGCAACGGGTTGAGCCTTATGACAATTGTATCGATACTCCAGGCCAGTCAATAGCAGCGCCGAAGATGATTCTGTGCACTAATATGCATGGTTGCTGCAGTATATACCGCGCTCGTGGCCTTGTCTTTGAGTTACGGGGCAAGCAGAGTTGACGCAGAGGAGAAGAAGTCGAGGCAAAACATGCGTCGGCAATTCGAACCTCGACACCGAGTCGATCCACCGTTCGGGCTATCGAAATCGACGCCGACGGCCCGCTTATATAGCCTTCGACGTGAGCAATTGTGTACGTCCTTCCAGAAGGGCATGAAGAAGAGACGTCAGGATAACATGTGGAGGAGCATCGGCTTGACTCGCATGGCGAATGGCGAGCGGATGGGAAGTGCGTGTGGCAGGACGTTGAAGCAGTATTCCCCCGGTAGAAGTGTCTCATACATCAGCTCGTATTCTAGAGGTAGATATGGACCCAATGTCGTCGTCGGGAGCCTTTAGCGACGAACCGCTTCGCTATAAGTGGCAGCGTTCCACAGGGAATTCCCAAAACGCGATGGTGATCTGGTCTCAAGCATTCTTGCCATTTTGGCGATTAAACGCGAACAGACAAACTGACGACGAGGCTTCATGATGTTCGGCAAAGAGCCATGCAACGCTCCTTCGCAGTTGGGTTGTGTTGCAACGTAGAATAGTTAGAGGTCCTCTGCATTGCCGGGCCGACAACTGCTCGACACGGAAGGTGCGACCGCGCACGTCATCATAGCCCTTGATGTTATCAACCAACCACCACATTAATTAACCTCTGATCGACTTGACACCTGTACAACGCAGAGACTTTGGTTGACTCACCTACAAGCATCCCTGACCGTCGCCCATCACAACGCTCAAAAAATAACCATGGGAGGCGGCGAACACAAAGAGGCCGTCTTGGTCACACTGCCCATGCAGAAGCCAGACTCGGCCATCGAGAAACTCCAATCCAAGTTCCCCCATCTCAAGATAACCTATCGCAATGTCCCTTGGACAAAAGACCGCGCGGAGCTGGAAAAGGCAGTGCCCAAAGAGCTCTGGAGAGAGGCTACTGTGCTATTGACCTTATCTGCTCTGCCACCTAAAGCAGAGGATGCCCCTTTGCTTGACTTTATACAGCTTTTCTCTGCAGGATCCAATCAGCTTGCCAGCCATCCCATCTATACTGACACTGAGATCCCCATTGCCACTGCGTCAGGTGTGCATGGCCCGCAGATTGCCGAGTGGGTTATAATGACCCATCTCATTCACACTCACAAGTACAACCAGCTCTATGAAGCTCAAAAGGAGAGCAGATGGGCCAAAGATGGGTACAAGGTCAAGGATGCGGTTGGTGCGCGTGTCGGAGTACTCGGTTATGGAAGTATCGGTCGTCAAGTCGGCAGAGTAGCAAAAGCCATGGGTAAGTAATTCATACATGCAAATCGTTGTGAAGCTAACAACCCGACCAGGCATGGATGTTATCGCTTTTACAGCATCGCCAAAAGATACTCCAGAAAAGAAGAAAGACATCGGCTACATCGTGCCCGGAACCGGTGATCCGGATGGCGAAATTCCTTCGGCTTGGTACTCTGGTCTGGACAAGGAGTCTCTGCACGACTTCCTCAAGCAAGACATTGATCTCCTGCTCGTATCTGTTCCTCTCACCAAGGAAACGACTCATTTCTTGTCCAAGGAAGAGTTCAAGATTCTCAGCCAGGATGGCAAGAAACCCGCCTATGTCGCCAATATCGCAAGAGGGCCCATCATTGACCAGCCTACACTGATCGACGCCTTGAAGGATGGTACGCTTGCAGGAGCATCGCTCGATGTCACAGACCCTGAACCTCTCCCTTCGGATAGTGAGCTGTGGGGTCTGGACAATGTTATCGTAACACCTCACATCAGCGGTAACGGCGAGGCCTATACCGGCCGAGCATTCCAGATACTTGAGCAGCAGTTGGAGCACAAACAGAAGGGCGAGAAGTTCATCAATGTAGTAAACAGAAAGAGAGGATATTGAGTAAAATTCTGCCGAGCAGGTTTACGTATTTATGCTATATAGAATGAATCGGAATGACCCATGACACTATCACCTTGATCACTGATTCCTCACTCCAACTGCAGTCTGTAAGTGGCAACTTCGAACGCCCTCAACTCAATGTCAAAGGCGCCCTTGGTGAGCTGAATCTCTTCAATGTCATCTTCCAAGACATTGCACTTCCACACCTTCGCAATCGGCACTTGACCGACCTCAATAGAACCACGGCACCTTCCTCCCAAACTGTCGTAGACGCGAACAATGACATTTCTGTCTTTACGCTTGGGAAGATCGCCACGGCTGACATCCTCATCGTCCTCGCCACGCTTGATGGTATCAAGGACCAAGCCCTCATCACTATCCTTGGACAACTTGAACGATGTCATCAAGCCCTTGATATCTGAGGCCTTGGGATGAGAATGCACTGCCATAGGATTGTTGAATTCGAAGCCAGCGCGAATGGTGCGATGGTCAAGAGGACCCTTGTGAGGGAGAATTGCCCAACGGATCTTGTGCTTACCCATGTCGGCGTGCGCATCGGGAGCTTTGGGTGCGCGTAGCAGAGAGAGACGCATGAGGCTGCCGCAGGTCGCGAAACCATACTTTGAGTCGTTGAGGATGCTGACGCCGAATCCGTTCTCGGAGAGATCGGCCCATTTGTGGCAGCAGACTTCGAATTTGGCCATATCCCATGTTGTATTGTAATGCGTTGGGCGTCTGACAATACCGTATTGAGTCTCGTAGGAAGCCTCGGTGTTGGTGATTGTGGTCGGGAACTCGACCTTCAAGAACTTCATGTCCTCATGCCAGTCAACTTCTGCCTCAGTCTCGATGTACGAGTGACCGCCTTCCGGAGTGAATGAAAGTGAAGTCGTCGTTGTGATAGATGACTTCTCAGATATCTTTGTTGTCGTCTGGACTGCGACACGGTGTGGGCCATTCTCGCTGATGATTGACGAGCTTGTTGCGTGGAGCTCCTTTCTCGAGTTGAGATGGAAGACTTCGACATCCCATGCTTGCCAGTAGAGTGGCTTGTCGTCAAAGATGACCAACTGATTCGCCTTCTGGCCCTTTGGAACGACCTCACGGTGGGCTTGTTTGTCGTATAGACGAGTGATGACACCCTTGGAGATCTCGATAAAGTACTGGCCATTTATGAGGTGGAAGACATCCTTGCCCATGTCTTTGATCTCCACCGGAGCAGACGTTTGATTCACCTCCGTAACAGAGTTGATACCAGTCTCGCCTTGTAGTAGTCCGTAGCGGCTTGTCTGGTCAGGAGACGGCAGGGAGCTCAATTCGTTGCGGTTCCATCCAAGAGTGTTCAGTGCGACAAGCTCATTGTCATAAGATAATTTTTCGTCAAATCCAAGAGCATGCAGAGCTTCGTTCAAGACCTTCTTACCAGTCTTGAAAACCTTTGCATAGAGCTGTGGAACGTTAGTCCTGGATCGTTCGTAATGCACACTTGACTTGCCTCATCAGAATCATCGTAACACATTTCGATGCAACTTCCAGGCAAACAGTCGTGGAACTGGCACAGAAGAACATTCTCCCACATGTCGTCGATATCTTCTTTCGGGTACTTGTACTTCTTGCTATCCTTCGTGACTACATCCTGAATGCTGGCCAATGTCGCAAGATACTCGATGTCGTGAAGCATGATCTCCGACTTGCGGTTGTTCCACTTGTTGTTGGCCTGAGTGGTGTATGTGCCTCTGTGAAGCTCAAAGTAGAGTTCACCATACCAAGTCACAAGTTCGAGTCCTTCTTCGACTCTCTTCTCCAGACGAGCGAAGAAGTCATCAACAGAGTCGCCCATCTTGACACGAGGCAGAAGGCCAACCTTGTCGCTCATACCACGGCATCTTCGAAGCTTCTCGATGTGTTGCCAGGTTGGGCCACCACCTCCATCTCCTTTGCCAAATGCAAGAAGCGAGGTCGGGTCTTGATCCATGGACTTATGTTGTGTGATACTGCGTCTTACATCGCCGAAGTTCGCCTCGGCGGTGTATGTCTCGGCAGGTGTCATATGGCAGACGACCTGACTGCCATCGAGTGCGACCCAGTTGAAGGTAGAATGAGGGAAGTTGTTGATGTTGTTCCAGCTGAGTTTTTGAGTAAAGAATCTCGTCATGCCAGCCAGTCGGCAAATCTGAGGTAGCTGAGTCGAGTAGCCGAAGGTGTCAGGAAGCCAGAAAGTAGTGCATCTCTCACCAAATCGGCTCTCGAAGAAACGTTGGCCATAAATGAACTGACGAACTAATGACTCTCCGCTAGGCATGTTGGTGTCATGCTCGACCCAGGATCCACCTATCGGCTGGAAGGTACCCTCCTTGACTTTGCTCTTGACACGGTCGAAAACAGAGGGATACAGCTGCTCCAGCCACTTGAACTGCTGGGCTTGAGATGCGACGAAACGGTGCTCAGGGTATTGCTCCAACAGATTGCATTGGTTGGACCATGAACGGGCGACCTTTCGTTTGGTTTCTGCCCAGGGCCAAAGCCAGCACGTGTCGATATGGCAGTTGCCAATAGCAGTGATCAAAGCAGGCTCGTCCGAGTCGTAGACTTTGGAGGAATCGACATCTCCAATATACCTCTTCGCGATCTTCCTGCATTCTGCGATAGAGTCGTTGCTTCCGTTACCTGCAATGAAGGTATCCATGATGGAGTTGCAGATCTGGAGGGCTTGATGCTCCTCCCAGGAGTCTTCTGGAAACTCTCTGGCAGCATCTCCAATGATCCAGAAGTCAATGTACAGAGCTCTTGCTTCCAGATTGATGGCTACGATATCTGCTTTCTGAAGTTGGAAGTACCTGTCTGGGCGTGGTGGCTGGATGCTGTCACCTCCAGGAGCGTTTCCGAACATGCCGTTGCAGGCCATTTCGACGTAGAAGATGTGCTCCTTGCCATCGCGGAATGACTTGGGGAGGATCCACTCGATACGCTCACCTCCTCCGGTGAGACCTTGTAGAGGTTCACCCTTTTCATTCCAAATGAGGCCCTCGTTGTTTCCGTCCCAATGAAGCTCTAGATGCTCCTCGTCGACGAGAGACGATGGGACGGTAAGGCGAACGCGGAACCAGTGTGTGGACCAGCTCGGGCCATAGGACTGACCGACCTCGGCATGGGAGAATTCGTGTGAAGTTGCGTCCTTGAAAGTGGGACGAGAAAGGTCCGGCGGAGAGTAGACTTCGAGCTTGATGTGAGGATGGCCCGAGGCACGCTTGGGTTCGATCTTACTGTTTATGTGTTAGTATCTCTGGATGAACAGCGAGGACGGTCTGAATAGATGTGTACGGTAGCAAGCCTTGGTTTCTGTACTGGCCGTTGTCTGTGAACTGCCTCAGTCTGTCGGTGTAGATCTTGTGGATTTGCTTTCCCACGGGCTTCGAGGCCAGTCTGGGATAGGTAGAGGCTGGAGCCATGCTGGGATGAGAACCGCCGCCCATTGTGAAGCGAAGGTGTGAAAGGTAGGGGATGACAAAGCAGGCAGGAGCTCTTGCAGTGCAGGCAAGCAGGCACGGCAGGAGCTATCGAGGACTCAGGGAACATCGATCCCCGCATTGAGCGATGATCTCCTGCGTCACGCGTACTCGAGCCGATATCCCCGGTTCGACTATCTGTATCTCCGCCGTGGCCAAGCTGGTTACAACGACATGTGTGAACTACCATGGACTCCGTTGTGCTCTTTATGGCGCCCTCATCTGACCTACATCTCTGGGCATGACGGTATGGAACAAGTCGCTCCCTCGACATGCTCACTAACCATATTTACCTGATGGAGCACTAGCGCAAAGCTCGGATGCGAGACGGGCGTTCACATGCAAACTCCACAGTTGACTCCAGACGCTGTTGCTGTTTCCAAACCAAAACAGAAAAAGTCGCTCAAATATGCAGTGGCCAGACTGGCTCAGATGGTCCGAGTCTGACAAGGACAAGAAGAAGCCTGTCGCCTGGTCCGACTCGCTCAACGCCACCGACTGGTCCCATTATTCCTCTCCTCGCACCATCCTACCCACCGCCATCCTAACTTTTTCCACCCTCGCCCTGATCCGCATTTACCGCAGACACCTCCGCCGTGTCCCCGAAGCCCAGTACATCACTCCATCGTACTTTCACAAACGCAGTCTATATGGCTACGTCAGTCGCGTCGGCGATGGTGACAACTTCCGCTTGTTCCATACGCCCGGAGGCCGTCTCACTGGCTGGGGCTGGCTTCCTTCGAGAAAAATCCAAGACTGGTCCCTCAAGGAGTTCAAGGACAAAACTGTCCACGTCCGCATAGCGGGTGTTGATGCACCCGAGACTGCTCACTTTGGCAACAAAGAACAGCCTTTTGGAAAAGAAGCCCTCGAATGGCTGAGGACCTTGCTGCACAAGCGTTATGTTAGAGCATACATCTACCGCCTCGATCAATATCAAAGAGTCGTCGCTAGTGTGTCATACTGGAAGTGGGGTTTCTGGAAAACAGATGTTGGTCTAGAAATGATCAGGAATGGCATGGCTACTGTTTACGAAGCAAAGTTCGGCAGCGAGTTTGGCAACAAAGAAGACAAATACCGCAGAGCTATGGAAAAGGCACAAAGGAAACAGATTGGAATGTGGAAGCACACCAAGCCCGGCTTGATTGGCAAATTGATGGGCCAGAAGAATGAGAAGATCGAGTCTCCGCGCGAATACAAAACTCGCATAAGCCTTCTCGACAAGGCTGAATCTGGTCAGAAACAATAAGCACATCATCCTCGGTCCAGCCCTCAACCATCCATACTGTCCATGGAGTTTTCAGGGATGTCTCTGGAATCTGTGTTTTCGGATCTCTACTCGAAGATTGTGGGACGCTTCTTCGATGCTGCTGACCTTCGTGGACTACTGCAAGCGCTGCAGTCACAGCTCTCGGAACCTTCCTCGGATCCGGAGAGCATGCCATCGTAGTAAAGTGGAAGAAGATCTTCTGACGGGATCCATGGCTCTGATTCAAGGAAGTCTGCCATCAACTCTGCAGCGGTCCAATTTCTACAGACCGTAAAGTCGACATCTTTCCAGAGACCAGCATGCACGCTAGCAAAATACCGCAATACACTCTGAAACATCGAGTTATGCGGATGCAGCGTGCCCTTCTTGAAGCAGAAGTCGGCAATATTGTCATCGATATCCAGGCTGTTCTCAGTGTGTGCCTCGCTGGGCGTAGATCGGTCGCGGAAGTATACGAAACCAATTGAAGGATCCAGGTGTTTTCTCTTCTCGATCTCCTCAGGCCATATCTCGGCCCCGTACTCCTCCATCCACAACCAAGCTGTGCGCACGGGGTGATATGTCAGTCCTCGTCTGGAGCTGCTTGTCTGTACGCTCTCGATCTCCCAGGACCAGCGTATCACCTGCTGTGCCAGGAGATTGGCTTTTCCTGAGTTCGGGTGTACTTTAAAGCCGAGTTGCGATAGAAGGACTCCCATAGTGTTACTTCGAGACCACTTCCTGATCTCGTGTTGTAGCATTTCGTTGTCGTGAGGATCATCCTCGTGCCAGAGTGTTGGTGTAGTTCCCATGGTATCTTTGATTCTGGAGGATGAGGTTTTGTCTTGTTGAAATATACATGGTGAGAAGGGTGCGGTGTGCTGTACATATATCTATATCTCTTGCTCATATTCCAACTAATATTCAATCTCATGTCTCATCGGTCGCAATGATTCGTGAATCGTCTCAAGTCTTTGTTTCTTGTCTTTGCCAACACTGAGACAGATCAAGACAAGAGTCAAATCTGAACCAGTGTCTGAAACAGGCATCTCTTTTCTTGAAGACAGCAATTCTTTCGTCTTCAACATCAAAATACTATCTCGGGGGCAGAACAAGACGGATATGTCAGGCCGAGCAGCGGACTTTCGAGTGGAAGCAGCAAGTTGACCCGAGCGCTCCTTCTTCCAACTCGCACCTTGAAAATTGAGTACAATTTCGTTCAAATTTACAAGGGGCGATGGCTCTTGATATGAAAATCATCTTCCACAATCCCTTCGATCACTCAAGTAGTCACTGCAGAACTGTTCGTGGACACGGGATGCATGACGTCCGCGCTATGCAAGCCAAAGCCCTTGTTGAGTGGCTGACGACAGAACAAGGCTGTGAGGGTGGCATAGCCACTACTGTAGACGGCATAAGTTCTGCCCCTCATCCCGCGGCAGCGACTCGGTCGCTCGTTGCTATTGACCTGTTCGTGCGAGTTGTGTCTCGACCCCTCACCTATATCACGACGGATGCGCAAGAGCTGCGTTGATTAAACCGCAATATCATGTTCGGTCCCAGACAAAAGATTCTGAGAGGATACAATTCACAGATAAAAACGGCGTTGCGTTCGACACTGAAAGAAAAGAGCTATCCCTCTTCCACCTCATACCATGGTAGGTGCAAGCATCGAAGTCCGTATGATATTGGACTGTGTAACTCATCACAGGAGTATCAGACAAGACGCATCAGAATACAAGATCATCAGACCCGGTCTTGAACCTCCTTCGATATGTGGCGTCCGAAGACGAAGACATACTCCAGGTCATCAAGCACAAGTATCTGATGCAGATAGTCGAGTACACATTCCGCCCCTCCCCAACTGCAGACGATCCATTTGGATATGATCTGCTCTACTACATTAACATCGCAAAAACACTTATGGAGAAGCTGAGAGGCGTAAAGTCTCAAAGAATTCTGCTTTCAAAGAATCCCTCCACATCTTTCAGGAATAAAGTACAGATCCTTGCCGAGGAGACGTTGGGTTGCGAGATAGAATGGTGGCCTTTTGCAGAGCCGCATCGTATCTCTGGTGTTCCTATTCGCGTTGCTTGGTCTAATGTGAGTGCAGCCACCATTTTGTCCGCCAAATCTGACCAGTGAGCAGCAGTGTGGTGTCCAACATACGGAGCATGTACCGGATCATATAGCTGAAATACTGATGAAACTTCTTGACACTATCGAAGGAACGTCGCGTCGAGAGGAGCTGGTTAAGACAAGTTTGTTACTTATGATGGTTTTGCTACCGTTTTGGACCTTTCTCGCGATCGAAACCATCGTCATCTCCATGATCACTGGAAGCCCCGTCTTGGGACTCGAGATGGCTTTGAAAACATGTTCGTCCTTCGTTTTTGGCATGAGCATCAACCATTTATGGATTTACCCGCCTCGCAGGATCCATTGGACTAAGTCAATCATTAATTTTCTTGAGGTGCAAGAAGCTGTAGTCACCATTTTGCTTGTAAGCTCTTCTTCTAGTCCAACAATGAAATTTCAAGTATGTTGACAAAGCAGGAACACATCGGGACGACTTTCTGGATTGATGTCACATGCTGGATTCAGGTGCCAGGCTTGTGTCCCAGCTTACAGCATGTTGAAGGTACATTGCGATACAAAGCCACTGTGGCGGCTGCTTCGTCGAACAATGCGGCTGCGGCTCAAGCTCAGCAGACTACGAGTCCACTCAACGCGCAGAACATCCAGAGCCCGTTGACGCAGGTTTCAAGCAATTCTCAAGGAGCTTTAATCCCACCCGCAGGCTTGAATCAAGGGCACCTAGCTACAAATCAAGCCTCCGGGCCGGGATCGAGCCAGCACCAATCTGTACCGCTAGAACGGCATGTCTTCATCACTTCAAAAGTCGGCGGACATTATCTGCTGTCGCAGTGGAATACCTTGATACCACGTCCACAAGATGACCGTGAATTCTTTCGGAAGCTGCGAAAATGTTACATATCTGTTCGCGGCTTTTGGCGCTATCATTTTGGGCTGAGAGTATTCTCACATTGCGACTTCTATCGGGTGAGTAGTTCAAATTCCAAGCTACACATCAATTTGACTCGATACGTAGCTCAAGAAACACGGACCGTCAACTTTTAGCATCTCGACAGAGGAGCTGCCCGAGTGCGACGATTGTCGAATCCCCAACCGATTCTGTGCTGTACACCGGGCATACTACTATGAGCCAAAGCCAGCGAAACGTAGACCGCCTCTCGAACCTGAAGATTTTCGCATGCAATTCTACGCTTGTCATCATCGCAGAGCAGCTCATACTTCTGATGGCATCGGTGCAGACACGTACCCACTAGCTCTGATGAAGCTGTGCGTATGATACCACGACGCGAGACTCCATTAATCGTCGCGCGTGATGAATCTGAGGTCTTCTGGGGTCTGCTGGTCAAAGAGAAATACTCCATACTCGCCATTGTGATCTACAACCTGTTGGCCATGACACCCTCTCTGGCCTTCTTCTTCTGGTGGATCTTTGGTTCTTCCGAAAAGGACTCATCAAACGGTTCTGTTCCCGCGGCACTCACGTTGGCTGGATTGAGTTTGTTCTGGGCTATCATTGTCAGTATGAAGATGCAGGAGTCTTAGTGTCTTGTTCTCGGAGACAACAATGAGAATGGTTCAAAACCGCGAGTATCAAATATTTTTCTACGAATACATACTGTCATCTTCTTACGCTAGAGACTCGCCGCTGATACATGCTTTGTACAGCTACAGATATAATGTAAAAATCACGGTTGGAATCCATAAACGGTACAGACTGTCAATGTCGTTGGCAAATGCAAATCCATATCTGAAAATGTGTGACTCTGGGAACCATGAACGCTTGGGTCAGATAAGTGGAGGGGACTAAGCTGTTCCAAGATGTGGTTTGTTGACGAAGCGAGTATCTTTTGGGTACAAAGAATCTTATCTGTATGTCATTCTGCTCCAAGACCAGCAACACACAAGCTGCGAAAATGGCTATGATAATGCACGATTCCCTGGGTGGTTAGGAACTGTGCCACTGAGAGTCGTCGACATCTCACCAGCTCTACATGGCTTTGTCTACCTTCTAAAGATGACTGTGCGTTTCCATGGTTACATTCAAAGTATTTGTAGTTGAGTGGGAGAGGAAGGAACAGGTGGTTGGGGCCGTGAGACGCTTGGTCACAATGTCGTTTGATGTTCGGTGCATAAAGTGCTACACGAGATCATGATATGCATACAATATGCACAAAGCTATTACAAAGCTCGAGCCTTCGGGACGTTCAGAACGAGCTCAGAATGACTCTGATGGCATCTGTCACCTTCAATCACTATCGTTCTCATCAATACCAACATCATCATCGTCAAGTTGATTCGTTCTTAGCATCGTTGTGTACTATTACTGCGAAGACCGTCGAACACAAAATGAACCCCGGAAAAACTACTTTATCAATTTGTTGTCGCATCCTGTCGACGTGACTGATGCCATTTGTTCTTCGAAAGGGCAAAAAGATGTACCATCAGCACAGTCGAGAAGAACAAGCAAGTCACAGAACGGGCAGGACAGATATCATGATGAACAGTGATTGCATATGAATATATAAGTACATTACAATCTGATAATACTACAGTGTAGAAGATATGACAAAAGAAAAATCCAGATTATGTAGAGAGAGTAATACGAAAAGTTCGTGAATAGACATCCAGAAAGACCAAGAACGCCTTCATAAAGTAATTAGATCATATAGTCTTACTTGCGAACAAGGGTTGCAAGAGTGGTGGGCTGATCACGCGCGACAACGCTGACAGTGACGAGTCCAGGCACGTTGACAGTGGCGCAGAGAAGAGGGACGCCGAGAAGTCCTCCAGAGCAAGAAGTAGAGCGACTAGTGGTAGTAATAATTGATACGGCTGCGACGGCTGTAGGGGCGGGGGTAACTCCTGCTGATACTGAGGCGCTGAGACTCGCAACGCCTGAGACACCAGCTCCAGCGGAAACGGTGGCTATTCCCCCACTGGAGGGAAGAACGCCAGCGTTCAAAGTGACAGCACCAAGGTTGCCTAGACCTACGGTGAGACAGGCGTCAAGGAGGGCACCTGAGCATGACGAAGAAATGGCAGTAATGGTGTTGCCGTTGATGACTGTGCTGGTAGGAATGACTGCAGGGGCTGTGATCGAAGCACCGCCAGAGACAGTAGCCAATCCTCCGCTCGTAGGGAGAACACCAGCATCAAGTGTGATGGTCGCGAGGTTGCCTAGACCCAAGGTAATGCAAGCATCCACTGCGGCGCCCGAGCATGAGGTAGAGACTGCGGTGATGGTGTTGCCCGAGATGGTAAGAGGAGTAGCCAAAACAGCAGGGACGGTGATAGCTGCCGAGGCTACTGGCAGAGTTGCACTAACACCTGCGCTCACGAGGCCACCATCGCTGGGTAGAACACCGGCACCAAGAGTGACGGTAGCGATATCTCCAAGACCCAAGGTGATGCAAGCGTCAATAGCGGCGCCTGAGCACGATGTAGAGACTGCGGTGATGGTGTTGCCCGAGATGGTAAGAGGAGTAGCCAAAACAGCAGGGACGGTAATGGCTGCCGATGCGACTGGTAGAGTTGCACTAACACCTGCGCTCACGAGACCCCCATCGGTGGGAAGCACGTTGGCACCAAGTGTGACTGTTCCGAGAGGGCCAAGTCCAAGATTAATGCATGCTTGAAGAAGACCACTTCCAGTGCACGATTGAGAGATGGCGGTGATGGAAGTTCCGTCAACAACAGTGCTGGTAGGTACAACAGTGACGCTGGTGATCGCGGGTGTAGAGACGGGAAGACCTGCGCTGACCGAAACAATGCTGCCATCTGTGTTCAGAGCACCAAGAGTCACAGTGGTAGAGGGACCGACACCAAGTGCCAAGCAGAGTACACTGTTGCAAGAAGCAGTGGTGGTCGTGATCACGGCGCCTCCAGGAAGAGTGGTAGGAACGCTAGGGGCAGTGATCGCAGGAGTAGACACCCCACTGACACCAGCTCCAATGTTGATGAGGCTACCATCCGAGTTCAAAGCGCCCAAAGTCACTGTAGCAGATGGGCCAACGCCTAGTGCAAGACAGAGAAGTCCATTGCATGATGTAGTGGTGGCTGTGACTCCGGGGACGCTGGGCACACCGGTGACAGTAGGAGTCGATCCGAGGCCTGCGCCGATCTCGATGATGCTGCCATCGGGGTTGAGAGCGCCGAGCGTGGCGGTAACCGAAGGTCCAACTCCGAGTGCCAAACAGACCACTCCGTTACATTGTGTAGAAGTTGCAGTGAACTGGCCGCTAGCACCAGAGAAGGTTGTGGGAGTAGCCCCGGAGTTGCCACCGATACCAAGGTTGACCGTGACGCCATTTCCGATACCAAGAGTGGCACACAGGTCGACCAATGCACCGCCGCAGCTAGTTGTGGTTGAAGTCAAGGTGACGCCCGTGGGTACAGTCACACCTGGAGGGAGGGTGATAGATCCTACACCGCTGGTGATTGATCCAACGTCACTAGTGATAGATCCAACAGCACTAGTGATTGAAGGAATGTTGCTCGTGATTGAGGCAATGGCACTAGATTCCTCGGACAGGATAGAAGAGACAGTGGCAGTGGCTTCGCTCTGAACCGAAGAGATGATGCTAGAGATGCTAGAGGGATCGGTAACACCACTTGTCAAGGAGTTGATGATGCTCGACGCGTCCGATAGCGCAGAAGAGATGGCCGAGGTGGCCGAGGCACCAATTTCGCTGGTAACGGAACCAACAGCGCTGGTAATACCCGAGATGATAGGTACAGAGGAGAATCCTGGAAGGGAGGGTCTCAAGCTTGTAGAACCAGCATTGACGACTGAGGAGATCAATCCCGAAGGGAGGGAAGTGGCGGTGGGCAGCTCAGAAATCAACGAGCTCAATGCACCAGTGTTGACAGAACTGGCGGTAGTAAGTTGTGAGATCAAGGAAGAAAGCTGACTGCCGATGACACCCGTAGCAGTGGACGCCTCAGATACAAGGCTTGACACGATACCGCTGGGAACGGAAGAGAATCCTGGAAGAGAGACTCTAGAGCTCGTAGGACCAGCATTGTTGCCAGTGGGAACGCTTGCGGAAACACCAATTGATGCTCCTGCGGTTGCACTGATGGAAACAGGAGGCAAGATGGAAGAAGCAGCGGACGAACGTAGAGCAAACTGGATACCGTTACGGGTAACACCGTTGGTCAAAGAGCTGTAGAAAGTACACGAACCAGTCTTGGGGTCGTATAAGGTACCGAGACAACGAGCATTGGGTGAGCAAATGTTGGCACATCCGTTGAGAGAACCAATGGCCTGTCTCTTCAAAACCGAGTTACCGAGATTCAAGACATCGCCACCATAGAACTCGTTACAGTAGCGTGTGAACTGGGAGCCTAGAGCGCTGTATGTCGATTTGCTGGCGAATGGGCAGACGATCGGGGTAGAAGAGGCAGATGCTACTGAACTGGAGCTTCCGCGTGAGTTGGTCACAGGTGAAACGGTGTTTTGTCCGTTGTTGACTGCAGACGAAATTTGGCTCACGAGCGAACTCACGACTCCAGAGGGGAGGGTCGATGATGGGTTGGCGAGAACTGAGGACAGATCTGAGGCCAAAGAGGATCCGATGGAGACAGCGGGGTTTGTCAAAGACGCGATGGCGGAAGACAAAGCTGGGGCTCCGGTGACAGCAGGGTCGTTGCCCAAAGATGAAACGAGACTGGAGAAAGCGGGATTTCCGTTTCCACCTCCAACTCCAACTCCAGCTCCAGCCGATACGCCAGGGAGGTTGCCGATGACAGATGATGCAGCATCGGTCAAAGAAGAAGCGACGTTGGCAGGGATTGATGCGGAGGGGTTCGCAGCAATCGAGCTCAACAAGCTCGAGATGGCAGGTGCGACAGACGCAGCGGGGTTTGCTGTAGAGAGGAAGCCAAGCGCGGAAGATGCGGCGGCTGCGGCGTCCTGTCCAACGGCAGTAGGAACAGAGCTGGCATCCGAGGCAATCGAGCCAAGAATGGAAGAAAGCTGGGAAGGCACGGCCGATGCTGCATCAGCAAGCGATGAAGCAATGTTTGAGGCTTCAGCGGTGGGAATCGCAGCGGTGTTACCTGCAATCGAGCTCAACAGAGACGAAATTTGAGGAGCGACCGATGCTGCAGGGTTTGCGGTGGAGAGGAAGTTCAGTGCTGATGAGGCAGCGGCTGCAGCCTCTTGTGCAGCGTTGTTGGCGGCATCTGGAGCAGCTGTGGCAGCAGAGGCAATCGAGCTGAGAAGTGAGGAGAGCTCGGAATCTGCTCCCACACCTGCACCTACTCCTGCACCTGCACCGGCACCCAGTCCACTAGAGCCAGAGCCCAAGGAACCTGAGCCTGATCCTGATTCTGATGCACCAGCACCCGGAGCGGATGAGGCAGTAGGGTTGTAACACTCAGCAACAGCGGATGCCTCAGTCGACAGGGTGTCAACAGCGACCTCGAGGAGATCACCAAGCAAGCTGATGTTGCCGTTGTCTTTGATCTCAGCCAAAATATCGTCAAGACTGGAACCACCAATGCTGTCGATGAGGGCCTGTCTCTTGGTGGGGATGGCCGAAGAGCTGGCCAGAAGCAGCGAAATCGCCGAGAAGCCGGCGAAACGCATCTTGCTGGTCGAAACAAGGGAAAGATGTGTGAAGAAAGAGAGATTGTCAAAATGATAGAAGAGATGAGTCGCTTGAAGATCAGAATCGAGGACTCAGTGGGAACCATCTGTCCTGATATACCACCAACTTGTCGCAGAGTCACCATGTTGTGACCCAATTTCCAGACTTCATCATCACCATCCATGAGTGATCTGCGTTGTCTCGTTGTGACTATCGACTCTTTCATTAGATTGTTTCAGACAGGAGTTCCCTTCTACAGGTGTGATGTGGAGTTGGCAATGACACGCAGCGATACGCAATGCATCAACTGAAAGACACCGCCGTTAACAGGGTGAGACCTCTGAGGGGAGATTGGCAGTGACCACACTCGTTGGATGATAAGAGACGCCGAGAGACGGATTAGCGTGAGGAATGATCATCATCTCTAGAGACGTTATACAGGATCCGCTATCCAAGAAACCACGAGATTGGATCTAGGAAGAGGCACCACAATGATCTAGCCTGCTACTTGCTCATCTCGGGTACATGGAACTTAGAGACGTCGCATTGCTGTCGGGAATATCAGAATATCACTCAAGGTGTGTTGTCCACGGGACAAGGCACAGTGAGTCTGGAATGGGGTGTTAGGTCCTCCGGCGAATCTTCAAACTCAGCATCAGTATCGAAGAGGTCGATCAGTATTGACGTGAACCCTTATTGCCGTTGTGACAGCAGACCCTGTGCCCAGATAGGTCAAGATATGGCGTAAATTATGGACGTGGTTCCGGCAGTGGAAGCGTTTACGAGAAGGAGCACAGAGATCTTCAAACGGGTGGCTTCTCACTTGTCTTCTTATGGCAGGTATGGCTTTCTCGAGTTCTCCACCTTGCACTGCATTATACAAGAGGAGATGTCTAGTTGACGTGCGGGGTGTCTAACGAAATTATTACGAGGTCCGTGTTGACTACTAACCTCACGAAGGTTGTGTCGCCTGAAGTGTACTGAATTCCGGGGTCATCTTACTCGTGTAGTGGAGTACTTTCCAGCAAGGTGTGTTATTGTACTCCTATGTCGTTGATATAGTGCTACGTCAGTCCCAGCTACATGGTCCAATCTAAATCATGATATGCAGGTCCATTCGGCAGACGCGATGCTCGTCATTGTGGCTGTTTGCCAAAAACGATGTTGATTCCCAGATCGCTGTGGAGTAACGAGGATCGTTGTGGCAAGATGAGTGGTGGTGGATGTGGTGGTGTGAGGTTGAGATCCCCACGGCTCACTCGGCCAGACGTTGTCCGAAGTCTTCCAGAAAAACGGGCGCTAGTTCTACGCGACACGTTGACAGCTGTCCCATGGCCCTCGCAACGACCGGTTTTCCTCGGCCGACTGACATAACTCGACCCTAGAATACCGTTTGCTTGTGGCTGCACGAAGGAAGCTGTAAGGATCTGCAGCGAATGGGCGTCCGATACGTTGATGCCTATTTCGTGCCTTAATACCTTATAGAGAATACCCGATATGCGCGGCGCCGCCACTTGCGCAGTGACCTCTAGGTTGTCTTATTGGGCCAAGGACTGAATTTCTGCTTCTTGGTGGTCACTCACCATGACAAAGCAGGAAGTATCGTGTTCGGATGTTTAAACAGCTTTGTACATCTGTTTCCTTTTGCTTCCTATGTATAAGATCGATAGTAGAATGGAAATCGATGTTCAGTGTAGTCGACTGAGTCGCGGCTCAACAGCAATGACGCCGAAGCTCGCTCATATTCAGCCTAGACGGCCAAGTGTAAACATCCTTCGGGGACCCCGAGGCAGCGGATCGACCAAGAGCGCTATCGATTCGTTTTCGAAGTTGAGATAGTGGGGAACAGATTGGCTCCATGTCGTGGCGCTGACGACTAACTCATATCTAGAAGCCAAGTTTCGTGCTTGTTGTGGAGCCTCTGGTGGTTATCACGTGCAAAGGAGGAGACACACCAATGACAGGTAGTCTGGTCATGTGCAATGCTATTCTTGACCCAGCTGCTTAAACACAGGAACGGAAATTCGCGCAGGCAAGATCCACTGACAAGGACTTTAGACAATGAGTGGAGTGATTATCTCGCGGAATGTAAGAAGCAGATTTGGAGGAGGACAGCAGTCTATACACAGAGATTGAGGTACTCTTTTGTTACAACTTCTGGCTTGGCTCGATGGCTCCATATATCTCCTTGTTTGAGAATCGAACCGAGACGAACCATGATCAGTAATCGATTGTCGATGATCCTTCGGTGATTTAAACGAATACCTTGTCGATGCTCGACGATCCTCTCAGTGCCGAACGGTTGTGATTGCAACAGTATAGACAGAGGCCGAGATATGTCTATGGCAGTGTCAGGCACCAACAGCAACGAGATTGGCGTCTGTCTCTGATGCTAGCCATATTCCAACGAACCATAGTCTACTGGTTCAACAAGGGTTCTCCATATCTTAGAATGACTTCTTGCAAGCATATATGGGGATGTCTCCTGTCATCTGAAGCTTGATCGGCCAGGTTTTGTCCTGTATTCGGTTTAGGAGATGAGAGTCAGGGTCACCCTGTCGGCAGAAATCTGGGGCCCTTGCACGTAATGCTGGCTGGCATTGTGCTAGACCACATCGTGCAATTGATACCGAGCTCTCTTGATCGATCTGCATTCTCTTGAGAGTACCGCCGTGATTTGAACCACGATTGACGGGGCGCTCTCTACCGTGTGTTCTGTCGAAGTCAAGAATCGAAAACTCGAATCGCTTCAACACACGGTGCAAGCCCCCTTGATCGAACGTCTGTACTGCTCACAGATACTTCTTTGCAGCAGCGGCCACACGGTTTCTGAATACCGGACTCGAGACCGGAGCGTTGACAGTGTAGAAAGGATTCATAATACACTTGATCCAAGCCTCGTAGACATCGGTCATGAATTGCCTCACGGCTTCCTCAGTCTGAGCACTGGTCGGATTGTTGGCCAGTAATGTGCTCTGCCTAGCAGGAATAGAGGGATGTTGCCGTTGGGGTGCAGCAGCCGGGTAAGTAGAGTATGTCGTGGAAGAAGGATCTGGGTTCATGAGCAACATGAACTTCACATTTCCGCCAGTAATGAAGCAGTGGATGTGATTGTTTTGGAAGCGGTCTATGTGTTTGAGATAGCTATTCCAGATCGAGTCAGTCTAGGTCTAAGATGGGTTAGATGAACAAGATGAACTTACAGTCCGTTGTTCCCCCATTGTACTTCCTCGACAACGTCGAGACTGCTGTGAACGATGAATTGGTTCATGTGTCTGGCCTCATGGCGAAAGCGGGCAACGCCGTCTCCACCAGCCTTGGAAGTGCCAAATTCATGTTCGAAGAGGGGGTTGTCTCTCGTGCCGATGATTGTGAAGTAGTATGACATTGTAGTAGACGTGATTCGAGTGAGAGGACGAGGTTGTGTGGTATTTTGATGATAAATTCAGGAGCAATAGAGCTTCTACAGGAGGAGGAGGCCTTGAGAGCGACTCCTGTTTGGTGATGGAGAGCAGCTCGCGAGTGATCGGGGAAATGTCTTGGCACCACCGAAGCGTCAGCGACGACAGCGAATCTTTTGAAGGTTGCGGCCAAGCGCATACCATCCACCACAACCAACCATGTTCGGCGCATTCAAACCCACCTCGGCTCTATCAGGAGGTCTACTCTGGTATGCACCTTATCCCTGGCTACCCGCGCAAGCCAACACCATCTGACACGCGACTGCAGGAAAATCCCATGGCGACTCTCAGCACCGCAGAAGCTGCGCCAACGCCGTCGCCTTCGTCGCGTCGACAACATTGTCTCGGTCCTCGATAGTGCTCTTCAAAGACAGGTCCAGTCACAACCCGCCACCACTGCCACAAAGGGAATTGGCGCCACCCAGGCCACCACTGGGGAACTCGCCCAAACCGCCCAGGGACAGCGCTTGATGAACGCAGAGGTCAACACTCCTCTCAACGACCGTCGACATGGCAGAGGCCCGAGACAGGGCGAAATCCTAAGTGGCAGCTTGCCTATGGGTACTGTCACCATGACCGGTGACCAGGCGAGGAAGATGGGAACCATCAAGTTGATCGAGCGATGGAAGGCTGAGATGCCCACCGAGGCCGAAATGCTGCCAAGAGACAAATACACAATGTTCGATCGCAAGGAGAAGAAGTACAGAAAGGGCATTCACAGTGAGTCACCGTCTACATCACCCTTGAGCATTTGAACCTTGCTAATCATTTCCTTCCAGAATTGCCCAAGTGGACCAGAGTCTCTCAGCGCGTCAACCCTCCCGGTTTCTAGACCATCTTTCATCACTTTTTGTATATTCTATGCATAGGGCGGCGTTTGACCTAGGTTGGTCTCAGGATTTTGTACCAAAATACTACATCAAAGAATGTTGCCATGTCTGTCTCTTAATCATTACGATACTCGTGGCCCAAGACTACCTTATGCCAGCTAGCTATGTCTGCGCACAACGCTCTTGCTGCCCTCTGGTGGCTTCCTCTCTCCCAAGTTGTGCAGTCGCTCTCCGATAAGATACACTTCATCCTTGATGCGACCTCTCCAGCGACGCATGCCCTCGCTCAATTCCCATGTACACCATAAGCCCAGTGCTTGACTGGCGCATATCGGATAGCTGTAGCGGTAAACCTTGGTACGAACACTGGCAGATATCAAATTTGTGACATCCAGGAACGATGCAATCAACGGAGGGCAGATCAAGACGATTGAGAACAGCAGTAGTGTTGGCAACACGAACGCACGTGTTGCTAATTTGACGTTGGGATTGGTGAACCCATCGCGAGTGATCGCTCGCATCGCTGCGGCTGGCCGGGAGTTGCGTGACAGGAGCAGCAGACGCAGGACCACTCTTCCATAGATGAACCCGAGTGTCCAGTCTTGGAGAATATGGAAAGTATGCGATGCCACTGCCAACTGTGCAACTTGCGTCTCCGTAAAGTTCGTGAGCGTCGTATTGGCTAAGGTGACCTGAGCTCCGGGCATGTGGTCTGAAGTGATATTATCCGTCTTGTGGGTTACCGCTGTCGGGCCCATGTAAGTGCGAAGTGGCAGAATGAGGTAAAGTTCCAAGACAAGGGCGAAAAGAGTCGGAACAATCACGACGGCGAATCCATACACATAAGCGCTTCGTACTAAACGCCAGGTCTGCTTCCTGACGTTGGCACTGATAGCAGCCAAATTCTGTCTAGAAGTCGTTTGCTTGAGACTCTTGACTGCCTTTCGTCCATTGAACATAGATTGGAGCATCACTCCCAAGGCTGTTATTCCGACAGCAAAGTTGTACAAATCGTTGAACGCAACGCGTTGAGGAGCCAGGATTGACATTATCAGACGTCCAAACAGCATTGGAACAACAGTGATTCCCATACCCATGGCGATGGCAAACATCCACAGAAGCGAGACGAAGGTGATGATTCGTACGCGGAAACGTGGCGGGATGTAAACGTGAACGAAATTTTCAGGTTGTCGGCTATGAACACCATTGCTGGTGTATGTGCCGTCCACTCGTTGGTCGGTCTCACTGACCTCCAGGAACACTACGTCGCCCCGAGGGATTCTAACCTGGTCGGTAGCGGGTGCTCGAACGTACTTGCCATCCTTGACAAAGTGTTCGGAGTTTACAATGGCGCGCTGATCCTTCCAGGGGTTGAGTCTGCTAACCAACGACTCTCCATCCAGATGACCCTCTTCGATCTTGCGTCGCTCACCGAAGAGGAACTGAGAAAGGCGCAATGAATGTGCGCAAAGCCTGAGCCATTTGCCGAAAATTGTCTCCATCCCTTTAGATGGAAAGAGGTAGGAGGCCACCACAGGAGCGAGAAGATTGTATCCCAGGAAGTCGATGGGAAACTCGAGATCTGCCTCTGGTCTAGCCCATCGGACAGGAAACACTCCAAATCGCGAAGTGCCCCAGATAGCACCGCCGAGGCAAACGATGACCAATCCACCATATATAGCTCCGCTGAAAGCGATCTTGCGAAGTTGCGTGGTGACACTGCGCTCAAGAACGTCACGAACAGGGTGGAAAGTTGGATCGTCAGGATCTCTGATGAAATAGAGCACGCCGTTGCGCAAGATTCTACGGCACATGGACACGAACAAAGCAAAATGGAACATGTAGCAAGTGCCGATGAACCAATGCAAGAACACAAACAGCCATGGCGATCTGTTGGCGAATGCAAGTCTGGAAGCAAACGATGCGTTTTCGAAAAGTGGGAGCAAAGCAGAGTCGAGAAGCATGCCACAGTAGAGGGGAAACGCGAGCATTTCGATGCTGATGATCAAGATGACCTTGAATACTCCGCCAGCTTGCTTGAGGACATCTGTGAAGCTCTTCTCAAAAGTCTGTAGGTTTGGCGAGCTGAAGAGTGATTCTTTGCGAAGGAGGTACATGGTCCCGATCACAGCGAGCAGGATATATCCCGCCAATACGGTGAGACACCGATCCTCGTTGGTCCAGATAGCTAGTGCGGGATCCAAAGAGCCACTATCATGCTTGACTGTGAAGGTGAAGGTGCCATTTTTCACGGCTTCTGACAAGCCTTCTCCAAGGACCGCGCGGATCCATGTGTAGCTCGTCGCGGTCTGTTGCAAAACTCGTGCAGCTCCTTCGGTGACAACCCCACGCAGTTCTGACGCGGTTGAATTCTGTGCGTGATACAAGAGACCGGATACACATGTAGCAAAAAATTTCACTACCTGAGCAGCTTCCGCTCTCAGATTCAGAAGGGACTGGTGCGCCTCGTTGGACTTCACCAATGGTCCGAGCTCTAGTGGTCCATCACCGTCGAACAGTTCAGCCAGACGTACACCAGCACCGTTTGCTGCCTGATGAGCGCGGTTCGCCAACGATTCCACATATCCGAGGCCGGCCTTCCGGAGAACAGAACCAAGAGCAAGGGTGAGTAGTTGCGTCAGAATCTGAGCACCAAAATACGTGGCTGCACCACCAACATAGACGGTGATGTCAACGATCGCATCGGCGAACATGGAAACAATGCGTAGAGGAGTCATGACCAACGACGTGATCGGATCACCAAGAAAGAGCAGGGCGATCTTTCCGAAAAAGTATGGTAAGCCAATAGCGATCCAAAGGGTGGCTGTGATTAGGAAACCACAAAACACGGCTGTCTGTGCTAACCCAGCCAAGGGCCCTTGCATGCCAATCAACTCGAGGACGCCTTCAAGATCTTCAGCGTCTTCGATAGCTTCCGCGTCCAAGCCAGCATCGGCTGCGGCTTGAAGAACCTCGGGATCCTGTGCATCTCCAAAACCATGATCGCCATCGTGAACGTGGACGAAAGGCGGTTCCTCTGCTTCATCACGAACGATCTCTTCGTCAAAGTCTCTTGGCTGGGGATCGTTCAGGTCGTCTTCGACCACGATATCAGCCCAAAACCAATCGAACAACCTAGAAACCGGGCCCTTGCGTGGTTCAACAAGCTGTGTTGTTTGAGGGACACTGTCTTCTTGTGGTGAGGGATGTTCTTCATCGGGAATTTCTGCTCTCTGCTCCTCATAGATCGAAAAGATGACTTCATCGTCTTCGCCCGAATAATGCCTATCCGAATCTACGACAGGGGCTGCGGACTGAGAGTCTGTTGATTGCTGGCCCGTTGTCGTATTGGCCGCGGTCGTCGCTTGACTTTCTTGCCCATGGTCCTCGGTAGAATGGTCCGGAGGGAACAAGTACCCAACTGGCATCATGTTGGGATCGCGCCGAGGATTGGTTGTGATTGACTGCCAACTTCCATTGCTGCTGTTACCACTATCTCCCGCGCCGCTACGATCGCCGTCTTCAAGATCATCTGTGGGTTCCTCAAGCGATTGTATGACCCTCTGTGCATGTGACGATGCGTCTCTCGGAGGCATTGCTGGTCGTCTTCTTGGTTCATCCTCATCATCTTCCTCCGTGACACTTTCCGTATCAGATTCACGAGGCGCAGGGCCTGCTTCAGGGTACTCATCCTCGGAGAGCCCAAGCTTGTCGTCAGGAAGGTTGCTCAACAACATGTACTTGGTCTGACCCTCTTTCAGCAGAAATTCACGCCAGAGGTCCTTCTCTGTAGGGCCTAGATTGTCCAGAATAGCCCAGATGTTCTTGACAATGTCAGCCTGAGACATACCAGAATCTTCAGCCAGTTTGAGCTGCTCAAACAGTTCCTCACTAGCTTCTTCAAATGCTTGCATGAATTGCTCGTGATCCTCGCCCTCAAACTCGTGAGGTACTCCAGCGTTGTCCATCAGGGTTTCCATAGCGTACCAGCCGATAAACTGTGTTTCGTCATATTCAGAAGTTTCGCTCTCGGACACGGGCTGTTCGAAGATATGTCGGTAACGCTCTACATTGGGTCGCAGTCTCTCGTCTTCCAATGCAGCAGCCTCGAGGTCCTGTAGGCGTTGAGCGGCTCTTTCGGCAACGTCCAGTTGTATCTCTGCATCGCGGATATGGGCGGCAGCGTTGATGATGGGTTGCTGTTGGACGACCCATTCCCGAATCAAAAAGATGAGGATAAAAGCGACTACGACATTGATGGTGATTATGTCGCCCTCGAGTACGTCGAGAATGAATCGATTGAGCCAGACGTGAGAGGTCAAATTATTTACAGCCTTGACGTCGGACAACAAGCTAGAATGGAGTGGTGCGAACGACGCTTCGGATGGTATGTTTGAGGAAGAGTAGATGGCAGTTTGACCTAGAGGCTTCAGAGGATAGAACAAGGAGTTTACAAAGAACTTGCCCATACTCAGGCCAAAAGGCTCTTTATCGGCAACAGCATCGCTGATAGGGGCTGAACTATTATGTTGCTGGGCAGCATGGGCCATCTTAGCCAGCCAAGGGTCTCGTGCCCAACCTGCGTCCAAGATCCAGAAGAGGCCCCTCCATGACCAACGGATGCACCAAGGAAGTACTACGAGCCAGACAAGAGCGACGGTGATAGCACGAGCCCAGGTCGACAAGTAGTTCAATATGTGTAGAACAGCTCGTTTCGCGAAAATAGGCAGCGGGAGAGTTTGGGGCATGTGCGAGTCGTAGAGTTTTGTGAAGCGAAAAGGAGTTTTACAGAGCTCGCAGTGCTTCTTGTTGGAATGGGAGAGCCACTCCATCAGGCAGTCCTGATGGACGAACTTGATGCTGCCACTGCACTTGCAGGGGTAGAAGAGCGGCTCTGCAGCCGAAGCCTCACTGCGACATATCCTGCATGTGTCGCCCTCGGCGGGCGACTTGTCACCACCCTCAGTAGGGTCGAACTGCGGATCGTTCATGATGTCCGGCGGGGACGCGGGGTCTGCGGTCGACATGGTGCGATGCTGGCGTCAATGAGGAAGCGAGTGACTCGGGAAAGGCCGTCGAGGCGGAAGTGTTGTATTAAAGCGACATCTAAGACGGACAGGGCGGAACTGATGGACAGCGGACGAGGGTCTTCTGTAGTTTGGGTGTCGACAGCGAGTCTTGTACACGACAGGTTAAAGTGGAAACAGCAACAACGACCTCAAACTACTCGGAGTATGCCATCCAGTGGACCCGCAAGCACGTGAAAAGCCAAGACTGCGGATCGGCAACACTGCTCCTCCGTCTCTGTTTCGTACCTGCTGGAAACATCTCTTGACAACAAGAGCTCTATGGCTAGACAGATACCTCCATTCTTGGTGAAGCTTGCAGTCCTTGGATCCTATTATAGTAACTCGAACAGCAAATAGTGCAGAATAAATGCACAATTGCGCGTGGTATAAACACTAGGAGTGGATATCAGGGTTTCCCTATGACGTGCTGTGCGGCGCACGCGAGCAGCCGCAGAAGCAAGGTTCAAGCACAAGCTGCCCGGTTTCTCGTCACTCTCTCCTGACAAGCATAATAACTTTGTCATATCAAGACACGTCCCCATCTAGATTCCGTCCACACACGCTGCACTGGTCCTTTGGTCAAGCTCTATGCAGGTCTAATATTCGTCCTCTGTCACCATGGCCATCCGAAGTGAGAAGGCGCCGAACGGCTCCATCTCAACATCGTCCTCATCACGAGGGCGCCAGGTCAAGAGACGAGGTTTCTTCTCGCGACTCATCAGTATAGCTCTGAGGTGTGTCCTTGCACTCGCTACTTGCGTCAATCGTCGATTGCTGACTCTACCGCAGATTGTCCATCTGGTACACGCTCCTGACAGTCGTCTTCCGCTGCCCATCGTCGCCCAAACAGCTTACCAACGACTCGCCAAATGTTTGCGAACCCTACTTCCAACTGAGAGACTATGCTCTTCCTCACCTCCAACCCTACTACAATACCTATGCCGCCCCCTACGTTCAGCAAGCTCAGCCTTACTTTGACCGCGTCAAGGAACAGGCCTACCTCCCTGCTGCTGCCTTTGCTCAGAAGCATGGCGCTCCTCGTGCCGCTCAAGTCCAGAAGTATGCCACCAAGGAGTGGCAGCGATCTGTCCGTCCTCAGTTGGATGTCGCTCGCAAGCACGCCCTGAAGCAGTACGACTCTACCCTGGGCCCTCACGTCCAAAAGGTCCAAGACGCCATCTCGCCTTACTACACCAACGTCAAGGCCTCGGCCACTGACTTCTACGAACTCGAGTTGCTCCCCGCCTACAAGCACACGGCTCCCTACGCAAAGAAGTTCTACGGTCACGCCCATCGCTTCTCCGTCAACACTGCTCTTCCCTACGCTCGCTGGGGTACCGACTTAACTTTCACCTTTGTTCGCCGTCAGATCTGGCCTAGAATCCAAGTTCTCTACGGAGAGAATGTTGAGCCTCAAATCTTCAAGATCAGCCAGAGACTGGGCCGCTACCGTGACGAAAAGAAGATTGAAGCCGCCGTCGAATCTGCCGAGAGTTCCGCCTCTTCTTCCTCATCGTCCTCTTCTTCTGCATCGTCGGTCGCATCTGCCTCATCTACGGTTATCGCCAGCACACCCTCAGCTGTGGTTTCTAGCGCCAGTTCTGTCATCGAGTCCATCATGACAAAGGCATCCAGCGTTGTTGCTGCCTCGCCTTCAATGGCTCCTACTGAGGAAGAGCCCAGCGCCGCTGAACAGTTCTCTCAAGATTTGAAGGTCTGGGAGGAGCATGTCTCCATCGCAGTACGTGAGGGACTTGACCATCTTCGTGAGCGTATCCAGGAGATTTGCGACCGCCAAGTCGAGACCCAAACCAATGGTGTTGGTGAGGCTTTGATCATTCAGTTGGAAGAGAGTTCCTCGTCGGCCTTCAGGAGCCTCAAGGCCAGAGTCGAAACCGTTATTGAACACCTCCCCGAAGAGCCTTCCGAGTCTGACGTCTCGTCTGCTCAAGATTCTATCAACAAGGAGGTCAAGAAGGCTGGTCAGACCATCAAGCAGAAGGCCCAGAACGTTCGCGATTGGAAACAGACCTTTGATAAGGACATCACCCGTCTTATCGAGGCTGCTGCCAACTCTACCCTTGAGACTATCGACAGCATCCGCGACCTCCGTTTGCAGGAGATTGGCAGACGCTGGGCTTCCAATACTGCTATCACTCACAGAGACTGGACTAAATACAACGATCTCAAGAAGGCTTCCAGTAAGGGTCGCGATGAGGTTGCTGTTCTTGCCACCTCGAACGAGCTCACCGAAGCCAAGAAGGGTGCCCAGTCAATTGAGGACAGAGCCATGATTATTGCCGAAAACGCTGCCAAAGAGCTGACCAGGCTCAAGAGTGTTTCGCAATGGAAGCTCGAAGCCAGAGATTCTTCCGATGATTTCAACACAAAGTATGCACCCGCCGCCGCTGCTCGTGCTAAGCAGCAAGTTGCCGAGAAGATTTCTGGCGCCAGAGAGGCCATTGTCGGAAGCTCCCAGGGCACAGTTGAGTCGGCCTCATCTGTTTTCTCCTCTCAGGGCTCCCAAGTAGCGTCCAGCGTGGCCGCTCAAGGGTCTCAATTAGCCTCAAGCCTTTCTTCGCAGGGTTCCCAGATGGCTTCCAGTGCTTCTGAAGCTGTCCTAGGTACTAGCACAGGTTCGGTTGAAAGCGCCGCATCGAAGGTGTCTGAGAAGGTTCTTGGCTCCGAGCAACCCACTCTCGAAAGCATTGCCTCAGTCGCTTCTGAGAGTGCTAAAAGCGCAGCTACTGCCGTATCGGAATCCGTCCTGGGCACTCAACCCGGAGTCGCAGAACAGGCCGCTACAAAGGCGTCCGAAGCTGTAGTCGGCCGTGACACCCCTGTGATCGAGAGCATCTCCTCTGCCGCTAGCTCCGTCAGCTCGCAGGTCGCCAACCAGTCTCTTTCTCCCGAGATGGCAAAGAGCCTCAAAGCTGGAAAGTCTAGTGCAATTTCTGCTGCCAGTGATGCATCTTCCAGCGTTGCCTCAGTTGCATCCAGCGTGTCCGCCCCGTCGATTGTGTCTGAAGCGTCTTCGAGCATGAGTTCAATTGCCCAGGAAGGAGCATCCAGTGCCTCATCCGTAGCATCCCAAATCTCCGAGAGTGCATCTGACGCTTCTCAGAAGGCTTCAAAGAAGGTCTGGGGTGGAGCAATGGCCCAAGCAGTTCCTTCAGCACGCTCCATTGTCCTTGACGATGATATTGTCGACGACGAGTCCACGTACTCGAGCAAGCTGCAGGACATTCTCGGAAAGGCTGGAAACCAAGCAAGTCAGCTCACTCAAGCTGTCCAGGATGCCTTGAAGCCTACCCCTACTCAGGGTAGTGTCGAGTCAGTCACCTCTCTTGCCAGTGAGCAGTATGAGAGAGCTCTCTCTGCAGCGAGCAGTGTCATTTTCGGTACCGAACAGGGCGTTGGAGAGTCTCTGTCGAGTGTCGCCAGTGACAGATATGCCTCTGCCGTCTCTGCCGCATCCAGTGCTATCTACGGTGAACCAATTCCTGCCACAAAGTCGATTGCATCTCAAGTTGCCTCGGTTGCGGCTTCCGTCACCGCTGGCGCTAGCAGTGCTGGAGACTCTTTCCAGTCGCAGGCCAGCTCAATCTACACTGAGGTCCAGTCTGCTTACTCAAGCTCTATTGCCGACCCTCTACAATCAGTGTACAGCAGCTCTATCGCAGACCCATTGCAGTCTGCCATGTCTTCCATCTCTTCGATTGCTTCTTCAAGACTCCAGGAAGGTCTTTCTTCAGCAAGTGCTCAATTCGAGCAGGCCAAGAGCGCCGTTGGTGCCTCGCCAACACCAGTTCAACAAGGTGTCATGGCAGATGCTCAGCGTAGATATTACGAGATGGTCGGTTACGCCTATGACCGTTACTCGGCTTTCGAATCTGCTGGAAGAGACATGGTTTCTACTCGTCCTACGGCCACCTCTGGATATTCGAATGTGCTTGCTGCCGCTCAGAGCCAGTACAGCAGCGCCATCAGTGCTGCTTCTAGCAACATGGACATTGTCATCTCATCGGCACGTTCTGTCGTTAGTGGAACCACTCAGTCTCCAGCTCAGAGCTTGATTGACCAGGCCTCAAGCCAATACGACGCTGCGACTTCAAGCGCTTCATCCTACCTCGTGATCGCTTCTTCCAAGGCTAGCGAGGCTGTCTACGGCACTCAGCCTGCTATGTACGAGAACCTTCTTGCATCTGCCCAGAGCCAATACGATGCTGCTTACAGCGCTGCAAGCGTCAACCTGAACAACATCCTTGAGTCGGCAAGCTCTACTGCTGCCCCTGCCTTTGACACTGCTTTCGAACAGTACGAGTTGGCTGTTTCAGCTGCTGGCGAGCAATATTCCCTGGCCAGTGTCAAGGCAAGTGAAGCAATCTACGGAACATCAACAGGATCTGTCGAGTCGCTTGCCAGCGCTGCAAGCACAGCCATCTACGGAAGCGAAACTCCTTGGACGGAAGCCGCTGCGTCGCAAGCAAGCGAAAACTGGGAGATGCTGGTTTCCAAGGCCAGTGAACAAGTTTACGGTTCTCCTACGCCCTTCTTCTCCCAAGCTGGAGAGTATGCTTCTCAGGCTACCGTTGCTGTAGTCGAACAGTATGCCGCAGTCTCTGCTCTTTTCGATGAACTCGTCAATGGACGTGAGCCAGAGTTTACCGAAAGTGTGTGGAACCGCCTTCAATCTGCCTACTCGACTGGTGCCCCAGCTGTTGTGTCGAGTGCATCAAGCTATGCTCAAGATGCTTACGCCAGTGCATCTTCGTTCTACGAGTCGACCTTCACACCACCACCAGCTGTCGAAGATCTCCTCGACAACGTCAACGAGCAGATCAATTCCGCGGTTGATGCTGTTTCTGCTCAAATCTACGGCACTACAAAGGGTAGCGTCGAGCAGATGACCGAAGCAGTTGGTAGCGCGTACAACGATGCTGCTTCTCGCGCTAGTGAGGCTGTCTACGGAACCACGACCGGTTATGCCGAAGCCGCCCAGAGCCAGATCTCAGACGCTGCTTCGTCTGCGCAGCAGGCTATCAGTGAAGCCTTGTTCGGTACTCGTTCCACAGCGGCAGCTGCCAGCATCTACACGTCGATCGCATCTGTTGCGTCGGAGAACCGTGATGCTGTAGTGTCAAAGGCTGTCGAACAGTATGAGGCAGCGACATCAGCTGCCAGCAGCGCCATCTACGGATCCGAGAAGGGGGCTTTCGAGAGCGCGCAAAGCAGACTCTCGGTCGCAATGGCTAGCGCATCCAGCAGATTGGCCGAGTTTGGGGAGACTGCAAGCAAGGCGACGGATGATTCGGTGTCTAAAGTGGTAGAAGCAGCCCAGGATGCCGCTTCATCAGCAAGCAGTGTAGCCTCGTCGGTCAGCATCAGAGTTAGAGACGAGCTTTAGGTGCATAAACAAAAGAAAGGTGTGACGATGATGAAGGAAAGGAGGAAGACGAAGAAGTTCGTGAGTTATTAACGAAGCCTTTGTCTATTTATATAATATAAACATGATTCGCTATTAGACCACAACGTCTGGGAACATAAAAGGTTGCATACTGTTGATGAAAACAAGAAGACGTCCAAGCACTGACAGGCCTTTAGCGTGGAGTGATTAGGGCGTCACTGGCCGGCATGGACCCCATTCCCCGACCTCGGCAAGACCCCGCAACCGATAGGCGCAGATAAGGGACGGAGGTCCACTTTATGGGCATGGCCGCATTGGCCGCAATTGCCGTCTCTAACCAGGTTGCACCTTCTTAACAAGTTCCTTTTCCTGCGACAAGTCAAAGAAGCGCAGAAAGAGTGTTTGAAGCATCACACAATGGCAGGTCGTCGAGCAGTAGCACGTCGTGCTCTACAGAGCGTCTATCTCCAACAACCTGGGGTCAGCCGGCCAGCATTGGCAAGCACACTACGACTCGGTCAAACAGTCAACACATGCAAATTGGGAGGCAGGAGGCTCCATGTCTCTGCAAGACAGTTGCTGCCTGCTACTGCTTCAGCCCTCGCGTCCACCGCTACAGACTACCCCACCACTCACGAGCAGATCCAACAACCCATCGACACCCAGAACTTCCTCGACAACAAGTTCGTAGCCTCCAACGCCACGCAATGGATTGATTTACATGATCCTGCGACAAACAACCTCGTCACCCGCGTCCCTCAATCTACCGATGAAGAGCTCAAGGCCGCAGTGGCGTCTGCCGAGAAGGCTTTCCCGGCCTGGAAGGCCACAAGTTTACTGCACAGACAACAGATCATGTTCAAGTTTGTCCATTTGATCAGAGAGCACTGGGACCGTTTGGCTGCTTCAATCACTCTGGAGCAGGGCAAGACCTTTGCCGATGCCAAGGGTGATGTCCTCCGTGGACTGCAGGTCGCAGAAACAGCATGTGGCATCACGACCCAGCTCACTGGCGAGGTCCTCGAAGTCGCCAAAGATATGGAAACAAGATCATACAAGGAGCCTCTCGGTGTCGTTGCTGCCATCTGCCCCTTCAACTTCCCCGCCATGATTCCTCTGTGGGTCATCCCTACCGCTACCATCACCGGCAACACTGTTGTGGTGAAGCCTTCCGAGCGCGATCCTGGTGCCATGATGATTCTCTGTGAGCTTGCAGAGAAGGCTGGCTTCCCTCCTGGCGTCATCAATGTCGTCCACGGTGCTGCAAAGACCGTCGATTTCATGATTGACGAACCCGCCATCAAGGCCATCAGTTTCGTCGGCAGCAACAAGGCTGGTGAATACATCTTCACCCGTGGCTCTGCCAACGGCAAGCGTGTCCAAGCCAACCTGGGTGCAAAGAATCACGCTGCTGTGCTTCCCGACTGCAACAGAAATGCCACCATCAACGCCATTGCAGGTGCTGCTTTCGGTGCCGCTGGCCAGCGCTGCATGGCTCTCTCCACCGTCGTCTTCGTCGGCGACACCAAGAGCTGGGTTGACGATATTGCCGACCGCGCAAAGGCTCTCAATGTCAATGGAGGTTTCGAGAAGGATGCCGAACTCGGCCCTGTCATCAGCCCTCAAGCAAAGGAGAGAATCGAGTCCATGATTGGCTCTGCTGAGAAGGAAGGCGCTACCATTGTTCTCGATGGCCGTGGTTTCAAGCCTGAGAAGTACCCCAACGGCAACTTTGTCGGTCCTACCATCATTACAAATGTCACCAAGGACATGACTTGCTACAAGGAAGAAATCTTTGGTCCTGTGTTGGTGTGTTTGTCAGTAGACACACTCGAGGAAGCCGTCGATCTCATCAATGCCAACGAATACGGCAACGTAAGTCACCCCTTTCCCCATTCCTTCTCCCACGTCTCATCAACCACTAACACTTTCTTCTCTCACAGGGGGTCGCCATCTTCACAAACTCGGGCTCCACAGCCGCCCGCTTCCAACGCGACATCGAAGCCGGCCAAGTCGGCATCAACGTACCCATCCCCGTCCCTCTCCCCATGTTCTCCTTCACCGGCAACAAAAAGTCCGTAGCTGGAGGCGGTGCAAGCACTTTCTACGGAAAGCCGGGTCTTGCATTCTTCACCCAGACAAAGACAGTCACGAGTTTGTGGAGGAGCGAGGACGCTATTGCGACCAAGGCTGAGAGTGTTATGCCTACCATGCGTTAAATGATGATGAGATGGAAGAGAGGAAGACAAGGGGGATCATGTATGACGGATGAAAATTGATAAGATCATGATATGAAATTGCCCTGGCTCAAGTGTTCTCCATGAAGAACAAAGTCCAAGCAGAGAGTGATGATAGACAGGATGAGAATGCAGTAAAAGAAAGTCAAGTGTGGTATTTGATTTTCGTAACATTAACCCACATTCGCAAAGCATCAAAAAAACTGTAGACTCAAGCGGTACTTTTGAGCAATGTAAAGAAGAGCAGAAAGAAAAGAAGAAGGAAAATGCCCATTCCATCCAAAGATACCCCTGGTCCCAGAAGACCCGATCCCGTTTCCGTATAGTCAGTAGTAGTAGTAAGTAGTATGTCGTTTGGCCAATCGTGAAAACGCCCCTTTCCATGAGTAAAGCTGCAAAGCAAATTGTGCGCCGTGCATTGTAGTTCGTAGTGTGTGCCTTCCCATGATCATGCAACCAGCGAAGCAGCAGCAGCAGGAGGAAGCTCGCCTCCATACTCCTTTTGCCAAGTCATGATGTGCTTCGTCAGGACGTCCATCATCTCCCTACTGCTGAGCTCCTTAAAGTCGTCCGCAGACTTTTGAGCCGCAGCCTCCTGCAACTGAGCATTGAGTGGTGTGCGATCTCCAGCCATATCAACCTGTGCTTTCGCAATATAGTCCATCATCATGCCCGTGCGTTTCTTCATGTCGGTGATGGTCATTTGACTCTTGTTCTCGCGGTTGTCCTTGATGACAATCTCGGCTTCTTGGATGGCGGCTTGTCGTGGGTTTTTGGCGCGGCCGCCGCCCCATTTGCCGGGTTTTGATTTGGGAAGAGAGGCGGTTGTGGTGATGGTCGGGGTCTCGTTGTTGCTGCTGGGGCTGTTTTTGGAGTCGGATGTGCTGTTTGTCGTTGGGTCGTCGCCGCTGCTGGCGTTTGGGTTGACGGAGGTGGAGTCGGTTGGATTTGAAATGGCTTTAGCAGCTGAGTATTGGTTGCGGCCGAGACGTTTCTGCTTTTTCGCGGTGCCCTTCTTGTGTGAGCTTCCTGGAGCTAGCAGTGGTGCTGAAGCGGGTGGACTGGGAGGTTGTGATGCGGACAGATTTGGTATGCCCATGGGTCTCGGTGTGTCGTCAAGCGGATCTGACTCTGCATCGACAGTCAGTCCAATTGGTCTTGGTGTCTCGTCTTGTTCCAGCGTACCGTCTGCTCTCCTTCGTCCGGCTCTCTCACTCCGTCTTCCTGCAGCTTCTTTGCGTTTCTCATCACGCATCCGTTCACGCTCTCTGGCTTCTCTTTGTCTCAAGACTTCCGAGGCTGCATTTCGTGCCTTCTTACCCGACTTGGTACCTGTGCCGTCGTCGTCGGAGTCTGCGTCCAACGAGCCTGTGTTGAGCGTCGATGGAGGATTGGGTGATTCCGATCCCGTCCGTTGGCGCTTGATCTCGTGTCTGAAGCTATCGAAACCTGTCAGCCGTTTTGTTTGCTGCAACAAGCAAACTCTCGACTCACTCTTCGCTATCGTCTCGTCCGCGCTTTCCCTTGCGCACTGCTGGGGTCGACTCGCCGACATCCTTTGTCTCCTCGATGATTCGGCGTAATGTCTCTTCGTCGTCGTAGGCCTGGCGGCTATTCATTGTAGACCTTCTCTTGCCTGTTGACGACTCGACACTGGCTCTGTTTTGACTTTCTCGCTGCTCTCTACGAGCTTTTGCAGACTCTGTTTCTTTTGTGAGGGAGAGTTTTCGGGCACTCTTGGGTTCAGGCTTCATAACGGGTAGATAGCGCGAGTAGTGTTGTCTGAGTGTGTTAGCCGAGGGCGACGACGGAGAGGTGCGAGACGGGGGCTCACCCTTTGGGGTCGGTCAAGACATTGTGTAGTTTCTTGTCGCAGAGCTCGCAAAAGTAATTGTCGGGACTCTTTGTCTCGTCCATGATACCAACACAGCCGCCGTGTTGCCAGACGTGACATTTGTCGCACTGGATGAACAGGCCGCCAGCGTCTTCGGCTTGCGAAGGGTCGGTTATGGTAGGGAAGTCGTCGGTCAAAGGTGGACCTGGGTAGTCTTGCATACCACAGACGCAGCGTGTGATCTCATCGTCGCCATCAGCATCGCCGTCGCCGTCGGCATCTGCTTCATTGTTCTGGCTCTGTTGATCGACGTCGTCGGGGTGTGTGTGTTGAGCTCTGGTGGCTCTGCGGGTTTGACGAGACTCTTCGGGAGAGTTGAGAGTACCAGAGCGTGGATGCATGGTATCGTCGGAGAGGTTTGTGGGAGAGGGCGACTTCTGGCGGGGTGACAATTTGTTGTGCCATCTCGAGTTGCGATCGGCGGGTGTGCTGGTGGTGCGGCCTGACCGCCGCGGGGAGGGCATTGCTTGTGGCTAGTGGTGGGTGTGTGTAGAAGAATAGCAGATGGAGAGTCTGTAGTGTAGCTGAATAGCAGAGCAACAACAAGGAAGGCACCGCAGAGAAGAGTCGGTGCTGGGGCAGCTTCTTCGGCCTGTGATACGGCAAGCACAGACCGTCTGCTGCAAAGAGAGTGGAGTCGAGAGTCTACCTACACCGTGGGTCCCCTTCTTTTGATTCACCTCTCCTTCCTCTGCCTTGTCACAAGGTACATCTTTCTCATGCGATCCGACATTTCGATGTTGCTCTCTCAATGCCTATATAGAACTCGAGCCTGTATGAATTCTGGGAGTGCGCCAAGTCGTCTCCCAACCTGACAGCCGATGACGCGCTTTTCGACGGGAACGAGATGCGGGGATACCGTCCACACCGCCTTGAACCAAGCAATCTATTCTGTACCTGTCTATCACTTGTCACCTTGCACAATATGCTGGTATAAATCATCGCTTTCTATGTCAATCACTCAGGTATTACGCGTAATGTAATTACATCTAGTCCATCCGATGATATATCCGTTCAGAACGTTTCTGTTCCGGTGTTCCTGTTGCTCATATCCTTCTCTTTCCAAAACTCTTTGATTCGTGTGTCTCGTCAGCTTCGACTTTCCGCAGCTCTGCTCTACTCGCCAATAGGGCTGGCAGGTCTGCTGGCTGCCGGTGTCTTGCGTCCAACCAACGATCTTCTGCGTTCAGGAGAGGCCGGTCTGCTCGAGCTGGGTGTCTTTCTTCCTGGCAACTTGTTCCATGTTTGTGTGCTCAGTCTTCTGATGAAACCAGGTCTCTTCTCGGGTGTTGCGGCGCCACTGTTGGTCGCGCTGCCGACTGCAGAGTCGGGGTGGACGGGCTCTAGGATCTTGTGTACCTTGGCGGCCATGTCGTGCTCTGCACTGACGCCCTTCTGGAGGTTGTTGAAGGTCTGTTGAGCTTCGTTCAGAAGTGCCGGGTAACGACCTTTGCATGCTCGGATGAGAAGCTTCAGCTTGGCCATGTCCTTGACTGCCAGCGGCGAAGGCTTGCTGTTGGGAGAGCCGTTGACGTGCTTGCCGAGATCGCGGATGTCGCCGAGCAAGATATCCTCGACTTTGTCGTTGATGTTGAGAGCCATCAGCAGGGTATCGACCTGACGCTTGGTGGACTTGACAAAGTTGGAGAAGCGCAGAGTGTCGTGAATGACCCACTGCTGCGATGCAACCGAGCTTGGCCTCTTGACCGACACCTTGTTGGAGCCCAGTTCGAGAAGGTGCTTGTAGGAATCCTCAAAGTTCTTCATGCGGGTCAAGTCGGCAGCGGGCTGCTCCAGCGCTTGTGCGCCACCACGAGGAAGAGGTCTCAGACCAGTAGTGTCGAGATCAGAGTCGTTGTCGTTGGGGTTGGAAAGGGTGTGAATGATGCTGTTCATCAAGCCCTCGAGGTTGACTCTGACTTCATCATCGTCAAGACGGGAGTCGCGAGGCGTCATGTTTTGTCTGCCCTCTTCGGTTTCCATGGAAATCAATGATGGCGGCAAAGAGAAGATGCCCATCTGCTCGCCCCAAATCAGAAGTCTCGCTTGCTCGATACCGAGCTGGGCAAGGTAAACCTTTTCATCCTTGAAGTCGTTGAGCGAGCTGTGGATGTTGTCGAACGACTTCAGAGTGTTGTAGAACAAGCTTGCCAGCACAAGCACGTTCAAGAATTCTGCTTCTCCGTCAAGGCCCATGATTCTGTGTTGTATGGTTTATTTGGTGTGAAGGTGGAAGTGTGTTTTCGGAGGATATGGATATGTAAGATGGCAACTTCTATCTCACTCTTCAACTCTTATCAGAAAACCACCAGTATGACATAGATACTCTCCCCACAACGTTGAGCAAGAAAAAAAACTCGCCATCATCGCCTCGAGGTTGAATCATATCAACTTGCTGCAACAAAGGCCAATACTCGGTCGAATTGCGAGTATCGGTCCTAATACATACGACCACCGGGGTTTCTTTTTGAAGAGGACGGACAGGGCCGACAAAAGATGGCATTGAAACCTTTGACTTACCTCTCATATACCAGCGACTTACATCGAGTTCGTTGTAGCATTCCGAATACAAGCAATATAGTTGTTCTTGTGGTTTGGTCTTCTGGAGATGTCTCGCCGAAGTGATGGAGGTGGTTGGAAAATCTGGAAGATGACGTCCGACGATCTTGGCAGAATCCGAAAACCCAACCCTTCAGGAACGGAGTGCCGCCGAGAGACAACATCTTGCGTCATAATTCGTTCCAGTGCATGTGAATGTTGGAGGTTCCATCTGCTAGGAGCCAGCTCATCGTTGGGTGGTTGGGTAATCAAGCTCGAGTATGTTGGGCCTCGTCCAAATTGTGGTTTGGGAAGATTTATGTTTGATATTCATCTCGCTTCACGAGCTTGGTGATTTGAGAAAAACATTGACCAGAAGGTAAGGTACTGCGGAACAGGTCGGCTATAACAAGACGTAGCTCCATCGCCTAGGGTTTTGACCTTCTCAGTGTCGATAACATGCATCTCGAACCACACCTCTCTGCATTGCCCGTCGGCTGTGTAGATGAACATGCAGATGATCGTGTTCCTCTATCTTCCATGACGATGCGGTTAGTCAACCAAGCATAGTTTTCGGTGAATCCATCATCAAGTACAGGCCCCTCTCCAGAGGACCAACACAGAGAATATCGAAATTTTCGGACAACCCTTCGAGAGTCAGTGTCTGGACCATGCAGATGCCCTGGGAGTGTGCGACGGGGACAGTCTCGGAACGATCACGGATGTCGCACACAGTTCTATCCAATTGACGAGCATCGGCTTCGGTAGGCCGAGGCTCTGTATACGGCGAGCCAGCACACCAAGCCTGGCTATGATTGCGTTCCAGACTTGGATCGAAAAGTGCGAGCTCTATGGAGGGGTCTTGACGGCTACACATACCTCTGACTGCGACTGTCCAGCTCAGGATATATCTGAACATGTATGCAGGAACACCTCGCGGCTACGTCTGCCGTTTTCATGTGGAGGCATATGATCTTTGTTTGTTGTGTCGAAATTGGATACCACGAAGACGTGTTCTACCAGATACCACGAAGACAGAGATGAAAGTGTCGAGCTGTCCAACATATCCGCGTGTTGCTATCAAATTGGACACGACAAAGACGTGAATCCGCTGGCGGCTGGGAGAAGTGCAGAGTCGATGATAGGAGTGAAGGGTGATGAGGTGAGTGGAGAGTCGATGAGGTGAGTGAAGGGTTGACGAAACAGGAAGTTGATGAGCAATAAAACAGAGATGGGAGCTTTGAGCTCTCTGACGCATCCGTCTGTTCACTATTTGCAGCTGGCGATTGCAGTTCACATACGCCACAGAACTCAGGAAGATCGCTCAGACTCTAACCATTACACACCACAATACACCACACTTACAAAGATGGCAAACCTCATCAAGATCGACTGGAAATACCGATTCAACGCCGTCGTCGAACTCTTCGACATGGAGAGTCTCGCCATATGCCAATTGGAATTGCGCGCACTCCTCGCCTACCCCCATCTCCCGCGCTACTACAGAATCAGATGCCTCATTCTCCTAGCTCAGTGTGAGGATGATTGGTACAAGTCGAAGGTAACACACTGCAAAAGTCCAAACGCTGCGACGCATGCTAACATTGCCAAAGTATTATCAGCACTGCGTCGAGGCCATCTGGGACCAAACGAACAAAATGTGGTCATCGCAGAGTACAGACGACAACGGTGTCGTGAGCCGCCTTCGGGCTATGCTGGACTCACTCGAAGAAGAAATGGTCGCAGACCGTCCCGAGGAGGAGTTTCAAGATTTTCTACAGAGGCAAAGACATAAATTCCATCCCTCTAATTGTCCGGCAGCCGGGATAAGCAAGCAGAAGTGATCTCAGTCTTTGGTGGAAACCTCACATGTCAGCATCTTAGATCATCAAAATATCAATTTTGATCAGCAGCAGTCAGGCCTCACTAGCTAAAGGTCCTTTACTCATATTTCTGTGCTGTTGTGGTTGAGAACCAGGCGGGCAAAATTGATGACAGGGTCCTACTCCCAGCTTTAACTCAACAAAATTTCCGACAGGCACCCACCTACCTTACAATGTAAGTTCCACAGGCTGTCACCGCGTGTTATTCTACCAACCATCCCAAAGAGACCTGTGCTAACTGTATACCATGAAGCCGCCAAATTTCCGCTTTCATACACACCCAAAAGCGCAATCCCGCCACCTACTCGAACCATATGAGTGTGAGTTGTAAAGTTGTGAAGATGTCATTCGTGCATTCATAAACTAGCTATATACATAATGCTCATGTCGCTTTAGTTCTTGTAGTACTCCTCGTGAGTTCCAGCCCTGGGAGCACCGTTGTTGGGGTTTACGCTTGACTTGACCTTGACAGGGACCTGTCCGTTGGCATACTTGTTCTTGTCCTCCGTGGCGAAGCCATTGTGAGTGCCGTTAAAAGACATTGATTTTATGCTCTCATAACCCTTGACGCCGGTAGCCTTCTCAAGACGGCTGGCAAAGTCCTCGGAAACGTGACGGAAGATGGTGATCTGGCGCTTGATGATTTCCTCCTTAGTGCAGGTACTCATATGGCCAGAGATGTTCTTGACGAGACGCTCTCGGGCACCCTCGTCAAAGACCTTCTCCCACAAGGCGCGGGGAGCGTTGAAGTCCTCCTCGCGGATCTCAGACAAAAAGGTGACAGCCTTTCCTGCAAAGTGACCGTGAGTCCTGTCGAGGTCGAGAGTACGCTCACGGAATTGAGTGGGCTGGATAGAGGAAAGGTAGGCAGGACGAGAGCCCTGGTTGTAGAAGGCCATGCTTCCATCACGCTGGAAGTTGCCGATTCTGTAAGGGGTGCGAGGAGCATTGACGGGCAATTGCTGGTAGTTGACGCCGATGCGGTGACGGTGAGTGTCAGGGTATGAGAACAGACGAGACTGGAGGACGGGGTCGGCCGAAGGCTCGATACCGGGAGGGTTATGGGCAGGGTTGAAAGCGATCTGCTCGATCTCGGCAAAGTAGTTCTTGACGTTCTCATTCAAGAAGAACTCTCCGACCTTGCGGAGAGGGAACTGGCCCTGGGGCCAGACGTGGGTGAGATCGAAGACGTTGATCTTCTGATTCTCCCAAAGGTCCTCGGCTTCCTTGGGAGTCATGGTCTGGACCTTGACGTCCCAACCAGGGAAGTCGCCGTTCTTAATAGCGTTGTACAGATCCTTCTGATGAGCATCAGGAGAGTAGTTGTTAGAGTCTTCCTGAGTAATGAAGCCTGTACCCTGCTTCGACTTGAAGTGAATCTGGGCGTAGACCCACTCGCCCTTCTTGTTGACGAGCTTGGTTGTGTGTCCATAGTAACCGTGCATCTTGCGCCAGTTCTCAGGAATACCACGGTCTCCCATAAGGATCATAACTTGGTGAACCGATTCGGGGTTCTGAGACAAATAGTCCCAGAACATGGTAGAGTCATCGGCATGAGTAAGATGAGTAGCGGGATCGCGTTTTTGGGTGTGTATGAAAAGCGGAAATTTGGCGGCTTCATGGTATACAGTTAGCACAGGTCTCTTTGGGATGGTTGGTAGAATAACACAAAGTCATGACAGACGCCAGGATCCACTTTGGAGTAGATTTTGGTGCCAAGACACCACCTAATGACTGTCGACTCGTGCTATTGTAGAGGCGTGACTTACGATCTCTCAAGAAGAAGACGGGGGTGTTGTTGGCGACAACATCCCAGTTGCCTTCGTCAGTGCGGAACTTGACTGAGAAACCACGAGGGTCTCTGGCACAGTCGTGCGAGCCAGACTCGCCACCAACAGTGGAGAATCTAACCGAGATAGGGCACTCCTTGCCAGCCTGGAAGATGTCGGCCATACAGAGGTCATCGAGAGGGTCGGTGGTGCGGTAGAAACCGTGGGCACCACCACCCTTGGCGTGGACGACACGCTCGGGGATACGCTCTCTGTCGAAGTGAGAGAGGAGATCTACCAAGTGGAAGTCCTGGAGGAGAAGGGGGCCGTTCTCGCCAACACGCTGGACCTCATAGGGGTGAGGCATGGGGACACCGTTGCTGGTTGTGTAGAGAGTGTCCTGGCCTTGGGCGTTGCGGTCATCATTGTAGTCGCGGTGGAGATCACCGTTCTGCTTGCCATCAGGGGCGTGTGTAGTTGCTGAAGGTGCCATGTTGTGAGGTTGTATGTGATGGTTAGAATGGCAAAAAGCAAGAGCGTAGAAGCTGACTATATGTATTCGCTCTTTCCCGCCTTCCACTGCTTGAGGCTAGCAGCTTGCACTGAAACTCTGGCACTCATGACGTAGTGAATCGGTGTAAACCGCTCGAACGTGAGGCTGACCAATTACATCGCCTGCGTTGTAATAGAGTTCAGATTGACATCAATCCCGCCAGATCTTGCCAATATTTGACAATCGCGTAGCGATATTTGAACTCGACGAACTCGATGCTTCCAACAATAACAACGTCAATGACAGCGACAGAAGCTCAATACAGACCATCTGTAAAACGACCCCATGCCTTGGTACAAGACTCCCTGTCTCTTAGGCCAATACAGCATGAGATGATCAATCTGAGGGAATAGTAATTCGAATGGCAACTGCCGTCTGATAAAGCACTCTACAAGCAATCTCCCCGGAGGAACGCTCATTCTTCACGATCATCGACTTTACGGTGCCAATCTGTAAGTACCACCCACTTTCCGACCACCTCGCCTCCGCCCGCAGGGTTCATGGCAAACTCCGTCTGCGAACAACGTCTGTTTTCTCATCTCCGTGACACGGTTTGAGCAGCCCGTAGCACAGCGGCGACTGCCGTAAAGCGGCGGCCTCGACGGAGGCAACAACTGCCGTTTCTCAGGCAAACCGATCGATTTGGCACAAGCACATCGAGCCTGTCCACGACCTAGCGCTTCGACCCGAGATCATGGCCAACTTCGCTCACAACTCACAAGCACATCACCCACGTATGTCAGAGTTCTGACGGCACAAGCTCCGGCTGCAATAGCCTGTGCTCAATTGCGTAGACACCTAATTTGACACGGACAGTGTTTGTTCGTTGCTCATCTGTGAAATGTCTATCGGAGATATTCTTTGTTGAACGCTCTTCCAATGACCATTCTTCTGATCTCACTGGTTCCAGCTCCGATTTCATACAGCTTCGCATCTCGCATGATCCTGCCCGCAGCAATCTCGCTCATGTAACCCATACCACCCATGCACTGGATTGCGTCCATGCCACACTCGGTCGCTCTCTCTGCAGCGTAGAGGATAGCACCCGCGCAGTCTTGAGTCTTGATCTGAGCGTTATCCGGATCATTGTCGATTGCAGCAGCCACCGAGTATGTGAAGGCTGACGATGCCATGTACTTTGTGTACATGTCTGCGAGCTTTCCATGCATGAACTGGTTTGTTGCAATTGGTTGGCCGAATTGCTTGCGTTCGTGAGTGTATGGTAGAGTCACGTCCAGGGCTGCCTTCATCAGTCCGAGTGGGCCTGCACTCAAAACCAATCTCTCCAGATCAAGACCCTCCATGAGTACTCGGACGCCTTTGTTGACTTCACCAAGAATGTTTTCGGTGGGGACGAACACATCCTCGAGTACGATCTCACCAGTGTTTGATCCTCTCATACCAAGTTTGTCGAGTTTCCGAGCGCACGAGAAACCCTTGGCTGTGGTATCCACAATGAAGGCAGTGATACCTTTCGAGCCAGCGTCCGGTGCTGTCTTTGCATACACAACCATTGTGTCTGCGTCGGGACCCTAAGAAGTGTCAGATCTCGTGTTGAACTGGATGGATAGATCAACTTACATTCGTGATCCAAAACTTTGTGCCATTCAAGACATAGCCGCCATCAACCTCTTTGGCTGTGGTCTTCATACTGACAACATCACTTCCGGCCGAAACTTCAGACATTGCCAACGCGCCGACCTTTTTGCCTGCAATCAGATCTGGTAGAAATCTTTGCTTCTGGTCCTGATTACCATTTAGCATCAGTTGGTTCACGCACAGCTGCGAGTGAGCGGCGTATGAGAGTCCGATGCTGCCTAGATGTTGTGAGCAATATGGTGTGGTACAGAGAGTAAATAAAGTTACCTGATGCTCTAGACAGCTCTTCCATGACAGTGCAATGTGCTTGGTAGCCCATGGCAAGACCGCCATAATCCTCGTCAGCGGTGATTCCAAGCAAGCTATGACCAGTCAGTATAAACAGATCAAGTATAGTCTTCAGTCATCAATACCCAGCTTCGCCCATCTTCAGCCACATTTCATTTGGGAACTCATTATCGTGGTCTGTCTTTACAGCAACATCTTCTGGAATCTCACGAACTACAAGACAAGATCAGAACAAGTACAGAGTCGCGAGGTAGAGATTTACATACGAGCGAACTCTCTGGTCCTCTCACGTAGTTCTTCTAGATCTTCTCGTGCAGGTGGGGCGTAGCCATTCGGGTGCTTTCTGGCAAGACATGACGGAGAGGTCGACAGCGTTCGATGTTGTAGCCTGGAAGATCGGGCAAGCGCTCTGAGGACGGGTCTCGAAGACATGATGGTAGATACGATACGTATACTCTGATCGAGCAAGTGAGGCGTGCGTGGGGTGTTATTGCGGAGGAGAGGGACTCGACCGAGGGCAAGAATTCGCGGGAGTCGTTCCGCGCCCTGCACGCCCTGTGTTGGTTTGATGCGGGGCGAGGGAGCAGCCGAGGGGGGGACGGAGTCTGGGGTCCAGCACCTTGATAATCTACCTGCCTCCAACCTTCGTCGAATCATGCAGCTATATACACAATGATTGCTCCTGCGCCGGCCCGCTGGCTGCGCGCCTCGACCCTTCGATCAGCCGTAATTCGTCCCCACCCTCGACCTCGACCTTGTCTTCATACACCATCTACAGCTTCAGCATGCCTTGGAACCAGGACGGCAGCGACATATACCTCTCGTCATCAGGCCGCTCAAATCTCAGTCTTGCAAACAGCTATTGACACAAATTCGACAAGCTATGTTGACAACAAAAAGTCAATGCAAGAGCTGCTCGACAGCTTTACCACTCTGCACCGTAATGCCGCCCTAGGAGGCCCCGAAAAGGCACGTGAGAAGCATGTCGCTCGAGGAAAGATGCTTGTGCGAGAGTGAGTCAGTCCTGCCATGATCAACTCGTACAGTAGTTGACTCCACCTAGTCGCATTACCGCCCTGGTTGATCCAGGCACTTCATTCCTCGAACTATCAGCTCTGGCCGGCCATGAGGTATATCCTGGAGAAGATGTGGCTGCTGGAGGTATCGTCACAGGCATTGGTACAGTCGAAGGCACAATGTGTATGATCGTTGCCAATGACAGCACGTAAGTCTCGACACAAAACATCCACATCACATACTGACAGCAACAGCGTCAAGGGTGGCACGTACTACCCCATCACCGTCAAGAAGCATCTCCGAGCACAAGAGATTGCCCAACAAAACCGCCTACCCTGCATCTACCTCGTCGACAGCGGTGGTGCCAACCTCCCTCACCAAGCAGACGTCTTCCCCGATCGCGACCACTTCGGACGCATCTTCTACAACCAGGCCCAAATGTCTTCAATGGGCATCCCCCAACTCTCCGTCGTCATGGGTCCCTGTACTGCCGGAGGAGCATATGTTCCTTCTATGAGTGATGAAAGCATCATCGTCCAAGAACAAGGCCACATCTTCCTCGCCGGCCCACCCCTAGTCAAAGCAGCCACCGGTGAAGTTGTCAGTGCAGAAGACCTAGGCGGCGGCAAACTTCACAGCGAAACCAGCGGTGTGACAGACTACCTCGCCGTCGACGACGCTCACGCTCTGGTGCTGGCACGCCGCTGCGTTGCAAACCTCAACTACCCTGCCTCCTCTCCCAATCCTGAAACGTGGAAAGACCCCCTCTACGACCCTAACGAACTCGACGGCATCATGGGCACAAATTTGAAGACTCAAGTCGACGTGCATGAAGTAATCGCTCGCATCGTCGACGGCAGCGAGTTTGCTGAATTCAAACCTCTATACGGCAGCACTCTAGTCACAGGCTTCGGACGCATTCAAGGCCATCAAGTGGGCTTTGTCGCCAACAATGGTATTCTCTTCTCAGAATCTTCGCTGAAGGGTGCTCATTTCGTGCAACTCTGCAACAAACGACGTATCCCTCTGGTATTTCTGCAGAACATCTCTGGATTTATGGTCGGCAAGGATGCAGAAAAAGGCGGCATCGCGAAGAACGGAGCTAAACTCGTGACTGCTGTCGCCTGCGCCGATGTACCCAAATTCACAGTCGTGTTTGGTAGCTCAGCTGGTGCAGGAAACTATGGCATGTGGTGAGTTGACACTTCCCTTTTCCTCAACCCCCTTCTGTAATCAAGCTCGCTGACAAGCAACAGTGGTCGCGCATACTCTCCCCGCTTCCTCTGGGCCTGGCCAACAGCAAAAACCAGCGTCATGGGCGCTGAACAACTATCTTCAGTCATGGAAGCCGTGGGCAAGAAAGTAGATCCAAACTTGCGCGATCGTATTGAGCGTGAGAGCGAGTCTACGTTTGCGACTGCCAGGCTTTGGGATGATGGCATTATTCCTCCATCGCATACGAGGAGAGTGTTGGCTTTGGGGTTGCAGGCTGCCATGTCTGGGAGTGTGGAGGATAGAAAGACTGAGTGGGGTGTGTTTAGGATGTAAGAGTGTTGGTTCTATCCAGCGTTCGATTGTCTGTAGCAAAATACTTGGCCTATCTCAATCGATTTACTTGAGTCTACAGCATATCTGCTCTACACTTGCACGCGAGAAGAAGATTTCTTCATACATATCGCAAAATCAATGTGATTACTTAGCTATGTTTGTGTTGAAGAAACTAAAGTTCATCGTGAGCAGCCTGCTCCTCAGTCTCAATGGGCTTCAAGTTGTGAGCCTTCATCAGAGCTTCGTACTGCTCATCATCCAACTCCTCCATGGTCATCTGAACCTTCTCCTCTGGCTTCTCAGCAACAGGTGGAGTTTGCTTCTCAGCAGCTTCAACAATGACACTCTCTGACAACTTCTCCTTCTTGCCCTCGCCCATGCGGATCGAGTCCACCCAATCATCGATGGCATTGTGGCTTACATCAGAAATGCCCGAGTAGCGCTTAACCCATGCCTTTTTGGCGTTGACGGCGACAATCTCGAGAGAGTCATCGCTGAAACCCAAGGCTGTGCGCAGTTCGGAAGATGCGGATGCAGGGACGTTGTAGAACGGGAAGAGCTTGGCTCCACGCTTGGTGTGCTTGTGGTGAATCTCGGAGAGAGCACTGGCAGCCTTGGAGACGGGTGAGTCTGTGGTTTGAATAAAGGCAGATGGCGCAAGAAGCAAAATGCAGACACCAGACTTGGATGTCAAGCAGTTTTGCTGCAGAGACTCTGTGGTATCAAGTGTGGTGATCTGAGGAGCCGCTTCGGGAACCTGGATAGGCTTCTGAGTGTCATCGGTGGCAACTTGAGGGTTGGGGCTCTCGGTGGGGTTGCTGTTTTCTTCGAGAGTCTCTGCGGTCTGCGAAGCCTTGATACTGGCAGATTCGTCGGAGCGGTGGGAAGAGGATGCCTTTGAAAACTTAGATGAAGCCTTCGAGGACTGTTTGGCGTCCTTTGAAGATGACTTTGACTTCGACTTGGAAGATGCAGGAGCAGGATCGGGGTTTGGCGTAGCAGCCTGCGACAGGAAGTCTACGATAGCAGCCTTTTTCATCTCGCCGGAGTAGACAACAGGATCCTTAGTACCGCCTGGAAGGAGCACAAGAGCGGGATACGAGGTGACACCGAAGGTAGAGACGGCAGCGGCTTCCTTGCTCCTGATTTGAGCGACCGAGATAGATCCCAAGAAGTCGATGGCGACGGCCTTGAGGAGGGCACTGGTGACTCCCTTCTCGCTGAACAGAATGGCCTTAGCCGAAGAGTTGTTCTCGGTCAGCCAGCTATCGAGATCCTTGTCTGTCACTCTCTTGACATGGCTAGGGATCTTGTCCTTGACAGACTCGACGATTCCCTTTGCAGTTCTAGGGCCCTGGTAGTCTTCGACTGTGGGTCTTCCGGCCTTCTTGCCAGGACGGACAATCTTCAAGGTAGGGAAGCCCTTGACATCCATGCTGCCACAGAAAGCCTTGTTCTCTTCTTCATCGCAATTGACAGCAGCGACTTTGGCAACGCCATCAAGAGATTTGGCAGCTTTCTCGTAGGCAGGTTTGAGGCTCTGGCAGTGACCACACCAAGGAGCGTAGAACCTGGAGAAAACATGAGATAAATTGATACAACTGTTTGACAACCACAACTCACTCGACGATCTATAATCCTATCAGTAAGATGATACATATAGTTTTTATTGGAAACCACTTACAGAGGTGTGGTTTGAGTTGGCGATCAGCGAACGGTAGCTTCTAGCATCGAGGTTGAGAACGCCTGAGTTCTTGGTGTAGAGGCCGGCAGCTTGGGAAGAGGGGAGCAACAGCAGACCAGCTGCAGCCACAGTCAAGGATTGGAGGTTCACCATGATGGCGTGTTGTCAGTTGACAGAGTCAATCAAGAGACAGGAAGACAGTGTCTATCCAAGGCAACTTGTCCTTTGGCATTTAAGTGAGGCAGGCACCTTGAGAACATGTGGCTCGAGCACCACCGAGACCGAGGCTTCCCCGCGTGATCTCGCGCCTGAGGCAGCCACATTCAGGTAACGCTGATCGCTTTCGAAGCTACCTGCATCTGACCATCGCACCTTCTTCGTTACAGACAAATCGCGACAAGATGGCCGCCTCTCTCCCAGCCAAGCTGAAGATCAAGGACATCACGCCCTTTGCAGTGCGCGCCTCGCAACTAGAGAAACACAAACCCATCGTCTCATATTGGTGCAACTACTACATCATCGACCAGATCCTCTCCAAGGGCCTGCACTCGGCCGACGATGAGTGCATGCAATACACGACTACTTTGATGGACAAGCTGGAGCAGACCAAGACCGAGCAAGCAGGCAACGATGCTATCCTAGACGATATCGCAGCAAAGGCATACATTGAGCAGTTCGCTCTCGATACGTTCCAACGCGCCGATGATGCCATCCACAACAACCAAGCCTCACGCCAAACCATCGACACCTTCCAGGCTGCCGTCACCTTCTTTGAACTTCTGTCCATGTCCATCTGGGCCCCTATCGATCCGGACATCACAGCAAAGTCCAAGTACGCAAAGTTCCACGCCGTCCGCATCGCCAAAGCCATCAAGGCCGGCGAAGATCCCAACGATTCGAATCCTGTCAAGGAGGAGCCTTTGGAAGATACTACTTCAAGCACATACCATCCTCCTACCGTCGAGAGTGCTCCCGAAAGTCAGTATCCTTCACGTCCAGCCTCAGTCATCCAACCTGGTCCTGTTGTTTCACCGCCCGCTCAAGATGCTGTATCGCCTGTCGAGACTGCCACAAATCCGCGCCAGAACTCTATTGGCGGTGGCTACTTCCCTTCTACTCCCACTTTCACTTCGGACCCTGCTGGAACCGCCGCGCCTTCCACCGATCCAGCAACCCCCTCTGTGCCTTCCGCTCCGCCACCGGCTGTAGCTGTGGATGCACCCATGTCGCCTTCGCAATTTTACACACAGCCTACACAACCGCCGACTTCGATACCCATGCACACCCCTGCCATCGTTCCGCCACCGGTGCCGGCTCCAGTGCCTCTTCCACCTGTGCAGGCCGTGGCTCCAGGTACATACCGAACCGACGACGATTCAGTCATGCTGGCTCAGAAGCATGCCAAATGGGCCATGTCAGCCCTCAACTTCGAGGATGTCGATACTGCTGTCAAGGAGTTGAGGTTGGCCCTTCAGACATTGGGCGCAAGCTAGCTGTAACAAGCACGCCTAGATACTGCCTTCGTTCCGCGCTAAGCCAAGCCGCATGCCAGTCGCCGTTTCTTGAAGAAGCCTCCTCTCTGATCGTTGTCACAACTATACAAGACCACGAGATCGTATTTTTCGAGACTGTCTTCGCCCCTTTCACCAACGCTCCCGGTATTGGCAGCTGTTCCTCGCTCTTGGATTCTAGCACATACTGTTTTATCGCACAGATACCCATTCTTGTTTACTTAGTTCCTGTGCCACACTGCTCGTGGTCTGATCCCAATGTATTATGCTGGGTTCTTCCGCATTCTACAACCTCACAAAATACCTGGTCACAGTCTATGCGATTGCATTGTCCGACACATGATCCTGGACTCCAGCGATCGAGTGTCTGGAATCTGACAGCTTTGGTAGCACAGACATGAGAAATAAAGTTAACCACTTCTTCATCAAACCGGCGAGATGGCCGAGCGGTCTAAGGCGCCAGCTTAAGGTTATTCCAATACGCTGGTCCGAAAGGGCGTGGGTTCAAATCCCACTCTCGTCAATATCCTTTTGCTCGTGCAGTGGATTTCGTTGTTAGAGAAGAAAGGTGGCGGAACGGGTCGAAAATCAATTTTTTGCAATTTTGGACATTGGATTTGTGCTTGACCTTTCTTTGTGCGCGAAGCCTGGCTAGACGGAAAAGTCTCGGCGGGCTTTATGTGTGTGCACAAACAAGAGCATAAAGGTAGGACATACTCTCGCACCTGTTATGTTCATATGAAGATGTATAGTAAAACGAGGTCTTCAATAGCTGAACTCAAGTACTTTGCAGTTCTAACATCTCAATGAAAAACAGGTATCCCATAGATATCAAATTACACACAACTGTAGCATCTGCTGGTGAGAACCTTGTGAACTTGGGATGACAAACGAGGACGAAGTAAATAACAACAAAAGATATATCCAAACAAACATCTTATCAGACACACCGTCTTCTTTTCCCCTTCTTCCAATTCGAGCCCACGTTAATTCGAAACAGTCTGCGACCACCAACCCAGCGTCCTAACCTTCGAAGCAGCCACCTCAGCCGCATCAGAAACCTTACTCTTCTCCCTCGCTCTGGAAGCAGACGACTGGTAAAATCTCTTCCTTCCATCGACGATATCATCCCCTCCAGATCCTACTTCTTTCCTGGTCGGCATCGTCGTAAGCATCACTGCTGCTTTATTTCCACTTGCATCCATCGGGTCCACGCCAGCAATCGCCGCATCAGCGCCGGGAAGACTGATGCGACATGCACTCAGCGTCTGCTGTATATCCTCAAACAACAAATGCATAGCGCAAATATACGTCAACCCCGTTCGTTCGGCAAGAACGTGTCCAGCGACTTGTCCAGTAACATTACTCACGATCCACGCACCCGAGTCCCCGCCAATGCCAAAGTCACCCACTACCGTCCAGCTCAGTGAAAAGTTTCTTCGTCCTTTGATCTTGACGAACGATTGTGCGGCACTGATGATACCGGTTTTGAGACCAGAGGTGCGGCCGAGACAGTGTACGGAGAGGTTTGCGAGTTGGGAGCAGGGGATGATGGAGGTGGGGTACCAGTCTTCGTCTGCGGAGTAGAGGTTGTTGCGTCTAGACACAGGAGGCTTGAGGTCAGGGATGAACGACACGGGAGACTTGCAATGGCGGCGTCCTCCTTGGATGAGGTTGTAGGGTTGAAGACGAGGGGGGTCGAGTTCCAAGAGCGCCCAGTCAATCTCGTATCGTTTGCCTCCTTCGTTCCAGCGACGCAGGCCTGAGGACGCGTAGACCTTGCCGAGTTTGTAGGAGGAGAGATGGTCTTCGTCCAGTTCTTCTGTGGTTGCGTCGTCGGCGTGGAGGTCTTCGGCCACGGCGTCGCCAAAGGCTGGTTGGGTCACTTGTACGGTTCTGGAGGATAACGCTGTGATGCCTGGTCTGTCGCCTGCATCCTCGTCTTCGGAGACGTCGCTTTCAAAGTCTGAAGATTCGTAGCCGTCGTTGTCAGAATCTGTGCTCGAGACCGACGATAGGTCACTCATGTAATCATGGTACTGGCTGGTTTTTGTCACGAGTCGTGGAACGGATGGTCCCGAAGCTCTTGCACTGGATCGTTGGGCACCATGACCAGCTTGTTTCTCCATGTCTGACTCCGAGTCGCCCGAGTCTTCTTCATCGGTCGGAGGCTCGAGCATGTGATGCACGCTCATGCCATATTCTCTGTCGTCCACTTTGATTACACCGCCGAACGATACCGGCTCAAGATGACCGTGATCAGGTAGATATGCACCAATGGATGCACCACAAAGAGGACGTTCTTGCCAGAAAGGGTTCATTGGAGTTACGTTACTACATACAATTCGTCAGCCTCAAGCATGACATGACAGGAGTCTTGAGTTTTATTCATTCTGTAAAGAAATTGGGTATCATAAAGAAAAACATTTGGGTATCGAGCGTAGAAAGAAGAACGCCCATGAGTAATAAATGAACCAAGAAAAAGAGAGAATGAGAATCATGATGTGTACCTTTCGCTTTCATCACCTCTTGCGTGACTTCGTTTCGCAGTGTCACCTTTGCCGCAGAGCCTTGACTTCCCTCTCGACAGGTTCACACAGCCTTGTCGGACCTTGAGATCGAACATGGTCCGATCATAGTGGAACTTGCGTTTGAGTGCGGCTTTAACTCTTGCCGTGTTCGTGCAAGTCACAACGATGGTGGGCCTTGCGGTAAAGGCGTCATGGCCAACACTAACGAGATCGATGCTTGAGGATTCGGTGGAACCTTTCAATGCTCGCTCAATGATACAAGAGAGACGGAAGCCAATGTCTGAATGCCATTCATCCACAATAGTCTGTGGCAGTGAACAAGGGAACAGACGACACTTGCTTGTAGGGGCAGCTGCTCGCTGGTCGATTCGCGACTGTAGAGGTTGGGCTTCCTCATGAACATTACCACGCATCTCGGCTTTCCTCGCACGCCATCGAGACTGTATGAGAACGACTTTGCGACGGTAGTCACGGAACGAGAAAGAGAAAGGATCCGAACCAGGCCCTGACTGTGTACTCGTCACGGGAATAGAACGACCAAGGTCAGGCATCGGACTGGGAGTTGAGACTTGGGTCGGAGGTTGAGATACGTGCTTGAGCGAATCTGCGCTTGTCGAATTGGACCGATTCGACTTGGCACCCAACATCGAAAGGATAGGTGAATGTGGTCCAACAGAACTTGAGATGGCAGATGGGTATGATGCCACTGAGACCTTCTCAGAAGCTTTGAGGTCAAGAGACTCTGTAACGAGACGTGCAGGTGAGATGATGAGGCGCTGCTTTTTTGCGGGTTGCAAATCTCCCGTGCTGCCTTGAGCCTGCAAGAACTCGGCCGGGATCTGAGTAATCTCCAAAGGTTCTGTCTCGTCTAGCAAAACACAACGCTGGAGCTTGACGAGAATGCTGTCGTAGACGGCTTCTACACCGACATGCCCGACGTCATCGTTATCAGCCCACCGCAAGCAAGTCTGTACTGCACGCATGTAAAGTGAGCCGCATTTGCTTGCAAGCTTTGGTATGTAGAGCTTCTCCAACCTGAGCTTGAAATCTTTCAACGTGTACTTTTCCTTAAAATAGTCGTTGACAGGATTCCAGAGGCCGATCTCCAGAAGGACGAGACCAATCTGGTACAGGTCATACCTAATGGCCGTAACGTCGTCGATCTCACCTCCGGTGTCTTCTGGATGCTTTGTGATGTTGGAGATTGGTGAAGAATCTCCATACTCGATTCTGTTCCTGGAAAACATGTCGAATGATGAGATGACAGGTCGATGTAGCTCACTTTTTCGTGGCTGTGGAGAATGGCCTTGTTGTAGAAACACGATGCTTTCGCTGTGTATGTTACCATGGAAATAGTTCTCTGCGTGCAAGTCTCTCAGTTTCTCGACAAGACGCAATGCTATGCGAAATCTGTCTTCCAGGAATGGTGTAGCATTCGAGACGTCGACAGGTCTCTTGGCTTGTGTTGCAGTTAACATGAGACCCATGAGAGTAACTGGACGAATTTCTCCAGATTGGTGTGGCTGCACGTTGCGATAGTCGTATACCAGTCCTATGCGAGGTTGGTGAGGATCTTCCACATAACCAAGCAGCCTAAGGTTGCCTCTGTTGGACAGCATGTTTAGAGAGGAAGCCAGCTTCTCTACTCTTGTAAGTGGCGGCGACACACCAGTATCGCGATACAGCGGATCGTAATTCTCGAACTCGACCATAACCCAGACGTACTCGTCTGTAACGTCTCTGAATACGTTACGAACGCTCTCGGGGGCTAGCGATTTACTCAACCGGCCCATCATTCTAGCTGGTGAAGGAACACCTAAGTATTCGTAGGGAGGTGGTCCTTCTGCTGGTAGCATCAAAGCCTGTGGACTAATGCTTGCTGGTAGTCCGGCGTAGGGCGATAGAGCGGGTCGTGCAAATTGCGTGTTGACTAGAGTCTTCTCCGAAGAAGCGAAACTAGCGGCATCGAACGGAGTCTTTAGGTTATAGAAACCATGTTTGGCAAAATCAGGCGGATTGTCGCTCAACTTGGGATACGTGCCTCTGGCGATGGCCCTGCGAGAGGCCGAAAGGTCGTAGAGGACATCAACGGATGAAGTCAGATCGCGTAGGAGATCTTCGTATTTGTCTTGGTTAAAGACGACCTTGTCGGATGCAGGAGTATGTGACGAGAGTCTGTCGGCCTGTTCAAGGATATCCTTGATATTTCCTAGGATATTGGTCACGTTTTCGGTCAGGCCAGCTCGTTCGATAGACTCGTCGATGCTGTCGTTTGTTTCCTCGGCCCATTCCAAACCCCAAGTTACCAGGCGGTCGGTCTGTGCATGAAGCTTGCGATGGAGTCTTGCAGAAGCAGGACTCGGCTCCTGCTTGTCTACATTGTTGGTGGCCTTCTTCTTGGTGTCGTTATAGAGAAGTGTGAGATTGTGATTGTATCGTAAAGAAGCCATGACGCTTGAGTGTTGTTATCAAATATTAAGGCGCAGAATCCATGTCGAGAAAAGTCTGCAGAGACTGACGGATGATTGTTGCATCTATCGGACTCGTATGTGGAAGGCAGCCATTTGAGAGAGGAAAAGAGGTTGCGGTCAAAAGCTGCTGCCTTGCGCCGTCGTGTGAGCGGAACGGTGAGAAGGCCCGCGTGGCTTCCCAAAGCCAAGCACCAAGCACACGTCGCAGTCGCAGTCGGTCGCAACTGCCTCGGCATGTCAAGCATCCGTCTACAACCATCAACGCCGCCTTTGCTGACTGCGACCGTCTCGTTGCAGCGCCACTCCAACATGCCACATTTCCCATCTGCCAGCCAAGCGACCGAAGGCCAAGAAAGCAATGTAGCGCGCTCTGTACGCATTCGTGTCAAGACTCGCAGACGGAGATATCTGGAACAGAATGGCGACTACTTTGACTCGCCCAGTCTGGAGCTTGCAGGTGCTGCCGCGCGGCGTGTCTACGACTGATACTCTCGATACCAACCCGTGCAACAGATCCCTTACTTTACGACCGAATGGTCAGGCGCTTCCAGAGCGCCGCGGAGCGTGAAGCCGATGGACGCGACAAAGGGTACTCGGGCATACTCGAGGCCGACTTGATGCGATCAGAAGCCAAGATTGAGGCTTTAAATCACCCAGACCCCAACAGCCCTCTGATCTACCGACGAGATGCATCAGGCGCAATCTCGGTCGTCGAACAAGATGAAGAAGATAGGCCAAAAACAAAAGAAGAGGGATTATCAAAGTGGCGTGAATACGTCGAGATGCGCTTCCTTCGAGGGGAAGACCAAGATTTCGATTACAAACTTGTCGACGAAGACGAACGCTACGACGATCTGGACTGGGATAGACGAGAAAGAGAAGAGAGCTACTTCGGGCAAGAGGAAGCCGAGTTTGTAGGCGAGGGCGAGAAAGAGGGAGAGACGGGAGTTCAAGACTATTGAGGATTGTGTCATGCTATGCGCATTTAATTCGTTATGAAAAGCTTCTATTGATGGTATGATTCGGACAATTGTGATTTGGTATATGGTACAGCGTGTGGAGGTGATTTGATGAGGCAGCGGGCGGAGGAGAGACGCTTAACCTCTGCTCTTGGTGTTGAGGATAAGGGCGACAATCAGGCTATGACACGGGTTAGCAGTGGAGAGTCGAATCGGACAAGGCTGGACGATACCCGTATAGACCCAAGACTTCGCCGAAAATGAGAATCAGGACCATGCCAACAAAGATTCGTGACTGCTGCATGTATGATCTGACACCCATATCGCCGACAATTCCGATAGCATATCCAGCAGCAAGACCAGTCAGGCCGACCGAAAGACCGCATGCCAGGTGCATGAAGCCAGTGAACAAGCTGTAGTGGGTGCCTGGGGGAGGGCGCATGTCACCGGCAATCAAGACGGCGACAACAAGGGCGTAGACGGCGATGATACCAGACATGACGACGGGGATGAGCGACTTCATGATCAGGTCGGATCTAAAGGTACCGACACCAGCGATACCGATACCAGACTTTGCTGTGCCAAACGCGGCTCCAACACCTTGAATCGAGAATCAGTATATCGAACAGACGTAATGAGGCTTGAGTACAACATACAGCCGAAGATCATCTGTTGAGCGGGAGGGTACATCAGTGGGCAGTTCGTGAGTCGATAGCGGAAAGGTAGCAGCTTACAGCGAAGGCAATACCAGCCTGTGAGAAGGTCAGCTACCATGTCTACTCGAGGCGAAGAGGCATATACACACCATGCCAAAGAATGGCGCAAAGGCAGGGGCGAGCTCGGAGTCGGACATGACGGGCGAGATATGAGACGACACCCTTTGCAAGACAGGTGAGAAAAGCGAGGACTAGGATCGGCTAGTCACGGTATGGCGAGCGGCGGTTGGGAGGGTCGTCGACGAAGAGTTGGCAGCAACCTTGAACTGCACTTGACCTCACGGCAGCAACGTCGGTCCGCCCGCGATGATGCACCGACTCGTCCCTTCCTCATGAAACGTTTCACGTGACTTGCTCACCTCGATTAGACATGTACTCGGACGATACTACCACTTTTCCAGACATGACACTTTAGACAGATACTCTCACATACGCTAGCTTTACAGAAGTTTCCGTTAGCATGCTGTCTGGTTATCTGGAGTGAAGAAAGGACAAGACTGATCTCAAAGACTCTCACACTAGGAGGAGACGCTCGCGCTCGGATTTCGCCGGGGCTGAAGAGTGGTAACACAGCAAGTCGAGCATAGCATAGACAAGCCTGCCGCCATCAAACCCGTTCTTCCCTCAAGCAACCTACAGCCCGTCGAGTACGAAGCCTCGGCCAAGCCTTTTCCTCATTGTCTCGATTGCGCACTTTTCCAGCCGTTCTGCCGTCCTTAGATCCGCCGTCTCACAAGGTCTTGACAGTCGGCACACGTGGACAAGAAGTTAGAGTTGAGCAGAGGGTCGAATAGGCCCTTCTACCGTGGGCCGCCTTGTTTCACACTCTGGCATCGGTACTGGCTCCACGACCTCCCTCGTCACTCGCTTGCGCAGTCGGCAGCCCTCTGCTCCCCACTCGGATGTATTAGATGCTAAGCCCTGCCGCTCACAATGGCCCAGTACTCGCAACAACAGGGCCGCTCCTCGTCGCAGCAGCGTGAAGCTGCCTATAACAACATCTTTGGTCCGCCTGCTGCTGCTCAGCAACAACAGGGCCGCTCGCAGACCATGCTCTCCCAGCCCATGAGACCCCCCACCGAACGCGCCGCCACCATGTCGTCGCAGATGTCCGATTACATGCAACGAGCCCCTCCCATGCGAGCATATCCCCCGCCGCAGAGCAACCCTCGTCCTGCTCCTCATCATCAAGGATCCTACAACTCTCCATCTCCTCCTATCCAGAACGGCGACTATCACCACCCCTCACAACCGCAACATCACCAGCAGCAGCAGCCACCACCACAACAATATCCCAGTTCTCCCCAGCCCCACCGCCAGCCTCAACCCCAGTACCTACCTCAGCCCCTCCGTCCCGATCGCCGCCCATATGCTGCTCCCCAGCGCCTCGATCCGCGTGGTCCGCCGCCTTCGCAGCCTTATGCCCGCACTTACACTGGCGGACCCGCCATGGCCCCTGGTCCTGCGCCTGCCCTCAATTCCGACAGCTACCGCTCACAATCCATGGCCGCAACCTCTCGGCCTAATTTCCCTGTGCAGCATAGTCAGAGCAGCTACAACATAGCTCCTGCACATGCTTTCCGTCAGCAACCATACATGAGCAATCATCTGGCAAGGACTACTGCTCAAGGAAGAGTCGTACCTGACCGTCCCGCTGATGAGCGAACCATGTCCATGTCTTCGTATTCACGCGATCAAGACCACAGTCAGATCATGAGTGGTCGCGTCATACCTCAGCGCAAACGTGGTGACTCCGAGGTGAGTCAGCAACAGGATCCTTTCGCCGTCGCCGCCGCCAAGGGTAGAACTCCTAGCCAGGGTAGCATTCAATCGCGCTCCATGTCTATGGCATCCACTATCGCTCCCTCGGAATATACAGAGACTACTGCTGGCGCCGCTCAGTCTCCACGACCCTCCATAACCGCTTCGTCCACCCGTTCCAACAGCCAAATCCAACAAGGCAACGGACAGATGATAGCTCAAAGACGTCCGTCCCTCGTTTATGGCGCTCTTCTTTCCAAGGTCGCCGCCGCCTTTTACGATAGAATCCCAATGGCGGAGAAGGAGAAGGATAGTTTGGTCTACAAAAACGCCTTCACTGGACACGATGCTGTTGAGCTGATCGCCTACATCATCCGTACTTCCGACAGAAATCTTGCGCTGCTCCTCGGCCGGTCCCTGGATGCCCAAAAATTCTTCCATGAGGTTGCTTATGCACACAGATTGCGTGACTCTCCCAACGAGATCTACCAGTTCAAGGAAGCTGTGGTCGAAGAGCCAGCCGAGGTCAATGGCGTTTTCACTTTGTTGACCGAGTGCTATTCGCCTACCTGTACACGCGACCACCTTTGTTATTCGATAGCATGTCCGAGAAGATTGGAACAGCAGCAGCGCCTTAACATGAAGATCCAGCCTGGTCTGAAGAGGGAAGGTTCACAAGCCAGTCTGAGGGATGAGCCGGAAGCTGAACAGAGATTGTGGATCAACACTGTTTCTAAGGATGTTGCCGACAGTGTTGACGACAAGGAAAAAGCACGCCAGGAAGTTCTTGCTGAGATCATGTATACTGAGAGAGATTTCGTGAAGGATCTGGAATACCTCCGCGATTTCTGGATCAAGCCTCTGAGAAACCCGAATATCTCGCCAATTCCGGAGCATCGGCGCGAGAAGTTCATTCGCACCGTCTTCTCGAATTGTCAAGAAGTCCACGCTGTCAATGTCAGGCTTGCTAGCGCTCTTACTCGAAGACAGCAGCAGAGTCCGGTTGTGCGGAACGTTGGTGACATCTTCCTGGAATATGTCCCTCAGTTCACTCCCTTCATCAAATATGGTGCCAACCAGTTGTTCGGCAAGTTCGAGTTTGAGAAAGAGAAGTCCAGTAACCCGGCGTTCGCTAAGTTTGTTGAGGAGACAGAACGTCTAAAAGAATCACGAAAACTCGAACTGAACGGTTACTTGACGAAACCCACTACTCGTCTCGCTAGATACCCCCTACTGTTGGACGGAGCTTTGAAGAAGGCCAAGGATGACAATCCAGACAAGGAAGATCTTCCACGAGCAGTCACCATGATCAGGGCTATTCTCACCAGGGTAAACGAAGAGTCTGGAAAAGCAGAAAACATCCAACAGCTTGCGCAACTCAACCAGAACTTGAAGTGGACCAATGTGCCTTATCAAGATCTGAAGTTGACGGAAGAAGGACGCCAAATGGTGTTCAAGGGTGGGCTCAAGAAGACAGCAAGTCAAGAGACCATCGACATCCAGGCATATCTTTTCGACCACGCAGTGCTGCTCGTTCGACAGAAGATGGTCAACAAACGTGAAGAACAAAAGGTATATCGCAAGCCAATCCCGCTCGAGTTGTTGGTTATTACACAGATGGAGGAGGTTCTGCCAAAGCTAGGCATCACGAAACGACCCTCGTCTAGCATGATTCCTGGAGCTCGTACTATCACCAGCGCCGCAACTAAGAAAGAAGACGGATATCCTCTGACCTTCAAGAGACTCGGAAAAGGCGGTTATGAACTCACTCTGTATTGCTCGACTCAAATCCAAAAGGAGAAGTGGATGGAAAACATTCACGCCCAACAAGAGAAGCTTCGTGAGCGCAGCAACATCTTCACCAAGACGAACATCAGCCAAGGCTACTTTGCATCCAATAATCGCGTCAACTGCTGCGTACCCATCGACGGAGGCCGTAAACTGGTCCTCGGAACCGATATTGGTGTATTTGTGGCAGAACGCAAGCCCAAGGATGCCTCTCACAAGCCAAAGCGTATGCTTGACTGCAAGTTGGTATCACAAATCGACGTGCTGGAACAACATCAAATCTTGTTGGTTCTCGCCGACAAAGTCATGTACTCATACCCGCTGGATGCTCTGGACCCAGAAGACAACCAACCAACTCCCTCTAAGCGTGGGCGTAAGATTTGCCATGCCAACTATTTCAATGCTGGTATGTGCAATGGCCAATTGCTTGTCTGCTGTGTCAAATCATCATCATTGTCAAGTACGGTTAAGGTGTACGAACCCATGGACGCAATGATGAAGGGCAAGAAGAAGTCGGGTTTGGCGAAAATGCTCGCAGGAGGTCAGGAAGTGCTCCGACCGTTCAAAGAGTTCTACATTCCCATGGAGTCGAACAGTATTCACTTCTTGCGGTCCAAGCTCTGTGTTGGTGGTGCCAAAGGCTTTGAGATCGTGTCGCTCGAAACGCTCGAGACACAGTCACTGCTCGACCAAGCCGACACATCACTCGACTTTGTCGTCCGTCGCGAGAACGTCAAGCCCATCTACATCGAGCGGACTCCATCAGAGTTCCTGCTGTGTTACACGGACTTCTCATTCTTCGTCAACAAGAACGGTTGGAGGGCGCGGAACGACTGGAAGATCATCTGGGAGGGTGCGCCGACGGCGTTTGCAACGTGGGGCGACAAGTACATTCTGGCGTTCGAGCAAGAGTTCATCGAGGTGCGGTTGACGGAGACTGGAGGGTTGGTCTGTATCTTGACTGCCAAGAACATACGCTTCCTACATTCGAGCTCGAGAGAGGTGAGTTTTGTTGCCATGTGCATTTGCTGCAAGGCGTGTTTGCTAACAAGAGACACAGATCCTTTACGCGTACGAAGACGAGATGGGCGAGGACGTCATTGCCAGTCTGGATTTCTGGGGTCGCCCACAGTCACCAAGGCAATGAGCGAGATGATGTTGTTGTTGAATGTCGTCGCTGTTGTTGTATTCTGCTTCTTCTATTCACCCTTACTTTCTACTTCTTCGTATTTTGAGACAGACTCCAAAAAACTTGTCGGAGCGAGTCGAGTCAGAAAAAAAAAGAACAGTGCATATTATACCTATCTTTGTGCATCTTTTCCAGTGCTGACGGTTGACTGATGTTTGTGCTGGCATGTATGTTGGTGCCAACTCTCTTACACAAATCCGTATGCACAGCTGAACATGTGTTTACGCATCATTTCCACCGTTTTTGAAGATGATACAAGACCAGGTCGTCTATGAGCGTCTCCTCATAGTGCTATGATCCCAAATGTTTATTGTACAATAGCAATTTGACGGTGTACAATAACATAAAAAAATCACGGACAGGGTCGTGAGAGCCGTAACTTTCGGAAGCACGCTCGGGCATGCCCTCACCCCCCCCCCCCCACAGGCCTCTGACTAGCGACTAGCGACCATCTCTTGAAACAGTGGAGAAGAAGATCATGATGTCTACAAAAGAATTCGGAATCCGGAAAGCGGAGAATAATTGCTGCAGCAGCAGCAGCAGCAGCCAAAAAGCGGGAAATCGCAGAACTCGCAGACGTATCGGAGGTTATTGGGAGATGTTGAGATTCACCATGCGGTTGAGAGAGGGAACGCAGCTAGGGACCATTTCCCTTCGGGGTCCGAAGCTTTTGCGATTTCAACAGGGGGATCCCTAACATTCGTTCTGGGCTCGGAGTGGGGGTCAAAATGGGGGAAGGGGACATATGTTTTGCTTGGAGGCGAGCAGCAACAAAAGCAGAGATTCGGTAGAACGTTTGTCTGCGCAATTATGTTTGCAGTGCATGCGCAGCGGTTTTGAAACGAACAGAGCTGAGCTTGTGCTGCGCTCGCCAACGAAAAAGGTTTGGGGGAAAGTTGTGCTTTTTGGATGTTTATAGAAATGCAGCCTCGTATACATCAAACCTTAAGTGTGTGAGTGGTTTGCGGAGGCTTCGTCAGCTTCTGCGCTGATCCTATCGACACGAACACGATGTTGGCTTGGGATGGACATCCATGACGACGAGCCAGGCTGAAATACATTAATATAGGAGGATCATCATCGGCTTTTCTGTTGGTCGTTGGGCATTTCCCGTGTTCTTGGTGAGACACAGCAATCCCAAAGATATCTTAATTATCGTTTGTGTACGAATAGTAGAGTGTGCAACGGTCAGATTGAGAAGAGAGCTTTTGGCGGATTGAGGTCGGAGAGGCTAGCCGCGTCGTCGGTGTTGGTCAGGCTGGTGGATGGTCAAGTGCGGCAGTGGCTTGTGGGCTTGCACAGTGCCGGCGCTGCCCCTTTGAGCTTCCCAGCAGATCACTCTCACTCGCATGTGGCTGGCAAGATAAGGACACGACAGAGAGTGTACCTTGAGCACAGCTTAGGCATTGCATGATGGTGTAAGAAGAGTGCATGCATGGTCGATGATGGACTCGAGCTGAAAGAGGTGGGCGAAGCGAACAGGCCTTGGTTATACCTAGGCAAGCGAGACATGTATTGGAGGCTCCTGCCTTGCAGAGCGGGCGGGCCAATGACGCGTTCGTATGTTTGAGGAGTTAGCTATGGCGATTCAACGACCCCTTTGCAACTCGGCGTTTCAAGTCGTGGCTGTCGTTAGGCTTTTTGACGTGATACGGGCTCAGCATTGAGAAATTCTCGCTGTCAGGAAAGGACAATCAAACGGATCAACTGTCATATTATCCCTTGCTTGATCGCAGAAAGGTCTCGCTACTTTGTGTGCAAGCTGCATGCTCATCAGGCCGGCGGGCGCGTCAAAAAGAACAGGGTTGTTGTCGTGTCCCTGTGCCTAGTATCCACAACGGTGGCCCTGGTCCATCGATCGACAGCCAGAAAAGATATACAAGTCGCTGCTCCCTCCGGCTCCATAAACGTTGCCCAAATTCCCGCTCTCTCAACCCGCTCGCTCTCTCCCATACCACCAGAGTTGTCCGGAAACTCGTCCAGCTCATAGGGACCTGCATATACGTGGTATGCTCGTCGCTTGCTGCTAATCCACGTCGCTCCTGTCCTCTTTTTCGCGCTCAACCGCTCGCTTCCCTCTCCACACCTCCAACATGTTTACCTTTAAACGGGCCCTGTTGACGGCAGTCATCGTACTCGGCTTCTTCATGATCCTCAAAAGCTCGCATTCACAGCCCATGGCAGCCTCATTCAATGTAAATTCGCCCAAGCCGACGGGCTCATATCAGGACAACCGCAAGATCCAGATCCAACCGCCTGTCGAGGCCACACATTCGCGACTGGCATCATCACAAAGCTCAACGGCGCCGGCCGTCGCTGGGGAATTGAAGGCGAAGAACAACTACAAGAAGGAGCGTCCGCAAATATCCCTGCAAGACTTGCATGCCATGCCGCTACGACAGCAGCTGGCCTACCAGTTCCCTTACGACCCGGAGAGCAAGTTCCCTGCATACATCTGGCAAACATGGAAAACCACTCCTTCATCCGGTGACTTTGAGGAGGATTTCCGTCCTGGCGAGGCTGCTTGGACAGAGCTGCACCCAACCTTTGTGCACGAAGTCATCACCGATGCCACCGCTGCTCACCTCATCCGTCATCTGTACGCCGCCGTCCCCGATATCGTGGCCGCCTACGACGCCATGCCCGTCCCCGTGCTCAAAGCCGATTTCTTCCGCTACCTGATTCTTCTGGCAAGAGGAGGAATCTACTCTGACATTGACACACGCGCTCTGAAAAGTGCCACTGAATGGGTGCCTGCAGAAGTGCTTCGCTCCAGCTACGGCATGGTCATTGGCATCGAAGCCGACCCGGACCGCCCGGACTGGCACGACTGGTACTCTCGCCGCATCCAATTCTGCCAATGGACCATCCAGTCCAAACCCGGTCACCCCATTCTCCGCGACTTGGTGGCCACCATTGCACAAGAAACTCTGCGTCGCAAGGAAGCTGGCAAGCTTACCAAGTCAAGCATTGAGAGCATTGTAGAGTTTACAGGCCCTGCCATCTGGACTGATGCCGTGTTTGCGTTTTTCAACGATCCGGATTACTTTGACATGTCGACGAGTAAAGGCAACATCACCTGGGAGCATTTCACTGGCATCACTCAGGCCAAGAAGGTCGGCGATGTTGTCGTGTTGCCCATTACGAGTTTCAGCCCTGGTGTAGGGCAGATGGGCGCTGGTGACGATGATGACCCGATGGCTTTCGTGAAGCACAACTTTGAAGGTAAGAATCGATCCTCCCAACCATTACACGTCACGACTCATTTCTGACTTTTATCGCAACAGGCTCATGGAAACCCGAAAACGAACGCCACATTGGCGAATAGATGCCACGACCTTTTGGAGAAAAGATGGATACGCGGGGACATGTTTTTTTTTTAGAATTCTCTGTATCTTCTTTCTTGGGGTTTCCTTTTCTGTTTCTTTCTCTTCTGATGAATCTGTTCTCTTAACGACAGTCTATGTTTTCCGTTTTATTCCCAATGGCAAGTGCTCAAATGCATCTATACAAATGGAGTTCTGATAAAGGCACAACACAATCAACAAACTTTATAGACAATTTTGCTCCTCGCCTTGCTCTACATGCAACGTACCTTACTAGTGTCCTCCTACAACATGACAGAACTCGAGTCATTACACCCGGTACATTGGTCTGGTTCACAGCGTGGACGTTCTCAGTTGATTGTCTATTCTTCCAGACTCTAGACATCACCAATCAGAGGCATTAATCAAAAGAATTCTATAAGCACTTGATCGGTGAGAATGAATAAACAAAAGAACAACATTGAAGATATCCAAAAAAAAAACCTTAGATTTATATAAACATTCTTGCCCATCGTGCAAAGATAAAACCGGCACCTACTCATCAACAGGGAACCTATCCAAGAATCTAAAAGTGGCAAGACCACACTCGAAACTCTCCACTGCCTCTGCAGTCCCATTGGCAAAGTACACACCCTCCCTCTGCTCAATACCGGCAACTTCCAACGCCTTTCTGCCCTTGCCCACAGCACCAACAGCTTTACCCCATGCATATGCGTTCTTCAGAATCTCCATTGGGCGGCCGAGGGGATACAGTGATGAAGTCTTTTCACCGCTGAAAATGGCTTCGGAGCCTGCTGTGATGACAACGGCATCGAAGGCGTGGGCGTCAGCGGTGGAGTAAGTAGCATTGACGCCTGAAACGAGGGACTCGGCGACGATGCTGACGAAAAGACCTTGGGTTGTGAATGCCTTGGCTAGTTGTGCAGCTTGAGCCATGGAAGCGTTGGAAGATGTAGATGCCAAGATACCCATGTTGAGGCCCTTGATGGTAGGCAGTGTAGTGTTGAAGATGGAAATGTGAGCAGAGCTGCGATTGTTGTAGAAAGTGTGGTCTGGCTCTGGAACAATGACATCTTGCAGAGCAACAGCAACGCGGGAAGCAAGATCGTGGGAGATGCGGTTGAGCTGGATGATGAAGTTTTGCTTGACGACTTGGGATTGCACTTGGGCGACTTCGAAACGCAGACTGTTGATCACGATTTGCTGTTCTGCTGCAGAGAGTGAGTTGTATACCATGCGTGCTTGCGACCAGTGGTCGTTGAATGTGGGCGAGAGCTCGCGAACAAAAGCTCCAGTCAAACGGCGGTCGGGTGCGGTGAAGAAGCCTTTGCCCACTGTCTGATTGGCTTGTTTGGGGAAACCCTTGTTGAGTGAGTTGGGCGAGTAGGCGTAGTTGTTGGTAGGGATGTATTGCTGTCCACGACCATCGCGGTTGTTGTTGTGGATGGGGATGCGAGGGCGGTTGATGGGAAGTTGTTCGAAGTTGATTCCTTGTCTGTTGACTTGAGTGTCCAAGTAGGAGAAGAGACGTCCTTGAAGCAGTGGATCCTCGCTGAAGTCGATACCTCGCACCACATGTCCAGGCTGGAAACCAATGCTTTCAGTCTCTGCAAAGTAGTTTGTTGGGTTCTGATTCAAAGTCATCTTTCCGAGAATGGTGATGGGGACGAGTTCCTCAGGGATCCATTTGGTAGCGTCAAGGACATCGAAGCCGAATGCCAGTTGTTGATCTTCATCCATGATCTGAACACCGAGTTCATATTCAGGATAGGCGCCATTCTCGATGGCATCCCAGAGATCTTTACGATGGTAATCGGGGTTCTTTCCGTTGATGGCTTGAGCCTCTTCCCACAGGAGACTTGCGGTACCTTGCTTGGACTTCCAGTGCCATCTGATGAGCTTGCTGTCACCTTTCTCGGTGACCATGCGCATAGTGTGGACACCGAAGCCACTCATGTGGCGGTAGGAACGAGGCAGCGAGTATCCAGACATGATAAGCATAAGCTGTCGAGATGATTAGCATGGAGAGAAGAATAGATGAGCGTCGTGCTACTGACCATGTTCAGGGTACTCGGTTGTTGGGAGAAGAAATCATAGGCAGTGTCATGAGCAGTAGCAGCCTGAGGAATCTGCTTGTCGGGTTGAGGCTTCAAAGCATGAACCATATCTGGGAACTGCATAGCATCTTGGATGAAAAAGATCGGCAGATTAATGCCGACGATGTCCAAGTTGCCTGTGTCGGTGTAGAAGCGAGTTGCGAAACCTCGGACATCTCTAGCAGCATCTCCACTTCTGTGTTCTTAATTAGTATCTGCTATGCTTGTGTTGATGCATGGTTTGAAACTTACCCTCTCTCACCGATGACGGTAGAGAAGCGCACAAATGTAGGAGTCTTCTTGCCCTCCTCTGCAAGGAAGCTTGCAGCCGTGATGTTGGAAAAGTTGCCATAGGACTCGAAGACACCATGAACACCAGCACCACGGGCATGGACCACTCTTTCAGGAATCTGGACATCCATCAGCAAACTATCATGTGTCGACAACTTGAACATCGAAGCATACTCTCTCATGATCGAATCTTTGCATCTTCTGTCTGAAAGCAAAGTCTTCTAGTAGCGTAGGACCCCTGGCACCAGCCTTGAGACTGGTAAGGTCATCAATGGGAGTGCCCCAGTCGCTAGTCATGAAGCCTTGCTCATCATTGAGCTTGAATCGACCCATGAACTCTTCAGTCTGTTCGGTAGTCTCTTGGAGACCAGCATCATCGCGCTTCCCCATTTCACCGCTCATGTATGGACAACTGCCAGCAAGGGCAGCACCTGCCATCATTGGAAGATACAGTAACGAACGCATTGTGATCACCCAACAACCAAAAAGACGAGGAATGAGTGTCGTATGGGTACAAACAAAAAGTCCTGTTCAAATGTGGCCATACTGGGCTCTTATATAGATGACTGACAATCGATCAACGATCAACTTACTCGGTGAATTGGACGAAGATCAGGCCATCACGGTTGTGCAGCACAGACTAATTCCTCGCCTGGTATATTCCGCCAAAACTCACTGCTACATGGGGCACAGGCGTACGACAAGAATTATAGTGTTTCGATGTTGCAGTACCGTCTTGGCCCCGGCGGAGAGGCACGGGTTCGGCACGAATTGTGCCCCAAGAAACTTTACATGCTCTATTGAGATCGACTCACAGGTTAATCCTCACACAGCCAAGCCGTGACAGGCCATGCAGAGTGAGTGTGATCAAGACACAGCACGAAACATCCAGACTTGATCACCACGGTCCACAAAGCAGGCTCTCTCGGCGTCCAAGAGACGACCGCTGTGACTGTGCAACCCAACGACTTGGCTTGTCAACAAGGAGCGCACAAGACATCCAATGCGAAAGCGAGAACCTCAGGATGGTCAGCGATGTGCCTATCAAACTTCGATGTTGGTAAGCGCCAGCAAAAGACGGAGTGAGCCGCATCGGAAGGGCCAAAGCTCGGTGTGGTCAAGGCATGTCAACATCAAAAAGCTTAGCTCCAACCTCCTTCCCCAGCCAGCATGGTTGTCCGTCACGGTCCTCGCCTTTCTGTTTTCGTGCTTATACGATGTTGGACTTGGACACATGCGGCATATGACGCGGGTAGTCATTGCCATTGATCGTACAAGCAAACCACGTGTATCTCACTTGCCATGGCTAGGGCACCTAACGTAAGCATGTTCATACCTATCTATACCAACGGCATCTCCCACAGAATTCGGGCCTTGGTCACAAACCGTGCATTGTTACAAAGCCCACTGTCATTGACACAACGGAACGATCCGCGGCTCCGTGATCGCTCGACACAAACGTTGTTGACTCGACAAAGCAGGAAAACACATCAACTCCACAATTATACCAAGCCCTCGTTTTCTTCTCGAAAGCCTGCTTGTGGTCCATGAGACACGGTATGAGCCGACAGGTGGACCTGTGTCGCGCCTGTCGTGCCGCGCGCACGCAATGTCTGGTGACTGAGCCCAACATGGCGGCTTCCCAGCCACCGGGGTAGTTTTGTAACGTTGTCTCATAAGGCCACGGAGAGATGCCTTGAGCATACGACATTACTCAGCAGAAAGAAAGCAATTATGTCGACGAATTCGTCTCGTTCATTGAAGGATCTGGCAATTCCACCAAAGATATATAAATTCAGCTTCTATCGCTAGCCTCCAACAACGACTCGCAAAAGCAGACAGAATTCGTCAAACGCAACAGACAATAATCAATGGGGTATCAAATGTGAAAACAACATCTAAATGGGCGTTGAATGGACGCAAATGCTAATATTAGAAAAAATGTAATAATGGTATAAGAAGAACCACAGACCATAAAATCTCATGGGCCGAAGGCGCCCTGGATCTTAGCGTATAGTTCTGTGTCGAAGAAGTTGTAATGCAGATCGTGGAAGCAGAAAGGTGCGCGAAGCAATGTCTCAGCTGTAGGACGATCCGCCGGATCAATGGTGAAGCAGTCGTACATGAAACTTAGAGCCGCAGGTCCGACAACACTGCTAACATCCTCAGGAATTGGCGGGGCTTGATTGAGACTACCAAGCTTGAAGATGGCACCGATGGCTTCTTCCTTGCTCCAAGGTCGGCGCCCTGCAAACATCTCCAAGACTACACAACCCAGTGACCAGATGTCGACTTTTGCGCTGTAACCTTGCGACTCGGTAGAACCGCTTGAGCTACTTCCTTGAGATTGAGCGCGGATGACTTCAGGTGCCATCCAGAAAACACTGCCTTGCATGCTGTTGGTGATATCGTTGTTATAAGGGTTGGGACTGCGCTTGGAGATACCGAAGTCTGAGATTTTGCATGTTCCGTCAAGGTCGAGAAGGATGTTATCAGCCTTGAGGTCGCGATGCAGGATGCCCTCGCGATGCAGGTATGCTAAACCGTCAAGAGTTTGTCTGGTAAGACTACTGACGACCGACTCTTCGAATTTGCCGTGTTTGCGCAAGCAGCTGCCAATACTACCACCGGAAATATACTCAAGGAAGATACTGATTGAATATTCCTTGCGTTCACATCCAAGATACTGGACAATGTTCATGTGATCCAAGTGTTGCATGGTGTCAATCTCGGAGTCCAATGCCTTGACCATTTCACGGATCTTTTGCGGGTCTGCGTTCGAAGTCTTGGGGTTGACTTCGACCTGCTTGACTGCCAAAAGTTCACCGGTGGTGGTGTTCATACCAAGGTAAACGCGGCCGAACGTGCCTTTGCCAATCAGTTGACCCTTCATCCACTTGAACGTCGGCTGTCTCTGTGGATGTTGGAGCGCGAAATTGTCCTGAGGAATGGTCTCCAACTGTATAAGGCGGCTGCCACGAGGAGGCTTGATTTGCTCGATACGAGCACCAAACATCTTTGTACTTTTGCGTCTGACAATGTCACCTCCGCCGTACCTAAGTGTACTCATACGGTTGAGAGCACTACGATTCATCTGTGCGCTAGGAGCACGACTCGACGTGAACGAAGTTATGGAGGGGCTTGGCGATTTCTGAGCGGGCATCTGATATGCACCTTTCACGACTTCACGAATACTCTTCGTCCTTCCTAGACCGCCAGACTTCCTAAGGTTCCTGTGAGCAACTGAAGGCATATTGTGTCCTCGTTTGAGTGTGGAGTCTTCCTTGAGAGTTGACTCATCGCTACCGAGTGTTCCGTTGTCAGCTTCAAGGTCGGGTACCGGCATGAAACTTTGCTCTGTCTTGGGCTCAGCGGTGGGTGCCGATGGTGCCTGCGAAGCTTGAGTACTCGGCGTTTCGTTCGTAGTGCTTGCTTGACCATCTTGACCATCTTCTTCAATCATTGGCTGATCGAGATCGACGTTGGGGAAGAATTCATCAAGATGCTCTACAAGTGCCTCAGGAGGTGGACGGTTGGCCCAAAGATCACTGGCAAAGCTTTCACGGCGACCAAATCTAGCGCTATCCTCGGGAGATTCTGCCGACCAAGCCGCCGATACTGCAGACTCTGGGTGAGGTCTTTCGCTCTCCTCAAGCGGGTCAGGAGACGCAGTAAACCTGATGTGCTGCTGAGAGACCTTGGTCTCGAGGGCTAAGTCTTGCTGGGATGGTGAGTGCTCGGTTTGATCTTGTACCAGAGAAGTTTTCGACTGCTTTGCCTTGACCTGTTTGGCCAGTGGGATGGCGAAGAGACTCTCATTCGAATCCTTCTTCGTTAACGGCCTAGCAAATAGACCATCATCCGAGTCTGAGTCTTCGTCCTCTTCGTCCATGGTAGCAGTAGAAGGTCTATCGAACGACACGGGCTCGTTAGGCAGATGGAAGCTAGGACCATAGCTTCTACGGCTGCTCATGCGGCTTAAGCTACTCTGTGGACGCGCAGTGCTGGGACTGATAGCAGGACTGGCGTGCTTATGAATGTCTTTGGCAGGCGAAATCGTCGGTTTGTCCTTGCCAGGCATCTGCAGAGTAAGCGCTGGTCGTGAGAAGCCGCTAGCTGCGGAAGAACCACTACTGTCCTCGATGCTGTCTTCAAGATAGGCCGGTATCTTGAAAGGTACTTCACCCTTAGACATTGTGATAGGCGAACCTCCGGCATGAGCTAGTCTGTTGTCACCCATGCCAGTAATACCAAGTGTTTGCATTGCCTTTGGCGGCACGCCACTGTTGTACCCAGACGGAGGACTTTGAGCAGCTTCTCTGGTAGAAGCAGGAGTTCCAGGAGCACCAACCATGCCGCCCATCTTTCCTGCGCCAATGATGGCGGCACCTATACCAGAACCTACACGCATCTTACGCTTGTTACCATCCAAGCTTTCAGCTGAGTTTCTCTTGGAAACGTCGCCGCGGTCGGGCCAGCTGGTACGAGAGACTGGTCCTGACTTCTTTCTAAGCGAATCTGCTTTGAACAGGGTACTGCTCGGTTCAGGAGGTGGTGGTGGCTTGCGAAGTGGAATAAGCGGCTCCATCTTCTTCTCTTGTTCAAGCAGCTTTTTCTCCTCGTACGGCGAGTTTCGTCGTTGGTCGAAATCGATGATGTCTTTGCGTCTGATGGGCGAGAAGTCTTTGCCAAGACGGTCGCGCGAGTGCTCCAAGCGAAGTCTTTGCTGCTGTTTGCCTTCCAGATATGCCTGTTGTTTACGTTGAGTCTCTCTACGATGCTCTTCTGCTTTGATTTCAAGGATTGCCAACGTCTCCGGCTCAGAAAGCGCGGACAAGTCTGTCGGCAGATCGCGATCCGTCAGAATGGAGTTCTCACTAGCCATCTCCCGGATAAGGTTCTGCAACGATTTCTTTTTCTGAGGGACCAGGGTGGACTCATTTGATCTGAGAGTGGCAGCATCGAACTTGTCATCTCCAGTGAGCTGAGCATAAGCCGAGGGATCGACTGGTTTGGAGACGGACCCAGCTCGCAATGGCGACACCATTCCTTCACGCGACAACTCGGTAGCGGGCGAGCGGATGAAGAGTTTGAGCTTTCCAGTAGCGTCAGAAATATGGTGACGCGCAGCCAACAACAAGGAATCTGTCAACGGTTCTTCGTGCTGCTCCTTGCCAGGTGAAGTTTGATGAATCGTCAAGTCGGGCGAGTCTACAATACCTAGGTTATAGCATATCATTGCGCGCATTTCCTCGGGTGTTGTGACGGTCGTCAAATCAATCAATCTGTAGTTCCACCCGTCAGGCGTAACGAATGCATATCGCTTGTCAGATTCTCTGGCCGCAGACCTTCCTCGTTCAGGTACGTGCTGAGCCTTCTCAAGTTCCACAGCCATGTTCCCTGATCTACGAGAAGAGGGTCTATCTATCGAAGCCTCGCTTGAGTTCAGGCTTGATTTAGTGAGCAGTCGTGGCTGCGCTGGACTTGTAGGTGACTCCATATGGTCGTCACGAGAGTGGTCTCTGTCATTCTTCTGCTTGTGACGTATGAAATTACGGAGAAAGCCTGACTTGTGTTCTTTCGCACTCGCTGTGGCACTGTGAGGCACGTCTCCAGCGCTGGTTCGAGAAGTAAGCTCTGTAGGTGGCGGCGGTCGTGAACCCTCTTGGGCATGTCTGCGAGAATCAATTGGCGGTGTCTTGGCGTGGTTCGCTTCGCTAGTGGCGCCGATGCGACTGGAGGCAGGGCCGCTAGGATTCGTGTGATCACTGCTGCTGAGTCTATGATGATTGTTGCTGTAGTAGCGATTGTGTGCCGGCGCAGAGGGAGGATTCACAGGGCGAGCTTGTTGCATAGCAGGACTATGCTGTGGGCTTGGCTCGAAGCCTGTGCGGCCAAAATCAGAGCGAAGATGGTTTGTAGTTTGAGCGTAACTCGCGGTGAGTTCTGTCGAGACGCTGGGACTGTGCCGCCGAGGAATGTCAGCCTCACCAAGGGCAGCACGAGAAAAGGCACTTCGACTGTCAGAGCTGTCATACTGCTTATTCATCATGCTCATGGAGTCGAGCGTGACAGACCGCTGCGATGAGTATCTTCTCTGAGCAAACGAATTAGGCATCTGAAGGCCTGGACTGTCTTCACCTCCGCCAGCAGTCGTGGGGGTCGAACCAAAAGCCATCTCGTGACGGGTCATCATAGGCGAACTCTCGATGGCGCCATCTGCATCTGCGCTCGGTGGAAATTGCGAAGACTCCCTCCGTTGACGTGAAGGCAAGCTTGAAGAGCTGCTACCGTTGTAACTGCTACCTCCAGAATCGACAATACGCCGGATCAGTGTACGAATCTTCTTGCCATCCTCACGGTCTTTGGCTTGATCCGAGGCTATGCCTGCACTAGCACATTCCTTTTGCAGTTGAGGATAGACTGTCTTGTGCAGAAAAGCAACGTTGGGTTTGTTTCCCTGGGAGCGCCCAATCTCAAGAAACTGCGAGCCCTGGATGTTGAGATGTTTGAAGGCTTCTTGCCAAATGTGCGAGAAACCATTATCAGCAAGCCAAGCAATAACTCGTTCCAGGGGCCATTGCAGATCGTGAGGCGATACAGGAATGTCTAGAGGCGGTTGCTCGCGCTGCTGAGGGACAGGAGTCGAGTTTGAATCAGGAAAGGAGAGCATGTGGGGTGCGGGCGAAGAGTGCTCCTGTGTCTCTCTAGCGGGCAGCACCACTATTTGCTGTCTGGTGTTTGAAGGAGTCGGAGGAGCGTTGGAAAGATAATCTCTGCTCTGCTGAGATCGCAGTTGCTGCATAGGCTGAGATTGTTGATAGTATGAGTTGTACTGATTTGCATTAGACTGGTTGTACTGGAGCCATCTGCCCTCGTCCATGGAATCAAGCGGGTACTGAGGAGTAGGAGGATATTGCGAGTAAAGGTTTTGGTACTGTTGGTGGGTTTGAGTACGGTTGGGGGTGCTTGAAGGAGGTGGCGGAGGCGGTGATGCGTGCAATGGAGGAATGCCCACCCCGGGGCCGAAGGAATCAGCACCGGGTATGTAGGTCGCAGAAACCAAGGGCTGAGTATCAGGAGGTAAAGGGGGCATCGAGGTGTATGCCTGGTAGGCAGTGGGATCGTAGGCGCGAGGCTCACGAGGTTGTGGGTACGGAGATTGCTGCTGCTGTTGCGACGAGTAGGGATACTGTTGCTGCTGCTGATGGGGATACGAGGACTGCTGCTGGGTGTAGGAAGAAGGCTGTGGTTGCTGCTGTTGTCTGTTCCAGAGAGCCCAGGCATTGAGAGCCGACTGCGGGGCACTAGGTGGTGGAGGGAGCATCATGCCGTTGTGCTGGGAGGTGCTAGTGGGCGGGCGCGGTGGCGGCGGTGGGAACTGCATCGAGGGAGGGTTGGACATGGGGGGCGGCGGAGCCATGTACTGCTGTTGCGACTGCTGCTGCTGCTGCTGCTGTTGCTGGCGCAAAAGTTGTTCGGCGGCTGTGGCCGATACATGGCGCTGCTGGCCCGAGGGGTAGTTCGTGGGTGGCATTGCGCTCGAGGTCAGATGTTGCGGTAGGGAACGTCTCGTGGGGTCCTCAGGATCGGTGAGGTATTTGGCATGAGCAAAAGTACGGGCGCGAGGACGCGGGCTTCGGGGACTTGGTTGGAGGGTCGGGTAGGGCGAGTTGCTGGCGGTCGATGTGGGCCGTAGGAGGTCACGCGAGTCGAACGAGGGTACGTCGTGTAGGACGAGGCCGTTCTGCGCCCTGCTGGCGGGCTTGGGTCGTGGTTGGTTGTGCTGGTGGTGGTTCTGCTGCTGCTGGCTTCCAGACGCTTGCTGTTGCTGCTGCTGCGACGAATCTCCAGCGATCATCTCAAGTCGAATCGATTGGGCCTCAAAGCGCTACCCTCATGTCGACCGACAGAAGGACATTCGCACGTTCTGGGAAAGGCACTCCTGGGTCTCTCGCAAACTCCCGAGCAAGCGACCAAAGGCGACAAGACGTCAAGGTCGACGGATCTGATTCGACTTTCAAGTTGTACTAAGCCTAACGATGGATGATGGCCCCCCTGGAGCGAACAATCATCAGGACTACGAGAGGACTCGGCGTGTATATAGGCAGTGCATGAGATTGCGACAGATGGTGTTGATTCTTCCTTTGGTCTGCTTTCTTGGCCTCTGTACCGCTTGATCGTATTCTCAGGGACACGCCGGCAGCCTTGCATCCGGGGCAGTCGCTACCTTATCCAGCCACTTCCGCCATTGCCTTGTTGCACTGCGCATTCAATTCATTCCAGCTCATCAACCAGACTCCAACTTCTTGATACAGGAACATCTTCTCTCCTGATTCTCTTGCTCCTGTTCAATGTTTGGTCAACCTCAGCTCTGCCAGTTAAATTACCGTTCGCGCTTGTTTACCTACATATAGCTCTGCATCCCCTTTTGGCTGTAACTTTTGTCCGGCGCGTGGCACATGGGATTCCCCACTGCTGCTGCACTACGCTCAGACTCTCGATACAAAGTCCAACAAGGAGAGTACTCCGAACCATCTTATACCGATGCGCGCATTAGTGGACGTCGCCTTAAGAAGTCACTGATCTAGTTACCGTTGTAACCTAAATCAATAGGGTCGGTCATCTAGGGCTCTCCTTATGGCTATGCATCTCAGCTATGGCACACAAACAAGACTCCTACTTGGCTCAAAACGGCAGGAGCTGAATCGCACTATCATGTATAGCGCCTGTATAGCGGCGTACCAAGTATCCAGAGATACATCCTTCATGAACTAGTTTGCCTAGGTATCTGCAGCTCCGCGCACGACACGCATATTTAATCTGCCCTCGCAAAGTCCCGGTCAGCCGCCTCTTGCTAACCGGCAGGCCGTTTGATCCTATGCAAGATTGTCTTGAATCCTAACATGCCCCGATGGGCGGTTGCAATTAGTGCTCGTCCGACCTTCATTCCACCTCTGCTTCTACATATCGACCCTTTCCTTGTTTGATATGCTCTTGGAAGCCCTCTGCAAGGCATCATGGTCCTCTACGAGGACGAATATGGCAACACTGTTTCAATCGGTGCCCTCAAGGGTGCCAGTAGCGGAGACGTGTACCGCTTCTGCATTCCCATGATGGTCCTGACAACCTTGTCAGTCGCGTTGCGTGTATACGTACGTGGCTATATGACGAAAATTTTTGGTCTCGAGGACTGGCTCATCATCCCTGCATATGTACGATCCCTTTGCATACCCCCGGAATCGATCCCTGCTGACACCTGGAGATCTTGTTCATGGCACTTTGTAGTTGTGCGATTCTAACAGCGGTATGGATCACACGTGAGGATGTCGTGGAGCGCTTTCCCAGGGTCATCAAAGTAAGCTTGATTGGCTCGTCCCTTGGTCCAACATACTCATCCGCGTCCCCTAGCTCATCACAGGAAATACCGTGATTTATATAGCGGACCAGATCTTCATCAAGATGTCCGTGGCTGCTTACTTCTACCGCATCTGCGAACGCTGGCAGCGCTATGTTGTTGTTGTTACTGTCACCATATTTACAGCATACAACTTTGCGTTCATGTTTATCAGCCTCTTCCAGTGTGGCGTGCCCACCATCCCGAACCTTCTGAGACCAAATTTCGATGGTCACTGTATCGACTGGAATTCTATCGTTAAACCTCTATTGGTTGTCGGAGTTTCACTGAATGCAGTTTGCGACTGGGTGTTTGTCCTCGCATGCCTCCCAGTACTTACCAAGCTACGACGCATGCCGACTGGCGAGATGGTCTGCGTCTGCTTCTTGATATTCCTAGCTACTGGAGCCAGCGTTCTTTCACTGGTCCGATTAAGATTTCTACCTGGCACGGGCTCAGAAGTCCTGCTGTTGAGTCAAAACAGACAGTTTGCCGTATTGTCTTTTACGGAAGCTGGAACTTCCATCGTCACGATTTGCATGGCGACCTTGCACCCACTGTTCCTGGCTTGTGTCCGAAGGAGAGGAACCTCCAGATATCCACCAAACAGCAGTCCTAGGAATCCCAACTCTTCCGAGCCATGTCCATCCGAGAAGCGAACAGCGCCCAGCAGCACGGAGGAGATGTCGACCGAGCACTCGAGCCTTGGTCGAATAGGCATACTTCCTACAATATACGACACCGAGATGGGCACCATGGCCGAGCGCAATTCACCTAGGCTCGGATATACCACTGACTGGACATGAAGCTATATTGGACGCTTGATTGGTTGAGCTAATTGAGTATTGCCATGGATACCTATACAGAGGCTGGCTCGTCTCAGCAAGTGCCAAAGCAATGCTCCGGATCTGGACGGGTCACCGGCAAACCCTGAGTTACAGGAGAATTATACTTCGTTCTCGACACGGACGCAGGGATGCCAACCAGATCAATAGGTGGTTGTATCTTTTCCAAGTTGCTCCTCGTCCAGCATGTCGAGCTCTCACGCTGCCGCTTGTCCGAAGGGTTTACCGACATTTGCATACGCGAATTTCTCTTACCGTACATCCATGTATTTCCACCGGCACCCAAAATTCAGTCGCATCGGCGACAAGGCGGGGACTGTACAATGGCAGACTCAGGCATGGTATAGCTTGGGTCTCGACTTTACGAGAGGCTGAGTCTACAAGAGGTAAAAGGAAAGACAAAAGAAGAGACTAGAATCACTGGAAACGAACCATACTAGAGCCATACACCACCTGCCTAGGGACGTTAGGGATGTACAAGCATTTGGGAACGAGAGACACGAGAACATGATTCACAAGTATGACAAGACCCAAAGCAAAACAGCAAGATTCAGCGAACATCGATCGAATCACAAGACATTCGTACATGCAGCACACCACTCTCACACCAGTTTGTTTACCACACTTGTCGTCTCATCACGAGCTAGAAGAGTCGGTGACTAGCAAAAAGACAAAACGTACAGCAGCAGGGATTCCCACGTGGTCACCCACCGTAGTACTAATCTGCCGTTCAACTGCTTATGTATGGCAGAGCGGACGGGATGCCCAGTTTTCAGCTGACTGTGGCCGTACGTACTTGACCGGGCACGGGTCAGCAATTATATACTTACATTTATCAAGTGGAGGGCTCAAAGCCGACAGTGTAGAGACCCGTAGAGACTTGATAGCTCAGAACGACAGGAAGAAGGTACAGTGATGGAGATGAATATAGATATTTGAGCAGATATGCTTTGCAAAACTCCACGACAAAATACAAAACTTCTATAAACGCCCTCCATGTTTCTTCCATGTGCATGCTGATAAGCACAAATAAGATGACTCCAAAAAGCACAGTGTATGCATGCTAGCATGAAGATGTGCAACAAGAAAAACCGAATGCACCAGAGAATGCATTGTATGCTTGGAAGACGTTTGAGTGACAAAAGTGCGTCGACTCCTGAGCATTAAGGGTTTGATGATGTTGTATTAACTGTGGGAGTGTGCGAGAAGTGGTGGCTAGGCTACACGGAGGAATGCTCATCGCGTGATGACGAGACCGAAGCCATCGAGCCATTGTCCGCAGGTGCCGTAGACGCCGGCAATACTGTATCCTCTGGGAGGAATCAGACTGCATCTGTGAAGGTCGTTAGCATAATATTCCGCTTCTTTCAAAAAATTGCAATCACTTACCCGCTACCACCGTCCTTATTGCCGTACCACTCGCTGCGACGACCGCCGCTGGTCAGAATCTGAATACCGTCAATCCAGAGACCAGCTCTCAGATTGAAGCCCAGCAGCGTTTCGCCGAATCGCGCATTGATGGGGAACTCGTCTCCGCCCTCCTTGCCACCTCTCTTTCCGAACAGTTGGTTCTCTCCATCCTCGTACACAAACTCGATGCCGTCTAACGCGAAACCGTGGAAGACTCTGATGGCAACCAGAAGCTTGCGCTTCTCGTGTGATGATCGTAGAAGCACTTCTTGAGGTTGTGTTCCATCCATTTGCGAGAATCCGACCTTTGAGCCTCTGAAGCCTACTCGGCTGTCGGGAAGCTTCAGCTTGGAATCCTTGCTCACATGCTGGGCAAAGTCGGCGACTTCATGATCGCCCTGACCAAGAGAGAAGATCTTGATTTTCAGCTTCTTGTTCTTGTTGGCCTCGCCGACCTTGGTTCTCAGTTCGGCTTCTGTCAATGTGATTTGGCGAGGTGCGCCTGCGGAGGAGCCGCTGTTCGGGTCCAGGTATTCGATCCAGTGACGGCAGAGTTCGTCGCCCTCGGTGTAGATCTCGATGAAAGCAATGCCAGTGCTTGCAGTAACCAGAGCGGCTCCTTTGTCAACAGCCCAGACCTGAATGCTGTCTTCCGGAGGAATGTTCACATCAGTAGGTAGAGCGAAACAAGGGTGCAGTCTGAACCTCAAAGCATCCAGTCTGTGCCATGCACATTCATCCTGTTGGAGACACAGTCGCATGCCTTGCGATTGCGTACGTGTGCAGTAGGGCTCTCTGGTTGTGAAAGTGCGGTTCAAACGAACATAGTCGCGAAGCATGACACCTGATTCTTGGTGAGGGCATCCGAACAGATGACCGGTCTCGTGCATGTGGGCACCGATTCCGATGTTAGCAGCCTCCCAATTGCTTCCGCTTTCATTGCAGTCGTTGGCAACATATCTCGTGTCAGTTTTTGTGCAGTCAGTAAAGGCGGGTACAACCTCTTCCAGGTGAGCAGGATATGATTGCAGAGAGTGAGAGCCAAAGATGGCAAGTTTGACCTGTTCGTCACCACCTCCCAGAGCAGCATGTCCTCTCACTGTGCCAACTTTGGAGTCCCAATGTGTATCCAAGTACATGCAAGACACGTACTCTTTCTGACCCGGTCGAGGCTTGAAGTGATTCTTGACAGCGTCCATAGCGACGGAGAAGAGATCGCCCTTTTGTTTCGCAGGCTCGTACTGTTGTGCTATGTTGAGGTCTTGAATCTCGGCAACAGTCTTGTTTAGAGTGATGACATGGATCTTGGCCTCATTGCGCATCTGCCCGGTTGCGAGGTCGCGACCAGTCAAGGTACCTTGTTGCCATTCCTCCTCATAGCGGAAGCAGCGACGGCCAAAACCATGCCTGTTCATCTGCTCGCCTGTGAAGGCTTGCCACAGATAAGCAGCCATGCGGAATTTCCGCACTGCTGTTTCTAGGCCGTTGCCCTCGGTCTTTATTCGGTCAGGAACAGCGTCGTATGTTCGAGGTGAGTCTTTTGCAACCAAGATGGCCAGGTGAAGAGGTGGAGAGGAGTTCATGGGAAGATAGTTGATCTGGAAATAGGAAGAGTGGGCAGTGCCGTTCATCTGTCCTTGCGAAGGTCTACGCTGGCGAGGGATAAAGTCTAGGCGAAGTCTGTTGGGACCTGGTTGTAGATAGACGAGTGCTTTGAAGTGCGAGTCGCTGACGGGCCATGACATTGGAGGAAAGCAGTCTTGGTGCGAACAGACGACAATGTCGCCGTCGAGTGGTTGTGACGGGTCACCGACCTGGCCGTAGATGAGAAGAACTTTCTGGTGGACCCACGATCCCTCGGATGCCGAGACAACACGAGGTGCTAGCGGGGACATGTACTGGGTTGGCTTGGGTGAGCCATTGACCGACCCCTGCTCTCGTGTCAGTCTTCTGTAGCCAAGATAGGGTCGTGTGTGTACTCACGGCGATGCTATAGCGGCTGCTGTTGTTGTTCGATGGGGCGGGTCGGGAACCGAGTGGAGGAGTCTTGCTACCGTTCATGCCGGCAAGGTTCGTGTTGGAGCTCGAGACGGACTGCAGAGAAGGAAGAGGAGGAGAACCCGAGGGGAGCGGCGGAGACTTTCCACCAAAGACCGAGTTCAGCGTTGAGGAGGATTTGTTTCGAGGCATTTCGGGGACAGGTTCGACGGTGGTTCCATCTTGAGAGCGCGAGTCATTGCTGCTAGAATGTGAATGGCCATCGTTTCCAGAACCAGTCTTTTCGTTCTTGAAGCTGGCCTTTGACCTCCGGCGGAACTCTTTCAGGAACGAAGGCATGGTGGTGGTAGTCGCCTAGTACCGCTGTCCGGTACGACGCAGCAGGAGTGGTGGTATAGACTGGGGATGCGAATATGCCTCGTTGGCAGCAAACGGAGGGAGGTTTCAGAAGGATCGAGCTTGCGACGGCGGGTGATACGGATATGCGCGACACAGCGGTTGGCTGCTGGATATGCACTCTGCCGCAAGACAAGACAGTAGGGCCCAGACGCAGAGAGGTACGGAGTAGGCGCTTCAAACACTGGCCAAGCAATTCTGACCAGAGTCAAGTCAGGTTTGACAGAGGGAGATACAGAGGTTGGGCGGGACGGAGAGAACTGTAGGTTCGGGAGAGGATACGAGAGCCGCACGCGGCCTGGAAGCTTGACTTGTATCCTTGAATTCTACATGTGTCCGTTGAGAACTTGACTTGAGCCTGGCTGCCAGCCTTGGACAAATGACGACTCTCTCGAGGTGTTGGCCGCGCCCGTGCCCCGGGCTTGCATGTGCCCTCGGCCACTATTCTATAAAGAGGTACGCCACATATTAACCTTGTCTTGTGGATCGCTGCATACCGACCGTTCCGTGACTGGCTAGGCGTCCGAGGGCCTGCTCATCCAATAAGCCGTGGCTCTGCTCGACGACATGCACACTGTCAGCATCAGACGCGACATGTTATAGAGAACTGCTTTTCTGCATGTGCGAACAACCCCCGAGTGTTGCTACTGTCTGTGATGTCTGTGACCAATGTTCAGCAAGCTCGTAAGCTGGACGGAGTCGGCATTGGCGATTCAGCATGCCAATTTGCTGCTCCTCTTCCAAGACAGAGAGCCAAGGGCGCGACTTTGCAATCCACTCTCTTTTCATCACTTTTCAATACCGCCTCATTGTGTTGGAAAGCGATCAGTCAGGGGGATTCAAGAGCAAGGGAATTGCTGCTGTAGATTGACTGCCGAGAGTTGACCAGTGTTGTTTCTTGTTGTTGCTGTTGCTAGACGACGAAAGACATCAATACGCCGATTTGAGAATGTACCTGGAAGAAGCAAATACAAGGCTCAAACTGTTGCGGAGAGGTGCGACTTGATGACGAGACGAACCAACGGGCTAGCGATACTGGTCGTGTTTGATCGAGATGCGGCGTGATTCAGTCAAAATGCCCCTCGACTCGGTCCCAGACTTTTGCAAACCTGACAGCGCTTAAGCCTTAGCGTATAACTGCCCCAGCAACATGGCCATGCCGAATGCATTCCACCACCACTCTATGCTCGAATCCTCGTGCATAATTGCTCTTTGACCACGCTTTTCTCCTTTGACCAAACTGTCGGATTTTCTCCTTAAACCCATACTCCTCACCACCCAGCAGCGCATCTTCTCCATCACCATCTCATATTTTCGAGCGCCATGGCAGAAGCCGACGCTACCGGCACTGATGTCGCCAACAGAGTAATGCGCCGGCTCGAGCTGTCAAAGGTATGAGAGCTCCAATGTTGACCGGCTTGTTTATCTACGTCACTAACACCTTGTCTGTCGCAGATGACCAGAGCATTGCAAGACAGGCTGGCACTGGCCAATGTCAAGATCAAGCATGGCTGGGAGAACCTCAGTATCGACTCCATCGAGCCTCACATCGACCAACAACTCAAGCGTAAACGGACCGCCTCGAGCATCAACGACAGCTACTCCGACACCTCGTCCAGCGTCTCAAGTCGCTTCCACTACATCCCCGGCATGGCCTCGTCGCCCATGACTGCCCCCATCTTCTCCGACGATATGCCTCGGCTAGGCAGTTCTCACAGCAGTCTCCATGGCAGCACCCACAGCAGCAAACGTCCGAGGTTCGCCGACGTTCACAGATATCCTGCTTCGAGCAGCCAGACTGGTCGCAAGACTCGTAGCGCTCTCGCCGTACAATCGTGGAAGAGGTCACACAGGCTTCCGGAATCCTCTCCTGTCTATCACAACAGAACCGCGGTCTTTCCCTCAACCCTCCATGTTCCGAAACTGTCCTTCATCTCCGAAGGCTCCAGCCTCATCGACGATGCTCCCTCTCCCGAACTGTCCGAAGACGACGACACCGATCTCCCTGTACACTCGTTCCATGTCGATAGCGACCTCTACAATATTCGCTCATCACCTCCCAAGACGCCACCCCCTCAGCACCGCTTCTCCCGCACATCCAAAGATGGTGACAACGATTCTGGTCTGTTCGGTTTCAATACTTCTCCTACTCCAGCGAACGGTGTCAGTTCTCGAGTCATTGTCCCAACCACACCTCCTTCCAAAACAACCCCTCTACCATCATCCATGATGCAGACCCCTGGGGGAAGCAACGGTCTCTTCGGCTTTGCACTGAACACGCCTTCCAACAACTTCAATTTCGCCGACTTCTGCAACGTTACGCCGAGTCCTGCCCAAGTCAACTGGTCTGCCAACAAAAGTCCTTTATCGGCACGCGAGCCACACCGAAAGCTCAATTTCGACGGCCTCTTGCAACCAGGTTCCAGCCCTGAAGTAGCGAGATTCACCAGCGGTGGCACTCTGGAATTTGGAGCCCTCCTCCAATGAGCTCATCCCTAGCAAACATTCCTTTCACGACGACACGATATCTAGACAGACGTTTGGATTTCACGACCTACTGGGGCACACCCAATTACCGATACCCGCATGTTCTTTCTTTCGTCAAATTTTCCTTTGTCTCAATGGTCAGGAGAGGGGGCGCCGGGTCAAGGGGCGCCAAGTGGGCGGCCAACATGGCGTTAGACGCGCTTCGTGTTCATTTCGCGTGCTTTTGAGTTTTCGAATTATTTGGTGGAGCGGCAGGCCAAAGACGGTCAATGACGAGGTGAGGGGTTGTCTCAAGGAGCCTTTACATAGCTAGCATAATGACATGCCTAGACCACAGGCTGGTATTCTTTGCACGCACATTTCCTTCGGTAAACCATCAGTAGAGTTAGACAGGGGTACGCGCTTGAGATTGGACCGAGATACTCTACTCGATAAATTGCGCAGAAAGCCGGCTCAAGTTGCCAGCGTCAATTAGGGGTCTAAGGACCGAGACGCCTTTGATGACCGTCGCATCTTGAACTTTGACCTTTCTACATACAAGATTATGCGCCCGCGATGAACACAACAAGTCACACCCCAGATGCCTTGGGCAACGCCCTCGAGCTCGTCAACCAGGCCTTCGACCAGGTGCAAAAGATCCCCGGTTCCTCGATCGTCATCCGATACATCCGCTCCAGCTACCAAGATGATCCTGTGCGCTCAGCCATGGAGCTGTTCCTGTTCCTCTTTGCCGTCTACTATCTGGTCTCGCCCGCATACTCGACGAAGAAGCAAAAGCAAATCCCCCTGACCGAAGAGGTACACTCGACTACAACCATCCACTGTCTGCGGCTCACTGACACGGAACCCAGGAGATCGATGAACTCGTCGAAGATTGGACCCCCGAACCATTGGCAGCGCCCGTCACAGCTTTCGAAGAGGCCGAGAACGAGAAAAGACCTGTCATCGTTGGGTGCGCAACACAAATTGGCCCTACAGAGAGATGGAACTTCGCGCTGATACACAATACAGTCCTTCAGCGCCCAAGTCAAAGCTAGCGAATGGCCGAACCGTAACGAACCTTGCCACTTACAACCACTTCAACTTCATCAACTCCGAAGCCATCAAAGAGGCTGCCGTCAAAACTCTCCGCGCTTACGGTGTCGGTCCCTGTGGTCCCCCTGGTTTCTACGGCACCCAAGATGTTCACCAAACCCTCGAAGCCGACATTGCCGCCCATCTAGGTGCCCCCGCCGCTATCGTCTATGCTCAGTCCTTCAGTACTATCTCCTCGGTCATTCCTGCTTTCTCCAAGCGCGGCGATATCATTGTCGCGGACAAGGCTGTGAACTTTGCTACACGCAAGGGTATCCAAATCTCGCGCAGTACAGTCCGATGGTTCGAGCACAACGACATGGAAGATCTTGAGCGCGTCCTCGCGAAACTGGTCAAAGAGAATGCCCGCAAACCACTGACTCGCCGTTTCATCATCACCGAAGGTTTGTTTGAGAATGTTGGCGATCTCGTCAACCTTCCCAAGCTCATCGAACTCAAGCAAAAGTACAAGTTCCGCATCATCCTGGACGAGACGTGGTCATACGGTGTACTGGGTCGTACGGGTGGTGGCGTCACGGAGCAACAGAACGTGGACGCCAGCCAGGTCGACATGATCATCGGCTCGCTCGCTGGTTCTCTCTGTGGTGGCGGTGGCTTCTGTGCTGGTAGCGAGGAAATTGTCGAACATCAACGTCTTTCTGGTAACGCGTACACTTTCTCGGCCGCTCTCCCTGCTATGCTTGCCACAACTGCCAGCGCAACCACCAGAATGTTGCAAGAACAACCCGAACTCCTCGTCGCACTGAGAGAGAACATCCGCACCATGCGTGCTCAACTGGATCCCCGCAGCGATTGGGTCACTTGCACCAGTGCTGCTGACAATCCTGTTCTGATGCTCGTACTGAAGGAAGAAGTAGTCGAGAGCAGGCAACTGAGTGCTCCCGAGCAAGATGCCATCATGCAGGATGTTGTTGAAGAGGTAAGTCAGATTTCCAACTAACTCGCGCGCTGGTCTTTTTACTGACTTGGTTCAAACAGTGTCTTGCTAATGGCGTCCTGATCACGCGACTGAAGAGTATGCCCCCACCGCTAGGCGGTACACCTCGCGACGAAGGCTGGCAGCCTCAATCTGCGGTCAAGGTATGTGTTACTACTGGTCTGTCGAAGAAGGAGACCGAGAAAGCTGGTGTTGTCATAAGGCATGCCATCACCAAGATTATGACACGCAGAAAGTAAATGAAGCAAAAGCCATGTCGTGTTTTTGAAGAAGTTCCTCTCGACAGCGATTCTCACGATGGAGCGATTTGGTTCGGAGTCTGTATAACAAATATATATCCCTTGTAATTGTGAAATGCAAGTCTTCTTCGTATTCTTCTCGAAGCATTTTGGGATGCTATTTTCTGAGATGATTTGCCCTCCCGTGTCGGGATAGATCGTGATCAGTCCACGCACAGACCTCTCGAGCAAATACGTCATGCTACCGCTCATTTGGAGAGGCCGCGCAAAGAGAGAGGCTTGGACATTAGGGACAAGAAGTTTGAATCAACTCAGGCGTGTCCGATTCAGAGGTTAACCAGATCATCAACATACACCCACCTCCCTCGCTTTTGCATGCAGAAACTTCCGATTGCACCTATACAATGCTGGGCCGCGGGAAGCCAGCAGCTTCTATGCAGAAGACATATGACGATTGTTACTTGACATGCTCGACTGCTGTGTATTTTGAGGGTCAGGTAGGTTGAACAACGACAGTGGTCAGGTACAGCAGCTGACGGTATTTCAGAACAACGAGAACGAAGCTCTCCGATCATGGCGCAATGCCCTGGACCAAATATACTACCACAACGCATATCGAATGCCCACCGGATGGCGACCACGTTCCGAGACGGAGAAAGCCCTGCAGGAGTCACTGAGGCAGATGGAGATGCAATGCAAAGAGCGCGTGGATCTACTCGAGGCACTTCGACAGAGTCGGGAGGAAGCTACGGAGAAGGAAACACAAGCAAAGGCAACCGCGTCCAGCACAAGCATCCCACTCCAGGAAAGTGCAGACAACAACAACACCGGCCTGAATGGAAGCAACATCCCTCCGGTGGACTACTCGGACATTTCACGCCCTACGCCTCCTTCTCTTTCACTCCGCACCAAACGACCATCTTATACTTCGAAATCGAGCTCCGGAACTGATGTTCCTCGTTCTCGCAGATCGCCCTTGCCGCCCGCTGTATCTGCGTTTCCTCCATCCTCATCATCAACGCTGGCACCCCAATCGTCGACCGGTCAGCGAAGGAGCTCGCGCACCCCTAGTCCCGAGAAGAGAGGGGGCATGCTGAGGACTTTGCGCGCTGGTGGGAAAGAGAGAACAAGTTCGTCCAGCAAATTATCCACTGCCACCTTCAGGAAGCCCGCTGCTGCTTCTAAGGCCGCCACTCAAGCATGGGGCATCACTCAAAGGGGTGCCAGTGTTGGCAGTGCGGAACAAGCTAACGGACACCTGGATGGTCCTGCTAGCTCTGCCACTGTCTGGGATCCTTATACGAGAACCCTCGTCGACCCTAATTCTTCTCGACCTCATGCGCCCAACCACACAGCCTCTGCATCTCCAGTTCCACTTCATTCATCCAGTGTTCGTTCTTCTCAAGAACAACCCAGGCCACTCCAAAAGCACGTCCAGCCACCGAGTCCACCCGACTACTTCGTCCAGCCATCCACTACGAACGGATTCCATTCTGAACCTCAGGGCCCACCGTATCCAGACCATTCTTTACTGAACCCAGTCCAACCATCTAAAGCATATGCCAGCAGTTCCGAGCACCTGGGTCCACCTTCGCCGATAACCTCACCTCGTCAGCGACCGAATGCCGCATTCACCGCCAACACTCCCAAAGCGCGAAGACAATCGCCTGTTCGCAGGATCGAACCTGTCAGCTTACCTTCCTATCGCAACGAGTACCTGCCTGTGCAGCCAAGCAAATACAAGAACCCACCAAACGCCCGGCCACCCAAGACTATGAAAGATCTGGAGAACCAGATATCGTCCTCGGCACCTGTCGCAGCAAGCCAACCAAAACCAAAGATCGCACCGCCAATCCCTAGGAAAGCAGTCGGTGTGGTCAATGCTGCAAAAGTACGGCAACAGCTTGACGAAAGGAACCTTTCATCTGGTTATAGCGCAGACGAACATAGTAGCGGAAGAGAAAATCCGACCAGGGCACGACGAAAGAAGCCTATCACTGTGGAAGAGGAGGTCCCAACACCAATCGCCGAGTCTGTCATCGAACATCCCGAAGCCTCAGTTGAACCGCAAGATGAAACATCTGAATGGGATACGCGCGTAAAGAATTTACTAAACAACCTGCCACGCGGTGTGGACGAAGGTGCTGCAAAACAAATATTCAACGAGATCGTAATCCAGGGCGACGAAGTCCACTGGGATGACGTTGCAGGTCTGGAGATTGCGAAGAGCGCCTTGAAAGAAACAGTGGTTTATCCATTCCTGCGTCCGGATCTTTTCATGGGACTTCGTGAGCCAGCTCGTGGCATGCTACTCTTCGGACCACCAGGAACAGGAAAAACTATGTTGGCCAGAGCAGTCGCGACAGAGAGCAAAAGTACATTCTTCGCCATCTCCGCTAGCAGTTTGACGAGCAAGTATCTTGGTGAGAGTGAGAAACTGGTCCGCGCACTATTCTCTATCGCAAAGGCACTGGCACCGTCTATCATCTTCGTCGACGAGATTGACTCGCTGCTCTCGGCGCGCGGTGGATCGAGCGAGCACGAAGCTACTCGTCGCATTAAGACCGAATTCTTGATCCAATGGAGCGATTTGGCAAAAGCAGCTGCAGGAAAGGAGACAAGTGAGAAAGATAAAGAGCGAGGTGATGCAAGTAGAGTGCTAGTACTGGCAGCTACGAACTTACCCTGGGCGATCGATGAAGCCGCGAGAAGACGCTTTGTCAGAAGACAGTACATCCCGTTACCAGAGGACTGGGTGCGCAAGCTGCAGCTCACAACGCTGATGGCAGCGCAAAAGCATAATATCAGCGATGAGCATTTAGATGAGCTAGTGTATCTGACTGAAGGTATGTCGTCTATTTTGGATATCGTAGAGTATATGATGCTAACATTGTAAATCAGGTTTCTCGGGTAGTGATATCACAGCTTTGGCGAAAGACGCCGCAATGGGGCCTCTACGCTCTCTGGGAGAGAAACTGCTATTCATGTCACCAAACGATATCAGGCCGATTGATGTCACAGACTTTAAGGCCAGTCTGGTCAACATCCGACCAAGTGTCTCTGCCTCTGGCCTCAAAGAGTTTGAAGATTGGGCCAAGGAATTTGGCGAGCGTGGTGGTTGATTGATCATAATATATGCATTACCGTGGCGGAAGCAGATTTTCGGTCACGATTCTCGGATAAGTTACCCTGGGTCTTGTCGCATCACTACTTGAACAGCGATCATGCATAAATTGTTCCTAACATTATTGTTCTACGATCAACCGGTGTATGCATGAGTGTGGACGGTCAGTGGTGATGCCAAGATGCAGCCGGAATCAAGGCTTCAGTCTACTCTTGCCATCTTCGACAGTATTTGACCTGCGATACGCCCACACGTACTGTCACGCACACTTTAGACCACATAGTCTACATTTGCATAAGTATATTCATCTGACTACATGCTGGTCAGGTAGATGAATATAATCCATAGAGCCGGGTGACACCACCACCGAGTATAACTTGGGCGTCATCATCATCGCTGGATGCATGGCTTGGCAAATGGTATCGCCAGCAGTCCAACAAAGTCCCTCTCCACGAGGACCAACAGTATTATTATCTCACGCGTGACCGGATACTCGCATCTGAGTGCATATCCCTAGAGCGGGTGGTAGTCAGCATAAGGATTCGGCCATGCCAACTTGGATCACTTTGCCGAAACCACGCCCTGGTGGCTTGACCGGTCGACGTCCCTGCATGTCAGAGAAATGATCCCCTCGCGACTGAACATCATTGGATGCTCTCCTGTCGGCCTTGTTCAACCTCGTCAAGTTTCATCTATGTTTAGGTCTCAAGTTCGGAGAAATCCTGCTTTATAGGCTGTCGAAGCATGGTGTGTGCCTGGCGAGCTCGGAGAGATTGTGATGCAAAGCAACTTGAGCCGCTGTTGTCTTCCGATAAGCCATCTTATACTCGTTGTGGACGGCCGCACAGAATCTGCAGGCAGTCGAGAGGAGTCTGTAAAATGTGCCAGCCATTCAATAATCCTTCGAGGACATGGGTGTTGTTCTGCTGTGAGGCTGAGCTGCAGCAGGCGGTTCTCTCAAAAGTACAGCTTATATCCAAGTGACCTCTGAAGTAATCGCCAGGAAGCTTCTTGTCGCATCAACAGCCATGGGGAAAATAATGTATGCTCTGTCTCTTGCTTCGTGCTTGTCGACTGCACTTGCTGTAATGGTTCCGAGGCAAGTAACATCGACACAATACACGAATTCCTCAGTCACGACCAGGACGTCTACCGATCCTTCCGTCTCTGGTGCATTTTGTTGTCAAGCTTATGCCCCAGCAGCGGCATTGAATTGGTGGTATACCGATACCACCATCCAGGCCGTTCAACGGACCATCGTCACAGAGTACTTGAGATACAACAACACGATCATCCCAACGGCTACAGTCACTATAACCAACTCATCTGCCGCTGAGGTGACCGGTAGCTACAATGCAGGCGCAGGTCCTATATCAATTCCAGGAGTCCCCACAGCTTTGAATGCGCCGCCAGCCTTTGGTCAGAAATACGATCAGACTATTATGCTCACAGAAACCCAAGAAGACTTCGGCTATACTACCGTGTAGGTCGTTGAGTTTCTGGCGTCGACTGCAAGTGTACTGATTCAAACTTCAGAGCAGCACCAACGCCATTCATCGGCTTCGGCTATGTTTTCGTGTTCTCTGGCACAGTCAACAATGCAGGAACATGTATAGGACAAGGTACTGGAATCTCTAGCTCGACCACAACATACGACGTGTACTCCGAGGCACGCCAATGGTTTGGAGGTGCGGCGTACGAGCCTCTTGGTCAATTGTCCCGCTACATCCAATACACCTATTTCTTGCTGTCTACCCCGTACATCAGTGTCGTCTCTACCACCTCAGGCGAGTGGTACAAGGATTTCACGTCCTCAAAGTTAGAAGATGCATTTATCACATATCTGGCTAAGGATGAGGTGGCTCTCTCTGCAGTACCGGACATTGCAAGATGCTCTCCTGCTTGGGGCGCCGGAGCACCGGGCGTTCATGTACAAGTAAGCTTCTTGACGATTTCGAGTGCTGTGACAAGTACTACAAATGGGCTGTACGTCGACAAGGCTACTACAACATCGGCGGTTCCGGCTAATCAGCCTATTCCAACCGGCCCTGTTAGCACGCCGGCAACCATCGTTACTACCAAAGGTACTCTAACTCCGTCGGCTCAACAGCCTGGACAACCATCTGCTCAGCTATCTGACCAAGCCGCCGATCAGACTTCTGGACAGCCCACTGGTCAACCCACACCTCAGCCAGAACCTTCGCCTTCCACCGCCCCACCAAAAGTATCCGAAGAGCTTGGATCGCCATCGCAAGGTCAGACTGATGTTCCAACAGCTTCCGAGATCTCACAAAATGAGCCTGTTCCACAGCCCACGCTCACTTTGGACGAGACACCCCAACCAATCCCACAAAAGACTACCGTGGAATCTCCAACGGCTCCAGTACAACACTCAGATGAAGTGATGTCTAGTGGGGGTCAACCCACAACAAATCCAGTACACACAACATCATCTGAGGACCAAGCTTCCAAACTACCCAAACCCAAACCGGTAGATTCTCAGGGTGGTTCCCAGGAGACTACAGAGGTTGATCCTGCGCAAGATGCTGCGACACAAGCAACTGTGAGCGGCACATCACCTGTCGAGACTTCCCAGAACGCTGCTCCAGTTGTGATAGGCGAGATTACTGCATCTCCTGCGACCTCTGGAGGTTATATCGTAGGTAGCCAAACCTTGATACCTGGCTCTGCTGTTGAGATTGCTGGTACATCCTATTCTCTGCCGCCGTTTGGCGGTGTTGCTGTTGTGAACGGAGAGAGTGTCCAGATCACTACCTTAGCGTCACCTACCGAGTCAGCTGTGCCAATCGTACTAGGTGGCTTGACGGGCAGACCGTTGTCATCTGGAGCCTACATTGTCGCGGATCAGACCATCAGTCGCGGTGGATCTGCTATCGAGATATCTGGCACCACATACTCGCTGGCGCCATCTGGAGAGAGTATTGCTGTGAACGGAGAAGCGTCGCCCGTGTCTGTCATCCAAGCGAGTGCAGTGCAGCCAGCAACAGTGGTCATTGGCGACGTCAAAGCGGCTCCTTCGTCGTCTGGAGCTTACTATGTTGTTGCTGGTCAAACGCTTTCTCCTGATGGCTCGGCGATAGAGGTCTCTGGAGTCACCTATTCTCTGCCAAGCTCTGGAGCAAATGTTGTGATCAATGGAGCCACATCAAACGCGAATGCTGCAAGTACGCCTGCTCCTGTCTTACTAGGTAGTCTTACTGCTGTGTCGTTCCTAGGTGGTGGCTATATTGTAGCCAGCCAAATTTTGAGCCCGGGAGGTACTGCGATGGACGTTTCCGGAACGACATATTCTCTGCCTGCATCTGGAGACACAGTCTTTATCAACGGAGCCCCGACTGCGATCCAATCTGCCGCTCTCAATGGACCCACTTCGGTCGCCAATGCTGTGGACACCCCTTCTTCTGTAGTCTTTGGCGGAGTCACTGCTACTCGGTTCATTGCAGGTGGTTATATCTTGGCCACTCAAACATTGAGGCCCGGAGGCGCCGCTGTGGAGATCTCGAGGACTACGTACTCCTTGGCCACATCTGGAAACACTGTGTTCATTGACGGAAACCCGACCGAATACCAAAGTCCTGCTGCTGCACCCCTTACGATTGGATCTCAGACTTTCAATGCTGTCGCTGCTTCCGTGACGCCGCTTGTCGTCGCTTCGCAAACACTTATTCCAGGTGGCTCTGCCATAACGGTGAAGGGCACAACATACAGTCTTCCCTCATCAGGAACAAGCAACATCGTTGTCGATGGTCAAACAACCACTCTGGCACATATATCTGGGGTTCCAGTTCTCTCAGGAGACTCTCAACAACTTTCCTTTACACCATTGAATTCTGGTATCGTGGTTGCTTCGCAGACACTTTACCCCGGTGGAGCAATCACTGTCAATGGTGAGACTTTGAGTTTGGGGACCAGTGGCAGTGTTGTGATCGCCAAATCTGGAGAGAGTACGACGACAGAGGGGCTTGGTGACTACATCTGGCAGGGAATTGCGACTTCGACTTCAGCTCCAGCGGCAGAGTCTGTATCTGGCTCGCGTAAGATGAATGGCTCAACCACGACGAGCGGTTCAAGGTCACTGTCTAGTACTGCCACTACGAGCAGATTGGCTGGAACTAGCACTTCAGATGAGAGTGCGGCTGCCACAGCTTCTACAAGTCAGGCAGGCCATATGGAAGTGGGAAGGATGAGCTGGTTGTCCATGTTACTATGTCTTGTATCGACTGTGCTGTTTATGTGATAAGGAAGGTTGGGTGCAGAAGCAGGGTGCAATAATGGATTTGACCTACATAGTACCATGTCGTGGCGAAAGAAATGTCCAGGCCCTGACAACGTGTTACCAGACAGCTCTTGTAGTTCGAGTAACACTTTTGTGATCATGTTCTTGACCTTTGACGGTCTAAATACCACCCGAGTCATTGTTAGGGCCATACGTACGAGTGGAAGCTAATCAGAAGAGGGATACCAAGGCAATACATCGGACGGAAGTGGCTGCCGAGGAAGTCGCATGTCGCGCGTCATCTGTCCTCATTTCAACGCAACTTTCACTCCACTCCAACACTCCAGTCAGTTTACCGAAGCGCTATCGGTCAGCTCTACACTGTTCGACACATCACTCCAACCACTCATCTGGACCACGGAAATCATGTCGTCTAACGCAACACCGACCACAACAACAGCACCACCTCTGATCCCGACACCCACAACGACCCAGCCACCTCTCCCACCACCACAAACCTTCGACATTCTCCCACCTCTCCACGCCCTCCTCTCTCGTCTGGAGCCCTCCTTGAACGTGTATACCCCCGACACATCAGCCGCCCTTCCACCAAACAATGCTCCCCACACACCAGTCACCTCAGCCTCTGCACTACCTACCTCGGCACCACAACAACTAGACTACAAAGACGCCGCCGTAGCTGCACAATTCCTAAAGAGCAGGATAAGAAAAGCTTTGGCTGATCTGGGTGGCTTGGCCGATATGCACAGGGGTGTCGAGGAGCAAGAGGAAGAGATCAAGAGCTTGGAAGACAAGATCCAGAGACAGAAGGACGTCTTGGCTAGGTTGGCTGTTTTGGCCGACCAAGACAAGAGTTGAAAGTCGAACGAGTCAGCAAATCTCTGAAACTCACAACAACATCCATGGCTCGCGACAACGCCGGTCGCACGCGCAGTTTTGGACAGGCACTGAAGGGAGGAATATGGTCAGACTACAGGAACTACCACGACATCCTGTGAGCCACTTGTGCCCACTCATTTATTCGGAAGCACCACATCTTCCGGAAACATTACGAAGCTCAGGAAGGACGCGAAACCCCAGGCTACACAACACATACGATCTTTGGAAAGGGCTCTTGGTGTCAAGGACCGATACTTCAAGCCCACCAAGCAAAATCTAGCTGAGTAGGAAGCACGATCTGAACAGGCGGGTACACGACTCAAGAGTATGAGGTCCGACAGAGCAACCGCTCAGCGTGCCAAAGTCTGTGGCCTTCGACTTCGCACTACGAGTATCAGGACTGAAATTGTTGCTTCAAAATGCACAACAATTTCCGGACCGAAGATGCTTCTAAAGAGAGCCAAAAGTATATCGTTTCTCGATAGATCACGTTGTGTCTCTCGAGATTCTCACACATTTCCATCATCACATACGTTATATCCAGTAGGACGTAGGTCACAGAGGTCAGAATCTCGAAGACTGTATTCATCATAAGCAGCAAAGTCAATCAAGTGATTCGTCCACGATATTCACCAGACAAGCCCTTCCTCCTTGTTTCACCACTTACACTCCCCTCTCATGACTAAAAACGGGCGTAGTTGTAGTTGAAGCTATCCAAATCTATGTTTCCTCTCAAGATGGCGGACAAGTCCATGGTGAGCCGATGATTCCACGACTCCAACTTCGGCGCTTCTAGTTCATCAAAGAAATAGTTCAAATTCTGAAGCATGTCATATCTTTGCACGTAACAGAAAGAGAAAAATTGCCCGAACGCAAGAAAATTCATACTGTCAACCCTCTTCCTGCAATGGTTCCGAAGTAACTTTGTCGTTCCATGTAAAAAGGCACGATAAGTGTCTGAGATCGGGGAAAGGGAGCCAAAAGAGGTTGGAACAAAATATCGCATCTCGATGGTATATTCCTCTTCTGTACTACTGTGCATTATTCACAGTCCATTCATCACATACTCTTGGATACAGAGAGAGGAAATAAATACTGAATTTTGTGATTCACATCATCTCACCTCGGCAGCACGCCAACGACTTGCGGACGACAAAAAGGCACAGTACTTCATGGATCAGGGGTTGACCAAAGAGAGCCCGTGATTCTACCACTCTCAGTGGATAATCTCTTGTCTATGGAGGAACTGTGCATTATCGTAGGCACCGCGTGACATGCTTTTGTACACAGAGAAGAAGAGAGGTAGAATTGAAAGCTACAACGCCAAGTCTATATTCATCAGAAGAGGAGAAGCCGATTATGTTATTCGTTAATAATATTCACAAGAGAAGCCACTTTTGGTTTCGGTCTCGGTCCAGAAGCCTTCTAGGCCTGAACCTTTGCGTTTCTGCGCTCGGCTGCTGAAGCAGTGAGCTTGAGTGCCTCGGGAGCATCCTCCTTGGGCATGTACATCTCGACGAACTGCAGGTATGGGGCAGAGTTGAAGTTGTCGTCGGCCATAAGTTGGTCAAGCTCCTCGCGTGACTTGATAGTGTAGGTCTTGTACTCGCCCTCCTTGGCTCCAAATGCGGGAACGAGATCCTTCCACTTCCACTCCTGAACGTCGTTGTACTCGGCGTTCATACCGTGGATCATGCGCTCGATGGTGTAACCGTCGTTCACGATGAGGAAGATGATAGGCTTCAACTTGCGGCGAATCATGGTCGAGACCTCCTGAGCGGTCAACTGAAAGGAACCCTCACCAGTGAGCAAGATAGTACGATGCTTTTCACCCTTCTCCTCCTCGAGCTCCTTAGCAGCAAGAGCAGCACCCTGAGCGGAGCCAGTAGCATATCCAATCGATCCCCACAAGACCTGAGAGATGAGTTGAACCTTGGCAGGGAAGCGAGTTTCCTGAATCGAAGCTTATTAGCATGGCAGACATGGTTTTTGTACATTCATCAAACCCACGAAAATTCCGAAGTTACTGGTGCCCGTCTCGGTAAGGACAATATCCTCCTCACGCAGCCATTGGCCAAGACGAGGCCAAAAGTACTTGTGTGTGATGGTCTGGCTGTTGTCTTGGCTACTTGTGCGGTTGGTAGGCTTGGGACCAGCCTCAACGTTCAGCTTGCCCATCTTGTCGACGACCTTACGGAGGACGCCATTCATGCGGACGCCGGGGTATTGTGAGTAGCGGACCTGGATGAAGTTGGAGTGGAAGTCAATGGTGGTCAATTGACTCTGGCGGAACGTGAAGCCTGCCGTGTTGAAATCGGACTTGATGGCGCCAATGCTGAGAACCAGGTCGGAGCTCTCCACACGGTCGCGGACACCTTCGTTGGAGCCGTCTCCGGCGTAAACACCGCCGTAGTTGGGCAGAGTCTCATCGATACAACCCTTACCCAAAGGAGCGACGAACGTGGGCAGGCCAGACTTGACCACCAAGTCGTGAGTCTCCTTCTGAGCACGGTGACGGATGGCACAACCATCGACCAGAATGACAGGGTTCTTTGCTGCGTGCAGGTACTTCAGAACAACGTCGACAACGTAATCTTCCTGCTCTTCTGGGTTGGGAGGGTATGACAGGTCGATGGGCTGATCGAGTCTCTCGCCCTCGACCTTGTCCTCGACAATGTCACAAGGTAGACCGATGTATACGGGGCGTGATTGGATGTAACATTCGCGAATGACGTGGTCGATCTCGGCAGCGGCAGTATTGAGATCCTTGATGTTGGCGACAGCACAAGAGACGGAACGGAACATGTCAACGAAGACATCGTAGTTGCCATTGCCGAGAGTGTGGTGGAGCAAGAGTCCATCCTTCTGTGCTGACGTTGCAGGTGTACCGACGATGTGAACAATGGGAACATATTCCGAGTAGGCGCCAGCGATGGCATTGATAGCGGACAATTCGCCTACACCGAATGTCGTAATAAGTGCAGACAAGCCTTAAAGGATGTTAGTGTATGCTGTTGGGAGAGTCATTGGCTCAATATACCTTTGATTCTGGCGTAGCCGTCCGAAGCGTAGCCAGCGTTGAGCTCGTTGCAGTTACCGACCCACTTGAGGCCAGCCTTCTCCAGGTAGTCAAGGGCGACAAGGTTGTAATCACCAGGAAGACCGTGAACAGAGCTGACACCGCATTGCTTCAGACGAGCAAAGAGGTATTCGGTAATGGTGATAGGCTTCTTGAGCGAGCTTGTGCGAATATCTTGCGAAGCCATGGCGGGGTAGTTGTATGACGATTGAAGAAACACAGAATAGTATGAGAAGAGAAAGAGAAGGCTTTTGTGTTCGGAGGGTCCGGATGGTTTATATCTGGAAGGGTAGGATGCAGAACGAGGCTTCAACCGCTGAAACAGCTTCCTGGATCACCCTTGAAGCTCTTGCCCGAACATGTGAGTAGGTATGACGATGCAGGGCCGATTCGGAACATCGTGGATAGGCCCGACCAACAAAAAGTCACCCCATCGCCAGAACCTCGCCATCCTCTGTACGGCCTTACTCAACAGTACGACCGCCTCCGTACGTATCGAATTGAATCACCACATCTTCCAAGTCGTATGTCACAAGAGGCGACGAGCAATCAAAATCGTATCGAATGCCATCTTCCGGAGAACGTCCCGCGACAAAAGTACATCTCACATGAGATCATCAGGAGCTTGGATCAACGCCAATATGAACGAGTTGCTTAGCCTCGGCTGCTCCCGGGCCTGCGAACGTCTGCTTCCTGATACCATCAAGACTCAAGAGCCAGTCTTCTGATGCTGACACTGCATGTGTACCGACGATGTGAATGTTGGGACCACTCTTTCGAGTAGACGCCTCTGATGGCGTGATGACTGGGAGTTCTAATGTGATACGCAGGGCGGACGAGCCTTGAACAGTGTGAGCCAATGCTGTCACGAGAGTCACTCGGAGAACGAAGTATTCAATCAGAGAGAAAGAGAGAAAAGAAAAAACTTTCTATCAAACAAAAGGTGGTGTTTCTAAAGAACACCCAAATTGCTGACCTCACCGCTTTCTTCACGCGGTTGGCCAGCAATGCTGTAGCTGGCACGCCATCGCATGCGGACGGCATTGCCTTTGCCTGCAGCAACACCTTGTAAACGGATAGCTTGCTTAATGCCATCGACTTGGTTTGGTGACAAGTTGCGACCGGATTGTGGTTGGAGCTGAAGAGTGAATGCCTGGAATGATTCGTTAGTCTGAAAACACACTGGAATACACGAGTAGTTGAATTCTGGTCATACCTTTGTTACCGCGAGAAGGAGGGTAAAGTCGCTGATGGGTTGAGGAGTCTTGTTGGATATCCTGGCATCGATAGCCAGGTAGTCGTTTGCACCCGCCGGCCGTGAAATATGGAAAACAGCTTTTACGCTCGAGTCGATCACGGTAACAGTGTTAGATTGGGGCTGCTGCGGTTGGGCCGGGAGAGCAGATGAGAAGGTCCACTCATCATCACCGCCCAATAGCGATGCAGCTGACTGAGAGACTGCGGGTGATGCTGTGGGCTTGACTGGTTGTTGAAATTGAAAAGGCGATGCGGTGCGAGAGCTACCGGACAAAGCAGCGAATGGATCCGCTGCCTTTTGTTGTTGGAAGGAGTTCGATGCAGGGGCGGGAGACGAAATCATGCCGAAGGGGTCGTAGTTTGCTCTGGCTGCTTGAGGTTGAGCAGGAGGAGGGATAGCAGCAGGTGCAGGTGCAGGGGTTGGCTGTGAGCTTGAGGGACCAGCGAGATCGGCCAGTCCATTGTTGGGAGAGCCAAGAGTCAAGGCACCACCAGAACCATAGACAGAATCGCCCATGGACAGGCCAAGCAAGTCGTCCTCCAAAGCATTGCCCCTAGATTGAGGAGCTGCCTGCGAAGACTGAGGTTGAGCAGGCTGAGCAGCTTCCTCCTCTTCTGGGCCACCAAAGTCGATCAAAGACAACTCATTGTTAGGTCCGCTCTTAACACCGGCACCACTGATACCCAAAGTGCCAGCAGCGATTCTGTTGGCACCCTCGAGATCGCCCTTCTTGATCAGCTTGTATCTCTCGCTCGTACGGTGGATACTATCGTTGATTTCGAAAAGCTTTGCGACAGCTTCAGTGTCCTCGGACTCTTCCTCGCACATTTTCTGAATTTTTGGGTGCGCGCTGGCCAGGGCATTTGCGAGTTCCTGGTATCATCAGTATTGTATGGCAAGATGGAGCTGCTCATGTTACTCACCTCAAAGACATCACCCTCCTTGATCTCGTCACCTGGCTTATACCCTTGCAACATTTCTTCGAGCAATCTTGCCTTTTGCTGAATCTTGCCAACCTCCTCTGCAGCCTTCGCACGGTAGTCTGTCTTGCGGCGAGTGTCAAAGCCGGCCATGATCTTCATAAGCTTGTTGGCCTCTTGCAAATCGTGAGGGGTGCCCCTGCGAATGAGTTCCTGCAACTTTGCCGACTGAGCGGCGCGTTCTTCCTCCTCCATCTCCTCGGCTGACCTGAGATCGTTTGTGGGATTTAGCACAGCAGCATCCTCTTTCTTGACAGCGGGGAAGGTGTAGCCCTTGTAGCTCAGCAGACGGTGCATGTCGCGGATGAAGCCCAAATCCTCCCTGTACTTTGATGTGACACAGATGGTGGAGCGCCATTCTTCGATGAGTTCAAGGATACGGTTCTGGACGCGGGTAACACGGATGGGAGGGCGTTCGGGGAAGCGACGGACGAGCTCGTTGAGGAAGTCCTTTGTGCTGACCTGGAGGTGGAAAGCATAACCGCAGTTCTTGACACAAATGTCGAGCAGGGTCAAGGACAGCATGGACACGTTAGGATTGCGGTGGTTGACATATTGCACAATAGCGACGGCGGCCTCGCGCGGAGCGTTTCCCTTCTTAGCATTGATCAGGTCGGCTATCTCGAGATTGAGGGCCAGGTTTGGCTCAAAGTTTTGCGGGTCGCAGGCATTATCTGAAGGGAACAGTTAGACGGACAGAGACGCAGTGAAGCACAGAGAGCAGACACACGGATGTAGCGCTGCAACGGGGTTTGGGGAGCAGGTCCCTCATGAACCCAGCGGTCCCGGGCCGCGTATCTAGCTGATGCTGCCTCCACGATGGGCGATTGTGAGGTGTTTCGTGTTGGAAAGCGTGTATGTGACGAGTGTATGCTGGACAAGGAGAGCAGCTTCCAAGTGAAATATTGTAGCGATAGCGAGTATGTTGCAGGCAGCGGTATGCACCACGTTGTGGTGGACTACTGTAAGGTACCTACTCCTCCTAAGCTTCTTGGCGGGCTCGGATTATGACGAAGTCCTCGACTGCCTGACTCGCGTCGATTTTCCTAGACCATCTCGAATTTTGCCTGCAGCTGCCCCTCATCTCGTCATTCTGTCCTTCAATCGTCCACTCGAGGTCCTCCTCTCACTCTATTCCAAACCCACCTCGTTGGTCGCATCTGACTCGAAAACACTTGTCTACAAACCACACTCGACAACAATCACCACATCCAACATGGTCCGCCACAAGAAAGACATGTCCAACAAGGGCAAGCGATATCCAAACAGTCGTTCTGCTCGCCCTCTACCCCCAGCTCGTGGCGAGGAAGGCCAGGTAGATCCTGCCGATTCCAAGCGTCCTCCGTACAAGGCTGCCGCCTGGGATCTCGGCCACTGTGACGCCAAACGATGCAGCGGCAAACGCCTGATGCGTCTGGGTCTCATGCGCGAACTGCATGTCGGCCAGAAGTTCGCTGGTATTGTCGTCTCGCCCAATGCAAAGACCATCGTCTCTCCCGCCGACGCCCCTCTCCTCGAGCAGTACGGTGCTGCTGTTGTCGAGGCCAGCTGGAAGCGTATTCAAGAGGTTCCCTTCGGCAAGATCGGTGGTCCTCACCAGCGTCTCCTGCCATACCTGATCGCTGCCAACCCTACAAATTACGGAAAGCCATGGAGAATGAACTGCGTTGAGGCCCTCGCCGCCTGTTTCTACATCTGCGGCAAGAAAGAGTGGGCCGAGCACATTCTCAGCACCTTCAGTTACGGTCAGGCTTTCCTTGACATCAACGAAGCTGTTCTCAAGAGATACGCTGCCTGCGAGGATGAGGCCGGTATCAAGAAGGCCGAAGAGGCATGGCTGGAAAAGATTGAGAATGAATACACTCAAGATCGTGCCGAGAGAGAGGCCAACGAGGACGATGCTTGGAGAGGCGGTAACCTGAACCGCACTCGTATGCTTGACGAGTCTGACGAGGAGGGAAGTGACGAGGAAAGCGATGGTGAGGAGAGGGAAGACAAGGACGAGGACGATGAGGATGAAGAAGAGGAGGAGGACGACCACGATCCCTACGGCCTACCGCCTTCAGACGATGATGAGGAAGAGATGGCCGAGCTTCGTCGTCGTGTGCTTGCGTCCAAGCCTTTCCAAAATCCCGCCCCTCCTGTTTCCGACGACAAGCCGCAACCAGGTCGCATCGCACAAACAGAACCCAAGCCTCTTCATGATTCGGACGATGAGTCAGGCTCAGATGTAGGCGATGCAGAAGATGACGACTTTGACAATATCATGAACGCAACTCCCATACTGGACCGCTCAGGAATTGGTGCAAAGCAAAAGCAGAAGGCTCAGGATCAGATTAGTGCTCGCTTCTCGAGGACTGTCATCGATGCGCCTTCGAAGTGGCCTGCATGAGCAGTCTCTCACAATTTACGATCATATATTTGTTGATACATCCAGCAAATGCTGTCAATCTTACGTACAGCGAAAACCAAACTTGGCATATGCGCTATGATGCGCTTTTATGTTCTTCCTGCACTCATCCGTTCTTGCCCATAGTGCTGCTGCAGCAGACAAGGTCCTCTTCGTGGTAACATCATTAGACCTGAGCTTGGATGCACATGGCAGCAAAGCAAACGCCGACCGTTGCCGAACAATGTGGAGCTAACGTGGTGCCCCATGAAAAGATTCCGTGCCGCTCCGGCTCTTCTCCAGCTCTTTCGACATCATCCTCTCCACCATGACCGAGTCGTGCCTCGACTCGAGCGGAGCTTCTGCAACCATGAGGCAGCGATCAGCAAGCATATTGGAAATTTCTCTGTTGATCAATGTAACCTGATGTCGGAATCGTGCTGGTAGATTAGTATTAATAGGAGGCTTCGTCTCGCTGTTGTGCTGTAAGTACATTTTCATTTCCCATCATCATGTATGCCTCTCTACTCGCCGCACTCTGTGTGCCAGCACTTGCGGTTGCTCGAACAGTCGTCACCGCCACCGAACGCGTCTGCATCGTCGAGCCTTGTGCAAATGGCGGTGACTCGGCTCCAGCCATCATCGAAGCCTTTGAAAAGTGCGGCCACAACGAAGAGCACTCGCGAGGCAAAGTTGTCTTTCGCAACGAGACCTACAACATTCACAGTGTCATGAACACTACTGGCCTGAAGAATGTCGACGTCGATCTCAACGGTCTCTTACTTTGGGACACAAACATCCCTTACTGGCTCAACCACTCTCTCCCTGTTGGCTACCAGAACCAGTCTTCCGCTTGGTTGTTTGGTGGAGAAAATATAAACTGGGATGGTCATGGTTATGCTACTCTCAATGGTTCTGGACAGACTTGGTATACCTTTATTAATGGAACCAACAACTAGTAAGTGCTGGTCCCTCCTAAGCTGTTAGTGTATACTGACTTCAACATAGTCCTGGAAGACCCCATCAGATCACAATCACTGGAACCAAGAATAGCAACTTTCTGGGTACCCGCTTTGTCGACTCACAGATGTGGACCATGACCATTATCCATAGCGAGAACATTCTTCTTGAAGATATCTATGTGAACAGCGCCGGCGACAAACCCATTGGCTTTGATTTCTCGAGTGAGAACACTGATGGCGCGGATACTGTGTACGCAAACAACATTACTTTCCGTCGTTGGAATGTCACCAACGGAGACGACTCAATAGCCATGAAGGCCAACAGCACCAACATCCTGATCGAGGACTGTGATTTCTACGCCGGCCTCGGCGTTGCCATTGGCAGCATCGGTCAGTACGACAACGTCTTTGAAACCATCGAGAACGTCACTGCTCGTAACATCCGGTCCTACAACATGAGATATGGCGCTTATGTCAAAACTTGTATGTGATACTGTACTCCGTTTCTGTTGTCAGCTACTGACTTTCTAGGGACCGGCAACTCTACTGGCTATCCTCCAAACGGCGGCGGTGGTGGTCTTGGTTATGCTGCCAACATCACGTTCTCCGATTTTGTCTTGTACAACAACACTGGTGTCTATGCACTCACACAATGTACCTCATACAACGGAGCATCAGGAGGTTGTGATTCTAGCAAGTTCAACCTCCGTGATATCCGTCTGCAAAACTGGACTGGTACTGCTGTCAGCGATGTAGTTGGTTCGATGCAGTGCTCAGCTGCTTCTCCTTGTACCGGCATGGAGATCATTGGTATCGATATCCTTGATACTGTTAACGGTACTGCCCCTAGTCAGTACTTGTGTGACAATTTGTCATCTGTTGGGTTCAACTGCACTGGTCCTACATGGGAGGAGAACAGCAGATAGACATAGTAAGCCAAAAGCATGTTTCTCTACTCGACTCTGGGATCTTGACGATAACGTGAAGATGATCTACTCATTGGATACTGCTAGCTCGTTGGAGGATGTCGTTGTACTGCTCTCTGGTAGGTTGCTCACTGGACATCAACTTGTTACTCCAAGACCACTATGCAATCTCATGGCTACTTGTTCCCTAAGTGTGGCCATTAGGGAAGATCATCGAGGCGAGGTCATTGATGAACCTTTCCTCCCAGATGCATCTCCCGGCACTGTAAGGTCTGCCTTCACTTCTCTAGAGCCCATGCAGCTCTCTAGGCCCGCTATGTTCCCCATGACAAATCATCTCTGGTCTGGTGGTCAAGTCACCAACCATCTAATCACCAGCTAACCCAACTCGGCAGTCACTAAATATCTCATTCACTACCACAATCAACCACCAACTTGTTCGAGTTCGAACCAGCTGATCAACAAACCATTTCGCAGCAACTTTCAACTGATTGGTTTTAGAAGCAGGTGCCCCTGAGAAATGTAGGGGGTCGAGTCAAACTTCTGAGGCTGGAGGATGTTTGGGAAAGGAGGAAAGGAGGTTATCATAAACAACACAACAATGACTTGAGAGAGGTAAGCAAAAAGCTCCCGACCACCAGACCAGTGATTTCTTTTTGGCTGAGTGTGGTTGATGCTGACGTTTTGCTTCCTAGATCTCGAATTGATAAGTGATACTGCCATTTTCTATCAAGACTGTTGCGCATCTCTACAGTACGCCCGTCAGATACCAGCACAAAAGAAGACAGAAAAAGCAGGATACTGTGTCCAGTCAAGAGGTTGAATCTCTTTAAGCCGGTGTTAGTGGAAAAGGGTTCAAAGTGGTTGCTCAAGATTGCCGCTTTGTCGACCAATCCATCGCGACTGCCTCAGGCAGCCACCGCAACAAAACCTGCTCGACGCGTCAACAGTAAACACAGCCGCTTCACTTTTCTTGTCCGTCAATTCACCGCAATCACACATCCTGCCCTTCTCCGCTACAGACTGACCGTCGCGTCAAACTGTCTCTTTGGCGCTCGCGGACCCAACCTCTTCCACACCCACGCAACAAAACCTCTGCAGTCTGTTCACCACATCTCGTTCGTCATCACTGCGTCCTACCATTGGCAACTCTAGAAGAGTGGCACCACGCTACACGACATGGAAAGACTCCCTCTCGAGCTGAAGCAGCGCATCTGCAGCTTCCTCCACGCCAACCCCAAGCTGTTCAAGCCCATCCGCCTTGTCTCCAAAGACTTTGCGTCAGCTGCTGCGCCTTATATTATACCTCGCATATTCCTCTTCAGACATCCAGATAGTTGCGACGAGGTCCAGAAGATTGTCCAGCACCCGGTGTTTAGCAAATATGTCACTACCATCGCTGTGGATGTTAGCAAGTTGAAACAATACGTAAGCTTCGAACGGTGGGCCGACGACCACGCAGAATTCCGGTTCCAGTATCCCGATTGGTGTGACTACAGGCCCATAGATATCCACTACGACGAAGATGGCAATCCAGTCCTCACTAATTCCTTTGCGCTGGGTATCTGGATCCGAGCAACTGAAGAATTCAGCCAAGCTTGGAAGGATACCATTGGCGCGCTCGAGGAACTCTACTCTACATTCTACGATAGACAAAAGTCCTTCGCGGACCATGTTCAAGTTGATGCTACCTTCGAAGCTCGATTCTGGAAAACCGTCACAGATGCCTTTGAGACATGTCCCAGACTCGCCAATTTCATCATCGCCCCTCCGAATATACACGATCCGGTCATGCGTAGAAGAGACCTCGTATTCCGCTCATGTCTTGCCACTCCAAGATCGTTCCTGCTGCCTGCAAATCATATCCCGCCTGAAGTTGGCCTGAAAGACATACTCGAAGCTACCAAGAACATCAGAATCGGGTTGAACTCTCTAACTATTGTGGACTTTCCGATCAATTGCGTCCACTTCTCAACGATCACAAGCGTGCGGTCGTTCGAGAGCCTGAAGCATATTCGCATTGGTTTCAATCGGCTTTATGACAATCCGTACACCAGCTTTGGCTTCAGTCTTGAAGGCGTTCTACACGCGGCGCGGTTGCTGGAGACCCTCTGGGTAGAGACGCCGCCTCGTCATGATAACCAGTACGATGCGGGTGGCTTGCTGCGTGCAATCAACTCAGAACATTTTCGAGACATCTTGCTGAGTAACGCTGTCGTTTCAGAAGACGCCATGGTTGACTTTCTGCTTCGTCACTCCGGATCATTGCAGCAGCTGGATCTGGGTATAACTATTAACCCTGGAACCTGGGTTCCGACTTTCCAACAAGTCGCAAAGCAGATGAGGGCGTTGAAAAGAATACAGCTCGTCGGCATATGCGAGATACACGCTTCCGAGAAAGTCATATTCTCTACCCAATGGTGCCTCGAAGCACAAAATTTCATCATCAACGGCGGACAGTTGTCGCAGCCCGAAGCTTACGACTTAGATACAGATTTCGGACCCGACGGTGAGGAACCTCTGAGGAATGGAGATCTGCCAGAGAATGGATTATGGAGTGATTATGATGCCAACGCGAACACCTGTTTCTGAGATCGTGTAGTCTTGATCAATGTGCGGCTTCGTTCGAAGGACGAGAGGAAACCGCACATGTAGCGCGACCAACCGGATGTGTGGGAGGTGGGTGCATGATATAACTTTCGGGAGTGTTCAAGGAGAAGCTTGCATCTGTAGCAGAGGACGTGCGGAGAAAAAGCAAGTGCATTCATGGAAAAGATGTTGCTTGACACAGAACAATACATATTAGCTGAACAGAAAAATCCATAGCTCCGTATCAAACAAGCCAAATCACATTGCTACAATGACTCTCGAAACAGATATTTCTTACGTCGGACCTCAATCATTGATCACTGACACAGTCTATGTCGGAAACTCCAGATTGGACAAGAAAGGATGTTCCGCAAGATTCTCCCAGAACCCAAGATCAAAGTCCCATGCTTCCAGATTCAAGTTGGAAGCCCAAGGTCCCATCTGCCCAGGCGCCGCCGCGTCATGATGAGTACTGATTTGACCATTCGGGTGATGGTCGTGTCTCTCTTCCGAATCGAGAAAGTTCTCAATAGTCTGCGCGGCTCTGGTGAGCAAAGCAAAATTCGGCTCTCTTGGATGGGACAATGCGCCGATTTGTATCTCTGCCACTAAGATCCTGAGATTTTGTAGCACTTTTGCGCGTGAGAGGCCGCCGAAGTGGTAAGGGTTGCGTTGTTCGAGGATGGCGAGGAGGATGATACCAGAAGCCGGTAAACCGTAGAGAATAACTTTCCAGACCAGACCGCTGCCGGAGTTGGCGAGGCGGTCGCGGGCGAGGACGGCTTGAACGACTAGCGTGAGCATCTCATGTGCTATCTGGATCATCTCGTCGTCTGGTTGGGCTAGACTGTTTAACAAGATAAATCGCACCAGGAAGCGAATGTGTATGTGGTCCAGCCGAGCGCTAATCAGAAAGTCGCGCTCGAAAGGACTTCTTCTGTAGTCGTTGAGGCAACTGACATCGTAGCGCATGTGCGTGGGTAATTGTTGCCATTGTGCTTCGGCTTTGGCGCAGATGACACTCGCTCGTTGGACGCAATGTTCGCGATTCTTCTCAATGAACAGCTCCAAGATTTCTTCCTTGAGTAACGCGCATAGAGCCGCCCAACTGCAACCCGCTCGGTAGTCAATCTTGATCTCGTTTGCCTGTCCGCCACTCTCAGTGCCCGAAGTGATCGCATTGATTTCGAATGAGTCCAAAGCAATTGGTATTCGGAAGTGACAGAATCTTCTGCTCAGGCGAGGTGGCCGGCCAAGGAAGATGGAGACTTCCTTGTCGTCGGTGTATATGCGTGCAAATGCACTTTGCCGTAGTTCAACCAAAAAGTTTGGGATTCTGGATCGAGTCTCGACTCGTTCGTGATAGCCAAGTGCGAGCATGGAAGCGATCACATCTCCGAGCCTGCGCCATGAACTGTAACTCTGGTCTCCGTCGACGAAGGTATGCACAATGAAGTTCTCATATTGGAATGCGAGTTGAAGATCGTTCAGACAGTCAAGTGACAGACAGACTTCCAATGCGTGATCACTCAGCCGAGTGGCCAGTTTTCGAAGTCTGAATTTGTCTTCATCAGATTTATACAGGGTAGGGAAGAAGGGGACATCGTTAGTAGCTCTGACTACTGCTGACAGAAATATACCCAAAGTCTCCAACCGAGCATTGTGGCCAGAAAATTGAGCCGCATATGCATTGAAGGTTGTTTCGGGGCCGAAGAGCAATGGACTTTGTGAATTCCGAGTCAAGTGTTCCATACAATTGTCTTTGGGTTGTCCAGAGTTTAGAGCTTCATCCATGCTATCCACGCACGAATCCAGAAGACTCTCGGCATGCGAAAGACTGATACCCTTGGCAAGCCAGAACGAGACTAGATCTTTCAGAGTACTCAATGGGTATTCTTCGAGAAGCAGTTTTATCAATGACGTGCCTTGTCTGCAGGCGATATCATCGTTGTCAAGCACTGCGGGTACAGACACTCCAGCCGGCACAGAGTCAGGTTCTGGCTGAGCCGTTGATGGTTCGTGATGTCGAGGAGAAATATGACTGAAAATCGCAGCAGAACTCAACGAGCCTTGGAAGCCTGGATTTGGATAAGGTCGAATGGTTGGCGTCGCTGCTGCGGTTGGTGGTGGCTCGGATTCTCGAGACTGACTGCCATTGCTAAAAGATCATTAACACCCGCTCAAAAAATTGTGAAACTTCTGCTTGAGTTTTACCGTGAAAGGTTTGTTCTAGGCGAAGGACCTAGATCTGTTCGTCTTCTCTTGAACGGCGATATTCGATATTCGCAAGCGTCGGCTCTATTGGCACCCAAGCATCGAGTGCATACCGGCCGAACGTGGTCACAGGCCAATTTGGACTTCCTACAAGGCTCGCAAGCTGCCTCACGAGGTGGCATAATTTCCTGATGCAAGTCGCGTTTTTCCTTCTGCTGCTATGGTTAGGTCGGAGTAAGGAGATGCAACAACACTCCGATTCGATAGGAGTGTTCGGCGAGTTCGGTTGAGAGCGGCTTGGCAAGGAGAATGAGGGGTGTCCCCACGCCTCGGTCGATACTGCCCCGCTTACTCCGATGACAACGACATGTCGTGGTTTCCGAGCATACGTCTCAGTCATTTCTCTTGACAGTCGTTCGTATCGAATAGTCAGTTGACCAAGTCTGTTCTTGATTCATTGGATCTGAAACCATCTCAACGATGGCCTCCACCTCAGAGGACACCATCACCTTGGCCGATTATATCTTTGCAAGACTACACCAACTTGGCATTCGGTCGGTGTTTGGAGTACCAGGCGACTACAATCTTCGGTTGTTGGACTTCGTTGAGCCTGCAGGCTTGCACTGGGTTGGCAACTGTAACGAATTGAACTCTGCATACGCGGCCGATGCATACGCTAGAATCCATGGCACAAGTGCACTTATTAGCACATTTGGAGTAGGGTTTGTTGATCAAGTCACTTCCTTGACAGCATATACTAATAGTCTCTAAGGGAGCTGTCCGCCGTCAATGGTATTGCTGGTGCCTATGCTGAAAAGGCTCCCATCATCTCCATCGTTGGGACGCCAGCCAGGGCTACGCAGGAGGCTCGTACCAGTGTACACCATACATTCGCCGATGGTGATTTCACTCGCTTTGCAGCGATGCATGTACATGTGACGGTCGCTCAGGCAAACCTTTTGGATCCTCGTACCGCTCCGGGACAATTTGATGTGACTGTGCAACAGGCCCTGATCCACAGCCGTCCGGTATATATCCAAATACCAGCCGATATGGTGGATGTGAAAGTGTCTTCGACAGGCCTCAAGTCCGACATTTCTTTACCGCCAACATCACATGGAGACAACGAGTTAAGAGTCGGCCGTCGTATCCTCGAACTCATAAATTCGGCTAAGAAGCCCATGATATTCGTGGATGGTGAGAGCAGGTGTTTAGACATCCTCGACGAGATTAACCAGCTTGTTAAGACTACAGGATGGCCTGTATGGACCTCGCCCTTCGGGAAAGGCTTGGTAGACGAGCATCTGGAGAGCTTCCAGGGTATCTACAACGGCGACTTAGGTAGCGAGAGCGCAAAGTTATACTTCGAATCCGCAGATCTGGCTCTGGTTTTTGGCCCTCACTTCAGCAGCACAAACACTGCCTTATTCTCAACCATTCCAAAGCAGGCAGTCTCGGTTTCATTCTCCGAACGTCATGTCAAGATCGGACATGAGATTACTCGCGATGTGTCGAACAAGAAGCTCGTAGCGGAATTGCTACAACAGCTAGACAGCAGCAAGATCTCGAAACCTGAAGGTCCTTCGAAACCAGATCGGGCACAACCATCGGTTGAGTCGTCTGGAATGCTCACTCAAAGGGATTTCTATCGTGTAATCAACCCCATGCTCAAGCCTGGCGACATCGTCATGGGCGAGACCGGTACAGCATCCCATGGCAGTCGTGATCTTGTGCTCCCGTCTGGGAGTTACTACTTCACAGCTGTCACTTGGCTGAGTATCGGTTACATGCTACCCGCTGCTCTAGGCGCAGCGCTCGCCCGTAAGTATCTGGACTATCACACTAACAATCTCTTATAGACTAACCGCGTATCTAGAGCGTGATTCGGAGAAGTGGAGACTTAGACCAGGCACCGCAAATGCCTCCGAAGACCGAGTAGTGTTATTCATTGGCGACGGCAGTCTACAGATGACTGTACAAGAGATCAGTACAATGATCAGAGAGAAATTGAATATTGTCATTGTAGTCATCAACAACGACGGCTACACCATCGAGCGTGTCATACACGGACGCAAGCAAACATACAACGACATTGCTTCTTGGAGATATCTGCAAGCACTCAACATGTTCGGGGCTACCGACGAGGAAGTCGCGACCAACACCTTGTCTGCCAAAAGTTGGGGCGAGCTGAAGGAAGTGTTGAAATCAGATACGCTCTCGAGCGGGAAAGGCGTCAGGATGCTTGAAGTATTCATGGAACGTGAGGATGCTTCAGGTTTCTTGTTGAAGCTTCTGAACAATCAGAAAGCTCGCGAGTCGGCCAAAATTTGAGTACCGGTTACGGCTACATGGAGCACATCGCTTGAATTATGACTTGGACGACCGATCATGATGAGCGGTCAACAAGGCTATTTGGGGATGTGTTTTTCAATCATCATGAGGCCATGGATGATACTGTCACGCGGCAACAATCGTCGTGAGACGTGTTGGCGATTTTGTACTACACGTGTGTTGCGTGATCTCCTATAGGAGGGTCCAGTGCTTGTCTCTGTCAGGGCTGTAGACTCGTGCTAGACCTTATCATATTTGAAGATATTTGCGTAATTCTTGATATAACCATCGTATCTTACTGCCCTAGGTTGTTGGTGTCACGTCGGCTTTCAACTTCCCTATCGGATCGAATGTTGCGGTTGAGGTCGTTCCACCCGGTACGGCTTTCAACTGCTTCTTATCTACACTAGTCATACCTGATACGCAAGGGGGTCGGATTGCTAAACGTAAGAGATTACTCCGAAGGATGGAAACACCAAAAGCTCAATACTCCGAGTTGTCCGACCATCTTTCCTGATTGTTACCTATATGTATACCTTTGTTTGTCCGCATTTGCTGGCCATTAGAAATTCATTTCGGAGTGTTTTCGATTGTACATCTCCAATTCAATTGTGTCAACCAGAGATTCAATTGACAGACTACATCTTTATTTTGTTTGGGTAGTCCTTTATTTCATCAATTCAACTCGCATTGTAATCACCATGTTGTCCCAAGCAATTGCCAACTACACTTCCCACCGAAGCACATCGGACCCGCTCCCCTCAGGTCCTGCCCCCTTCACCTGCTCAGAATCCTTCAAACTATGTCGACCAGGCACAAAACCTCTCGCCAAGAACTGGGATCACCACCTCAGCACAGAATGCCGTAACCGACTACCCTCAAACCTCAAAGCATCAGCCAGCAGTGTGAAACCCGGAGCTGATGGTGCACCGATCATCCCACAACGACAAATCAGTCTAGGCGCCGGTCGACCCATCCCAGAGTACTTCCCTTGGGACTCATTCGAGTTATCCGGGAAACACAGCAGAGGGCCATTAGACGCAGAAGATGAAGCAGTGGTCATGCCATGTACAAGAGGCGAGCAAGATTTCGACTTTGCAGTTGCATTGAACTACGGTTATGCAGCTGGATCGCCACAGCTGTTGAGATTCATCACTGAGCACATCGAAATGATTCATGATCCGCCATACGATGACTGGGAAACTTGTTTGACCAGTGGAACTACCTCGGCCATGGATACAGTGTTTCGTATGTTCTGTAACCGAGGAGATTGGATCGTCACAGAAGAATACTCGTATCCTGGAGCCATCGAGGCTGTTACACCGCTGGGCATCAACATCCTAGGTATTAAGATGGATGGCCAGGGTCTCATTCCTGAGGATCTGGAGAATAAGTTGAGGTCGTGGGATCCTTCTAGGGGACGCAAGCCTTCGGTAATGTATATTGTGCCTTGCGGCCAGAATCCTACGGGCGCTACTCAGTCGGCGGAGAGACGGAGGAAGATCTATCAGGTTGCTGAGGAACATGATCTCTACATCATCGAGGATGACCCTTACTACTTCTTGAAGCTACATTCGAGATCAGAGTCTGGAGATGACTCGCCAATGCCGGTTGACGAGTATCTGCGACAACTGCCACCGTCATATCTCTCTATGGATGTCTCTGGCCGTGTTGTGCGTCTGGACGCCACATCAAAGATTCTCGCCCCTGGACTCCGATGCGCATGGATGACATGTTGCTCTCAGATTGCCGAAAAGTACATGAACTACACTGAAGTGGGCAGTGTGGCGCCTTCCGGATTCTCTCAGGTTGCCATGTACAAGTTACTTGATGTGACTTGGGGTCATGATGGCTTCATTCGCTGGCTCGCATTCTTGTCCCACCAGTACCGTCAACGACGAGATGCCTTGGTCGCTGCTTGTGAGAAGTACTTGCCACCGGATCTGTTCACTTGGGTCGTACCCGAAGCTGGCATGTTCCTCTGGCTTCATCTTCAGTCACCAACTCCACGTGTGTCATGCTCGTCTTGCTCGGATTGTTCGATGGAGAAGGAGAAGGCGGCTCTGTTGGACCTTGAAGAGAGGATCTACAATCGTTCTATGGAGAAGGGAGTAGTGATTAGCAAAGGAAGTTGGTTTGCCGCTGAGCCTGATCAACTAAAGGGTATCAAGCTCCGTCTGACCTTCGCAACGGCACCTCTCGACAGCTTCGACTGGGCAGTCAAGCAGTTCGCAGACGCAGTAAAGAGCGAGTTGTAAAGTACTTAGGATACTCGTCCGGAATGTATCAAGAGTCACCTTTTTTTCACCTCTCCCCACAGACCATTGTCGTGTGATGCCTCCATAACAACGCACAGTTGTGGCAGCTTGGGAAGAATACCCAAGGCAAGTCCCGATATGTAACATAACATGCTTCGACCAGTCTTCAGCAGCACATAATGTAAGTTCCTCCGATTGGTCTCTGGCCGCATACCCTCGGGTTTTGGAACATCGATTTGTGGCAGAAACAACGGATGATGAGTAGTTGCTCCCATCTTCATGTCAGCCATAACTCCCCCTGCCATCAGGTATCCACCTGCTCTTTTTTCTGCGCGAGTAGTTGCACCTTTCGACTCCAGAGTTGCAATGGTAGCTCGTTTCTTGGTAGGTGGATCTTTGCGCAAATCTTGCCAGGTGTAGGAGCTTGTTGATGGTGCTGCAGTTGCACGTTGTGATTGGTGATGTGGAGGAGTCGTTGCAGAGATCGAAAGGTGCTGGTTCGGAGATATGGTGTGTTTGTGTCGACGGCCTGGTACTTTCTTTCTTTTACCGGAAGGCATAACGAACAATCGGCTGATAATTTTCAGGTGAGATAAGGATGCTTAGTTCGCAAGGGGAGTAGGTTGATAGATGCAACAGTGAGTATCAGAAAGGAGGCAGGACCAACTGAAACGATCGGAATGCAAAGTACCTTCCACATTCTAGGCAAGCTCCTGGAGAGCTGACGATGACATGTCTCTTCATAGTCTCTACCTTTTTGTTCAAGACTGTAGAACCGGCATGACATGTCTTTGTACACGGAGGCTCTGATGCACTGTGTTGGCTACAATGCTGCCCAAATGTTGCATTGATTCGGTGGGTCTGAGAAAGCAGGAGCGACTCAGGCTCTGCGAAATACGACATCTACCTACGATGCTGCATTCGCTTTTCGTGCAACTTGCTCGCCCACACCTGCCTCACTGGCAGCACTTGCACTCGAATCAGGCCGAGACACAGCCTGATTGATGTTCTTCTGCAAGCCCAATCCAGCAGTACTGTTTTGCTTCGCATTGCTCAGTACACTCTCACCATCGTCCATACTCGGCGGCTCTTCCGTCAATTTTCTGCCGGTGAACACGCCACTAGCTGAGTCAGGCGACAACACTGGTGCATTGTTTGAAGATGTCGAGAGACGGGGAGAGTAGGGCCCGTGGCTTCTAGTAGGTCCCAGGCCACGATGCACCTCAGTAGATTGGCGTTTAGCAGGACGTATGGTGTTGTCGGTGTTTTGCTTTTTCGGGGCGCCGCCACCACCTACCCAAGTCGTACCTTCACTCTCGCCTTGATTGAGGTGGAGGAATCGCTGTACTTTGGTTGCATAACTCTCTTCTTCATCCTCATCGTCATCACTGCCCTCGAAGTAAATGTCATCCCAAACAGCAGAACCTTGCGGATTGAGCTTATGCTTGATCGCACCACCGGCACTTTCTTGCAGTGGCTTCAACTCATCTCGATCTTCGCGCATGTCTGACGCACTTCTTTGAAGAGGCTTTCGCGCGTTTTGACCCTTGACCTCCTCGCCCGCCTCGTGATCAGCTTCGGAGTACTCTTTGGCACGATCGACAGCTGGTTCGTCTTCATCTCTGGTCGTCGCAGTGAATGTGTCTCCGAAGTGCGTATCGCAAAGATGCTTGACCACAGGCCAGCCATACGCATTGGCGAACATTCTTCGCACAATCATGTTGTTGTGTGCATCGGGTTCAAGGCGAACCAAGACCTTTCGCCAGGACAAGTCTTTGTGGTATGCTCGTGCAATCTTCTCTTCCACTTTCATGTTTCCCATATCAATTGGGGCCGCATCATCGCGAGAAGAGTGAGATGTTCTGAACGTTGCCGAGTCTGAAGAGAACGAACGCCCTATTCTACTGGGACGCTTGATTGGAGGCGGCGGAATGTCCTCGGGGTGGTAGATCCTGTCATGGAAGATGGTGCGCTCTCGAGATGCCGGGTCGATAAGCCAAGTGGTCGACGGAATGGGAGGATGAAGGATGTCGCTGGCTGCCTCAAAGATGGATGTGCTCGGAGGCGCTAGAGCGTCTGGATTCGAGTTCATCGACCCTCCACGAGTTGCTACTGGGCGCTTGCTTGGCCTCATAGTCGGGTTGTCGGTCGTGCCTCTACTGTTCCGGCGGGCTCTTGTATGGACCTCTTCACCAGACTCATCGTTCGCTTTTACGTCAACAGTCTGACCACGACGGACGGCCTTCATTGTTTTTGGAGACTGACGCTCGGGCGTGCCTCCAGGACGGAAGAAACTGAAGAGACCGTTCAAAAGTCCTCCGCTCTGGTTTGCTGAGCCGGTCGAAGATTCACCACTCCCGTGGTTTTGAGTTCTCAAGAACTGGCTTGTGGACGGCTCAGTGACAGATGTTGTCGAGTCTCTGTTGTCGTCGGTTGTTGCCTCCGTCGGTGGTTGTGGAACATCATTGCCCTGTTTTCCTGCTGGAGTGTCGGCTCCAGATCCTTCGTCTTCGGTACCTGCAACACTCCCCACGCCGTTGTTTCTAAGTGCCTTAGGCAGTGCGTTGGCGCCGGTAAGCTCAGCCCAGCCGAATTCGGCCAATGTACCTATCAGACCATTCTCGCGGCGAGCCTTGTCTACTTTACCAAGACCACCCCAATCGAGGAACAGCAGACAACTAGTCCGCAGCGGTACGATGCCATCGTTGACGACGTTTGAATACACAGTTCTGTTACGGAACATGCGCAGGACTGTGTGCGCAGGGCCAGTGGGGAGGATGCGCAAAAGGGGCTTTGCTCCTGGGTCCTCTTGGTGCTCCTCTTTCGTGCCAGCTCCAAATCCTCCCATCATGGCGTTCCAACCACTCTTCGCGATGTTAGGGGCACGCCATGTCAATCCAAGATCCTGTCCCGTGCGTCCGACAAGGCCGAAATCCAAAGCGAACTTGACATACATTGGATTCTCGTTACTCAAGCCGAGCATAGGAGAAGCCATACAGATGAAGTTGATTGGCTGGATCTGTTCGAAGAACTGCGGTGCATGCTTCTGGATGTAAGCCACTGCGTATGTCTGGATGAGACCACCGAGACTATGCCCGATGAAGCTGATACTGGTAAAGGTGTAGGGAAGCTCTTCAGCTTTGCTGTCGTCGTGGTGAATGCTACTCCCTTGATGTGCAGGCTCGCCGTCTCTGGCAGTCTTAGTGGCCTGAGATTTGAACTGATCTGTAAAAGATCGCGTCATGGACTTTTTGACCGGTTGGAAAGGTTGATCAGGATAGGTAAAGTTCAATACGAACTTCGCCAGACGCTTTCCGAGGTATTGAATGCCCTTTTCGGTTTTGATGGCATTGCCGTTGAAGCCACGCACAATGACTTGTTCTTCATCGTCATCACCATCGTCTTCAAGATCTTCCTGACCTCCTGACAGAGGTGCAGTCGTGGCTTCTTCATTCGGCTTGTCGTCAGTCGAAGGGTCCGGCTGTTCCGATGAGCCGTCAGACTTGCTCTGCGATTTCTTGTATGCAGCCTTCCTGTTCCTTGCATCAATTCTCGCCTGCCTGACTGTAGCGTCTATACTCTCTTTCATGTAAAGCATGTCGGCACCAATGTTGCTGTGGAGGCCATGGGTGAGAACGACAAGATGTATCTTCTTTTTCTTCTTGGGAGGTTCCTCTTTCGTTTCCTCAACGGTAGTTCGCGAGTCCTTTGACTTGCGTAGCGACTCTTTCGAAGATCGAGCATGTTTCTGAGTATTGTTGGTTGGGAGAGCAGGCTTGTCCCAGAGCGCCTGGGTGTCCTCAACGACGAGTTTGACGGCGCGCGAATAGAGACCCTTTTGTTGGCCAACACTGTCCCTACGTTTGTCCTTCTGATGGTCATGAAGTTGACCAGGGGTTCCGTGACCATGGCCAGCGACGGCTGCAAAGCCAAGATCCAAGCTTCTCTCATCCCGACCGACCAATAGCTCAAAGTGGACAGCGGCCGTGCTGGAAAACAGTATCTGGGAAGCAATCTCGATTATCCATGTGGCACTCGGTGGGCCTTTCTTGTCGTCTCGGTAGGCATCTTGAGAAGCGCGATTCTGACGACCTAATGCGAAAGTGTTGCCTGTCTCTCGGATGTTCTCGGGAACAGTCAACTTTGTTGTCCAGCTCGAACCCGCTTTGAGCAGTGGTTCAAAATCCGGCACGCCCTCCTTTTGTGGGTCATCGACTTTGTGATTTGGGTTGAAAGAGGCAGGATACGAGGCGACATGCAGGTTGTACGGACCGTGGAGGTATGCGGCACGCAGCGGGATGGCCGAGGTGTTCTTGATCTTGAGGTGCAGATGGGTAGGGCTGGGCAATATGCGATCATTGCTGGGCGTGTAGGTCAAGGTGAAGCTAGAGAGGCGTCAGAAGACAGGGCGTCGACGCGTACAAGATGTTGGTCGTATGACATACCGCACCACTTCTCCCACCTTGACGCTGCCGGCTTGGTGAACAAGCAGCATGTTGTTACGAATACTGTAGATGTGCCCTTGAGCCTTGTCTCTCTACCACAAAACTATCCAAAGTGTGCACCTGACCATCTGCTTATGATGCAATTGGCGCCTTCATGGCTTTGTTTGTGTCGAAGATGATACTGGCTGTGGATATATGAATGTGGTGCACGTTTCTACACGAGTAGAGGGACGACAGAAGACATGGCCTTCGGCATCGTGCTTCGTCATAACCGCAAGCATGAAATGTTTTGATTCCCGAGGCCGCTGACGCTTTGGCTGTTCTGCTTGCACAGCCACAACAATCTCCCGGCATCCGTCCTCGACATCCGACAAGCCGGTACACTGTTCGACTGACGTTCAAACACCATCTTCGAATCGGCCATAACAGCTATTTAAACCCCTCAGCGAGGTCTGCTAATGGTTTGAGGAGGTACCCGAGACACTCGGATGAGTTGCAGGCACGCACCTCCCTCTGCAAGGTCGTGCTTGTAGAGATTCTCCTTCTTCGAGCTAGTGTTTGTCTTATCGATGTTCGTGATGTACCGAACTGCAAAGCTTGTGTACCAGTCGAGCCCTCTGAAGCATTTGATCGGGTTGGCTGTTTGATAGGTAAGCACCGGAAGTGCAAGGAACGGGTGCCAAGAGAGATGGTATGAGGTCAAGAAGTGGATTACCCCGCGATCCCGAAGGCATCATCTTTACAAGGCTGAGGTTACATTCGAGTTCCATACCGTCTCAGCTTGTATACCCTTGAACCCAAGCCAAGATCGGTGCCTGATCAGAAACTCGTTGTCGTGGCCTCGAAAAACAAAAGAAGACAGTTGTAGTCTTGTCTCAGCTGGCCTGGACTATCAATCATTGCACCTTCTGACCCAAGCCCCGCCTCTCTTCTTTATCTAAACATCACCTAAGCTTCGCAGCAACCATCCACCCACCAGCCATCCACCATGTTTGGCTTTGTAGCTGATATACTCACGTATGGAATGGCTCCTTGATTGTGTATAACCACTGACACTTCTATCACAGCTCGGTGACGTCGATTCTCTTCCCCATCTTCGCATCGTACAAGGCGCTGCGCAGCTCAGACCCAGCCCAGCTAGCACCATGGCTCATGTACTGGACCACTCTGTCACTCGCCCTCGCCGCTGAATCCTTCCTGTACCCCATCCTCAGCTGGGTTCCCTTCTACTCGTGGATCCGATTCGGTGCTCATCTCTACCTCGTGCTGCCCGGCCAGCAAGGCAGCGTCTTTGTCTATCAAAACTACATCCACCCCTTCCTCTACCAACACGAGCGCGACATCGACCGCTTCATCACAAACAGCCATGACAAAGCAAAAGCAGCCGGTCTGCAATATCTCAAACAGGGCATCGAGTGGGTCAAGGTTAACCTCCTCGGTATGCAACCTCGTCGCCCCACTCCTCCTGCTAGCAGAAACGTGAGCTACAGCCAAGCTCTGTTGAACCGCTTTGTCATGCCCTCTGCTCGTCCCGACGGTTACAGCGGTGCTTCATCTTCGCAATCTGCTCCTGGTGCCAATGACTTGTTCTCCATGCTCGGCGGCATGATGGCTCAAGCTGCTGGACCCGGCGGCCCATCTCGCTCTCGCGATGCACAAGCCAGAGACCTCAGCGCCAGCGGAAACCTCGTACCCCAGAACCTGTCGGGTGACGAACGTAGTGCCTTCGTCTCGACACAAAAGGACTATCTGCGCACTCTTCTCGAAGCTTTCGACAAGGAAGCCTCTCGTGAACACACACCAAACACTTCTCCGCCCTACCCTACCAACGATGGTCCTGGACCAAACTTCCAGGACTTCTTGAGACCTGCTGCTGAAGGTCTGCTCAACAGAAACAAGAGTGAGACTGAATTTGAAGATCTTGGCTACGAGCACGTATCCACGGGAAGCAACAGACCCAGCCCCAAGCCCCATGAGAAGAGTGGCAGTTGGAGCAAATGGGTGTGGGGCAACTATGGCGAGAAGGACTCTGCTGCTGGACAAAAGAAGAATGATTGATCTTTTCAAGTGATATCGATGAAGTAGGGGGTCAGGTGTTTGCTAGGAACAGGTGTTTATTAAGATGGAATGGAACGGGCGGACTGGAGATTTGATGGACTGGCGTTTCATTCTCGGTTGACTTCTGGCTTTCTCCTATACCTCATTCTATGTGCTCTTTGCTGTATGCAACCTATTTGCAGATCGTTCTTCCAAGTATCCATCATTGACGTGAAGAGGATAGATGATGTGCTCTTTTCCTACGTTCACATATGCACGATCTGTTCTGCTCAATACCGAATGCTGATACGAAGGAGATGAGAATGCTTTATACCACGAGCGCTATGAGTAATGAGAGAAGAGAAACAAAGATATAGTACAAAACGGCAGCAGCATGCCAGTTTCGCAATCATCCACTGCCCGGTTTCATATTCTCGAGATCGTTTTCGCGGTTGTCCGCTCGTGCTTCATCGAGCATCTTGTCAATGCCACGATCCTTGAGTGCACGCTAGAGGATATCACCCGTGTCAGTGATTGATTCGTTACAGTGGATGAAAGGAAAGGGCAGCAGTAGCTCAAGACTTACACTCAGACATTGCTTGTATTTTGCAAACAGAGGTTCGCATTCATCCGATGTTGCTGTGCCGCGGAGGTATTCTGTAAAGGCGGTCTGTCAGTCTTGCATCTTCTTGCTTTCTTCCGCCGTTCGCGTTATGAGATGGAAAGGCGCGAAGTTCCTCGCTGGTCGTCGGAATCAGAGCCCACGCTGGTAATCAAAAAACAACAGAGCAAGAACATTCAGAATGCAACAAATAAAGAACATAGGGAGGATCCAAAACTCAGAAGGCAAGGAACGGAATTGGAGATTGAAAAAACCTACTCTCGCTGTACCATTTCAAAAAGCAGCTGTCATAACGCCTGTTTTTGCAAGAAAAGCATACAATGTCAGCCAAAATTGTCTCTTCCACGGTACAATCCAACGCGTCTTCACATTTACACAGGTGTTTTGCGTGGGTTTCGAGACAAAAAAGAACAAACTTACTCCTTGACTTCATTACACTCTGTAGCTAGTGATGCCGACATGTCTGTGGCTTTTTGCTGTTGTGCGTTTCTGCTCTGCTTTTTCCTTGTCTTGCTGGCTTCGTCCGTACTAAAAAGAGACTCGATAGCTGTGATGTAGTGGAGGTGTTCGCGAATGATGTGTAAAGTGTAAGATGTTGATATGTTGTCGTGGTATTGTTCGATATCCTGTTAGCAATTGTAGACTTTAAGAGATCGAGACAAGAAGGCGTGGTTGGTCGCATGAAGAGATGTGGCGTTGGCCTGTGGCGCAGCAGACAAAAAGCACCACCACGTTTCAATCGAACATGGTCGTGTGTACAACAGTTCCATGATGGAAAGGAGCAAACTAGCCACACACTCAGAACAGTCCATACAATGTGATACGTAAACACCATTTCTTGCTTCTCACTACAGTTACAACAGATCGAATACCATTGTGCAAGATGTCAGTCACTAAAGGGAAAGAAATGTAGATGGTCTATGTCCGTGTAATTCATCAAACTCTACTACACATCAACGCTGAGATCAAAGCTCGCTAGACCTCGAACTTATGCTCAACCCGTCTTCTCCTTTTAGTGTGTTCAGATCAATCCCTTTTCCCAAAACTGAAGAATAAAACGCCTAGCTTTGATCATAACACAAAAAGTTGGGTTTGTTAACACCCCTAGTCCCCCTTCCATGCCTACAAAAGAAGAGCCTCGAGGTATTGTGGAAGAGAGGGAATTGAAAAACTTTTGCTGCTTTTTTTGTTTCTGCTGCTGGTTTTACTTTCTTACTGCTCTCTCAGATTTACCTGGCAACGGCAGCGCTAAGGACCTGGGTGCGGAAGAAACCGCCCTTGGTTCTCTCGATGACTTGCTGGTAGACTGACTGTGGTGGGTGGTTCATGACAACGGTGCCCTCCTTGTAGTCAATCTTTGCGTCGACGCGGGTGTCGCGGATCAGGTTGACGATCCACTTCTCACCCTCGTCCTCGGACAGACCAAGACGCTTGGAAAGGTCCCTAGATAGCCATGTTAGTCAGGAATCCGCAAGTTTAAGGGACTGTCAGGGAGGCGCGTACTTGATGTCTATTCTCTGGTGGATCTTGCAGTATGACTCTGAGATGAGATGTCTGGCGGCATCCTTGAAAGCGTCGCTTGTAGCGACAAGGAAGAAGTCGCTGCGCAGAATCTCGTCGGCCTCGGCGAGCTTCTTCTGAGCCTCCTCGAAGTCGAAGTCGACGTAGAGAGCCTTGACAAATTCGCAGACGGGGTCGCTGTACTCGTAGGTTTCTTGTCTGACGATGCGGATAAGGTCCTTAAGCTGCTTCTGGTACGAGTTCTGGCCGTTCTTGCCGGCGGGGCGGTTGCGGTTGGTGATGACAGCAGCGGCGAGGTAACGCAGGATCCAGGGGCAGGCGGTCTGAATGGTGTTGATGTATGTGGGGGAGAAGAAGAGGTCGGTGAGCTGGTCGCGGGCGGGCTCGTAATTGAAGAAGGGGAAGAGCGACCAGTGGATCAACCAGCTGCGGTGCTCGAGTTGGGCCAGGGGGTTGTTGAACAGGCGCGAGTCGATGTTCTCGCGGACCTTTTGTACCTCCTCCATAGCGGACTCCCAGTTGGTGGTGAGGATGTCCGAGGCGAGTTTGCCCCACGTTGCTGCAGAGACCTTGTCGTTGTCGGTGCTCTGTGAGATGAGTTAGTTTACGGGCTTGGTTGAAGAGTTACGCAGAGTAGCGGCGTACAAGGATACGGAATTGGTAAAGCAGCTCCGAGGCGCTGTTGTAGTCACCGCAGCTGTACTGGAACTGGCCGAACTCGTACAGAGCATCGACCATCTCAGAGGTCACGCCGTGGTTCTCCTTGAGGTAGATCAAGTTCTGGACCTTGTCGGAGCGCAGGTTGTTGATGACTTCGGTATCGGCCAGCAGGTCCTGGATGTTGGAGCACTCGTTTTGCAGGTCCTCACGCTTCTTGAGAACCTGGTCGCGCTTTTGAGCGTACTCTTCCGGGATGTCGTCCAGATTGTTGATCTTGGCGAAGAGGTCGCCAACAAAGTCGGTCATGTTGGTGTGCTTGAGCAGCTCAAACTTGAGCTTGATGTGCTCGAGCGAGGGCTCGTCGACATCCTCCTGGTCCTCGAGGAATTGCAGCAGAGGGAAAACGAGATGGCGGTCGAGGTGGGGGATCAGAGTAGGCAGGATCGAGTGCTGCTTAGCAGCGTCGGCGGTAGCGGCCATGGTTGTGAATGCGCGAGGCGAGGAAAATGGGCGACGTGGTAGTGATTGACGCTGGTCGCTGGCCCGTCGTCGCTCGCTGCCAGGCAGTTTGGCGAATTTCTCATTTCAGAACCGCCGATTCTCCGCAACCCAACTCTTGGCGCGTCCCAAGCACTCTCCATCCGGCTTTGGAAGTCGCAACAGAAAAGTTGCCCTTGGCCTTGCACTTGCCATTCCACCACTGCTAGTCGTCGATACATCATGTCGTTCTTGCAACCCGCCATGCCTTCACTGCGTCTTCTGGCAGTTCCACGCCCAGTCGCTTTGCGCCAATGTCTGCGCTTCTCGACCACCACAATTCGATCGGGTGTGTCTTCTTGCCCGTCTCTTACCCTCTGAACCTGTCGCTAACACTGCTCCAGACGCCTACACTCCTCCCTCGGTGGATCCCAACCTCGTCGCCTCGCGCACCGCCTCTCCTTCATACCCTCCCACTTCTCTCAAATCCATCCCCAGACCCCTCACATCACACGCCTCACACCGTACCTCGCAACCAACAAAGGTCCGCAACTACCCTGACCGCCAATCTCAATCCGACATTCCCGTCCCCGAAGCACCTGCCTTGCCAGAGTCTGAATGTGCGCCCAACCTCCCCTACTTCGTTACAAGGACACCATCCAACGAGTTTCCCATCTACACATTGAGGAAACGCGGCGGCAACATGAAGTTGACCCGCGTCAAGAAGATCGACGGAAACATTGATATCTTGCGCGATGCTCTGCAGGCAGAACTCAAGGTCCCGGAGGCTGAGTGTGTTATCAACAGACTTACGAACCATGTCATGATCAAGGGATGGCACAAGCCCCGGATAGAGGCTTTCCTCAAGGCTCGCAACTTTTAAACAACCGCGGATCGCCTTTTCTTCTTGTATATCATTGTATCATATCACCATCGCACTGTTCTCTTGTGCTTCGCTGGACTCGCTTGTATGGTGGCCTTTCGAATCATTGCAGCAACAAAAGACATCTGTCATAGTGCACACCTTCCCCATGTGCTAATTCTTTCATCCTCTCCCTGCCCTCACGATGACACACAGTCAGAGCTAAAGCTATCAAGAAGCACAATTCTTTCCAGACGGTAGCATAGCCCATGGAGAGCCGACAATGCTACGGCTCTCCGTGAATGCTTCCTATTCCCTAGAGGAACTGTGCATTCCTATAGCTGTCTGCGTGGCATATCTTGACACATGGGGAGGAAGTACATTTACACAATCCAGTTCTGCTGAGGATTGCCTCTCCGTGTGCAAAGGTTTATAATGCGTATAGCTATAGAAATGCACAACAGTTTCGATAAACAGGACAGTCTCCAATGAGATACCACACATCCTGGGCTCTCTTTGTCGTACCACTTGATCAAGAGATCGTGGTGCCTTTCTATAGCGAGGACAATGATACTTTCGTGGGGAAAGGGTGAGAGTGTCATACACGAGGGGAAATTGGACGAGGGCTATCTTACTAGATGCCCATGGGACTGACCCGCAAATCATGTCTTACAAGGAGGTCTCATCGAAACGTCCATCAGGTTCGTAAGATCGTGACGGTCATTCACTCGCAATCACGACAGTCTTGTGGGACAGGTCAGATCGTTGTACAATCGAGTGTAGAATTGCGCCATATGCCTTGTCGACATTTAGGGGAATACCAAGCCTTGATATGGCTGAAAAGAAGCGCCTCGCTATGCCTACCCTATGCCTCTGTGTTGATGCCATGGTCGTGAATATAAACAATAAAAATCTCCGTCTACTGCTCCGCGTCTTCCACATCCTCTACAGTGACTGCTCTGCCTTTGCCTTTGTCGACGGTTGTTGGCTGCTCTTCGGAGTCTGTCTGTTGTGTGCTGCTTTCGCCTCCGTCTACGTTGTCAAAGTTCCAGCTTGAGCTTTCTCCCCACCCATTCGATTGAGTCGTCGATGGGATGGCACTGGTTTGAGCCTGAGCTTCCGCAATCGTTTCAGCAGGGGCTTCCTCAGAAGCACCCGCAGAAAAGTCATCAGGGACTCCGAGGCCCATCTCTTCGGTGTCAATCTGGCTGTTTGTGCTTGGAATTGCCGGCTGCTCAATCTGGATCGACGAAGAAGAGCCGTGTTGAGGTGACAGCAAAGACGCTTCCTCGTCATGACCAGATGATTCCACCTCAGGTGCCGACTGTTGAGGATGGTCACCCTGCTCGACTGACTGGTTGGCAGCAGCAGTTTCCAGGCTGCTCAAAGGCATTACTTGTTCTGTTCCTTCTTGTTGAGCCGGAGCATCAACTTGTGGGATTACAACTGTGGGTGTAGGCACCGGGACCTCGGTCTGCGGCATACCGTTTCCAGGCTGTGCAGTGCCCTCGACTCTGTTGAGAGGCACGAGCGTCCAGCCTTCAGGTAAGACAAGGCCAGATGGTAACGCTTCGTGACCCTGCGTCATTGGCGCTTGTCCAGGACCAGGTTGGAATACTTGTGGTTGCGCAAAACTAGCACCAGGGCCCATCGTGTGAGGGGTTGGAAAGAGGTTAGGAATCGCCGGTCTTGCCGCAGCTGAAGGAGCAGGCGCGCCAATACCAGCCTGATTATGACTGTAATAGGCACGCAGTCTTGCCAACTCTGCTTCCAAAGCACGAACGGTGGCAAGCTGGGCTTGCTCGATTGTCAAGCGACGGGATTCCTGCATCAGACGCTCTTCGACCTGCAAAAGCTGAAGCTGGGTGTCCGTTGATCTTGCTCCAGCCAATCCTCCAATACCTGAACTTGCTGCGGGTGTCGCGGCTCCAGTAGCATTACCGTTGTCTTGTGCACGTCTGTGGTTCAAAGCATCTTGCACACGATTGGCAGGTCCGTTGTAGACACCAATGCGGATCGGACCGAGATTGAGCATTCGAAGTCTGGGTTGAGCTGGACGATTTGCATTGCCGTTGGCGTTAGGAGCACCTGCTTGAGCGTTGGCTCCTTGCTGAGCACCTCCATTGGCACCACCATTTGCGTTCTGGTCAGCAGCTCCGGCACGATCAGTGGCAGAGGTTCCAGTAGGAATGACAGGACGGCGACAGGTCGGGCAGGCTTGCTGTCGTTCGAGCCAAGCTTTGAGGCAGCGCAGATGGAGAATGTGACCACAAGGCAGCTTTTTCGCGCGCATGCCCTCATTCGTAAGGCTCGGTCTGGGGGTTTGACCTGCAGCGTCAGGTTGATTCCATGGAACCATAACTTCTCTGCAGACGATGCAGGTGTTGTCATTTGTCAACTCTTCGCTAGTGGCATCTGGATATCGGCTGTTCATGTTCTGAGTGGCCTTGCGGTAGTTGTTGTAGTCCTGTACACGCTTGACGAAAGATGCAAAGGTGAGATAGACGTCGCGAATGATGTGCATAGGCAGTCCCATAAAGGTCAGAGATATGCCGAAGAAGACGGTGTAAACAATGAGTTTGATGAAGTCTGAGGTGTATTAGCAATGACAAAGCAGATTGAGACATGAATGACGGACCTGTAGCCAGCTCGAGACCAAACAACCATCGGCGCTTCTCCTCCCACCCAGGGACATCAATCTCGTTCTCGTCCACATCTTCTTCACTGGGCAGAGGGGGCAAACTGTCAGGATCAGTCGAAACCTCGCGTTCCTGCTCTAGACGTTCTCTTTCTGCGCGAATCTCAGCCCTCCTCTCATCCATCTTTGCTTTTGTTTGTTGCTTCAAGACACGTGCTTCGGTGAGGGCCAGGACGTAACGCAGAAGGGTGAATAGGGAGAAGATCAGAAGAATGGCGAATTCGAAGGTAAAGATGACCATCATTCCAGGTCGAGGATCGTCCTTGACAGTAGCGATACAGTATCTCAGCATGGCGGCGCTGAATGCGGTGGATACGAGTAGCGAAGAAGCCAGACGGGTGTGGAAGAGACGGGGGTTCTGTGGCGGTTGCTGTTCGAGGATATCGACACGACCTTCGCCGATCCAGCTCCACACCTTGCCAGCCAGTAGAAGAACGAAGACGGCAAGCATCCAGCCTCCGACCTCGTCCCTCAACGAGGGCATGGCCAGGAGGGTATCGAGGACAGCATACCAGGCCTTTTCCGAGAGGTGCTCGATTTCGATGGGACGGAGAGGACCATAGAAGAGGCGCTGAAGAGCATAGATGAAGGTGCAGGCGGTGACGAGAGCGAGGTTTGTGAGGATCTGGGTGGTGACGGAGTTAGCGGCGGCGTCTAGATGGTGGAGCAGGGGCAGCAGCAGCTCACCAGAACACAGGCATTGCTCTGCGACAGGTAGACGGTGGCCGAGTAGAAATTGGGCCGCTGGTGGAAGGCCTTCAGCAGAGCACCGGCGGCCACCAGCGCAGACGTTCCAGCATAGGCAGCGAGCCTCATCGTGTCTGGTCGTGAAGAAGGTCCAACATGCACGTACGAACACGTAAACGTACCAAGCCGACGCCGGATCGAAGCAAGCCAACACCCGACGCCGGCACGTCACACGACTCCACCATTTCTTGTCGGCCCGGGACTCGCAGACTCTCCCGACCACGCCGACCAGCCTCTTTTTCGGAAAACAGGCGCCTGATGCAGTGGTGCTTTACTTCAACGGTGCCGACAACTGCGCCCCGCTCTGCAACTCCATCACAATCGCGGTAGCTATCGATCTGAGATAAGATGGCTACGATCTGAGGCCTCGCTGGCATGCGATCGCTAAGGTACACTGTACATCCTGATCGTCCCTCCAGGCTTCAGATGCCACCCGCGAGCCAGCCTGGCACGCCAACTTGAACATGTTCTCTCCACGCGGGGCGCCCATGCATGCAGAACTCTTGTTCCGCACTTCGCTACCCTCTCCAAGCCTTAAGAACTCTATCATCACAGACAAGAGCTACAGCCATCCACTTCTCCATCGTAGCATGCCCAAGCGCCGCGCCTTGTCTCTCTAGTCGTTACTGCTTGTCGGCTATCTCGTCCTCTCTAGCCAACTATTACCGCGCGACATTTATTTCATCAGAAGCTTCTGCATTGGCAGCACCACTGACACCTAAATTACTAATGTTTTTCTTTTGCACAGCTCCACCGGCGTCTCAGGATTCAATCCGGTACATGGCCATTTGAACAAGGCTACGCACCCCCTTCATTTTCTCCCTGGGCGTCTCTTTTATTGCCAAACACATGCTTTAATTCAACAGCTAGCTCCCTTCGCTCCCTCTCACCGCCGCTCAAGAAACGGATATAAATTGACAGAAAACCGCACGTTTGCCCCAGGGTCATAGCTTCCATAGCTTTACCGATGTGGAGACCCCGGACGAGCCTCTCTGTCGGTCCGATACTTTCAGTGGCTTAATGTCCTCGCGACCCGCGTCATGTCGTCGCCGGAACGCCTAGAATCTGTTCTGAAGAAACCCAATTCTTTGCTTTCTTGCCTGCTTCCCCATTCGTGCCCCAGGTCGCATGTGCTCTGGGAATATATAAACCTCTAGGTATCACCTCACAATATCTCCCGTCAAGCAAGTCTTTCCTTCCTCCTCTACTCCCTCTACCACCTTCTGCCTCATTACAATGAAGGGCTCTCTCGCTCTCACTAGCCTAATGGGTGCTACTGCCCTTGGCCAGACATTGACTACTTCTATGATCGAGTCTATGGGCAACAACACGCTCTTCACCAGATGGCGCCCCCAGAACCATTTCATTGCGCCTGCAGGTTCGTAGCACTATATCCATAATCCTTTCAAGTATGCTAACTACTCAGGTTGGATGAATGATCCCTGTGGTTTGATGTATGATCCCACCGAGGACCTTTACCACGCCTTCTACCAATGGCACCCCGAGCACATCAACTGGGGTAACATCTCATGGGGACATGCCACCTCGAGGGATATGATCTCTTGGACAGATGTCGGTGGCTGGGAGGGTAGAGATGCTTTGGCATTGAGCCCTGCTGGCAACGGCAGCTACGATGGTCTCGGTATCTTCTCCGGTACTGCCCAGCCCGTCAACTTGACTGGTGGTGTTGACGGCACTCTTCTTGTCTTCTACACGTCTGTGTCAAAGCTCCCAACAAGTTGGTCCATTCCTTACCAGAACGGAACCGAGAGTCAAAGTTTGGCTATGTCTACCGACGGCGGCAAGACATGGCAGCAGTACGAGAACAACCCTGTTATCGAGGGTCCGCCCGGTGACTGGAACATTACTGGTTTCCGTGATCCTTTCTTCGAGCCTCTGCCTGCTCTTGACGCCATTCTTGGTCGTGAGCCTTCTTACTACGCCGTTTTCGGAAGTGGCATCAAGGGTGTTGGTCCTCGCATGCCCCTCTGGGCTGCACCTGCATCAGACCTGACCAAGTGGACTTTCCTTGGCTCCCTCTTCGAGCCTGCCAGCAACACCTCTCTCGGCTCGGTGCTCGCCACTGGCTCGTACGGCTACAACTTCGAGGTCTCTGGATTCTTCACTCTTCCTGATGAGGATGGAGACCTCCACTACTTCGTCAACATGGGCTCCGAAGGCGGCAACGTGTCATTTCATGAGTCTGCTCACTGGGCTCTCTGGAACGAGGGTCATGTCACTCGCCGTGCCAATGGCTCCGCTCAGTTCACTCCCATCTCCGGAGGTGCTGGTGATTGGGGTCTCCTCTATGCTCTGTCCAGCTTCAACGACACCAAGAACGACCGTCGCGTCCAGTACGGATGGGCACCTGAAGACATCACTGGTGGTGGCGGTCTCTTCTCCGCCAAGCAGCAAGGTTTCCAGGGTGCTCTCTCTCTTCCTCGTGAGCTTTTCGTTCACACCGTCAAGAACGTCGTCAACGTTGATGGTGCTCTCGGCGAGATGGGCAACTCTTACCTCACTCAAAAGCTCGATGGCAGCTTCACAGCTCAGACTCTTGGTGTCAAGCCTCTCGAGGACGTCGTTGTCGGTCTCCGCAACGGCTCGACTCAGCACTCCTGGCCCGGTCGTACCTTCAACGGTAGCTACACTCTTGTCGCAAACGGCAGTGACCACATGGAACTCAGTGCAGTTGTCTCCAGCGCCACTGGTCCCTGCGGTGTCAAGATCGGCGTCAGCCCTGACGGTCGTGAATACACCAACATCTACTACGAGCCTTCCAACAGCACTATTGTTGTTGACCGCAGCCACTCTTCCCTCCTTGATGGTTTCGCCAACTCTTCTGTCATTGGCTACTTCTACCCTTACACCATCCAGGGCGAGTACGGCAATGCCACTCAGGAGGCACTCACTTGGGACATTTTCGTTGATGGGTCGCTGGTTGAGATCTACGTCAACGACCGTTTCGCCCTTACAACCAGAATCTATCCCAGCATGGAGAGCAGCACTGGCGTTGGCATCTACGTTCCCAGCGGCTCTTCTGCCACTTTTGACAGCATCGACATGTGGTCAACCCTCTACAACGTCTTCCCTGAGAGACCTTTGAACTCTTCGAGTGTTCTTGTTTGGGATACCGTTGAGCAGACCAACAACAGGACTTGGTGGACTGGTAACTAAACCGAAGTCGGCAGAATTCTTCGGTCCGCGTGACGAAGAATGTATCTAATGTGTTAATATAAAAGCTACGTAAATGTATATAACGTCTCTCATATTAGGGCTACAAATAGTCCATAGTTCGATAATATCCTACTTGATTACTGCTTGTGCTCCTGCCGCTTGAGAACGAAACGAGAACGAGGACTTGGTAATCTTCGATCGCTGATGGGTAACCTGTTGAGAGTCATGTGCCGTGCTCTACGCCGTGGAAGTCTCCGGGACGAGTATACCTACTGTAAGTATGCCCTCAGTGGCCCTCAAACCTTGCTCGGGCATCCAATTATGAGACAGGTGATGTTTTCGGACCGACAACGCAAGCCGTGGGCAGGCAAGCATCCACATTTTCTCCAAGCCTCCCCGAGCTTTCCGAAGTCAGACCCCACTCTCACCCACAGTGGGTCACTTGAATCCTGGAGATATCGTTTTTCGGAAGGTCTCATCAAAGCACATTCGGCCCTTCTCACGCATCGCGGCATTGGCATGTCGCGGCATGGTTCATGGCAAGTATCAACGCGTGACGGCTGATTTACCCGCACTGCGAGATGCGTATTCAGCAGTATGGAGTCCGAGGAGACCGAGAAGATGAGGGCAAAGGGCGCAGCAGGGTAGGATCTACAGTATGCCATCAACATAAATAGAGAGCAGATCGCCGTGAGAAGAGGTAGGAACACAACCATCACAATGCCTCGTACTTTCTCTGTTTTGTCTTCCCTGCTGTGTTTGGGCTCTGTGTTTGCACAGAATGCTTCCACCACATCTTCTTCGGCAGTGCCCACTGGTTCAGCTATTGCAGGTGACTATAGTGGTGCGTTGAGGCCGCAGGTGCATTTCTCACCACCCAAGGGTTTTATGGTATGTATCTAGACATTCTTCTCAACGAGGTAGGCAGGTTACTGATGGCTGCTCAGAACGATCCCAATGGTCTGTTCGTTGACGCTGACGGTCTTTATCACGTATATTATCAATGTCCGTTTCTCTCACAAGCATTGTACGGAGTCCGTGTTGACGTGTTGTAGACAACCCAACAGCAGATGTAGCCGGCAACCGTACGTCACGCGAGGGTACAGATAATACAGTTAAGAGCCATCCGATGGCTTCTCGGCTGTCGTCTGCACCTTTCTCACCTGTACATAAGAAACATGCTAACTGTACCTTTTTAGAGCATTGGGGTCACGCTACAACGACTGATGGCTATACCTTCGAGAACCAGCCTATTGCGATCTTCCCTCCGAACAACGAGACATTTGTGTTCAGTGGCTCGGCAGTTGTCGATGTAAACAACACCAGTGGCTACTTTCCTGGACAAGATAACGGTGTAGTTGCCATCTACACTTTGAACAACAGCACGTCCCAAAACCAGAACATCGCATTCTCAAAGGATGGTGGTTACACTTTCGAGCCTTATGAGGGCAACCCGGTCATTGACATCGGCTCGACCCAATTCCGTGATCCTCAGGTGATTATACAACACAATCAAAGGTTCGCTTACATGGACTGACCGTATTTTAGGTCTTCTGGTACCCTCAGACCCAAAGCTGGGTGATGGTCACAGTTTATGCTGCTGAGTTCACTGTCGGCATCTACACTTCACCCGATCTCAAGGACTGGCAGCACGCCTCCAACTTCTCGCATCATGGCCTGCTGGGCATCCAATACGAGTGTCCCAATTTGGTTGAGATGCCTGTAGAGGGCTCAGACGAGACCATGTGGCTCATGTTCATCTCCATCAACCCCGGTGCTCCTCTCGGAGGCTCAATCTCGCAATACTTCCCAGGTTCCTTCAATGGCACACACTTCGAAGCCGTCGACCCCGTCGCTCGTATCTCTGACTTCGCCAAGGACAACTACGCCGGTCAATTCTTCTCCGGCATTCCTGGCACCGAGAAGCGTCTGAGCATGGACTGGGCCAGCAACTGGCAGTACACCAACGATGTTCCCTCTGCAAAGGAAAACTGGCGCAGCTCAATGACGGTCTTCCGCCAGAACCATCTCAAGAAGCTGCCTACCATTGGTTGGGACCTCGTCAGTTCGCCTTTCAACATCAGCTCGCAGTTCTCTCGGGTCCTTGCTTCCAACTCTTCGCTCGGCAACAACAGTATCTTGCTCGACTACTCAAATGTTCCTTCGGGTGCACTGTACTTCGAAGCCAATGTTACTGGACTGACCCCTGCTACCTTGGCTGGAAGCTTGAACTTCACATTCACCTCTTCTGTCAGTGGCGAGAACCTTCAGGGCGGTACCATCCCTGGCGGTATCACTTGGGTGTCTCGAAGAAACGCCGGCTGGGGTGCTGAGAACCCTTACTGGACCGATAAGTTCTCTGTCAATGGCATCTACAGCGGCAGTGAGAACGGTACTTGGGCGATCAGTGGTATCCTCGACCGCACCATCCTCGAGTTGTTCGTCAATGGAGGCGAGCAGAGTGGCACCGTGACGTTCTTCCCTGACTATCCGCTCGACACTCTGAGAATTGGAGCCAATAGCATTCCCGAAGGCGCCGGTGTCAGTGTGGCTGTCTGGGGCCTGAAAGATGCCTGGGCTAGCCAGGCAAATGATGATGGACTCGTTTTGGGTAACACCACAACTTCAGCATAGTTTCTTATTGAACTAGAATTTTTACACTAAACTGAGACACACCCAATGAATGTATAAGTGTTGTTCAAGTAGACGACAGTGAGCGTTTTCCATGTGGTTGTTGCATGTTACGACTAGGGGATAGTGCCGCCCCGCCAATGGCTGTTACTAACAAGTTCTTCACGCTTTGTAGTGATTAGAAGAATCACTGCACATCCGAAAGTTGATGCCATTGTGATGGCATTACGAAGCCAACAAGTTGGGCTTATTCTGTTTCTTAGACATTGATGCACTGCTTATACGACCAATCCATATTTCAATCACTGGAATTTGAACTCGCCGAAGTAGGCGCATAGGGCCTAGAATAAGTTAGAGAGTTACCACACAACACTGGGTAATACCATAACTCACCTTGCTGGAACCGTTTGTGCAGTAGTGTACGACCTCGAGCTTCTTATCATCGGGAGCGTACTTGGCCAGTTGATTCAAATCGGAGCTACGAGGTAAGAACAGCACAAAGTCTGGGACATAGGCCGCGAATCTGTCGTAGATGTGCTTGAGATTGTAAGGTTGCATGGTGCTGAGGTCGAAAATATTATCATCGGTGTACTGGGGGCCTGCATAAAAAGTCAGCACATATGATACCCGAGATCCTCAAGTATGAATACACACCTCCCCAAGGTGGGCTGGCAAACACGATGGCATCCTTGGCCAACGACTTCAACCGCTTCTTGAGAACATCGAAGCAATCGCCCTCGATCCACCAGATCTTGGATGCTACGCCGTATATCTCAGCATTGTGACGTGCACAGGCAAGCGTTGCAGGATCTTTTTCAATGGCGAAGACTTGTTTGAAGCGACCAGACAGAGCGAAAGCGATGGCGTTGCCGCCAGCACCAGCAAAGGCATCTATTATGATAGACTTTGACTCCGGTCCGCCAGTCTTGATGTGGTCAGCTATGCGACTGTAGACGCTGTTAGTATGTGAAATGGCGGAAGATGAGAAGAAGAAGTACTTGGCTATCGGCTCGGGAGTGACACCGAACCAGACGTCGTCAGTCATCCAGATGCCTTCATCGTAACGAGACCAGATATCGTAGCGTTGATGCCAATATCTGTAGACTTGTCAGATTTTGACATGGGTTTGACTTAGGTAATGAAACAAACTTTTGGATGTTTTCTGGCATTTCTGACGATTCATCATAGTGGTGCACGCCCTCTGGCATCAACTCATCTGGACCACCCATATCCTCTGAAACTAGACCTAAGCGTCTTAATTAACGTTCAGTATTGAGTACCTGGGCTTGCGTGTGTCGTTGCGAGTTCGGATGAGCAGAAAGTCGATGAGAGATTGTTCGTGCGGAAGAGAAAATTGATCAGACTGCGAGTCAAGGTAGCGCACGGCGGTTGTGTATGCGTATGGCGTACGGAGATTCGGCTGTCCGAGAAGAAAATGTTTGAGTCGAGCCCGAGTTGCTGATGATGAGAGATTGTAACTGCCAAATTCTTGTTGCTGATGCCAAAGAAAGAGTAATCAGCGATAGAGATGGTGCTGTTGGAAGCGGCAGGTTTTGCCGAAGGAGAAGCTGCGTCCATGACCCTGTTTCCATCTTTGCTTACCTTGCTATTTCCTCCATTGACCTATACCAACCCAACAACGACTTGAAATCAGCCTGACGATGCTTCACATTGTGCCTTGACTGCGTCTTCTTCCATCTGTCGTTTTTCCTTACTCATTATCACGGTATACGCCCGCTTCACGCTTTGCCACACCTTCGCCACAAACATCATGTCAAACATGAACAAAGTCCTCGGATTCGAGCGCATCAACGAACGTGTGAGAAGACCAAATGCACTCATCAACTTCATCAAACCACTGGAAGGTCCAGATAAGGCCCTAGCGCAGGATTTTCTGGAGCGAGTTGCCGCTATCTGCTATCCCATCATGAAAGAGAACCACATCGTCGTCATGGCTTTAGAAGAATACCTACCTAACCCCGAATTCATCGGTCGCAACTTCAACGCCGGAGAAGTAATTCAACTGGTTCTCAAAGCCCCACACACCAACCAATGGCTACCATTCAAGCACGTCCAAATGGTCATGATGCACGAACTGGCGCATTGCAAGCAGATGAACCACTCTCGCGCTTTCTGGAAGGTCAGAAATGCATATGCAGACGAACTCAAGGTCCTCTGGGACAAAGCGTATACGGGCGAGGGGCTCTGGGGCAAAGGACAGTCACTCATCACTGGACAATACATGACCAACCACATGCCCGAGGCTGCTGATATCCCGGCAAGCCTCTGCGGCGGTACGTTCAGATCATCAGGAGGCCGGAAGAGAAGACGAAAAGAAGATAAGTCTAAGGTCACCTATGCCGAGCGCCAACAACGCAGAATTGCAAAGAAGTTTGGTGTCAACGGTGTCGCTCTAGGCGAAGATGAAGGTGTCAGAGCCAAGCTCGAGTCTGGCCAGAAGGGTGGCAAGCCTGCCGTCAAACCGAGAGTGGCAGGCAGTAAGCGAGGAAGAGAGCTTCGGGCCGCTGCTGCACTGGCACGCTTCGAGAATGTGAAGAAGGAACCTGTCAAGACCGAGCCCAAAACAGAAACGATCAGTGACGACGACGATTATGAGACGGATTCTGACTATGAGTACGCAACCATCGAGAGGACCATGAATCCAGAAGATGGCAACATGGTCAGAGTCTGCGAGAACGAAGACGCGGAGGACAAAGACGCGCAGCGAGAATTCGACGAGCTGCGTGAGATCGACCAAAGCATGCCGAAGCTTCAGATCTCATCTTCCAAGCAGCCTTCTCCAAAAGGCAAGGCAAAAGAGACAATCCTCTCAGACGATGCTTCTACCGAGAGCGAGGACGATCAAGACCTGGACGCGCAGCGCGGCTTGAGTAAGCCATTGAACAAGACTCAGCTGCTCCCAGACGACGCTTCTACAGACAGCGAAGATGATATACTGGATGTCACATCAGCAATGCAGGAGAGAAACAAGCGGAAAGACCAGAACGTTCCAAAAAAGTCTGCATTGGAAGCAGAGAGCAAACAAATCGAACCAAACAACAAAAGGTTGCAACTCCCACTGGTCGACATTAAGGATGACTCGACCGCGCGCGAGAGTGACGCAATCGGTACCAACAGCACCACGCCAAAACCACCGCCAGCACCAGTCTCATCGATCGCAGCTACCAGCACTGAGCCACGCGCAATCGCCTCTACGAGCGCATCTGTAGAGCATCCACCAGCGATTCCCGCTTCAACTTGTCCAATTTGCTCACTAGAGAACGAACCCACATCAGCCCTATGTGCAGCATGCTCTCACGTCTTGAAGCCCACCCTCATGCCGAACTGCTGGAAGTGCACGAGCACAAACTGTCAAAGTGTCGGATACATCAATCCAGGCGACTACAACTTGTGCGGACTCTGTGGGTCCACTAAACCGAGATGAGAGAACGACATGACGAAGATGATGAATCAAGAGAGCAAAAAGGGCTGTAATGAGACTCGAGGACGAACGTATAACTAGCTTCCAACAATAATCAAATTATTCCTTTGCGCAGAATGCCTGCCTACCTACCTATCTAATGCATGAGGACAAACAACAAAGAGACCACACAAGATGAGGCAGAAACGTGCGTGAGAAATGGAGGGGCTTTTTGCATTTGTGAAAAAGGACACGCCAACAAGAGTGGTATCGATGGGAGTGAAAAAAGATGTGTGACGAACGCAAAAGACAAGCAGACTATATAACAAAAAGCGACAAAGGGAACACAATTTCGCTGAGAACACGCTATGAGGGGGAATAGAGGGGTAGGAAGGGCTGAGTAACAAACAAAAAAGGAGATAACAATAGACACCAAAGATTCCAAGCAGCAGGCAGATTTTTCTTGAATGACAATTTGAAAAGGGCCAACACGAGGAGTGAAAGAGACGTCTAGAGAGCAGAGACCCTTGTCCTCAACGCCTCCACTTCATCCTCGTGGACTCCGTCCGTTTGAGATGGCGGCAGAGGAAGTGCCTTGTCGAGACTATATCTCTCGTCCTTGGGCGGCGTAGGCGGTCTATCTCTTTGATCGCGCAGGCTGTACCTGTCGTCCTTGGGCGGCGTTAGTGGACGGCTGAAGTTGTTGACAGCACGGCCGTTATGCTCAAGCTCAATGGATCGCTTTGAGGAAGGTGGGCCGTCGGTCTTCGGAGGTGTAGGTGGGGGCACCTCGCCGAGGGTTTTGATGTCGACCTTTCTTGTAACGGCCTGATTGCTACCGTTGCGACCATCGACCGACTCCTTTGAGTGCTGGGGAGTGATTGTGCGGGTAGGTGTTCTTGACGCGGGGCTGCCGTTTTCTGCGGCCTCGCCGATGACGGGGAGTGTGATCATGTTCTCATTCTCGGCATGAGGGCTTCTGACTGCACCGATGGCGCGGTCTGGAATGTCATCCTCATTGATACGGTGTCTGCTCTTCTCGGCCTGCTTCTCTGCCTTGCGCATGACCTTATCAGTGCCGGCAGGATTTTGGTCCGATGATCGAAGGATGTTACAGCCAGAGAGCTTGGGGTCATCGACGGTGCCCTCGATGTTGTGAATCGCCGTGTTGAGTCTCTCGCTACCATGCTCGCAGTTGTGTTCCTTTTCTGCCTCTGCACGTTCGCGCGTCTTGGTAATGCCTGAGATGAATCTGACGAAGCGATCTCCATAACGCTCGGGGGGTATGGCAGAGATTTGTGATTCCGGAGATGATAGTCCTTTCCAGAAATGCTCGAAGCGTTTGATCATAGAGTACTGTAGAGCGCGTCAGTATAAACCTTAGTATGCGCGAGATGAACGACTTACATGTGTCAAGCAATCAATAATTCCTAGATAATAGATTTCTTCTCCAGCCATATCGTTCTCGTGGGTTGCTCTAAAACCGCCGTCGTCGCTGTAGAAGTAAGATTGCTTTCTGTGACGTCCAGCCATCTCGTCAGGCATCTTGTCCAGGCTCTGGCCCATCGGTATAGGCTTTTCGTTCTTAATGAGCTCTCGCAGTTCGTGCGCCTTTCGTGCGTTTTCAAGCTTGCTAGGCGTACGCATAAGCATGTTCGGCGGCTGGTCTTCCGATTTGTGACCTCCGGGCTGGAAGACTTGCAGGGTCTTGTCTCGTAGGTTGTCTTCGTTGCCTCGCTGCAAATCGTGAATACCAACCAGCATCGAATAATCCATGATTTTCAACTTCTGCAGAAGAGCAACGTCTTTTTGCATTTGTTCCACAAAGGCGTCCTTCTTGGTTGGACCAAATTCTAGATGAAGGTTTCGCCGTAGCCAGTTCAGGTCCTTGAGTGTAGCTCTCGGGTTCTTATCCAGTTCCTCTTCCTTGAAGTCTCTACCAATAGTACTGCCTTTCAAGTCGAACGTCCGGTGAATATCTCGATGGGGTGGGAACAGGTTATTCATGACGACGAAATGAATCTTTCTCCCGTAAGGAATCTTAACTCTGTGGAGACCATAGAATTGACTGAGAAGTGTGTTGGGATTTTCTTGAACGTGGGAGTAATAATCTCGGAGAATTTTGCGAAGGAATTTGTGTTCGGCGTGATGAATGGTCTTGATGATGTATTTGTAGTCGCGCGAGAAATAGAAGAAACTGCCAGATTTACCTGGGGAACCGAGTTCAGACAAGATGTATTTCGAAGTGAGAGAAACGAGATAGTCAGCGGGATCCAGACCAAAGTTGTGGCGAAGGTGGCGGAAGACCCAGGGAGCGTAGTCCTTGAATTTGAAGTCGTACTTGGCCGAGGGTGTGAGTTCGTTACCGGTGATATCGAATGAGAACTTGTGCTTTGCGTCAAAGTCGGCATCGGTCAGGTCCCTGTCAATCTTTGCGTTTGTCCTCGACACGCAGAAACGGATTCCAGTAAGCATATTGTATGCCGTGACCCAATTGACATGGTTCTGGTCGACTTTGGTACCGACTACAACGCGTTCGTCGTCTTCGTCACGTTTTCGCTTACTTGCTCTCTTTTGCTTGATATGCTCGGCCCAACGTGCAGCGTCATCGTCTTGAGGAATCTCGTCGAGATGTGCATCCGATGTGATTGAGCGTGTTCCGCGACGGACAAGCTGAGAAGAGCCTCTTCTTCTACTGGGAGTGGTAGGCGAGAAACGACCAGTGGCAGAAACGACATTAGCATCATGAGTAGAGGGTGATTGACTGTCACGAGAATTGCGGCCAGCCGCACTAGGAACTTCAAGGGTATGTCGGTGAACCAATCGACCTGGAGCCTGGGATGAAACGGAAGCCATGGAAGAAGAAGTGTGAGAGAAAGCTGGAGGAGAAGAGGCACGATGTGTCGACCGGGGTACGCGAAGCATGCCATCGGCAGTGGAAGGACCAGCCTCACTCACGGGTGGTAGTACGGGACTTGGCATGGTCTGGAGTGGCAGAGCCGACGAGGTGGGCGAAACATCTTCGGGCACAGCGAGGGCGTGTTGTGATGAGTTTGGTGAGCGAGCGCCTCGGTTTGGCTTTTGTGCAAAGTAACCATCATCCTGTTGGAGAGACGAGGACATATCGACCGACTTAACGTCGTTGTCACTCTTTGACGAAACCATCGAGGGCATGCTCCCCTTGGATGAGATGGTCCTCCCGCGCGTGCTGTGCGACTCGGATGACCTTCCGTTAGGCAGGGACGATACAGCGCTGTCTGGTCCATGTGACAAGGCATCAGGCAGACCAGGGGTGGGTTTGGGCCATGCTCCGGGCAGAGAGTCGACAGCGGGGGTTTGTTGTTGTTGTGACGGAATGGGTGGTGATAAGGATTTGGCGGAGAAAGAATTGTGGTGATGGCGGTCGTCGGGCAGGAATGATGGCATGTCGACCTTCTTCATCAAGTAGACGGCATTGAGCGGGGAGGCGACCTTGCTCAATGTGTCCCCCTCTGGGACATTCAGGCGCGCGGATTGGGCCAGCGTTGCTGATGCGTCGAGCACAAAGGCCGTCGTGTGGGGAGGTATGGCCGACGGGCGGGTCGAGAGGGCGGAGGCGGCTGAGAATGGGTCCTGGGAATATGGCGAGGTGGGAATATCAGATGTCGGGGCGTCGAGGGAGAGTTGCGGCGTGCACAACAGGCTGCAAGACGAAGTGCCAGACGACGTTGTGAGCGAGACGATGGCGCGCGTTCAGACAAGGCCGGCCCTGCTTAAGCTTCTTGGCTGTCCCCTTCAGCCCTACGCAACTGATCCAACTTCGCAGAGACCCCGTCGGACCTACACACTTCCGTGTGCCTGACGTTGCTGCTAATTTCCGACCCTGCTGTCGCTCAACCGTCCTTCTATTTATGACCCCTTATAACACCGTCAACAATGAAATAGTCGAGCTTCTGCTATATTCGGCATCACAGGTGACATGGACTGTGAGCGCCGTGCTGCCTTGCTGTTTTTCACAGTGTGATTGTAGAGCACGGGATGACGACAAATCGAACATCACTAGTATACATACCCACTTATTGTCCAGCCGGCAAGCATAACGAGGCAAAATACACCGGCCCATTTGATCCATCTCTCAAGTACACAGGCGATTCTGAACATTGACAATGAATTTAGGTAGGCTTCAAATCATCCAGCGTCACTTGCAATGGAAAATAAAGTGCAACAGGAGCAAAAGGAAAGCAACGTGTTTGCGATAAAATACTTGTGTCGTATGTGTCCCGCCGCTGCTGATGAAATATAACAGCAAACTCATCATGAATTAATCCCCAAACGCCCCCTCCCAGACCTGACCTTTGAACAGAACCCCTTCGCAAAGCAAAATCATCTCCTAGTAGTCCCAGTGCTGGTATCTCGTCAAGTGCTCCTTCACCCGTATCGCTACACCGGACGCCCTATCAATCACGCCCGTCAAGAGGACCCGTCGCCCGTCATAACAGTAGAAGAAATCATCGTAATGCCTCCATTCATGCGGCGGCCTTCTTCTTGGGTGTCGCCTTCTTGGGAGCGGCCTTCTTCTTGGTGGCAGCTGCCTTGGTAGCGGGTGCTGAGGGTGCGGTGCTCTTGGTGACGCGACCTGACTTGGTCTTGCCAAGGATAACAGGAGCCTTCTCCTCAACAGCAGGAGCCTGAACACATGTTAGTACACATTACAAGATCACCGTGGTGAGGGCACATACGGGAGCGCTCTTTCTGACCTTGGAGACGTTGGCCTTGGTCTTGGTTGCTTTGGCGGGTGCGGCAGCCTTCTTGGTGGCAGCGGCCTTGGGTGCGGCCTTGGTAGCGGCCTTCTTGGGTGCAGCCTTCTTAGCAGGGGCCTCCTTTGCAGCAGTCTGGTCTACGTCAGTACAAGAGCCTGAGGAAGTACGGCATCTCCAACTCACGGTCTTCTTGGCCTTGGCAGTAGCAGTCTTTGGTGCAGCCTTGGTCTTGGTCTCTGTCTTCTTGGTGTCTGCCTTCTTGGGGGCAGGAGGAGAGCCAGCCTTGTTCTTTGCAAGCTTGACGGGTCCGGAAGCACCTGTCGCCAGTCAGAATCGGGTCGAGCCAGCGTACGTTGTTTCCAGGTCCGGAAACGACGAATGCGAAAGAGATGCTTTACCCTTGGGGCGCTCGAAAACACCACTCTCGCTACCCTTGGCAAGAGCGCGGTTGAACTGGGTGGTGAAGGCGGCGTCGGTGACGCTGGAGAGGTTGTTGTTGGCCTGAACGTATTTCTTGAGGGCTTGACGGCTAGAGGAGAAACGGGTCAATGAACGACGCGACGAGAATGGATTGCAACGCGACTAACCTGCTGCCAGTACGATCCTTAAGCTATTGCTCGGAGATAACGCGTCAGTAATGGCTCAAGAAGAAGAAATGAGCAGCACGGTATCCTGGACGAGATCGCGCGTATCGTCGCGAACCCGCCAGGCTTCGCGTGAACGAGAGAATGTACTTACGTTGATGATAGCTTCCTTGATCATCTCTACAATCCAGAATCAGCACACATTCGCGACACAGTCCAAACAAACGCGCCGGCGACGCGACAAGTTTGTGAGCTTGTACGTACCCTGGTAGCTAGCATGGACGGGCTCCTTGGCGGCAGCCTTCTTGGGGGCAGCGGCGGCTTTCTTGGGAGGCATTTTGATATGTGGTTATTGGTACTGGATAATGGAGCGGGTCTCGAGGATTCCAATGATGGGTCGAACGCGTGGAATCGAGGTTAGTCGTGTGTTTGGGATAGCGTGATGAAAGTCGAGGGTGCGCGGAGGGGGTGGGTGCGGGGGCCATAGCGCATTTTAAACTCGAGAGGGCGACCAGAATCACGCTCGAGTCTTGAGCCGCCGCAGTCTTGAACACCCATCTTTGGCAGTCGCTGTCCACGGGACTCGCTCTTTCTTGATTTATCAATCTGACTGACTTGTTATACTGCTACATGTGTTATCACGCTTGCAGAGTATCCGGTTTGCGCATACCATGTTCGTTCGTTCAACCCATACAGGCCTATAAAACAGATCAACTCCGATTTCTGCGCTAGTCCATGTTCAGACCTGGGACCTCGCTCAGATTTCAGCAATCGCAACGGGTCGTTTTCTCTGTCCGCATGACACATCTTCCGGAGAGTCATGATGTCGGCCTGGACTTGACTCGAGAGGTTATCACTAAAACAACTTTGATGGTCATCTCTACCGTCGCGTGCTCTCGGTCGGTCGTCGCGAGCGTGTTCCCTCAAAAGAAGCTCAAGCTCGAGATCCATTCGTCTGGTCCGTGCTGCTCTCAAGCGAGACCTTGATTGCACGTCAGGTCCTGGTGATCCGTCGCTCCAGCCTCCGAGGCTTCACACTGGCAGATCTGACACCAATTTCTCAGTCGTGGTTGATGCGTCCTGTTTGTTACTCTGCACAGCTCTCGAGGAGGTGATCAGTCAAAACCCAGCCACCAAGATGTAGCGTCTGATGGTCTTTTCCAATTTTGGAGCTCATATCTCTGCTCCAGTCGTGCTCAACGAGCATTCAGGCGGACGATCTTGCACTCCGGAAAACATGTGCCAGGAATGACGACGGTGCGTATAGGAGACAGGCGTGATCTGAAACGTTCTTGGAGACGCACAAGATTCTGCGAACTTTGGTACGATATTCGTGTTTCCAGGCTTCACGTCTCTGAGCTCAGTTCGATTTTCATACAAGGTACTCCTATCCGAACCTCGCGAGATCACATGCAAGTAAACACAGGTAGCCGACGCTGGACTTTGTCGTGCTGGGAGAAAGGTTTGGCCAATGACCTGGTATCTTGAACATGCCATGCGACAAAATAACAGTCATGCTCTTCATTCAATTTTACATGATGCTTTACTTTTAAAATCGTCGTTCCCTGCGGGCAGAACTTGTCTACCTTCTGGGCATACCTCTTCCTCTGCCGCGCATCGCCCTTTGAGCAGCACCAGGGGGAAGTTGTTGACCAGGGGCTTGGGGAGCCTGAGATTCCTGGTTCTCTGTTTATGATGTTAGCTTGTGTTCGGTAAGTTGTGTAGGGCGATCGCCACTTACTGATGGTCTCGTCAACGCTCAGAATCAAGCAACTGGCCTCGGTAGCGGCTTGAATGGCGTTGATCTTGACGAGACTGGGCTCCCACACAAAGGCGGCCATGTTGTCTCTAACACCCTCGTTCTGGAAGTCAACACCGGCCCAGAGGTTGCCTTTCCTGTGCTCAACACGCAGTCTGTTCAGGATATCGGTAGCGTCGAAACCAGCGTTGTCGCAAAGCTGTCTAGGAATGACCTCGAGTGCCTTGGCGAAGGCCTTGATGATACTTTGCTGCTTGTGAGGGATCTTGCTGTCGGCGTAGGTGTGTAGGTATTTGCTGATCTCCATCTCGCAAGCACCACCACCAGCAACAATGCTCTGGTTCTTGATGGCACGCTTGACGATCATGATGGCATCGTGTAGACTGCGCTCGACTTCGGCAATGAACTGTTCAGCACCACCACGGAGGACAAGAGTGCAGGTTTTTGCGCCGGGGCAACCCTCGAAGAAGTTGAATCTCTCTCCACCGATTTGACGCTCCTCGAAGGTTTCGCAGGTACCGAGGTGGGCCTCTTGAATGTCGGAGCAGGTGGATTGGATCGAGGCGCCGGTGGACTGGCACACGCGTTCCATGTCGTCTGAGGCTACGCGACCAGCACAGAAGATGTCGCGGTCGGCAAAGTACCTTTACAATGGTCAGTCATGTGCTTCTTATTCAAGCAAGCGAATTCAACGTACTGTGTCGCAAGATCACCAATAGGCAGCTTGCTGAGAACAATCTTTGCGCCAGTCTGGTAAAGAGCCTCCATCTTGTTGAAGATAATCTGCCACTCGGCATCGACGATAGCCTGATATTCCGACACTTGCTCAACACGGACTTCGGCGTTGTCCTTCTCGCTCTTGAGCTCGAGCTCGACGTTCAAGCAAACGATCTTGGGGTTCTTGAATGACTTGGGTTGTTGCTCGAAACCGGCGTAGGAGAAGGTCTTCTTAAATGCGACACCGTTGACGAACAGGGAATCTTGCAGGGCACCACCAGTGATCTTCTTAATACCGATGAGTCTGTTGTTGAGGTCGTTCTGGTCGAGGGAGAGGACGGCGTCGACAACCACTGTAGGGCACGTTAGCACATATTCGAGAGGGCGCAAGCAGGCAGCGACATACTCTTTGTGAAGAAGTCTGCGTTGCGGTGAATCAGCTTGCTGCTCATCGAGGTTGCGGCGAGTTTCCGCAGAGTCTCTCTCTGGTTGTTCTCCTGTGTGTTGACGGCAATCTCCTTGATCTTGTTGACGGCCATGGTGCTAGCTCTTCGCAGACCCTTGATGATGGTCTGACTGCTGACACCGTGCTCGACGTGCTCCTTGATCTCCTTGAGAATCTCTCCAGCCAAGACGACAACTGATGTGGTTCCATCTCCAACTTCGGCGTCCTGCGAGCGGGCAATGTCGGTCAAGATACGGGCGGCAGGGTGGACAATGTCGAGCAACTTCATGACAGTGGCACCATCGTTGGTAATGGTCTGCTTGCCATTCTCGTCGACGAGCAGGAGATCACCTCCGTAGGGGCCAAGGGTGGACTTGATGGTGGATTGTACGGCGAGACAGGCGTTGATGTTGGAGACGATCTGGCCGCGGCCCTGGGACTGGTCGGTGCCTGAGTAGAGCTGGTCAGCTGCTTGTTGCGCGCCAAAAAGACATAGGGTGAGGCGCACCCTCTCTGAGGACAACGATAGTCGGTGTTTGACCACCGAACGACATTGTGCTGTGATTTTTTGCGGTTCGAAGGAGATGGTGTGTATGGTCCAACTACTCCTGGAATCAAGTATGTACACAAAAAACACGAGTGGCTTGGTAATGGAGATTATGCCGTCGTTTGGGTGTCTGGAGAAAAGTTGCCAGCGGCCATCAACAAATGGGTCCGAGCTTGCGGCCGTCAATCTTCGCCGAGCGAGAGCTCAAGATGCTTTCACTTCATATCTAACAACACACTTGCTTCAACAATCTGAAATTATCCAGTCCTTGTGGCATCCTACTACACAATCTTATCTACATTTTGAAGCTGTGAAGTTTGTAGTGACAAACCGCTGCATCATGCTCTGACTATTCTCTCTGTCAAGGGTCTCTTCCAGCGATGCCTCCTTGTCCGACCACAAGCTTCTCACGCGTCTGCTCCAAAGTCGAAGCTTCCACAGTCTTGTCGTCCTCATTTATCAACTGGAGCAATGGTCTCAGGTATCTAGAAAGCTCACATGCCGTCAGCAATCTACACGTCTTGGTGGAACTGGAATCGATCCTGTTCGTGTGCAAAGGTATGTCACATAGGCAGCTCTCAAAATACACAGTTCCTCCGGCGAAGAGAGAGAATCTGCCGAGAGTCGCGATGTCATCGGCTCTCTGTGGACTTGTCTATTGTCTGGAAAGAACTGTGCATTTTCATAACTTCAATGCCGCCTGTGTATAGTCGTGAAATTGTGACGGGGTTGCTGAAACATACCTTTGAGCTCAGTGGTCAGTCTGACCACACCATTAGCGTCGATTGTAGCCAGGTAATCCGTGACGAACCATCTCTTATCATCTAGGTCCTGGTAAAAACGTTGTCCGGACGCACCACCGAGATATCCTGCAATGATCGCATCGCCGCCAACGTGGAGCCGACCTTCTTCTCCTCGACCCAACACGGAACCGCCATCCCGGTCAAGAGAACAGACCTTGATACGAGAGCCACTCAAAACCGTACCAACGCTGTCCAGGGTCCGATCGGTGCTCGACAACGACTCGCTGCCCCAGCCAAGCACTCCAAACCCTTCGGCCATTGTGAAAGATGATGAGGCCCACTCAGTTTGCAACGCATCTTGTCCTTGAGCGAGCAGTTCTGCGCTCACAACTCCTCCATGTACTGACAGACTTCTGAGGGAGCTGAGGTCTCTTTGTGAGCGTGAAGGATGGCTAACCAGCTTTTCGAGTTGTGGTGGTGTACAGATCAGACGCGTACAGCCATGAAGCTCGACCGCTGACAGTGTGATTTGTGCAGAGAAGACAGCTCCCGAGAACACGATAGCCGAGCCTCTCTTCCACGCCACCAACATTGCCTCAAGAGTTGCGCTGCTCCAGGCCGGACAAGTGACCAGATACCTCTGTCCGGAGAGAATGTATTGATTCACCAGCGCTGTTCGAACGTTTAGGACGGTCAGAGGGCAGCCCTTTGGGGGATGATCGGGGCTCTCTTGAGTGAAGAGCATTGCCGCCACATGATTGTCCGCAAGAAAACGATTTTCTGGACCAGGCCTATGTGGTTTGTCATCCGCTCTGGGTTCGCGCGATCTGTATGTATCTAGAATCGTGAAATTGGCCCAGCCGCGAAAGAATCTGCCGACTTGCTCGTGACAAACGATCTTGAGCTCTATCTTCTTCGCCAGGTCTGGATAGAGGTCGTCGAAGTTATATGCATCTCTGAGGTTGGACACTAGGACGACGCTTGTTCCAAGCTGCTCAAGAGGATAATCCTGCTCTCCAGGACCGTCCACGTTCAAACTTGAAGGATTGAGAGGCACAAAGGTGAGGTCAAGTATAGCCGCCACCCATAGACCAAGGGCCAATTCTGCGCAGCTTGGAAGGAAGGCAACTAGAGTGCTTCCTCCCTCGACTCCATACTCCTCCCACACAAACGCAATGTCTCGGGCAGCTCTCATCATTTGGCGGTACGTCCAGGTCAAGCAGCCTGCAGCTGGTTGTTCTCCAACGATGTTCCTCAGATACCCCCAGGACTGGTGAGCGCAGATGAGAGCGATATTGTCCGGTCCTTGGTCGTATCCTTCTTCCAGCTGTTGAAACATGAGATCCGATCCCATCTGCACACCGGGGCCACCGTCGAGAGCAGCGAGTCGTTTGTTGGGTGTTTTGGTCGCCATGGTATCAGTGTTGTACGCGATTGGACAAGGAGTGAATCAGCAAAACGAATAGAAGAATCTCCAGATTCACAAGCGAATTGGCTCACCCAGCTGGTCGGGTTAGGAACCAGAGAGCTGCGTTGAAATTCATAGAATCCTATTAAGCAATATACGCAAATCAACAGTCTTCTATAAAACGACAAGCTTGTGTGATTGCTGCCTATTCTTCTAAGCAGATCTGGTACAAAGAGGCATCATCAAGCGTTTTCCTCCTAACAGAGACCATCAAACAAACGCCAATTGCGTTTGCAGATGAAGAACAAAGCGCTGTCGGCAATTCGAGACAGCTGCAAGACAACAGGCAAGAGCGCTTCTGTTCGTGCCTTCCAAACTACTTTGCGTTGCCTTTGTCATCGCGCATCTTCTTCAATCTTCCTCTCTTCTTTCGCTCACAATCACTCACCATCTTCAACACTTGCACCTCTTGTCTCACTGTCACAAACGACCTTGCATCCCTCCACAATCAAGATGCCTGACCTCGATGACTTCCCCAACGAGTTACTCGTGGAGTTCTTCTCGTACTTCGATCTCAAAACCTTGACAAGATGCATGAGAGTCAGCAAACTATTCAAGGCCATCACCGACCACCCTACCTTTGACAAGATCTTCTTCCGTACTAAGATTACCGAGCCTAAAGATCCCATCAACCCTGACAAGATCCAGATCAACCCTATCTTCAGCATGATCCAGTACACCAGTCGTCAAAGGATCAAGAGTGCCCACTTCCTCATCCTCGACGAGAAGCCTAATGGCAAACCCAAGCATCGCAAGCTAGCTTTGATCGACTCATCTGCCGCCAAACAGAATGCTACGGAGCCCGCCGTCACCTGCCTCCAAGTCAGTCCTTACAGTGGCGCTAGCGTAGGCATCAAATTGGGACGTGCTGTGACTGTCCGGGATGTGATGGAAGGTCTCTGCAACTACTACAACATGGTCCTCGTCGCCAATGCACGCCACTTCCTCGAGGACTTCTACAAGATCAAGGGATGGACCGAGGACGAGCTGGTTCTCAAGGCACGCTGGAGCTTGTAGAAGAAGGCTTTGTTAGGGTGCAGGTGGGGATGTTTGATCATTCGTCGAAGTCGCTGTTTCATCCAGTCACATTAGCTATGAGCGAAAGCAATCACCTCAAGTATCATACGCATCAATGCTGAATATTTACTTTACGGAATCCCCACTCATTCGCAAATGCCAATTTTATACCTCGATATCTTGAAACGTGTACCTATGCTGCTTCTCTAAAATACTGCATACTCTCAGAGGTACCTATAAAAATGCACAGAGCACTCTGTATTCAGATGTATGCCCAAAGAAAGCCCGATGAGTTGGCTCATCTCACTGGACATGTCTCTGTTCGTAGAACCTACTATGCATTTCTACAAGTGCCTAAAAACAAGGCACGAATGGCAGGAAAGAGTACAATCAACTGGCTCGACGTAAATCACCAGGTCAAACTGGGTGGCCAGTGACTACTCATCTCCTCGGCCCACGGTTCCAAACGTAAACCATGGTGTACCTCATCAGCGTCAAACATGTTTGCGCACTCTAGACTCTCATAAACTGCTCTCTCCGCCCAATATCTATGTACTCGTTGCAGCACTTCCGTACCCTACACACGTCGCAGCTCACCGCGAAGACACGAGAGAGAGCCACTTCGACATCGACCCGATTGTCGAACGTGCATCGAGGTGTCGACGGTGCTGTCTAAACTTGCAACCGTAGTCGGTGCACTCGAAAAGCTTGTCGTGAGTGTGGAGCAAACGGTAGTGGCGCTTGAGGTAGTCCTGGCGACGGAAGATGGAAAGGAAAGATCGAATTGGTAGGGAGTCGAGTATATATACTCATGATTGGAGCTAGAATCTGGCATTTGGTGAAGAAAGTTACGGTGAGTGAGAGTTCTTGGTCAAGTTTTTGTAAGTGAAATATGTGTTGGTGTTACTTGGATTGAGTCCGCTCTCTCCCATGTGTAGAGGTATGTACTATGGGTAGCTATAACAATGCACAGTTGTTTCAGCAAGTGGGAAGCGTCCATTGAGAGACATGCTGTCATCGACTCTCTTTGGACGTATCTATAATCTGTAGACAACTGTGCATTTCTATGGGCTCAATCGCACAGACTTAGCACACAGGGAGAATGCATCTCGGCCCCTGAAGCACTTCTCGGATTCGAATTGTGGTGCGTATCAGATATCATGGAAATTATCATTAGATAGTGATCGAGATACATCATCTAGAACGACCACAATAACCAACTATACTTTCGATCCTAAATCAATAGAACAGGCCCTTCTGCCACCAAGCGCATCTCGCACTGGCAGCAGGGTCTCTAGTGGGTGCAATGTTTCTCGGTCCCAGGGCCTGAACAGTCGCGTTACTTCCGTACATGGGGAAGTAAGGCAGACCTCTAATGTTGGGGTTACCAGTCTTTGCAAACTCGGTAATGTACTCCTGCATGGCGAGCGCAACGGCAACATTCTGCACGCCGAAACTGGTTCCTCCACTGGCGGCAACTGTGCTACCGTTACCGTTGTAGTAGGTGTATGCGATATCCTGTCCGTGGAGCGAAGGAGGTACGTCGAATAGGTAGGCGTGGGTTTCGTTATTGTAAGCCTTGTTGAGCCAGACAGCATTGCAGGTGAAGACGGCCTCGGACAAGATAGCCTCCACACGGCCAATCTGGTTGGTGTAGTTTTGGGCCTGGCTGCCGTCGAAAATTGGCGGGTAGAGTGTTCCGGTGATGTAGTTTAGGGTCTTTGGCATGTAGCTCAGTGCAGGGAAGCTCGTGGTCAGGAAGGTGTCAAGAGCTGTGTTGTTGTCGATGAATGGGGAGGTGAAAAGGAGGCCTTCGTTTGCGTTATGACCGGTCATGATGGAGAGATTCTTGTCGAATTGGCCACGTGCGAGCAATTGGCCCGGCAGTGCGGGCACAAAGTCGCCATCCACGGCAGGTCCGTAGACAAATTGACCGTAGGGAGCTCCGCCGACTTGTTTTGCGTTTGCAGCAATGATAGCAGACGAAGACAGTTTGCGTGCGTCGGCCAGTGTGCTCACATTCAATAGAGCAAGGAAATCATTGAAGACGCCTTCCTGCGCTGAAGGGGAAACTACAGGGAAGAAGCCGGGCGATTGTGGCACGGCAGCTGCGAAAGGAGCTGGACCTTTGAGGCCACCAAAGGCCTATATCGTGATTAGTCTCTACTCCCCAGAAGGACGATATAAACGGGTACTCACAGTGATCTGATGCATAATTGAGCCACCTCCAGCGCTCTCGCCAAAGACAGTCACGTTCTTTGGATCGCCTATTGCAGTGTCAGATGACAGGGTCTCGATGCAAAGGGAATCATCAACTTACCTCCAAATAGATGGATGTTTTGCTGCACCCACTCTAAGGCGAATCGCTGGTCGTACAAGCCAGCATTTGCAGTGCCATTCTCCTGGAAAGTAGGACCTGAAAGCCATCCCATTGCACCAAGTCTGTAGTTCATAGCCACATAGATGACACCACTAGAGTTGTCCATTTGAGACCGCTCGAGCAGACCAGCTGGATTACCGCTACCAGACTTGGATCCCGCAGTGTAGCCTCCGCCGTAGATCCAGACCAATACGGGATGCTGCTCGTTGGAGTTGAAGATACCTTCGGGAACCACGACATCGAGGAAAAGACAATCTTCACTCTGTGTAGGACCAGTCGAGCTAGCCGCAGATGAGTTGCTGCTGGCAGTGGTCAGGTTGAAGTCTGACATGGTGAAACTGGTTTTGTTCTGTAGCAGATACTCGGGAATCCATTGTCCAGCGATGATCTCCCACGCAGGGTTGGCTTGGGGACAAATAACGCTAACACTTCCGGTCTGTACCTGAGTTCGGTTCACAGCAGGAGCCTGGGGAGCTGCAAAACGAAGATCGCCAACTGGGGGAGCAGCATATCGAATATTGGAGAAGCTGTAATAGCCACCCGTAGCCTTGAGTTTGTCAGAGGTTTCGTCAATCAAGGAAGGGTCAATTGACCTACGTTATATGAAGAGGCTTGTTGGCGAGCATACCCAAGGTCCACAATAGGTAATGAGGCACATGAGCTCGAATTCTGGGCAGACACGGCTGCTGACAGTGCAATCACAGTCGCTGCTGTCAAATGGGAATAGGCACCCATACTCTTTGTGATACCAAGTTCGATTGTCAAGGACTAGAGCTAGAACAACACGAGAAAGCTTGAGGAGAAGGGCATGGAGCAAGCTCTTTATATACCGCTTACCCGGCAAGCCCGGATTTGAGAGATGATCTCACGAGTAACTAATAAAGGTGGACACGGGCACCAATGGATACGACTTACGAAAGACACTATCGAGGACTTGAGGGCGGCTTGCTCAGCATTGTCCTCGGTACTGCTGAGCTTCAAGCCATTATATACCCCTCACGTCGACCGAGGAAGGATGTTTTGCAAGCCATCTGCTGCTTCGCGGACCGTCAATTCAGCTCCTTGCTTTAGCGTTGGATGTGCATCTGACATGATGATCGGATTCCTACACACGGCAAGGACTGCCATTGGCAATGTCTCAGTATCTGTCGAGTCTGAGCACGTCCAAGATGAACAGATGTGGAGCACGGTTGGTGTCAGATCAAGATCAACGGTCAAGACGGCACACCAAGTGCGGGGGAGACGACGAAGTCGGAAGCTGCCAAAGCCGCAGAGAGGGACGACGCGGTTCCCAAAAGTCAAGCAGGGCAGGATGCGACGCGTCAGAGGCTGGTGTAAGCTCGAGTCCAGCGTAAGCGAGACAGCGGTCAAAAGAGGAAGGTTCGGACAATCAAGTTCGCGCTGGGCAGAGCTAAACAGACCCTGGACTTGTTTGCCCTCTGATGAGTCCGCCGATGAGTTTGCTGCTGAGTTGGTGATGAGGTAGAGCATTCCAATGTCTTGGCGGCAGACGCCGAGGTTGATTAGCAAAATTTGGGCAAGAACTTTGGCCATCTAGGTGATCCGCGACTGCCCAATATCACTCAGGAAGGATGAGCGCAATCAACGCATCAGCCTCGTCGCAGGGACAAAAGCGCAAGAGAGAAGAGAAGGATGTGAACAGCAAGAAGGTGCAAAGCGACAAACCTCCGGCGTCAATCTACAAGAACCTACAACTGGCCGAGAAGCCCGTATACAAAAATCTCCAGATCGCCGAGTCGCTGAAGGCACAATCGAAAACGAAGAAGGCACGCATCGACAGATTTCAAAAGACCGAGAACCCGAAATTCAAGAACCTGCAGATCGCCGAGTCGCAAAAGACAGCGCCCCAAAAAGCACGAGACGACGCAGTGCAGAAAGATGAATCACAAAAGCAGGACTTCAGAAACAACAGACAACACAACCCGCTGGCCGCTAAGCAAAACAGGTTGCTACAAGTCCGACAGAGTCTGCCCATCTGGCCGCAGGCTACAAACATTCGAAATGCCCTCCTCGAGAACCACGTCTTGATCCTTGCCGGTGAGACTGGTAGTGGTAAATCGACTCAGGTCCCTCAGTTCCTCCACACTTCCGCATGGTGTACTGGACGTGTCGCCGTCACTCAGCCTCGTCGTGTCGCTGCTGTCTCGCTTGCCCGCCGTGTCGCTGAAGAAATGGGCACACCCCTTGGAAAGAGCCCCCAGTCGCTGGTCGGTTACAACGTTCGTTTCGACGACAATGTTGGCAAGAACAACAGGATCAAGTTCCTCACCGAGGGAATGTTGTTGCAAGAGATGTTGAGAGACCCTGCTTTGGCCGAGTACAGCTGTGTCGTCGTTGATGAAGTCCACGAGCGAAGTGTCAATGTAGATTTGCTTTTGGGTTTCCTAAGAGGTCTTGTTACTGGCACGGGTGAAGCGGCCAAGAAGCGAAAAGGAAAGCCCCTCAAAGTTGTTGTCATGAGTGCTACGGCCGATACTGAGAAGTTGAAAGACTTCTTCAGCGAAGGCTTTGGACAACCTCCAACCGTAGACAGCATACCTACCGTGAATGACGGTGAACCGGTCTTGGACAAGGAAGAGACATCTGTCGAGAAGTCGCAAGAGTCATCTGTCTTGAGCTCGAACAAGATTTCAACGTGTTTCGTCGAGGGCAGAATGTATCCTGTACAGACAGAATACCTTTCTGAGCCTACACGAGACTTCTCCGAAGCAGCCTTGTTACAGATTTTCCAGATCCATCGCAAGGAGCCCATGCCTGGAGACATCTTGGTCTTTCTGACTGGTGGAGACGTCATCACAAATCTTCAACAAGCGATCGAGGACATGATACCGAATGTGATCACCAAGGACTCTGGCCTGCCGAAGCTGCTTGTACTACCCCTGTACGCAGCACTTTCACAGGCACAACAACAAGCCATCTTCTCACCTGCTCCTCCAAACACACGCAAAGTAATTCTGGCGACTAACATTGCTGAAACGTCCATTACCGTACCAGGTGTTCGATTCGTCGTTGATAGCGGAAAGGCCAAGATCAAGCAATTCCGCAATCGTCTTGGTCTCGACTCGCTCCTTGTAAAAGACATCTCGAAGTCTTCCGCCATCCAACGTCAAGGTCGTGCGGGAAGAGAAGCAGCCGGCAAGTGTTTCCGCCTGTACACAAAGTCAAACTTCGAGACCCTAGAGAAGGATACTGTTCCGGAGATCCTACGATGCGACTTGAGCTCGGCAGTGCTTACCATGAAGGCGAGAGGTGTTAACGATGTCATGGACTTTCCACTTTTGACACGTCCGTCAAGGGAGGCAATGGAGCGTGCATTGTTGCAACTACTCCAACTCGATGCATTGAACCCAGAAGATGGAAACATCAGCGACCTGGGCCGTAAGATTGCGCGACTACCTCTGACCCCAGCGCACGGCAGAACAATCATAGCAGCAGCCGATCCCGAGATGGGATGTCTGTTACCGGTGATCGACATCGTTGCTTGCTTCAATTCAGAGAACATATTTGTTGAAGTCAAAGACCAAGACGCAAACGACGAGGCCAGAGAAGCACGAAACAAGCTCTCATGCCGTCAAGGAGACCACTTGACTCTCCTCAGCGCCGTGCAAGCCTACGCATCAGAACGCACTGACCGCAAGCAATGGGCCAAGCAACACCTAGTCTCGCACCGCTCCATGCAGAACGTAATGGACGTCCGCAAACAACTCCGCGCCCAGTGCCAACAAGCCAAGCTCCTGACAAAAGAAGAACTCGCCAATGCCGACGACGACAATCTAGCTACCGTCTCTGAGTCCACCGGCAACAACATCTTGAAGTGCTTCCTTCGCGGCTTCCCCACCAATGTCGCTAGATTAGTGCCTGATGGCAGTTACAGGACTATCCATGGACACATGGCTGTGGCTATCCATCCCAGCAGTGTGTTGTATGGCAGGAAACTCGAGGCTATCTTGTACAATGAGTTTGTGTACACGAATAGGACGTATGCTCGTAGCGTCAGTGCTATTCAGATGAACTGGCTGGAGGAGATATATTCGGGATCGAGTTAGAGTGAGAATTGGCGGTAATGTACATTTTGGTGATGACAACACTTTCACAACCGTTCCTTAATTACTTCAATTTGAGGTCGTGCATTTCTTGTACATGTTTCGTATATGTGGCGTACCGTTGTCTATCGATAGCATTCTGGACCGTGCGCATGAGTCAGGGTGATACCCCATATCAGTGCTAAAAACATCAACAGCGAGGTATAGAAGCGACCACATGGCCTTTTGTACTTTGAATATGTGGAAAATATACTTTGAACCATCTTCAAGGACAAAAATCAGCTACATGTCGTCTTCACTAATAGTGGTAGCGTAGTTGCAATTAAACGTTATTCGGGTCACATAATCTAGCAGGACGGTCTCAGACGCATAGACAGTACCTCATCTTTGTCGATACTATTGCTCGCCATCACAGAAAAGAGTCGTCCGAGACAGAAGATGCAAGATTCAGTAGCTATAGAACAAGCTCACATGTGAGCAAGGCTCAAATGCAAGTCGTACGAACCGACAATGCAGATATACGGCTGGTACAGAGTATCTTGGCGGTCAGGGTCATATTGGGACATGGCCATTCTCGACATTGCACTCGTAGCTCGAGCAAGGAGAGAACATCTGAAAAAGACCAAGAGACAGAGTATAACGAGCAGATCGATAATAATTAACGCTAGAAGTGGAGACGTGATGCCATATATGGGGAGAGTGCTACAGCAATACTAATACATGAATCGAGCAGCGGTTGTGTTATAGGCTGTCAAAGACTGGATCAAACTCCATCGCGCCCCAGCCGAATCCATTATTCAAAGTCGCGACATCATCAGTGAAAGACTGCCAGTTGAACCACGATGCCTGCAAGGGATCGGATTGCATAGTATTCCAACCTTGACTAGCGTCTGCTAGCGGGTACATTGCCGTCAGATCCATCGCTGAAGTCGTGTAGGCAGCCAAGTCGTCCGTGAAGTTTGCAGAAGGTGTTGGTATGACCATGGCCGGGGGTTGCGCTGATCTCTCTTCGCGTTTCTTCTGCGCAACTCGCATGAGCTTCTTGATCGGCCTCCACAGTGGACCTTGGACGCCTTCGGCAATCTGACCAGAGAGTTCGTCGAAGGAGATCAGTCCGATGTTCCACGCCCTCTCTAGAAGTTGTGCATCGTGCTGATCTGGGTTGCAGAGCTCCGCCAGCAGGACGGCTAAGCCATGCCAATCCACAAAGCCTTTGATGATCCAATGCCATGGCTCAGTGCTCTCGCTCAACAAGCTCCGCTTGACTTCAAGCGCTTCCACAGCGATAAGCAAGATGTTCATTTGTTCGGGCGGAGGCAGGGTCAAATCGGAGTGTCGCTGAAGTGGTCGTACCGCGTACAACTGTGCGCACCTAACGAGGACTTTGGTGAAGCTGACACAGGCAAAGCGGAAAACGCCATCTACTCGGATGTGTGACAGAATTTCGTCTTCGAATGTACGCTCCATATGTGCGATGGCTTCCTGTCTCACCTTCCACGAGCTCTGTATCGCCGTAGGAGGCTTTTCTGCTTCACCTGGCAGCACCCAATTCAGCTCTCTCAAGAGCCGATTACTGCGGCAGTGAATGTTGTAGAAGACCATGCTGGTCGGAGAATTTGCATCTGACAGTAGTACAGGACCGTCCAGGGCAAAATTCGAGTCGAGATAATCAGTTGGGGGCTTGGTGGTCCACCCGTTCGTAACAATCATCAGATCACTCCCTCGGTCCATAGCTGCTTGATAGTCCAGTGCTATCAGAGTGTACCAAGTGCGTCGGCGTACTTCAGCTAGGCCCCAGGGTGGTCTGTTGTAAGACTCTTCTCTGTGCAGTTGCAGGGATTGCGCCATCCTGACTGCTAGAGATATGCACATCCAACTTTGTTGATCGTTCTGATGTGATCTTAAAGCCGCCTATTCATGAGTTAGCCAAGACTTGTGGACGTCGTGTTTCCGACTCACTATGTAGAGTAACAACGCTTGCAGGGTCACCAGGCTCGGTCTTTTGAGGAGTTCAGCCTTTGCGAGGCATTGAAAGGTTGCTTGTTGCCACTCGTTCCTCAAGTCTTCTTTCCTCTTGCTAAAGGCACTCAGGCAGTGTGAATTGCTTATACTGCAGATGCAAGCATAGAACGCGCTAGCAACGAGTACCTGTGTGCTTGGGTTATCCGGAGCTTCTCCCAGATATGGTTCTTTCGCTGTTAAGAGCTTCTCAAAGCTAGGCAAATGGACGAAGCTCAGGATGTAGTCGACGTTGCGTCGAAAGATCTTGATGTACTCTAACACATCATTGTCCGAGACGAATGGATCAGTGACTGGCGGTGAGGTGAATAGCAGATCTCTTGGGGTTCCATTGCTATCTGTAGGTACAGAGGGTGAGCTTGTGTCAATGTCATCATCATCATGGTCGTTGTGGTCGTCCTCATTATCGAGTACTGCATGAATATCATTGAGCTCATGGGCTAGTTGAGCCCAGAGTGTTGATCCCAATGGCCACTTTGTAGTATCTGGAGTAGTGTCATACGGATCCCATGCTTGTTGCTTCTTGGTCGACGAGCCCGAAGAAGCAGCTGTCTTGGCGTCGCTGTTGTTTCGCGTCTTTTGTGGCACAGATTCGAGAGTAGTGTTTTCCGGTAGCAAGCCAGAATTGAGAGACTGAACAAGGCCTTCCAAGCGATTGATTCTGTTGCGTAGTTCTGTGTTCACGCCCTTTCGACCACCATTTCTCCCACGCGGCAACCTGGCGCGAACGATTGGAACACACTCCTTTGACGAGGCTACGCAATTCGAACATGGATTCTGTTTGTCACACTTGATTTTACCTAGAACGAGTCAAAAGTGATATGGAACAATGATAGTTTCAGCGACTCACGTTTCCTGCACAAGGTACACGACAAAGGCACGGCGGCCGAGGACTGGGAAGTGTCAGGCCTCTTCACGGTCGGACTGTCCATGATGGACGACAGTCAAAGTCTTTGTCAAGTTCAGTCTCGCTATCGCATTCAAGTGTCATGAGAAGTCAGGCCAGATGATTGCAGGCAGCGATGACCATGGTTTGGTTGCAGGATCAGGATCATCATCGACTGTAAAGCATAAATGTGTCTGTGCTCAATCGAGAAGAGGCGTCTTCATGTGATTGGCAGAGTAGAGGCAGCGCAAGGCAATCTTCAGGCTCACAACAACGACTGTAAGGCTTCCAGCGGTTTCCTCAACGATCAAAAGACTCTGCCCAAGCTTTGACTGTATAGGGGAATGGTCGGACAGGGTTTCCTGATGGAGAGAGTCGTTGGACCCCTGACGAGGGACGAGGCCGTGAACCTCGGCTTCTTTCCCCCAGCGCGTTCCTTAGATCATCATGAAGATGGTTGTTTTGCTCATGCATCCGGACTCTCTCCACCACCCTTTTCTGTGTCCATGAAGCCTTTGTTTGATAAGCATGGTACAGTCACCTCCGTCGTCAGCGGCCAGCTCGGCTTCCAGTAGCAGTCGACAGAATCTGGATCCCATCACACGCAATGCGCTTCGGTATACCGTCAGTGCGAAGGAGTATGAGTTGCTTCATCAATACCTCGCGTCACGCGCCCCTTCGGTGCAGAAGCGTGCCCTCCCACCACGCAAATATGAAGCCATAGTAGAAAGCAAACACGATGCCAGCGTCTCGACAGTACGAGCCAGTCTGCGTGTTTTCGCTGCGACCTATACCGCCCTCAAGGCATGGGATGTCGTCTCGCGAAGACTACGGCCATCCAAGTAAGACTTGCCATGTCAAGACCTTGTACATAGTACTGACCAGTGATAACAGTCCGAGCCAGAAGAACACCAGCCCCAAAGCATCACATATGCGGCTATCAGCCTCGCTCTCCTTGATCCTGCTCTTCCACCGTCTGCTGTATCGCTTCTTTATTCGTCTCCGTGCCTCGTTACTTGAACCCTCGGCTCGCCCCTTCCGCCGTCGCAATCCTCACATCAGTCTTGGATTAACATCACGATACACACCTGCTATAGGAGCCGCACTATCTGGACTCTTCTTGGGCGTGTGCCCTGCCTCGCAACTGCGCATCAGCGTCGCCATCTACGCCTTTAGTCGCTCACTTGAGTTCGCCTACAATGCCGCCGAGGAGAAGGGTATCTGGGGAAAGAAGGGCAAGCCAGACTGGGTAGGGAGCTGGATGCTCATGCCCCTTGCCTGTGGACAACTCTTGCACGCCTTCGTCTTCGACCGCGAGTGCTTTCCTACAAACTACGGCAGCTTCATTCTCAAACGCAGCCCAGAATACATCCAACAACGGCCCTCTACATATCCCGCCGACAAGGCTTGGCCTGCAACCTTTGATATTGTTGACGGCCTGGCTGACATCTCGCGTCTTCGCTGGCCGTCGTTCGTCTCCCCCATCTTGTTCCCGGCAGCCAAACAACACCTCCCAGCATCAATCTCGAACCTCTCACCAATCACTGCTCCGGCGCATCCCGCCATCACTAATACTTCATGCGCCCTTCTGCACCCACAGGATCCATCGTGCATGCGGACATATATCAAATACTTCATCGCCGCCTTTCCCTCTACCGCTCGCTTCTTCACCGTCATCTATGCTGCCTTTGCCCTCCTATCTTACAAGTCTTTCCTCCAAAACCCCATGCAACAGCTCAACCGCCTCGCCGCAAAGATCTTGCGCATGTCCCTCTTCATCACCGGTTCCATCGGCACAGCGTGGGGAACCATCTGTCTGTTTGCGACCTACCTCCCTCGCAACACACTAGCCACACAGCGCTGGTTCCTCAGCGGCTTCCTCGCTGGTATGTGGGCCTTTGTCGCAAGAAGAGGTCAACGGAGCAGCTTCATCTACTCTGCACGCATGAGTTTGGATTCCTTCTGGAAGGTCGGTGTTGCAAGAGGCTGGTGGAAGGGTGTCAAGAGTGGAGATGTTATGCTTTTCGCTGCTAGTCTGGCGCTTGTGGACGCTTTGTACGAGACACAGCCCAAGGCTGTCAGAGGGGCTATGATTCGTAAAGGAATGGGCGTGTTGAGGGGGGAAGGGTGGGTTGACCGTACTGTCATTCAGGAAGAGCAGGGCAAGTCAACGCCAGAGACTGTAGAGAAGAAAGATGAGTAGTGGAGGTGCTCTGTGGCGCACTGAAGGCGAGGAACGAATCATGAATTGAAGTCACGAAGGACGAGTTCTTGTACGATAGGTAGTGGTTAATCGGTGTAATGTTTTTGCTCTCTCTTGTTCTCATGTTTTCATTGAGCTCTCATACGACCAAATACCTAGCCAGGGAAGCCCGCTCTAGCCATCTTCCTAGCTCTTCCTTCCCTGCGATTGGACCCACGTGCCTCTTTTCGTTGTCTAGCAGCCTGAGTATTACCCTCGCTAGGAGGCCCAGCTGGGTTACCACCACCTCTACCGCCTCTGCCACGTCCGCGTCCACCACGGCCCCTTCCGCGGCCTCCTCTGCCACCTCTCCCACCAGCTCCGTTGTCCGAGTCTTCCGTGGCTTCACTGTCCCTGTATGCAGTCCTTTCCAATTCTGGTTGCGCGCCACTGAAAGCAGAGAATCTTGCTTCCAGTCTCTTGAGGCGTCTCGGATCACGGCCGAGCATGACTGCCCAGCCTTCGATAGCCTCGTCCTGCATGCCAGTTTCGCTTTTGAGCGCAGCACGAGCAGAGCTGCGACGAACGTCTGACGATCGTTCAAACACTCCTCTATCCATACGCCACGCGCGGAACAAAGCTTCCTCGTTCTCTCCCTGGTTTCCGAGATCTGTTTCTCTTGATTCCTCGCCATCTGGTCTGGCAGCATCGACGTATCCTCCTACATCTGCTTCATCATAGGTATCGTCACGTTCGTCATCATCCGAGTCGAATGCAGCCAAAGCGGAGAGAATCGCACTCTTTGCGGGTGCAGCGCTTCTGTCTTCCAACAGAGCGTCAGCAGTAAGGTTTGCGTTCTTCCTGCCGAGGTGCAGATGGGAAGCATCCACCTCGAGCCTGTCGAATTCGTCATCGTCAAAGACGTTCCGGCGTTGTGGAGGCGGTGTACTGCGCGGTGCCAAATGCTCTATTTTCTGTTGTTCCGTCTCTTGAGCATCTGCCTTCGAATACGACAGTTCTTCAGTTCGATCAAGCGACCGTAGATGATCAGGTAGTGAGTCGTCGAGAAGGAGGGCAGTCACTTGCTCCGGATCATCGTGATATTCGTTCCATAGTCTGGCGATAAAGCCTGAACCAAGGTCCGGGAACAGATCCTGTATTTGTGATATAAAGCCCACTCGGTGAACGTGTTGCTCTGCTGATACAGCACCATGACCAAATTCATCTGCGGTCGCTTTGCCTTTCCCTTTGTTGACTTTGTGTGCTTTTTTAGGCCTTGCGATTGAGGGTGAGAGTAATGACGAAAGAGTGTTTGCCAGACCCTGTGCTCGCTCTGCGTTCTTTCCAGTAATAGTTGTCCTTAGTTTGGACAACAGAGAGGTGTTGGTAACCAGATCTGCCAAAATTGAAACTTCAGAATTGCCAGCCTGGTTCTTGAGGCCGTAAAGATGGTCGAACAGGAGAGAATAGTTTGGTTTGTCACCTTTTGTCAAGGAAAGAAGACCATAGTACAGGACCGACACTAGAGATTTGTGCAATTCAGGTGAGCTTTTCGGATATGCCGTTGACATAGCGTCAACAAGTTCAGAACTTGTCAAAACGATGGCACCAGCCTCATGAGAAGAGAAAAGGAGAGGGACGATGCGTTTCACACTCGGCTCTGCTACATCAGGATTCGATGATTCAAGTTGCTTGATGGTCGTCGACAAGAAGTTTTGGAGAGAACGATTCAAATCAGTATGCCTATTACGCCAGAGCTTCTGCAGTAGCAAATCCAGGCTTTGTGTCTTCATATAGACATGGCTAAAGTCCGAGAGAAAGTCCCATTGAAGCAGAGGAGCCGGAGGGTTAGAAGTTGTCAACAGAATCCTATGAGTGAGAATGAAGCAAGTCTTCCGCAGAGTGTGCTCCTTGCCCTGGGTTTGTCCATGCTGTTGGCGGTCTTGAGCTGATACTCGATAATAAGATGTTAAAAAGGGAACCAAAGGTTGCTCGTTCCGAGCTGCTGATTCGAATTCTGCCTTTCCGAGACGCAAGTAAAGGGCTGAAAGTGACAACCAAGCATCAAGACATGCTTCCCACTCGACGGGTCCCAGATCCTTGCGAACTTGCGCAGGTGGATATGAAGCGAGTGATGGCAGACTCATTGAATGTCCTGGACCAGATTTTTTGCGAGCAGAACAAGTGAAAGCGATTCTTGGCTATCCAAGCAGAAGATAGTCGTGTGTGAAGGTGAGAGAACCAACAAGCAGACCAAGTTCACGATATGGCCAAAAAGTTGAGACAACAAGGGCAGTTGCATGACGATGTCTATATGGGTCCAAGCTTGGACGGTCGTCGATTCGGGAAGGAGCGGTCTTGGCAGCCACGATTGACCCCCACAGAAGTTCTGACCGCGCAAAATTCGGTTGTCGTTTTCGATTTCGAACATCAACCAAAAGGCCAATCATCACTTAGCCGTGGACACTCCCGAGTCTTGATTGCCATATCCGTCTTTTGACCAGGTGAGACGACCTCGCTGTCGCTGGCGACACCTTGCGACGGCTTACTAACACGTCGCGACAGCACCAACTCATCTCCAAAATGTCGTTCCAGGACCCCAAGAAGACCGGCCAGGCCGATGCCCCCAAGATCCACAAGATCCGCATCACCCTCACCTCCCGCAAGGTCCAGTCCCTCGAGAAGGTCTGCACTGAGCTCATCGACCGCGCAAAGTCCAAGGACCTCCGCGTCAAGGGCCCCGTCCGCCTCCCCACCAAGAACCTCAAGATCACCACCCGCAAGACCCCCTGTGGTGAGGGTTCCAAGACCTGGGACACCTTCGAGATGAGAATCCACAAGCGTCTCATCGAGTGAGTTCCACCGCTACACCATACAAGCCTCTGACCGCCGTACTGACATCGTTCCCCTTAGCCTCAACGCCCCCACTGAGGTTGTCAAGCAGATCATCATCAACATCGAGGCCGGTGTTGAGGTTGAGGTCACCATTGCCGCTTAAATGCGTTGATGCTGTGTCAAGTAGTACCAGTCCGATCCGGCGCATAGTTGGAAGTCAAGTAACCACTGGGCTTCTCCTAGCGAACAAAATAAAAGATGGTCAAAAACTTTGTTTACACTGTCATGTGTCGTGATATTTGTGTTTGCCATTATGATCGTCTACTTGAATGCTCGCAAGTCGCGTACCCAGCAAGCAGACCCATTCCCTAAGGCCCGCTATCCTTTTCCCATGCTAATCTAGTGTACACCAAAGCCACGAAGCCGCCCAGAACAACTCAGCTTACTTGTAGAAATCGAACTTGTCAGCTTCAGACGCTCCCTTGACCTGGCTGGTGTAGGCGTCCTCGAGATCCTGCTGGATGATGTTGTAACGGTTCTTTCTGACAGCGCGCAGACCAGCTTCCTGCATAATAGCTGCGATGACAGCACCACTCAAGGGGTCGTTGCGGACGATGAGACTGTCAAGATCGACCTCAGGACTCAAGCTCATCTTGCCAGCGATGGTGCTGAAGATCAGTCTTCTCTCACGTCTGTCGCGAAGGTTGGGGAACTCAATCTTTCTGTCAAGACGACCGGGACGGAGAAGGGCGGGATCCAGAGTGTCGGCACGGTTGGTTGCCATAATCACCTTGACGTTGCTAGTCTGATCGAATCCATCCATCTGGTTAAGCAGCTCAAGCAAGATACGTTGGACCTCTCTGTCAGCACCAGTCTGAGCATCGAAACGCTTGGTGGCAATGGCGTCAATCTCGTCGATGAAGATGATACAAGGACTGTTCTCGCGAGCCATGCGGAACACGTCTCTGACCATACGAGGACCCTCACCAAGATACTTTTGGACGAACTCAGATCCAACGACTCTGATGAAGGATGCGGTAGTGCTATTGGCAACAGCCTTCACCAGCATAGTCTTTCCGGTACCAGGGGGGCCGTAGAGCAGAACACCGCGAGGAGGGTCGATACCGATCTGGTGGTAGAGGTCGAAGTGCGTAAGGGGCAGCTCGACGGCTTCTCTGATTTCCTGCTTTTGCATGTCCAGTCCTCCGACATCAGCATACGAGATGTCTGGCTTCTCGTCTGCACCAAGCATAGCAATCGAGGAGTCTGCCTCTGGGGGAAGAATGTCGACGAGAGAGTTTGAGTGGCGATGAAGAGCGACCGAGGAAGAGGGCTTGAGCAGCTCACGATCGAGTGTCGAGAGAATGCGCACGACATAGTTGGATCCAGTGGATGATTGTACAATACCGGTGCTGGACATGGTTAGCATGTGGTGCTGTGTCAGATGTCGAAGCACACGCACTTTTGATCGATAGCCTCCATAAACTGTCCGATAACAAGCGGTACACTCTGTATCCTCTTGATCTCCTCCTGTGCGCGTACGAGCTCTCTCTTCAGCGATCTCTGTTCATCCTTGATGTACTCTTCTTGCAGCTTGATGTATCTGCGTGTTGTTAGCATGAACTCGTACACAAAGGAGCTCGTAACCCACTCGAGCTGTCTCTGGAGCTTCTTGAATGTGGAGTATTGGTCGTCAGAGTCGGCGCCGATGCCTTCGAGCGATTCGATGTTTGGAATGGATGATGAGAGCTGTTTCTTGTGCGGCGGCACCGTGTTTGCGTACGAGTCGACTGCGACGTCGGCCATGATGAGCTGTTGATTTGTGGTATGTGTGATCGGGTATGGCGTATTTCAGAGTAGTACGAGGACGACGGCGATACACGATGGCTTGATGCAGAGACGCAGCGAGTTGGTGGGTTGTCACTTGTCACTTGCCTCAGCGACGTTCTCACTTCCAGCTATCGTCGTCACAACGGAGGTTGCATCCTCCGATGGTAACAGCTTGGCGGACATCTCTAGCCTCCATGTACGTACCCCGATCACGTGTTGGATCCAGGGACAAGGGCTGACCCTGGCTCTCGGTCGCGATGCTTCCATCCTCGTCTCTCCATCGCGATTGGCAAACAAAAAGCCCCTTAAAGCAGCGATAATGGTGCCTTGAGTCGTGAGAGATCTGGGAAGACACGCCACACCTTGGATCAGATGAGATCGATCTCAGGAATGATCTCCTGCTGAACAGCTTGGCGACATCACTCTTCTACCTGTTGATCCAGCTTGTCCAAACAAGAATACGCATGGTTTCTGAACATGATTATTCACATGTCACATAGCATCAAGTTGTTTGGACAAACACATTGCAAGAGAAAGGAGGCCGAGTGTTGGAAAGACTCGATCACGAATTGAGTCGCGTATCGCGGATAGCGCTGTAATTGGGCTGAATCCCCCCGGAGGCCCTTCCTTCCTGCCCTTTGCTCATAGAAGCATCTACCTTACCCGAGGCGAGAGGGGACGATGTTCGCGCCTTGGTTTGCTTTGCAGAGATGTAGCCACATGGAATCTCGTTGGAAGTCGACCCCTTAGTCGAGCATGTACTCTGGAGTTTCGCCAGAAGAAGTATTGGGAAAAGTGGATGAGATCGGTTCATCGACGATTTGCGTTGGCTTTCTCAAACCCAGCGTCCCGGTGCGATGCAGGTCCGTCGCTGCCGGAACCATGGCTGTAGGGGTGAATGTCACACCAAAAAACAAACCTCTTGTAGCTATGCCACATGTTTGAGAAGTCAGCTCGACCAAATTAGCTACCCTGCATATTTAGACGTGTTTTAAAGAACAGGAGGCTATCGAGAGAAGCACCAAATTTGCTGACGTCGTTCTTCCAAACCGCGTGCTGAAGTTTAGCGTGGCCGTGCACGCACCTTCGACTCAAACAGCGTGCTGGGTCTTTCAATTCTTCTATCGCTACACAAACCACACCCATCGCACGCCGTCTGCCCCATCCCCCCGGAATCTCGCCTGCCGCCCTCGACAAGCGACTGTCCTGTACGTTTGAGCGACTCGGCGACACGCGCGAAACGCCGCCGGCTGGCTCGCCCCAACCCCTCGACTGTCCTTGACCGCAGCCGCGCGCAAAGCCCCATCTCGTTGGTGCCGCGACCCCGACACCGACACCACCTTGCACGGATGACCTCCCAGCTCCGAAAATCATGAGCGGCTACAATCCTTATGCCTCAGGGCACGGGCACCAAGGCGATGGCATGCAGCAGATGGACATGTCGGCCAATGGGCAAATCATGGCCCAAGGACCCGTTATGGACGCCATGCCTGGACACTCTCTCGACGATATCGTCAGTCAAAACGCCAAGCTTATGCGAAGACAAAGCATGTCCCAAGGCTTCCATCCCGGCCAGCAACAGCAGCAGCAGCAACAACTCCCACAGACGCAGCCTATGGATACCGACGACCCGAGGCGAATGTCCATGATGGAATTCACCGGCACTTCACCAACTGGCCCTCTGGAATCCTACCAGTTCAGCCTCCCAAACTCCGACATGGTCGACGCTACAGCTTTCATGGCCGCCAGTCAAGTGAATCCGGCCATGGCAAGCAGACAATCCTCTATTGGCGGAGCCGACCTGGCCATTGACAATGGTTTCGCCCCAACAAGCTCATACATGCCAATGATGCCACCCACCTCGTCCTACCAATCTCCTGCAAATCTCTCCAACAATATCGACATGGACCTCAACAGTCCCTACATCAACACTCCTATGCACATGTCATCTCTCGGTTACAACAGCCCAAATATCGACCGTCCCGCGCCCATGTACAGCCACAATTCTTATCACGGCATGATGAATTCTCCTCTCCATACCTCTGTGCCCAGTCACATGTACCGCCAATCTTCGGAGCCTGGCGGAAATCCTAATCCTCCCAAAAGACCATCCCTCGAGCATTCACATAGCCGATCATCAACAAGTCAGACCATGCAAAACACCCATCAACAATCACGTCAACCTACGCCACAACGACAAAACAGTCGGCCATCACAAAATTCAAGACAACATTCTGGTTTCAAAGCACAGCCTCAAAATCCTCAACCTGGCTCGCGTCAGGATGTAGGCATGGATAGAGGTCGTAATACAAACTCAAAGCCAGACCGTTCACCTGACCCATCGAAGTACAACCCGAACAACCAAGGGTTCAACTGGCCTACGCCCGAAGGTTTGTTATGTCCACGCCATTACCGTATCGATTTTATGCTCACCTCATACAGGCGGATGGCCATCTACAATGACGGGCAAACCCCATATGCATTCCCAGTACAAAAACGCGTACTCTTCAACCGGTTTTGATATGCTTGGAGTTTTGGTATGTTTCCTAACCTTTCTACCAATACAAGGGCAACAAAGCTGACGCGAGGACAGATGCGTGTCGCGACTCGACCAAACCCGGAAATCAACATTGGGTCCGTCGACCTGTCTTGCGCCTTCGTAGTTTGTGATGCGGAGAAAGACGACTTCCCCATCGTGTACTGTTCCGACAATTTCGAACGACTTACTGGCTATACTCGACATATGATTCTCGGCCGAAATTGTAGATTCTTACAATCTCCCGACGGCAATGTCGAAGCTGGAGTACGGCGCAAATATGTTGACGACGATTCAGTACTCTACCTCAAAAACATGATCAATCTTCGTCGGGAAGCTCAGATCTCGCTTATCAATTATCGACGAGGTGGCCAGCCTTTCATGAACTTACTAACTATGATCCCGATCTCGTGGGATACCGACCAGGTCAAGTTCTTTGTTGGATTCCAGGTCGATCTGGTAGAGCAACCAAACGCCGTGACCGATAGGAACCCCGACGGCACCTATGCCATCAACTACCAAAGAGGCATGACGATGCCACGTTACGTCATGAACGCTCCAGAGTCAACTGCCAATAGAGGAGAGCTTGGCCAAACTATACCGAGAGATGATGTTTCTGCTATCTTGAGCACTATTGGAACTGGAGAATCCGATTTCGCCAAACGAATGTGGGACAAGGTTCTTCTCGAAAATACGGACGATGTTATCCATGTTCTCTCTCTCAAGGGATTGTTCCAGTGGATCTCCCCATCGGCGTCAAAGGTGCTCGAGTATGAACCCGGCGAGATTATTGGCACAGCACTTTCATCCATCTGCCACCCTAGCGATATTGTGCCAGTCACCAGAGATCTCAAGGATACCTCTACCGGAGCATCAGTCAACGTCGTTTTCCGTATACGCAGGAAGAACAGCGGCTACATGTGGTTCGAAGGCCACGGATCGCTTCATACTGAACAGGGCAAGGGTCGCAAATCAATCATCATGGTTGGAAGAGAGCGTCCAGTCTATGCACTTAACAGGAACGAGCTGATTGGGAACAATGGAGTCGGCGAAAACGAACTATGGACTAAGATGTCTACGTCGGGTATGTTCCTATTCGTGTCTTCGAACGTAAGACAATTGCTCGATCGCCAACCGGACGAGCTTGTCGGTGTGAGCATCCAATCTCTCATGAGAGCAGATTCGAAGGCCGAATTTGGGCGTGTCCTCGAGCACGCGCGTACAGGCAAAAAGGCGTCTGTCAGACATGAGATGATCAACCGTCGCGGACACGTCCTTCAAGCTTTCACAACATTGTATCCTGGAGATGCAACAGAGGGTCAAAAGCCGACGTTCATCGTGGCCCAGACACGTCTGATCAAGCATCAAAGGGGCAATTCATCATCCCGACCTGCGCTGAGCCAACGTGGATCGGAATCTGCGCTTTCTGGCAAATACACACCTGCAACCCCGATGCTCTTAGGTGACAACACCCCACAGTCCTTGACCCAGCTTCAGTCAACAGATGGTGCAGCTCCCACTTACTCGGGACAGAACGGACTCCAGCTTGGTCGCCAAGATGGAGCATTGGCCTCGGAAGACAATCTGTTCGATGAGCTCAAAACGACCAAGTCGTCTTCGTGGCAGTACGAGATCAGACAGCTGGAGAAGAAGAACCGCATGCTAGCAGAAGAAGTACAGTCTTTATTGGCTGCCAAGAAGAAACGAAAGAGGAGAAAGGGTGCTGGTCAGATGCAGAAGGATTGCGCCAACTGCCACACCAGAGTGACGCCCGAGTGGAGGAGAGGCCCAAGCGGACAACGAGATCTTTGCAACAGCTGTGGTCTAAGATGGGCCAAGCTGGTGAGTCAATCAGCAACAAATTCACGGGTAAGCGCGGACGGTTAACGACTTGAACAGAACGGCAGGGTATCACCTTGGACCAACTCACAACACTCTGTACACTCGACAACATCGGAGAAGGCTTCGAAGAAATCCCAATCTCCCATGCATCCGCCTGGTGTTCATGGCGTCAAGACAGAGCAGACGACGCCTCGTCAACAGCCGCTCGACGCACTTGCCCAACACGGCCAGAACACCAATGCGACTACCGGATACGTCAATGTCACATCACCACAGCAACACCACGGACCCACAGGACATGCGGCACACATGGAAGGCGCCAGCAGGGTTCCTGAAAAGATCGAAGAAGAGTGAGACGACGGGTTGACTCACTGACTCTTTCCATATCCCACATTGCTCCACGCCAAGCTGGTGTCTCTGTCTCTCTGGAGCTCTCCCTTCCTCTTTCTTCTCTCGCACTCGACCCACATCTCTACATCTCCTCTGTTTTTTGTTGCAAGCGCAGTCTCGTCTTGTCACGATACCCATTTTCTCGAGTTGATTTTTTGTCCTGCGAGCACTGCTCGCGTTAACATGTTCAGCATTGCTGACTTACTTCTTCTTGTTCTTCGTTTCAACCTCCATCTATTCCATCAACTCGTTATTCTCTTTTCGTCATCCTAGAAAGGAGTCCCTTGTCAAGAAGGGGGACGGACAGTACGAGAGTGGAGGAGAGATGCTTTTTGTTTCTTTATCCATAGTTTACACTTGATTTTTGTCTTGTTTGAGCACGCGCACAGCAGCAACTGAGACGAAAGGGCTTTTCATGAACACGAATCATGGTGGTTTTTGTTTGGTTGGTTGGTTCGCTTGTTTTTCTTTTCGTCATTGTTACGAATCCCTTCCTTTTCTATCTTTTCATGCATGTACACGAGAGTCTTCAATACCCCCTTGTATATAGCTGAAATCGCTGGGTTCTTCTTTTTCGACAATTGTCTTCATCCCTTTCCTTCTGTAAAGCTGTGTGACACGGGTAGCTACGAAGACGCACATTTGCTTTGGCAAACAGATAGTTTAGAATGAGAGCCGTGATGTTGTCTGCCCTCGTTGGACTTGTCCACCGTCTGTGAAGAGCCAAGCGTTTTCATGACTTTGACTCTGCTACGTACAGTCATAGGAGGGGTCAGGTATAGACTTCGTCGTTTGAGGAGGGAGGTGACTAGATATGAATTCAGTAACACTCACTCGTTCAAAGGCTTGAAGCAATATCTTCTCTACATAGAGACATGGCGATCTTCTAGGCAGAGATACATCTGAAGAGAGACAAGAGTATGCCGCTTCTCAATGTGCACTGGCCTATTTCTCAGGACTTTGGTGCGTTGTTACAGCCGCACGCGTTCTAGACTCTAGCAACGGGAGGATTCTGTGCAATGTTCTTCAACTCGTGCTTCTCGTTTGCTCTGTGTGAGTGTCCGATATCGTCTGAGATTTTTGTGCTCCAGTCTATCCTCTTGGGACAAATATGCCCAAGCCTTGACGAGTCCATCTTGTGTGTTCTGTAATTGACAATGCACTACGGCGCCACTCTTATATATATATCAGTCACGAGGCATCGGAAAATCGAGAAGAGTCAAAGTCTTGACCGCTCAAAAAGAAATATATTGTTTTCTACAATAGAACAAAAAAAAGTGTGGAAAATACAACGACCGCTATGCGAAGTATTTACTGGTCGTCGAGAACGTGAAGGTACTTCTTCTCCTCTCTCTTCTCACGCTCGGTCATGGGAGGCAAATCGTAGTAGGACGAACTACGGTATGCTTGCTACAAAGGTTGTCAACAGTTTGCTCAACGAGGCGGAGAATATAATTGCAACTTACGAGATAGTGGTATGTGAAGTTGGCAAGGTCGGTGGGCTCGATACCCAAGTCCTTGAAGGTCTTTGCTGAAGGGTCAATAGTCTGGTCGATGAACTCACGAGCGACCGAGTCCTTGCTCATGACGCTGTACCAGACGAACTTGTTCATCAGCTGTGCGACAGGAGACATGATTTGAGGAGGAATGTTGATGTGACGTCTGGTCTTGAGGATTTCGCGCTCGACGAGCTCCTTGATCTCGGCCATCGAGTACTGCTTGGGGCCGTAAAGCTCGTAGGTCTCACCAGCGGTGCTGTCGTCTTGCAACATCTTCTCGAGAGCGGAACCAACGTCAATGGCGTGGACAGGGTTGAAGCGTTCTTGCATGTTGTTGGATGTGAACATGTTGGAAGCCTTGGCGATGCGGTGAAGCAGACGGTCCTCGAAGCCGAACATAGGGGCAGGGCGGACAATTGTCGTCTCGGGGAAGATGTTGCGGACAGCCTCCTCGCCACGGGCCTTGGTACGGTAGAACTCGGAGGGCGAGTCCAAGGAGGCCGAGTGCGAGGAAACGTGGACGAAGCGGTCGACATCGTACTTGGCGACAGCATCGGCGATACGGGTAGCACCCTCAACATGGACGTCCTCGAGGTCGAAGTTCTTGGTGGGGTAGTCGCGGCCGATCAAGTTGTAGACAATGTCGGAATGACGGACAGACTCGTCGATAGAAGCAGTGTTGCGGAGATCCATTTCCTTTTGTACTTGTCAGCGCGTGTCGGCGCAAGAGGTCAGATATAGCATTGGGCGTACAAGGAAGACAACGCGGCCCAGATCACCGGAGACCTTGAGATGGCGCTTGGCCATCTCCTCACGGAAGGGGACGACGACGGTGCATCCGGCACGTGCTGTAGACTAGAATTAGCGTTGGAGCAGGCGAGGCGATCGAGGGAGCGTGTACCAAGTCTGTTGACGATGTAGCGGCCGAGGAAACCAGTGGCACCGAAGACGGTAGCGGTATGACCTTTGCGAGGAGTCAGTCGGAATGGAACAATTGGAACAGTAGTTGGGCATGGGACGGACCTCCGAGAGAGGATCTAGTGACGAGCAGAGTCAGCAAAGGAAGAACAGGCGCGTTTGGCGGGCGAGTCGTACCTTCCACCGGAGATTCTGATGATGGGCTTGCCGGTTCTGGTGATGGCAATGTCCTGGAGGTTTCGTGACTGGACGCGGGGGATCGATGTCTTTGCGAATTGGGTGCCGGATCTGGCGAGCTGCCTTTGCAGAGCCATGCTGCTCGCGATCTGGCTCATCTTTGCGTGGGAATTAGGGTATATATCGATTGTACGTCCCAAATGGTCAGCAATGCGAGGTACAGCCAGACTTCCGCGACCTCTTGGCGCAGCGTGTGCACGGACGTGGAACGGCAACAGCGTCACTCGCACCTTCCAGTTGCCAGCGTGAGCTCCAAACGACACTGAGCAGATCATCCGTTTTACCCATCCAACTTTCATCGCCGCTACAGTGTGAGACTTGTTCGTTCCACCCTCTGAAATCACTCAATACATACAACACAGTCTCTCCGCCAACATGGATCTCGACACCATCCCCAACCTGCTAGCCGACCAGCGCGATGCCGCCCCCGAAGATGTCCAGCACTACTTTCTTCAATTCGAGGATCTATGGGAGCGCAAGTTGTGGCACGAGCTTACCAACGACCTTGTTCTCTACTTCCACAACGACCAGAGCCAGAAGCAGCGCTTGCCTCTGTACAACAACTTCATCAAGTCTTTCGCCGACAAGATCAACCAACTGCAGCTTGTTACTCTCGGTCTGAGCACCGCTTCACAATGCAAGGGTAGTTACTCCAATCTCTCACATACCGTTGCTTCTCTAACCCCGACTGTCCAGATGATAACGAGCGCTTCGAGTTCCTCACCACTCTCGCCTCGGGCGTAGACAAGCCCGCATCACAAGACGCCTTCGTTTACGCAAAGACCGCCGTAGCGAACGTCAACTTGCGCCTGGAGAAGTACGACGAAGCTCGCAAGGACCTAGACCAGTGCGAGCAGATTCTCGACACATTCGACTCGGTTGAGTCCGTCGTCCACGCTTCCTTCTACCGCGTCAGCGCCGACTACCACCAAGCCAAGCACGAGTTCGCCGCCTACTACCGTACTACTCTCCTCTACCTCGCATGTATCGACCTCGAATCTCTCTCCCTTGAAGATCGCCAACGTATCGCATACGACCTCTCGATCGCTGCTCTGGTCTCGGACTCAATCTACAACTTCGGTGAACTTCTTCTCCACCCTATCCTCGACACACTCCAGAAGACCCAGCACGCCTGGTTGCGTGATCTTATCATCGCCTTCAACAAGGGTGATCTGGGCGCCTACGACGTCCTGGCTGCACACATGGGCAAGAACGACCTGCTTAAGGAGCACCAGAACTTCTTGTACCAAAAGATCAGCTTGTCCGCTCTGACCGAGACCGTCTTCCGCCGCCCACCCCACGACCGCGCCATGACATTCACCGAGATCGCTCAGCAGACAAAGGTCCAACCGAACGAGATCGAGCACTTGATCATGAAGGCACTCAGTCTGGGTCTTGTGCGTGGAACCATCGATCAGGTTGCAGAGGTTGCCAGGATAACATGGGTCCAGCCCAAGGTGTTGGACAAGGGTCAGATTGTCAACATGCGCGAAAGACTGCGTGCTTGGGATGACGGTGTCAACAAGCTCGGCAACTGGATCGAGAGTTCAGGCCAGGAGATCTGGGCCGCATGAGTCAAGCAAAAGGACGAGGGTTAGATCATCATCATGTGGCGCTATGGCGCATTACGACAAAGGGGTTCTGGCATTTGATGGCATATGAGAATAATGCATGGCCTTTTCGAGGCAGAGGAATCTGCTGAGGTCTCGAGCTGTACAATAGAATTGACTTTACGTTACAAGCTCTGTTCACCTCTCGTGATTGACCTGCATTCAGAGTATCCATTCTTCGATGCTGTCCAATACCTTTTCATCATCACAACGACATGGTTTCCAACCCTTATCAACGCCTCATGCTCCCTTTCCAGCAGTCCAATAAGCCCAGACATATGCAACCTTTTTCCAGCAATCCCTTAAAATGAGTTCATCTGTCGTTCATCAGTACGTTCCTCTCTTCGGCGGTTTTAATCTTCTCTTTTGAAACTTACCGCACCAGCCAAACCAATCCACTCATTGATGCCCTTGACATATACATCCTCTTGTGCATCTGGTTGTACTTCGTGACCATAGACTGTGATTTTATCGAATGTTGCTAGTTGGCCGAGGACTTTTGTTTCTGGCGTCGAGTCTTGTTCTTGTTCCGAGTCGTCGAGAGGGTTTGATGCCGTGCTTGGGCTTGTGGTTGGAAGAAGAATATCTGTCTTTTGCAGTATGGCGCCTGTTGATATACCGAATGAAATCAGTTTTTCCCTTTACCTTTCTTCTCCCCAGTAGTAGTAGTGAATGGGGGGATGTGTTTGGTGTGGGAAGCATGGAACAGAAACGATAAACAACGGGAAACAGAGACGGAATTACATACCTTCGTATCCATCAGGCAGCTCCACAACAGTACCATTCAATTTCCTGCCACGGAAATATGCAGTGTTGCTTTTACCGTCATCGCTCACTTCTGGCGTCCAATGTCTCGTGCTCGCGTTGACGGGGCCGTTGTGTTGGATGCGACAGGGCAGTATACTGACCGCACAACTCGGCGTCTTATTTTCTGATTTCTTGATAGCGAGCATGCTTTTTGTTGTGTTTTGAAATGGCTAGTCACTGGGTTCAGAATTGACAGTTCGGTGAGATGTGCGTGTGATTTGAATACAGTGGTTTTGGATATGAGATGTATGTTCTTGATTTCGTGAGACGCGTTTTCGTGTGGGCCTCGCGTTTCCCCACTGTAGAACCCACCTCCATCGAGCTAAGGTCTATAGCTATTCTCAACTCGTGCTTTGCATTGATGAAAGCGGCAAAGACACTGTTGTGCAGAAGAGCAGAAGCAAAAAAAAAGAGAAAGAAAGAGACCCATAAAAATCAATAGCAACGTCCTCCAAACTCCAACACTGTCCGTCAATGCCAAAGCGACAGCTCACGATCGCTAAACCTTTGACCATGCTCCATGAACTCCGCGTATTGTCGATTTAGACATGAAAATATCAATCCAGAGCAATTCGTTCAGGCAGTGGCTCAAGCCTGCGCCATACTGGCAGGGGTCAAGAAGACGGCTGCTGGAGGGGCGGCCTGGGGAAGTGAAGCAGCCTGACGCTCGCGTTGCACCTTTTCGCTCTCCATCTTCTCCCGGTCTGCCTTGGTGATGCGCGGCTTGCGAGTGGCTCCAGTGCCACGGCCACGGCCTCTACCTCTACCCGTTGTAGGGGTGGTCACTGCAGCTGTAGGATCGGCGTTCTTTGCGGCAACTTGTGCATGGGTGATTCCAGTAGCACCTCCACGACCGCGGCCGCGACCGCGACCCCTTCCGCGACCAGAAGGTGCAGAAGTTTCGATCTGAGCCTTCTCACCTTCGGGCACCAGAGGACCAGAGTAAACGAAGAAGCCATCCTTAGCCACTGCTGCGCCTTCTTCCCATGCCAGTTCTGTGTCGTCGATAAAGTCGTCCTCCTTATCGTAGTCCTCCACCTTTCTACGGCGGCGCTTTTTAGGTTCCTCTTCGCCACCTTTCTTTTCTTCCTCCATACCGCCCATCTCGACGTTGCTGTCATTCTCTGCCTCGGAATTGAGGTCAACAGAGATGTCGTCGCCGGTGCCGGGTTCCAGACGGTTAGCCGCAGCGGCGACTTGTAGGAGACGTTCGCGGTGTGCTGCAGCACGAGGGTTGATGGCATTCTTGCCATATTTCTTCAGGATTTCTTGTGCAATATTGATGGTGTTGTTGCCTGCTGGGTTGAGTGGAATCTCGATATCAATGTTGACTCCATGACGTTTGTGGTCCTCGGTGACTGCCGATGGTCCTCCGAAGATATCGCTGCCAGAAAGAAGACCGCGGCCTGTGGGTGCGGGTGGTGAGGCACGCTTAGCCTTTGGCACTGGCGCAGCCGTCGATTTGGCAGCCGGTTTTAGGTTTTCCTTCTCCTTTTCCTTGTCTGCAAGCTTAGTGATGGGTTGTGCTGGTGTTGGCTCGTCGTGAGCGTCAACATCCATAACGTCGTCCATCACTATAGGAGCCGGGTGTGAGATTGCTTGGGGTGAGTTGCTTATGAGAGTGCTCGGTGTGATTTGAACTTCTGGCTGGCGATTGATGACGGGAGGTGGCGGCGGCATAACAGTAGAGACGCTAGGCGACTTGATCTGAGCAGGTGCTGATGGAATTGCAGGAGGAGACATGAGTGTGTCGCTGGGTGCAGGTGGATTCATCAGACTTGCAATTGCGGGTGACGCGCTTGCTCTGTGTGCGCGTGGTGAGACTTGAAGTGAAGCGGTGGAAGTGTGTGCAGGGGTCGAGTAAGGGTCCACAGTCATAGAAGCACGTATGGGATCATATCTTTGACCACTCGAGGCAGGCCGTGCGGGAGCCGGTGGTGGTGCAACGATAGGCTTGATCTCCTCACTCTTCATGATCTGTACGGGCTGTGTCTGCTGCGCACTTGGAGTGGGAGGAAGAGGTGTCTGGAATTTACCGACCAAGTCACCAAGAGTTGGCTGACGGTTTGCTGTAGGGGTAGAAGTGGCCGACGAATCAGTCTTTTGTTTCTTGCGAGAGCCAGCTGTCGGAACATTTGCATCCTTGGATTCGCGAGGTTTGCGAGGCTTCTTTTCTTTGGGAGCCTCTGCAGCTGCAGCCTTCTCTGCGGCCTTTTCGGCTCTCTCCAAAGCCTTCTTGGCCTTTTCTGCCTTCTCTGCAGCGACTACTTCAGGATCTCTCCTCTTGCGAGTTTGTTTGACCTTTTTGGTGGGGTCGATTGGTGCAGCCTTGGCGCTGCCATTTGTGGTATTTGTAGAAGTTGGCGTAGCGGATTGTGGTTGTGGTGAGCGAGAAAGCTGGGGAAAAGCAACATCTCCAGGACGCAGAAACTGAGGCTGCGCGGGCTTCGCGACACTGATGGTATCGGAAAGCCCTTGTGGCGGAGAAGACATGGGCGAAGAGCCCCTGGAGCTTTGTCCATCGCCGACCGCGACCATGACGAACACCAAAAACGAAAATGCGTCGAACGAGGTGCAGCGACTGAGGAGGAACAGACGATGTGACAACAGTACCAAATTGGACAATGCAAGTTGCAATATCACACCTGCAAGACCAGTGTTGCAACTACCGGTGTTGGGGTGGTATCTTTTAGCCGAAGAGATACGGGTGTGGTCAAACCACTCGAAGCTGCGCGGAGAGCTTTAAAGCGACCCAAAGCCAACAACGTTTTGGAATTCGAAATTCAGGCGACTCCCAGCGGGGCGAGCAACGACGACAGGAAACCGACAGTCGAATGCACTGGTCTGAATGGCAGAGATGGCCGCAGACTCGGACTTGATGTGATGCTCGATGTCTGATGATTGTTGGCGAAAAATCACCAAAGACGAGTAGAGATGGAAAGAAGAAGTCGCAGGCGTACAAGCAGCCAACACGGCAAGTTGAAAGGAAAGAAAGAAGAAGGAGAAAGGAGAGAGAGGGACAGAAAGTGCGCGATGATGGCTTCTTAGAAGCTCAGCGTGAGCCCAGGGTTTCCTGCGTTGCTGGCTGCGGGACCAAAGTGGCCGAGAACGATCAAACGAACAAACCCAGCTAAGGCCAGTTATGATTTAGGCATGAGGGGCGCTAAAGAACGTGCTGTGACATCGGCTTCTTAACCAAACCTCTCGGGGGCGTGAGGCGTGCCCATTACTTGCTACCATGCATATATCGCGGCCATTAGACACCTGTACCTTTGTGATAGGCCTTGATGCCGCTAGAAGGGTGTCTCATGCTCTCCACCATGCTCGTGACTCGTTCCTCAATACCCTGGATTACTACTCGAGATACAAGAAACGCAAGTAGATCAGTCCCGAGCATTACTGAAAAGCTTGGCTTGCTAGGATTGCCGACGAGACATTTCGAGTGAATATCAAACAAGCGTTATCCAGTCTGAGATACGAGTATGAAGCACCAATGACTATCCGAGGTTTATCATTCAAGCAGGATATGTCAGCTGCTGACGGTCGTGATAAAACTGCGTGGATGCATGAACGTCGTCCAAGGGTCTACCTACTTTTAGCGATGATCGATGTTGCTCCGGATTTAAGGATAGGCATCCGGCAAAAAAGTGGGTCTCCCGCAGCCTCGTGCATAACCAGTCCGATCTCTCTTTTCCCAAAATTGTTTTGACAGCTCGAGCGATAAGACACAGACACGATGACACTCCGGGGACAGCATTTTAGCATAGACGACTTTGACGCCCAGAACTCGCCTGAGGTACCCGAAGTCGCCAGTACTCCTCAGGTCTTCAATCCATTCAACTTTGTCGCCGACGTCCAGGAACGCAAGCCAACAGCCGCACCCGCGCCTCCACAACCACCCGCCTTCAACAACTCTCTTGGTGGCTTCCCTGCTCATCGCAAGCGCAATGTGCAATCTAGGTTCAAGAAGAGCAGACAGGATGTAAAACCTGTTGCGCCAACACCACAGCCTCAAAGTAATGACTTTGGAGACGACAATGACGATTTCATGACTACCGAGAGGCGGCGCATCGACGAGGAGAATCGCCAAAGAATCGCTGCCATGTCGCCCGAAGAGATTGAGGAAGAACAGAGAGAATTGCTGTCGTCACTGGATCCGTCTCTGATTCAACGCCTGCTGGGTCGCGCGACTATCGAAGAAGGTGGAAGTAACGAGGACTTTCCCGGATTACAAGAGAAGATCGAGGAAGCGGAGCAGGAAACCAAGGCACGACCGGACATCGCAAAGCCTCGCAAGACTGTAAAGTTTGCTGAGGTAGAAGACGAGCCAGCAGGTGCAGAGGCCAATGGAACATCACTGAAACAACACAAGCACGATCACGACCACTCCGGTCACGAAGCAGCAGCAGAAGTTGCCCTACCAACAGACTCGACCATCCACTTCCCACGACCACCTCAGCCGCCATCACTCGATCCTTCAGACCCAAACTTCCTCGAAGACCTACACGAGAAGTACTTCCCAGATCTTCCCGCCGACCCGGAGAAATTGGAATGGATGACCTCTACACCGAAGAACGCATACTCCGCCTCTCAGACATCTCTCGATCCCAAAGACATTCGATTTGCTTTCACTGGCGCATTGATTCCCCCAAGTCTTGCAGCAGAGATTCCTGTTACAATGGGTCTGCATCATCATGGTGATGCTCCTGATGCCGCGGGGTATACGATACCTGAGCTAGCTATGCTAGCCAGATCCAGTGTGCCTGCCCAACGATGCGTCGCTTTCCAGACGCTCGGCCGCGTCCTTTACAGACTCGGCAAAGGCGAATTTGGTGATCCAGGAGAGGAGGGTCAAGGCACGATTGGTGCTAAACACACACTTGGAGAGTTGGCAAGAGGATTGTGGTTCGAGGTGAAGAAGGAAAGTGTGCTTGAGATTTGCCTGGCCGAGAGCGAGGGTAGAGGCGCTGCAGGAGGAAGACACATGGGTGCAAAATCATACGCTACGGAAGCAGTCTGGCTCTGGCAACAGGGTGGTGGCCGTCGTTGGAAGGCCGAGTAGATTACACGATCAATGAAGTTATGAGAGAAGCGAGCATACGCTGAATAGTTTTCAGCAACTAGCACAGAGATTGAATATTAAATATCAAATGGCAGCCCAGATGGCTTCTGTTAGCAGGGTCGTTCCACCACCATCTCAGTTTGAACAATTTCACGATACATGTAATGGAGCAAGCTTATAGGACACGATCTGTCAATTGGTGCACGCTCGTCCTGTGATGATTTGTTTGACTCTTCAGTATCTTGGAGCTGTCCCGTATCATGCCAGAGCATGTCAAGAAAGATAGGCCAGTTTGATACGGATACGCAACGCAACCCATTTGCTTATCCCACGAACTTTGAGACATTCGCTTTTTGGTGCGAAATCAAGGCCAAGATACCGCCCGCGGTACATGATAGAAAGAAATGTGTCAAGACGATGAATTCCGAGCGAGCAAGGAGTGAGCACGCAAGCGTCTGACAGAAGGGGAAGGCACGGCCGACCACGGCGTTGAGAACGGGGTCCATCAACGACGCCTTGTGACTTTCACTATCTGTCACTTGATCAATTTCTATCTTTCCTTCTCTGGAATCAATTGTCTGAACTGAAAGAGAAAGATGGCCGACGCAGTGGAAGAGATTGAGAGAGAAGGCGGCAACCGCGCCGTCAAGGATTTGTTTGCCGGTGCTGTTGGTGGAGTTGCACAAGTGTTGATTGGTGAGTAAACTTGGCGTATCTGGGAGAGTCATATCAAGCGCAATTGAGACAACAGGAAGAGCAAGGCATGATGTATGGCTCAAGACCAGATCTTAGACGTTTCTGTGACTTGTGAGAAGAGGGGAGGTTACGCAAGGAAGACCAACTATATTTCGTGGTAATTGAAAGTGCGTTGCTGACAATACATTCTCTTAGGACAACCTTTCGGTAAAGAAAAACACGCGATCCTCGACTGCAACTGTGTGGTGCTGATATGAATCAAAAGACATTGTCAAGGTCCGCCTGCAAACAACGAACCAATACTCTGGCGCAGCAGATGCTGCATCGAAGATCTTGAAGAACGAGGGCGCAGCTGCCTTCTACAAGGGTACACTGACACCATTGATCGGTATCGGTGCATGCGTGAGTAGCATCCTGGGATTTTCTTTTGCAGCAGCATTGGTAAAACATGTAAACAAGAGGAAGCCATTCTGATAACTCCAAGGTATCCGTCCAATTCGGAGCCTTCCACTACGCTCGCCGTGCCTTTGAGCGCCAAAACGCAGCAAACAACAACGGCCTCCTCAAAACACCCCAGCCCCTTTCCTACAGCCAGTACTACGCAGCCGGCGCCTTTGCCGGTATCGCAAACACACTAATGTCATCTCCCATCGAACACATCCGTATCCGCCTGCAAACACAACCCCACGGTGCAGCACGCCTCTACAACGGCCCCATCGACTGCGTAAAGAAACTCATCGCCCACGAAGGCGTTGCCAAAGGCCTTTACCGCGGCACAGGCGTGACTTGGTTCCGCGAAGCCCAGGCCTATGGTGTTTGGTTCACTGCTTTCGAATTCATGATGAACCAGGATGCCAAGCGCAACGGCATCGAGCGCAAGGAAATCCCTACTTGGAAGATTGCGCTGTATGGTGGTTTGGCCGGTGAGGCCCTCTGGCTCGGAAGTTATCCCTTTGATGTCATCAAGTCCAAGATGCAGAGTGATGGCTTCGGAGCCGACCAGAAGTACAAGAGTATGCGTGATACCTTTGCGCAGACGTGGAGGGGTGAGGGTATGAGAGGTTTCTGGAGAGGGTTGGGTCCTACTCTGCTGAGAGCTATGCCTGTTTCCGCTGGTACTTTTGCTACGTGAGTTTTGCTGGTCACTCCTTGGATGTCAATATGCTAACTTTTCTACTAGTGTCGAGTTGACCATGCGTTTGATCAGCTAGATGCGGTCGGTATGTAATTTGGTGTCACAACTGGGAGCCGTTTATCCGGAGAGAACAGTGCAAAAGTGACATAAAATCTTTCAATTCTGGTCAAATGGTATAATACCAAACATTGATTTGCGAGAGTCAAATTTTCATACACATCAACTCAAAAGAACGCCAGGCTTTTCTCGATCCCAAACCCCCACTCTATGCTTTACATGATACAATTTGTACAAGAGACGATTATGAAGGGCGTCTCGCAGGGAGAGCGAACTGGCCTTCGTCGACTGCGGGTGCGTTCTTGGCTGCTTCGTCTAGCTTGCGTAGCACCTCCTTGTCTTCGGCAGACAACTCCTCACCAAATGCTTGTCTCTTAAGAGCAATCATCCTGCTTAGCGTGGCGTCGGCAGCGTTCTTGCGCATCTTGAGAGCGCTACGGTAACTGCCTCCCTCGTAGGGGTTTTCGCCCTTGCCTCCGTCACGAGAGTGCAGTGCAGCAGCTTCTTGTTGAGTAAGAGGCTCATCCATCATATCTTGTGCTTCTGCCTCAAGCTCGACTGCGGTCTTAGCATCGATGGGCTTGCTCTCAAGGTATTCTGGCCCGCCCTCGGACGGTACCTGGAGAGCACGGTGAGTGCGACGGAGGTTATCTCTCAGCTCGGCCAGCTCTGATGTCTCTGATGTCTTCTGGTCAGGCAAGTGCATGTCGAAGGCGGCAGTCATGGCATCCTCGTCAAAGTCGGCGAACTGAGCGTATTCGAACGCGCTCAGCATGGTAATGTCGGCCTGTTCCTGAATCCTGGCGTCTTCGTCTGCGGGAGTGGACGAAGTAACAAGGCGATTTTCCGCATCATCGTCGAATTCGTTGTTCTTGTTGAAGGAGCGTTCGGCTTCGTAGGCAGCGGCAATCTGGTCGGAGGTTGGGGGATCGAGGTTATGGCGTGCCGAGTATGAGACCTTACCTTGGGCGGCCTGGCCGAGACGTGATTTCATGCCCGACTCAGCAGCACGTCCAAGAACGCCTCCGATGAGGTTGATGCAACGAAGACTGGCATTGGTCAGCGATCACACATGTCTGGGTGGAACAAGCTATACGTACCTGTCGTCGTTGGCGGGTATAGGGTAGGTGACCCAAGTAGGGTTTGCGTCAGTGTCAATGACACCAATAGTAGGAATGTTGTTAAGGCCACACTCGTGCAGCAAGACATAGTTTTCCCGAGGGTTCAAGCAGACGACCAGATCGGGCTTGAGAGCACCCTTTGCCTCGAGTTGCTCCTCGAAGCCCTTGATCTCCTTGTCATTCTCGTCAACGACTTTTGTACGACACCTGCCCAGAATTTGAGCACCGTTGGTGATGCTTCCAGGAATCCAACGATCAAACAGATGGCAGCCACCAGCCAGCTCAGCAGCCTTGACGACGATTCTCTCTTGACCCTCACGAGTACCAACGAACAGGATTAGACCACCACGTTGGGCGACACCGCGGACGACAGCACATGCTCTGCGCAAGTGGGAGGCGGTCTGGTCAAGTGAGATGATGTGAATACCCTGGCGGACACCGAAGATGTAGCGCGCGTTTGCAGGATTCCAGAGCGAAGTAGAGTGACCCAAATGAGATTGCGAAGCCAGAAGGAGCTCGAGAGAAATTTCATCCGCCGATGGAGGCTGGGTGAGTTGCTTGTGCGGCTGGTACTTGGGAGTGACGACAGATCCAATTCGGTTGGTGACTTCCTGGTGGTGCTTGAACGCGCGGTAGTCACGAGCAACCTGATCACCGTCGACGGGAGGTTGGACGCGCGAAGAGAACGAGTAGGAATCGGGATCAATGGATTGGGTGTGTTGCAAGCAAGTGGCTGATGAGTGGAGGCATCGTGCGGGCTTGGCCACTGCTCTGCGGCCTATCGAGACATGAGTATTGTTGGGCAATCGATCGGAACAGATAGAACATACCTTGGCGCAAGGCTATTGATCGTAGAATCATCTGAAGTGACGGGTGGAGAGCGGAGAGCGGAGGGCGAATGGACAAAGTCGCTATGCACGGCGGAACATTTCGAGATGCGCAACGGAAACTGCGATGGACGCGGCCTTGGCACCGCATTGCACCTGCCGCCGGCCATACAAGCTTGCACTTTCTTGTCCGCATCCTCGCTGTCTTCAATCAGTCAATCGCCGAATTGCCAGGCGCCTTCCATGCCATGTCGACTCCAGCCGCAGCACATCTGGATCTCCGATGACACGCTTGCTGCTGCCTACCGTCGCTTCGCCAATACCTATCTGGTCAACCATAACCATACAAATACCAGACGCCATGGCAGCAACGTTCCGGGGCCATTGGAGGCTCGTCGTCGCCTCGCTAGGAGACGTATGGCTGGCCTCAGTATGCCTACCCCCTCGGCAGGCCTGATTCCTGACTTTGGTGCTCTCTTCGGCTCCGGAGGTGTCGACATGACTTCGCTATGGGCCCCGCCGAGTACCGTCCAGTCGCGTGCCCCGAGTCCACCGCACCACGCTCCTCCCGCTCCTCCTATACCTCGGACACTCCCCACCTTGACTGGAACTCATAGCGTCCCATCACCGCCCAAGCCCCTACAAGATCAAGAGCTTTCTTTCGACGAGTACACGTTCCTATTGGCTTCATGCCGCACTCTGGACTCATTGGCACGAGCACATGCTGCCATACATAACGACTCCAGTGTCTCTTCAAACTTCAGCAAAGCCGCTTGTCGCTCCCTCATGATCCGATCCACTCATGATCAGATCCTGGCCTTCCTGCAGAGCGATTTGAACCATGAGGTAGCCCACAACTCTCGTGCATATCTCAATCACCTGTTTTCTACCAACGCCTGCCCTGCACATATTCGAGATTGCTTTTGTCTTGTATGCGACAAGATTGCATTGAGCACCATGCCAATCGAAGAGTTGTCGGGCATGCTCAGCGACATGGCCAAGGAAGCTGCAGGGATTGATCCTCAGTTGTTGTTCGAAGTCCTCAGCATGCTTCATCAATCATTGGTACATGCGCATGCTCCAAATCCTCCCGCACACCGTTTGGGCGCCAAACTGCTCCTGAACATGCTCTCTCTACCGCCGTCACCAGACGTCCTCAAGCTCATGGCTGCACTTGTCTCATTTTCCGGCCAATCAGGCAGTAAGATCATGATCAGATACCTCAGACAAAGCATACTCTCCCGAACCGGACAGCTTGGTCCTTCAGATCAGCTAATGCCCATCTTGAGCATTATTCCCGATGAGTTTTTTGAACAGATGGTATGGGAGGCCACTCGACAGTTCGTCAGCAGTCTCTGCGACCTCAAACTTACCCATGTTGATCATGCTGAGAGGCTTGTCTGCTGGCTTGATGATCTTCGTCTCTTTCGTCCCTCAATCCTTCGACCTGACTCATTATTTGCTACGCGACTTTATTCTTTCCTTGCTTCGAAATTTACCATCACTGAGCTTGGTGCTCACCTGCGGAATCTTCATCCCGCAGATGCCGCCATCATTGTCTTGCACAGTTGGATCAAGCCTACTGTACTTGAGGTACCAGAGATACCGGACATACCAGACTTTGATATACTGGATGTCACTAGCAATACAACATCGGCCACAGTACACCACCTCCCACTACAGCGCCCGCCAAAAGTCCACAGTCGTCAAGGCTTCAGAGACAAAGCCCCGTTCCAAACCTACGGAGTAAAATATACGATGTCCCGAACTCCTGATCAACCTCGCACCTACAAAGAAAATTCCTCAACACGTCAATTCGTTTTCGATACAGTTGCGTCAACGCTGCGTGAACGCTGTAAGCCAAATCAGAAGGGTGTTTATCCAGCTCGGGGTGGAGCCTGGGTTCATCTATTCAAGCTCTTGAGAGAAAACAAGATTGACTACACTCCATGGCTTTGTGATTTGTTTCAAGTGCTGAAACACCACAAGTCACCTGTATGGTCATATCATTTCTTTCTGAAACTTGTTAGAAACGATGTCAAAATTCCTTACTCCGTGGCTGTGGATATCATGCGGCATTTCATTGGAATCGAGAAAACACAATGGGCGTTGGACGTCTTTAATCGGTCAGAAAGCACTCAGTGGCTTTCAGAAATACCCGAGTTACTGTTTGCTCTTGTCGAGAGTCGAGCAGCCTGGAGCACAGAAGCTATATTTGACCTGTTGAACAGGCCAGATTATGCAGGCTCGCTGCCAGTGAACATGCGATCTGGCCCCACAAACTCTCTGTCTAAGGAGAGGATCGAGCTGGTGCATCACGTCGCTTACGCCATAGCCAAGTCACCACTGTTGACTTCGAGAATGGCCTTCAGACGAGTGTGCGATTGCTTGAACTTCCTTCGCGATCGAGGCGCACCTCTTTCAAGCTTAATGTCTCGGGCTCTTGTCCATGCTGGAGTGACTCGCCCCCTCCGAGACGGCGCTTGGCTCAGCACACAGAAGTTTCAATGGATTCTTCCGTTCGTTCGTCGTCTCGAAGGTGATGGAGTTGCAGATTGTCTAGACGAAGCCGCCTTCACACTCAGGAGCGAGAACTTCGAATTGGCTAGGGCGCAGATGCAACCATTAGACAACATGGAACAAGAAGCAGATCATATGGCTTGGGAGTATCGGAAGCAGATTGGTCGGGTACCTCACCGACGGAGATGGGTCGCATCACCCTTCAACCGTGCGCCAGACCTAAGAAGACGGGATCCAAAGACGAACAAGGCCAGCGGGAAGAGATATATACAAGGAGGACTTGGATCCAGTTCTCGATGATTGAAAGATTTTGTAAATACTCATAGAAGTTTTGACGAGGGCGAGTCTGATGCCCAATAATACCAAAAGTTTAATCAATCGTCGGTGCTCACTTCCTTCCAAAGATGCTTATGGGGATGCCAGTGATGGAGATGTACATGGATTGAGCAAAAGCACCGCCCTGATGCGCGAAGACCTAGAGTACACTACCTCAACCACCGAACGGTCACTTCTCACAATGGCTGACAAACAAAAGTGACGACAACGCACTATCAGGGCATACGATACGGACCAAGGGCAAAAGGTAATATCGACGCCCATGTGGTTCGAACACATGCCTCCGAAGAGATTAGATTACTGAAGATAGAATTCAAGTCTAACGCCTTAGACCACTCGGCCAGAGCGCCTGGATGGAGAAACTTGCCGGATCTGGAAGGATCAGCAGATTCTTGGGAAAATGTTGACTAGAAAATTATTATACCTTGCGCAAAAGCGATGATCGGAAGACTTGGATCATGACAATACACAGAGTCAACCAACACAACTTCTAGGCTCATCGTTTCACTAGCTTCCAAGTTGTGTCACTGAGTCCGTATGAAAGAGGCTGGTGTGTTCCTTGTTGTATCAAAATATATCCATGATCAAGCTCCTCAACATAACCTTGCGATGAAAACAACACCTACGACAAGTTTTGAGGCTCAAACTTCCAGACATCGCACTCAAAGTTGGCATAGCATCTGAACTCATTGCTCAAGCCCTTGGAGTGCTCAGGACGGAAGGTGGTGGTGCGCATACCAGCCTTGCCGTACAACTTGTGGGCCAACGACTCCATTCTCTCTCCAGTGCATTGGATGAGTCGGAGAGGAGCCTCCCATGTCTTGGCCAGCCAGCGGACTGTGAGTGCAGCTGTGATAGATCTTCGTTAGTATGACGTTTCTGGAAGCAAAGAATGGAGGATGTAGTTTACCTTTTGACTGGCAGTCCTCGTTCAAGAATGGAGGATCGCAGATGATTCTGTCGAAAGAGCCTTTGAGGCTGGCTGTTGACTGCTGTCAGCATTGATTCTCATCACCTTCTGATCCTTTGACCCCCTTGTGTCTTACGATCCAATTTGATAGGTTGCTTGTAATCGTAAAAAGCAAAGTCATCCTTGAAAACCGCAAACCTCTCGTCAAACTCCAAAAGCATGAGTTTCGGTCGTATCGGGTACTTTTCGCGATCATTCTGCAAATAGCAACTTTCATTAGTTTCCAATTTCTCCTTTTTGTTTTCTCCACTCCTTTCGTTACTCCCGCCATACACCTACTCACCAGCAGATTCCTCAACTGAATATACACACTCGGCGCCGAAACAACGGCAATGCGACTGTCTTCAGTCACACCATCCAACAATTGCTCAGCTAACACCTTTGCAGTCTCATCTTTGTACCAGAACTGGCTGTCTTGCCAACTTTCGGCGAACAGATCCATAGACAGAGGTTTGGAGCTGTTGTCGAATTCATCCTCGGCTTTTGATTTCAAGTCTTCGAATTGCTTTTCCCGCTCGTCTCTTTCCGTGTAGAATTCTTGGAGCAGAGCCATGGTTGAGGGGTCCAGTTGACTGGTGTTTTATTTTTTTCGTTAGAACCATAGTTCAAGAGAGAGAGATTGTTGATTTGGGGGTGGAAATGCTTACGGACGGTCATCCTCGTCGAAGTCATCGGTGAGTCCCATTTTTCTGATTGGTGGTATAGACGATTGCGAGTGATATGGATGTGGTGCGGAAAAATTCTGGAGCAGCAGGACTTTGAGCGATTTCGTTTTCTTCCAAAGCACCTGAATATGCTCGATCGGGATTATCTTGGCATGTAAACTTGGAGGCACCCTGACTTTGTGCTTGGTGCTTGTCTGCGAAGTGGTTCTAATTTCGTGCTTGCAGAGCCGAGGTCCAAATGGACATGACTCCATTGTCTGAGTGAGAAAGGCCAATCACTTATAAATCACCACGACAATCGAATAAAGCAGCTACTTTATAAAAAGTTACGGAAACGAGCCATCACTATCATAAGGACATCACAGAACAGACTTTCGACTGTATCAATCATGGCATCAAGTCTAGTACATTTACCAGAGATTGAGCGTGTCAGCTCGAGAGTAATCAGAATACTAGGCGGCAACCCAGGAAAAGTAAGTATCATAACATTTGACGAAGATTATTCTAATCAGTCCGACTAACAATTTTGCCAGTTTACTCTCCAAGGTATGATAAAACCAGAACCAAACAACCCACCTCAACCAAGCAATCAAAACTAACCAAAAGCTTCCACGAAAAAAAGGAACAAACACATACCTAGTCGGCCAAGGACCAACCCGCATCCTAATCGACACAGGCGAAGGCAAACCCGCCTGGCTGACCTCCCTAAAGCACCTCCTGTCTGCAGAAAAAGCCTCCATCTCCAAAGTAATCCTCACCCACTGGCATCCCGACCACGTAGGAGGTATCCCCGACCTACTTTCCCTCTACCCAAACGTCCCCGTCTACAAAAACCAAGCAGACAAAGGCCAACAGGAAATCAGCAATGGTCAAGTGTTCAACATCCAAGGCGCTACATTGAAAGCTTTCCACTGTCCGGGCCATACAACAGATCACATGGCGTTGGTCCTAGAAGAGGAAAATGCAATGTTTACAGGTGACAATGTGTTGGGTCAAGGCACGGCTGTATTCGAAGACTTGAGCGCCTACATGGACAGTTTGCAAAAGATGCAACATGAATTTTCTGGACGTGCGTATCCTGGTCATGGCCCTGTGATTGAAGATGGCAAAGCCAAGATTCGGGAATACATTCGACACAGACAAGAGAGAGAAGAGCAGATTGTGGATGTTTTGGGAAGAGAGACCGAGGAAGGGAAGAATGGGTGGCAGTCGATGGATTTGGTAAAGGTCATCTATAAAGGATATCCCGAGAATTTGCATGCACCGGCCGAGAGAGGTGTTTTGCAAGTCTTGGACAAGTTGAAGAAGGAAGGAAAAGTCCACGAGGATGACGGAGCATGGTTCTTGCAGTCCAAGTCTGCTTTGTGATGAAGGGCAGCAGACTGATATTTGATATTTCCTGGCCCATCGAGTCTGTACAACTGCTAAATGCCTGGTATCTTGATGAACGCCTTTCTCTGCTTGCTAGTATGCTGGAGACAGTACACCAAAACGCCAGCCGTGCTCGGTATTGTAACTCAAACCTCAATTTCCTGAACAATATAGAAGAGCATGTATGCTTCTGCAGCCAAGACTTCTTTCTCTTCGACCAAAACGACTTTGCTGTCATCGAACAGGAACCATTCATCACCCTCTCTAGCATAACTCACATAATGACCGCTATCCATTTTGCCCTTATGCACAATGACACTGCTGAGCTCATACATAGGGCGCGGGGATGTACCCTTCTCAGCGTCCGCACCATTCTTAGCCCCATTGGTTTCACTACCGCCCTTCTTAGAGCGCGGCCGACTGACATAGGGTTGCATGTCCAAGATGGTCGGGAAATGCACTTTGGCATCGAGTTTAATGGACGTAGAGGAAGTCTTCGAGTGAGAGAAGCGTTTCAGATGTATCGGCAGCACCGGCGGTAGTCGTGACAGAGCAAGACGTTTGGTGGCGGTCTGTTGGCTGTCACACTCTCGACAGCGGTAGTCCGAAGCTGGCAAGACTTCCGGACTTGTGAAACGGTCGAGGCATTCGGTCAGATTGACGGCTTGAGGTGCCACGGGTGGATCGTTCTTTTTCTTCTTGGGTCCAGCACTCTTGAGGTCGAGAGATAGGTCCATGAATGGGTCCACGGCAGCTGTGACGTTCTTGCACTTGGAACAGACAACAGTGCTGCGCATCAGGCCACAGAAGGCACGGTGAATGACGCAATTGCAGTCTTCAGCCTTTTCCTCCTTCTCATCTTCTTCAAGATTCGTGGTATGGAGCGAGTTCAGGATAAACTGCAGGTACTCGTGAGCATCCTGTTGTTGGTAGCCAGCCAGATTACCACCTCCTTTCCAACTTCCCTGAAGCATGGCCACTGCACCGTAACCTTCAGCCTTTTCAGTACTGTGGAACTCGGTAATGATGTCGTCGAGAGCACATGAAGTGCATGCTTCGCGTTCGCAGTCGATGGAGCGGTGACCGATGGAAAGGTAAAAGGCGCGGATGAAGGGGTTGTGGATCAAGGATTGTAGGACGACCGACATGAAGCATGTCTGTCCCATGTTGTAGAGTCCGCGAAGGCCTTTGGCGCGGCATGGTGTGGGTGCGGCGTTTGCGGCGAGAATCTTGCTGTCGACATCGGACATGAAAACGGTGTGCTTGCGCTTCTTGCCTGAGAGGTGGTAAGACGTCGTCGCTGTGTTTTTGACCTGTATGCATACCTTGTTGGGTGCGTATGTCTTCGAGAGCATTGTCATAGACAAAGTCGTCGCAGTCCCGGCAGTACACATTGCCCTTTGATGATTCCACACCTGGCTTTGTCAGAAGATGTGGCTCGGTGCAGCGTATGTGTACTTACAAAGAATGTGCTTCTTGTCATGCTGATCGCGCTCTTCCGAGGCAAAGACACTCGAACAGTCTAAGCAGAGGTAGGTAGGGCGTAATGAGATGGCGGATGACTTGTTTAGGTGAGGACCAATTGCGCCATACTTGTGTACAGTTTGCATCAAAGTCGTGTATCGCTTGATCAGCTGGGGCTGTGAAGCTTCAAGCTGAGCCCTGACATGATCTAAGAGTTGTCAGGCATGCGACGAAGCTGTTTTCATGGGACGGCATACCGCAGCCATGTGTTGATTGCGAGCCTGGGGATGGAAAGCGAATGTCGGCGAGAGAGTGCTTCTTGGTAAGCACTGGCGACTGTGATTTATTCTCCATGATGATGAGCGTGTAGCCACATCAGCTACATTGCCTGCGAGTCGGGAAGTGGTTTGACAATGATGGTCTCCGACTTGTCGCAAACAACATGTAGATCGCATGCGACACTCGTTCGGAGCGAGTCGGCCATTCTTAACTCCGACTTTGTCTCCGAAGAAGCAAGCCAGAACAGGCAGGAAGGGACTTTCAGGTCAAAGCTTCACCCCGCAGTCGTCACTGCCATGTTCGGTCGGCGTTCGGACGAGTGCAAAAGGTCGAGCTGGACGAGGGGCCGGGCTCGTCTATTCACCTTTGTTGATCTGAGCTGCATTTCTGTAACACCATCTGTGTACATAGTCTTCAATCACACCTTACACATCATCAACCATGGCAGCTGCCTGCATCTTCTGCAAGATCATCAAGGGTACATTGAAATCTTGACCAAATCTCATATCGAAACACTAGCTGACACCACTACCCAATATGACAGGCGAGATCCCCTCGATGAAACTCTTCGAAAGCGACAAAGTCTTTGCTTTCCTCGACATCAACCCTCTGAGCTATGGCCACGCCGTTAGTTTCTCTTTGACTCACTCCTCTTCCACCTCTCTAATCACTTGTCCCAGCTCGTCATTCCCAAGTACCACGGCGCAAAACTCCACGATATCCCCGACGACCAACTTACAGAGATCCTGCCCGTCGCAAAGAAGATTGCTCAAGCGGTGAATGCTGAGGACTACAACATCCTGCAGAACAATGGACGCATCGCTCACCAGGTCGTGGACCACGTTCACTTCCACATGATTCCCAAGCCAAATGAGAAGGAAGGCCTTGGTATCAACTGGCCTCAGCAGCAAGGCAACCAGGACAAGCTGAAGAAGCTTAGGGAGGAGATTATGGCAAAGATGTAAGGAAAAGACGCGAGGAAATGAGATACGCTTGGAAGTCACTAGAAGCTTGGAGTCAAGACGATCAAGGTCTAGAGAAGGAGAACGAGACCATGTTGGCAAACGAAAGAAGAAGAATCAAACATCTATACTTTTGATGACTCGCAAGTCTAAACGTGTTATGTCATGGTGTAGCTTCACCCTATGAAGCCACTGCAAAGAGCAAGCCCTCCGCATACCCATGCCGGCCACCATAAGACCCACACTGTGACTCCTGTCCACACTCTTTCCACTCTCCAAGCCCACGCCGCAGCTGCAATGACCTCATCGAAGCTTTTGCCTGTCACCATCCCCAGGACATGCAATGCGGCTGGCGGTGAAGTCGCAATCATGACCGCCACAGACAAGACTCCCAGTACGACCTTTACGCCAACTGGCCATGTCCGCGGGGGAGAGAAGGGTCGGACAAATGATAACGGAGAGGCGAGTAGTCCGACGAAAAGAGCTTGTGAGAAGTTGAGGGTAGCGAGAGTGGAGAGAGCAGCACCGAGCAGAAGTAGAGAGAAGCATTGTATGAGAGTAAACGTCTGAGGCGGAAGTTCAAGAGTGCTGCGAAGAGCAAATGCGAGGATTGCGGGCATGGTGATGGTGGGTACCACAAGAGCCGCGAGTACTGTCATCGATGTCTATACAACATATTAGCGAGAGTTGACGAGTGCCAGGTAAATTCTGCATACCTCTTCCGGAATCTGGTTCAAAACGTAGAACGGCACCAGACCTAATGCATGAATGCCGAGTACGATGGCCAAAGGGCTAAACAGATCCCTTTGGATCACTTCAAGATCCACAGATGGTACCAGAGCTACGCTCTCACCTTCCTTGACAAGAGTCAACTCAGGCTTCTTCTCGCTCTTAGGCGAGGCTGGGTTGGGGCTTTGACGTTCTGGACGACCGCTCTGGACCCAGAGCAATATACAAGTGATGGTGAAGTTGACTGCAATGAGCATGGCACTGGGCAGATAGGTACCAATGCTCACGAAGCGGTTGGCTTGCATAAGCAAATAGAAGAAGAAACTCTGGTGCAGATGCTCGAGGAGATTGTTGACGCTGCGGAAAAGACTCTCGACAGTTCTTCCGAGTGAAATCTCATCGTGCCAACCATCACCAACCGTCTGCAGAGTGATAGCATCGATGTGGTAAGGCATGAAGACACTGTGTGGACCGGTCGCATGACCTACAGCTTGATTCATCATACCCCTGAGCATTGTGTCGAGACGCTCGCGGTAGCTGTCCTGGTGATGCCACATGCGCTGGATGGTGCAAGTAATGCCAAGCTGGCCCTGGGCGATGTTGACGGCGGTGTTGACAAGATCAAGATTGGGCAATTGACCGTTGATGCCGTCGTATACAACATGCAGCTTGTCAAAACGATGACCCCACGGACCAGCGGGGTAATCGATAGCAATGGCAGCTTGAAGAGCGCCTGCTTTGATGTTCAGGGGCTGCACTGCAGTGGTGTCATGTGTGTCGTGGTAGGCGTCAACCCAGGCGTGGGGGCCGTAAGTGCTGTCCGAGGGGATCATGACGATGATGTCCTTTGACCAGATGGACCACCTCTTGAAATATCTTGCCAGAGTCAGGAGTAAGGCGACAGCACTGTAGTTGATCTTGTCGTCCATGTTCCTCCACGCAGCGATCAAGACCATGGCTTCGGTGGCATCTGCTCTCGGACCCTGCAGCAGTGCATAGACGTTCTGGCCCGTCTTGTTCTGGCCCGAGATGGAGTAGGAGTAGTTCTGGACATGGGGTTTCAGACCGTTGGCGGCCAGCATGTGGTATAACTTTTGAGAACGGTCTTGGGAAGAGAGCTCATCCATCAAGGCCACTTCCTGTCTGTATGCGCGAAAGACATTGTGCTCGCTACCACCGAAGTAGGTGTGAACCTGGCCGGGAAGGATGGCGTTCTCGGAGACGTAGGTGCGGCGTGAATAGTCGTCGAGCGGAAGCAGCAACAACCAGGCGACGCCAATGACGATGCATAGAAACGACAGGTAGGGCGGGATGCGGGCAAGACGGCGGCTGTGTCGGAGACTGAGCAGTCCTGCTTCAGACAAGAGCCGAGTTATTACTTGAGCGTTCCTAGTCTGATTGATCGGGCCATCTTACACAGTAGAGCTGCCATTGCGGTCGACAGTCAGTCGGACTTTCAGGAGGTGCAAGAGAGGGTCAGGGCGCGCCTCTGATGGAAAACAAGGGGAAGCGTTGCTAGAGCGAATCCACGTCTCCGCCGACGCGACCAACACACAAGACCTGACCTTTGTCCTCTCCCGGCTCCATCGCTGTTGCTACTGCTGCTGCTCCACCCCAGCTCGCCCTGTCTTTGCTTGCGATGCCGTCGTTCTCGCTGCCCCAGTTCGACGCTCGTCGTGTGCGCTCCTATCTCTTCCGCTTGCCCTTGTGCACGCGTGCGCTTCTCGTTGTTATAGTCGCTTTTTGGATCGCCAGCCTTAGACTCAACTGGTTCCAGCAATGGGCCGCTTTGATACCAAATGAGATGAATCTCGGAACCAGTATCTACCCTCCTTCCAAACCCTTTGCAGCTGCTTGTCTGACCGCTGCCCTAGTGTACCGATTGAATACCTTTCCTCTTCTTCATGTTGGCTTCATTCACATGATTGTCAACATCTTCGCTCTGACTCCGCTTCTCGAACGTTTCGAAGCCGAGAATGGCTCTCTGCCGACTCTGCTCCTCTTCACAGGCCGTTCGTCTCTCACTCTCTCTCCGATTGCTTCCGTGTCTAACGAGTCTGCTAGCATTCGGTCTTCTCCCGGGAGGAAGTTATACTCTGATTGAACGCTTTATCTTCAGATCCAACACCGCCGTCCAAGGCGCAAGGTAAGACTCTCGTTATCCCGCTACCTCCGGCCTTCGCTAATCCCATCTGCAGTGTCTGGGTATTCCTTCTCCTGGCTTCCGAGTCCATCAAGACGTACAAGCAGAACCCCAACTTCGCTCTTGGCCCTTACAACATTCCCACTTGGACCGCTCCCCTGATCCTCAATCTCTTCGTCGCTGTCCTTGTACCCAACACCAGCTTCCTTGGTCACTTGTGTGGTCTTGCCGTTGGCTATCTATGGGGCCTGGGCTACGTTAAGTTCCTTGTTCCCAACGAGAAGATTCTGAGATGGATTGAGGGCAAACTCAACCTCCTCGGCCGTCTACCTCATTACGTTTCAGTCGACCAGAAGACATATGGAAGATATGGCGTACTGCCTACAACCGCAGAACCTAGACCGGGGCCCACTCTCGCTTCTCTTGGAAGCACTCAAAGACTTGGTCCTTGATTTGCGTTCGCATATAAAAGCTAGCTATACTCTTAATCCTCCAACTGTGGCACAACTCTTTCCAGCCATTTGCTCAAGTCCTGCAAGACAGCAGGTGACAGCGCATGCGCCAAGCCCTCATACTCCTTGATTTCCATGGCTCCATCGTCGACGCCCAACTGCTTCAGCTTGTTCAAGCCTTCGGTCCATTTGCTTCGAGGAATCAATCTATCCGCGGATCCGCGTCCCAAGAACATGGGAACATGACCGACCACGTGAGGTAGTCCTGCCTTGGTTCGTAATTTTTGGATGATGTCGGGCAACGGCAAGTATCCCATCAAGCCGACAATACCTGCAAGCTTTCCGGCATAGCGAGAAGTCAACTCAGTAAGCAATGCAAGTGCACATCCTTGCGAGAAGCCTCCGAGGACTATGCGGTTGGGCGGTATGCCTCTCGACGTAAGATGGTCAATGAGTGATTCGACATATGCGACACTCTTCCTTAGGCCCTCTTCATCTTCATCTGGAGCGAGCTCCGGACGACCAGGAGGCGCTGGTTGCAAGGAAGAGGGAGTGTACCAAGCATTCTGCCTGGCGTCCAAGTTGTGTGGTGCATTTGGAAAGACCCATTGCATGTAAGGAAGCTTGTTTCCGTCGTGGAATTGCGTGGCTATGTCTGGATGCCGTGTAAGTTCTTGTCGTCAGATCGAAGCAGACGAAGAGGAGACATACTCTCCCAGCCCATAGCATCATCGTCGAAACCATGCAGGAATATCATGGCAGCACCATGAGCGGGGTCGCTGGCAGGTTTGGGGGCTGATTTGACAAGGGGAGGCTGTTGGTTTTGCATGTTGGATGGAAGATTAGAGAAGGATCGAGTGCGGAAGGGCAAAGTCGAAGCAAGTAGCATTCTTATAAGGCAGCTATGATTCTAGCAAAAGCCAAAGCCAGTTGAGCAGTTTGACATGATACTATCTCCTCTCGTCCGCCCGACGTGTGACGAAGTGACGGTAATACGGACCACTCACCACTGCTGAACCTGTGGGGTCGAGGGGAAGTGTGACTGGGGTCCGCCGAAACACATGCGACCATGACGAAAGCTTCGACTTCTGAAACACTCCTCTCATACACACGCAATGCCGCACATCCAAGAGCTGCCAACGACGGCAAAGGCAGCAGCGCCGGGATGGAGCTATGTCGTCGACACGGGTTATGATCCCTCCAAGGCCGCCATCAACCCTTCAAGCCGCAAGCGTGTGCGCGCCTCTGTAGCAGGCCTCAGTCAAGGCGATCTCACCATCCGCCAACAGACTGCCATCCAACGACATCTAGACGACCTCGACAAGGATAGCCATAAGCCTGTCAACATTGCTCCGCCCAAGTCGAAATCCAACCGTCGCCAGACGCAGAACACGCGCCGCATCTTGGCCTCGGGAAAGGACTTTTCGCATTACTTGGATCAGGACGAAGCTGCATTGGCTTCCAAGCAGCACCATGGCATCGAAGTCGACATAGAGCCTCCGAAACCACCTCAGAGAGCGAGCAAAACACCCATCGCACGACGCAAACCACAACTGCAACCACAATCAGCTCCCCTTGCTGTCGACCAGAGTCCAGCTCCGACTGCTGCCATGTCCAATGCTGCTTCTACCGTTCCATCAGCACCCTTGATTCCCGATTTCCTCAAACCCTATCTGGTCGACTCGTCCGTCGACTCGCAACAACTCCAACACGATTCTCTGCTTTCACCGCCGGCTCCGCTTACCGCTACCGCTGCCGAAATCGAGGCTCTGCTTTCAGCACCACAACTCTCATACAATGCCGCACGCTCAGCACCCACCCCGGCCACCGCTCCACCACAAAGAGTCTTTTGTGAGATGTGTGGATATTGGGGACGTGTCAAATGCTTGAAGTGTGGTTCTCGTGTGTGCGGTCTCGAGTGCAAGAGCGCCCACGAAGAGAGCAGATGCATCAGATTCTGATCTCTTTTCCTTTCTCATCTTCTTCTTACCATGATACCCATCAACGCCCTTATCCACTTACACAAAGACCCGATTCTAGAGATTCCGTTGGAGTTCACGAGACCAACCTTTAACAACGATCCCTGTAGCTTCGTGTCATCGCACTTACTCCGTCTAGTCTGGAATATCGACGTCGTCACCTCTAAGTGTCAGGTCTTTGCTTTATTCCATCCGACCTGATCAGGTTCCCACGACAAAGCCAGGCTCTGACGCCGACGGCAGGCGCAGATCTGTATGAAATATATTATATTAAACCTCTGGGGTAAATCCGGCACGTGGACCTTTTTTGAGATCAATCGTAGCCCCGCAAGCCTCTTTGACAGGCCTTTGATGCTCGCATGACCAATCAAGTCGTCGCACAAATTTAGCGATATGCATACTGCTACGCATTCGCTTGAAACTGTGCACGAATTCAATACGACTACGGCACTTTGGGCAAGTCCTTCAACTGCTCGCCTTCAATAGCTTCACCCAAAGACCACATGGCCACTCCATCAATGTCATCACATGCGGCTGAGAAGGACAAATTGCAGGCCTTTTAGATGACGGTGGGTGTTATTTTAGGACCGCCGTCTTATACCCATGTCTATCGAACGGGTGTCTGTGTTCCGGCTGGTTTCTGACGATGTCTGTAGTTTAAATACTCTCAACACTTCACATCCCAAAGCTTGCAAGTTTCTGCTCAAACATGCATCTCAAGTCGTTCCTCCGGCTCTTTGCTGGGCTACTTTTGGCTTGGATCTATGGCTCTGTTGTCGTCAGTGCTCAGAGTACCACTCAGCCATCTCTTGCTCAAATCACAAGTGCGTTAGCTTCTGCCGGCTCTGGAACTGGTAGTGCGACCTCTCTAGGCAGCGTCCTGGCAGATGCTGGCAGTACTCTTGAGAGTATCATCTCCGATACAATTGCTCAACTCGCAAAATGGTCAACCCTTATCCTCTTTCCTGAGCGTTACTACTCGTATGGACGTTCACCTCCTGTCTATCCATCGCCGCAGGGCCAGGGCACCGGAGACTGGTCGCAAGCATATAGTCAAGCCAAAGCTCTAGTCGCTCAGATGACTGTTCAGGAGAAAGCGAACATAACTTTGGGCTCCTCCGAGACACATGGTTGCAGTGGTTTTACTGGGAGTGTCCCTCGTCTTGATTTCCCTGGCATGTGCCTGAATGATGCTGAGAGCGGAGTTCGTACTGCTAGTAAGGTGAATGGCTATCCTGCACAACTTCACACCGGAGCCTCCTGGAACAGGTCTCTGGCATATGATCGTGCATATCGTATCGGCCAAGAGTTCAAGACAAAGGGTGTCAATGTGCTTCTTGGTCCAGTGGCTGGTCCTTTAGGCAGGATTGCGACCGGCGGACGGAACTGGGAAGGATTCTCCAACGATCCTTACCTAGCAGGCTCTCTGATCGCGCCCACAATCGAAGGAATGCAGCGCTCTGTCATTGCTTGTGTAAAGCACTTTATCGCCAACGAACAGGAGACCAACCGTAGTCCCTTTCTCCAAGGATTCATCAGTGGCTTGATCAACTTGAACAACTCGGTCTAGTCAAATCTCGATGACAGGACTATGCACGAGCTGTATCTGTGGCCTTTCTATGATGCGGTCAAAGCTGGAGCTGGCTCGACCATGTGTTCATACCAGAGAGTCAACAATAGCTATGCTGTAAGTACTGTGTACTCTTCAGACATCAACACACCGCTGAACATTTTCTAGTGCCAAAACAGCAAGACTATGAATGGAATCTTGAAGACCGAACTGCGATTCGGAGGGTTTTTACTGAGTGATTGGTATGCACAGCATACCGGAGTGGCTAGTGTGAATGCAGGCCTAGACATGGTCATGCCTAGCTCTATGTATCTGGACTTCAATAGCTTCGCTACTGCGGTCAAGAATGGATCAATCAACAGCACTCGTCTAGACGACATGGCCACTCGTATTCTCGCAACATGGTATCGATTTGCCAACTTGCCAAATCCTGGATTAAACGATGCCGATGCACGTCAGCCAGAATCAGAAGGTACGCTATTCCAGGGCGCTGTTGAAGGCCATGTGCTTGTCAAAAACCTGGAAAATGCACTTCCACTCAAGAAGCCCAAGGCGCTATCGCTGTTCGGATACGATGCTCCCGGCGGAACAAATACTTCCGCGACTGACTCGCAGCTCTATCAACAGGGCAAGCTCAACACGCAAGCGTTTACCAACGGAAAGCCCTATACTGATCTTGATGACCTGATTTACTCGGCTCAAGTGCTTCCGGCCGGCTTCTCGGGTCCCGAGGTCGCTTTGAACGGCACCCTGTACACAGGAGGTGGATCCGGTGCCATCACACCTGTTTCGTCGATTTCCCCCGAGGACGTATTCCGTCAGCAGGCAGCTATCGATGGCACTGTTTTGTATATTGACTTCACTTCGCAGAATCCTGTTATTCAAGACGCCAATAGTCCGTGTTTGGTGTTTATCAACTCTCAGTCTAGCGAAGGCTGGGATAGGAGTACGCTTGCAGATGTCTATTCTGATACGCTTGTTATCAATGTTGCTTCTCAATGCAATAACACTATGGTGTTTATCCACAGCGCGGGCGTCCGTCTCGTTGACCGCTGGATCGAGCATCCGAACATCACTGCAGTCATATACGCCAACCTGCCAGGCCAGTACAGCGGCAACTCGCTGACAGAAATTGTATATGGTCGTCAATCACCATCTGGACGTTTGCCCTTTATTGTCGCTAAGAACGAGTCTGATTATGGTTCTCTGTTACGACCAACTCTACCTGATAGAACTAATCCCCAGTACTCCCAGTCTGACTTCACCGAAGGTCTATTCATTGACTATAAACACTTCATCAAGCAGAACATAACACCCCGCTTTGCGTTTGGCTATGGGTTGACATATTCGAGCTTCAACTATTCATCACTGCGTATCTCGGTCAATGCGAGTGCCATACGCTCATCAACACCTCCAGGCTCAACAACAGGTATCGCCCCGGAAGGCGGTACGACATCCCTCTACGACAACATCGCCACAGTTTCCATCTCCGTCACCAACATCGGGTCCATCGCTGCTGCCGCCGAGGTTGCTCAACTATACATCGGTATCCCCGGCAGTGGTGTACCAAAAGTTCTGCGTGGGTTTGAGAAGCGGTTGATCCAACCCGGTGCAAGTGTAGTCATGACGTTTCCGCTGAGGAGAAGGGATCTGAGTATCTGGGGTGTAGGTAGGCAGCAGTGGATATTGCCTTCTGGTGACTTTGTGTTGATGGTTGGGAAGAGTGTTTTGGACATACAGTTGCAGGGTACTCTGACCCTATGAGAATGTGGTCGATATCGCATGCATATGGTTGGACACTGTTTCTTTTCCGCTAACTTGTATCGGTTAACGCATCGAAGTTGCCCTGTGAGCTTCTATCAATCCAGAATTGGTTTCAACTGATGTTTTGATTCTATAGAATGAGAATCTGTTGCTCGTATGACCCTAGTTTTTCTGGAAAATAATCTCTCCGTGACTGGCCATGTGGTCCTCACCAGTGTTCGTTTGAATGCTCTTGCTTTCGAACGGAAGACGTTGGCATTGGTTGGATGCTCTGTAGCTCGACTCGGTCAAGATGATACAATCACGACCGAGACTCAAACGAGCAGGTGCAGATTCAGGCTTCCATAAGTTTTTAGCGAGGGAGTGATGACAACAGACGAAGGGCAACATCGTAGCAGTATAGAGTCAGACGTTTGGACGGCATGATGGCGAAATCACAGCGCAAAAAGAAAGGTCAGAGCAAAACAATTTGCAAAACATACAGCAGCAGGGATTCCCACGTGGTCACCCACCGTAGTACTAATCTGCCGTTCAACTGCTTATGTATGGCAGAGCGGACGGGATGCCCAGTTTTCAGCTGACTGTGGCCGTATGTGATTGATTGATGAATATCATAGTATATATTGACTAGATTCATAGCACATGTGCATGCTGGTTGCCATCGAGATCAGACTTCCATCCCAACACATACCGGTAGAGCTGCTGCATGGGAGAAATCATGTCCGAGTTGGCAACGCAAACGTCAAGTGCACCGCCAGATGTGGCTGTTGTAACCACCCACATACCTGTTCATATCAGTCCCACCATGTGAAACGTACCCACCTCATAAACTTCTGCTCAACATCTCCTCCATCGGGCCAGACCTCTCGTATCTCACCTTTACTTTCGCAGCTGAACCTCGATCCAGAAACTCGGCCGAGTCGTCCTTTCGATACGGAGTAGTGATCCTTCCTAATCCTCGTTGAAACAGCAACGGTAAGCAAAAAGGCTGGCGGTGTGCACCATCTGCCTCACTGTTGAATACTAATCAACAAAACCAATGGAAAGCACGTGGGGTCACATCTCGGCGCGAGCTAGGACCCCGCTCTCTCATTACGAGCCACAACCCAGCTGTGGGCATCAGTTTGTGGCGTTGTCGCTTCTTCAAACTCCTATTTGCCCTGGGTCACCACACGCTGCACTCCGCGGAAGAGCCACCTGCGATTGATTGTGTGGCGTGTGAGTGGAGTGTGTTCCCTTCTTCGCGGGCGCTGGGTGCTGTCCTATATCGTGAACGCAAGTGACCGCTTGCGCGGTGTCTAGCTTGGCACCGTGTTTGCTTGACTACCGCGGGGTGCTATTGTACGCGAGTGGGTTCCGTCTATACCAAGCGTCTTGTGGCGCTAGGGAGTTGCTCCTCGGGGTCATGTCAGATAGGACCCTTGCGTGCTGTGGAAGTGCAAGAATGACAGGTCCGGATGCCTAGAGCTGCGAGAGACACAACGGACCGTATCCAAGCCCCGAGAGACCCGGCTTAGCACACATGATAGGCATGTGTGTTGACTATCATATCGCCGGTTTCCTTCCCTTGGGCACATCATTCCTGGGCTTGCGTTGGTCCTCTTGATCGCAGGCCAAGCGCTACTCTACGTCTACGTAACACCGGAGCTGCTCATTGGGCTTCTTGACCGGCAATAGCATAAGGCGGAAGTCGACAATCTTGGCTCCTTCGCAGTACCCACTGCTCTCGGCGACTAGACGAGCGGAAGACATAGAATGTACACAGCCAAGAGATGGAGAGAGCCCCAAGCAAAGACATCGAACCAGTCATGATCCACCCACCGGCGCAGGTTTAGAAAAATGATCCTTGTCTGAGATCGAAGTTTCTGCAGGTCAATTTATTAAATCTCCCCACCAGCCACAGTCAAGAGTGTGGCATTTTTTCCAAATCGATAAATGGAAAAACTTCATCTCTCCAAGAACGCTCCGACGTTCCAAAAAAGAGTGGAGAGAAAGTACAGGCGAGGGCGAAGAAAGGACGCGCAATCCCGCGTCATACCCAAGAGATTCTCATCTAACCCGCTGCACCGCTTGGACAGCCCGTGATATAGTGACAAAGGATAGAGAATAAGGGTCGACGAAAACCACAATAATCTTGTCAAGGATGAAGAGAGAAAGGGTCTCTTGCGATCGGGATCTCCGTACTTCGTTTAGCAGTGGTATATCGGTCTTGCTCCGCTGTGTGCCTTACGGTAACTAGGACGTGCTGCTGGTATCCACTGTCGTAGAGGAGAAAGGAGACAGGACCGCACCGGGCAGATACGTGTCACGGCGGAAGACAGAGCAGCTTGGCGTTGTTTGACACTTCCGGAGCGCGGTGTCACTTCCTCCTGTGACGTCCTTAGACTCACTTCTATGGATCTCGAGGGCGAGGAAGCAGACTCTTGTCAACTGAATCGCTGCATAATGCACATGTACCGTTGGGCGAACGGAAAGCTGGAGTACAGTAGCCAAAACTATACATAGCATCCAGAGCACGCAGCATATCCACTCTTGACCTCCTGCGCAGCTTGGTTGAATGTTGACGAAAAGGTTAGCTTTCTAAAAGATTCGAGACCACAACATCTCGATCCATAAGGTAGACTCTACTCTGCTGGGAAAGAGCTGAAACATAGGATCGAGCTCTAACAAAGCAAAATTGGTCGTTGGGTGAAGGGAAAATCGACTATCCAAATTTCCGCTTTTCGGCGTCTCCGGAGCAAAGCGAGGGCTCAACACAGAAGGATTACAACCAAGACACGACGATCGATGGATGATGTGGCATATCACAGGGGACGAGACTGATATGCAACCTCCAAAGAACTAATGATTCAGCGATAAGCTGCCGAGTCAGACAAGCTGATGAACCGACCTCTTGGAAATGGCCCGGCGGTGAGTGGCGCGAGCGTCCGGCAAACGGCGGTCGTCTATCAACCATCTACCGGGACGCGACCCAAATCCGTAGTGCGCCGCCTCGTCTCGGCGCACCGCCACACGCATGTAACGGTCTTCGAAGACGCGATCGATGATTCAAGGTAGTAGTGGCGTCACGCAGACTTCATGCGCCGTTTGGCAACGGCGAAGATGGCGGATAAAAACTAGCCTGATATCCGTTGACCCTTACTCCTCACAGGCTGAGTTAAAGATATGAAGCGATGGTATCAAAGGAATACGGCCGTAGATTTGCAGATCCTATGGACTGAAAGAACGAAGAGTTTGCTATTCGAGGAGAGACCATTCCGATGACCATCCTAAACGGTCGGGTATTGTGTGCTGGTAATCGATTGCAGGGAACAAATGAGAGAAGAAATGAGAAGATAGAGGGACAAAGAAGGGTATCTCAAAACAGACAGGCAGACCCTTGAGCACCCGATATCAGAAAACTTTCCCGAGGTCGCTGAACCACTGTATACATTGAACGAACAGATCGTCCTTAAGTATCCGCGCCGGAACAAAGCAAAGGAAAAGGTATCAAAAACATTAGTAGCCACAACAGTAAAACAATCAAGGAAATCAGAAGCAAATTCTTGCTGGAGGGGTATAGCTCGAACCAACACAAGGAAAAAGTCCAATGGTGAGAAAGGACAGGGGTATCTCAGATCGCCTGATCTCTGATCAAAGGCGGGGATAGGATTATCCTTCAGTCTCCAGGACCCAGGCGGCAGGGTGATTCGTGAAAGGTCATTATCGGCGAGTTTGGTGATAGTCTGAGCTTTAGTAGACAAGCCTGAGCTCATATCCTGAGGAGGGTGCTGGCCTGGATTGCCATTGGCTCTGGGCTGTGTCGACTGTTGCAAATTCGGCCTTCATGTCTTGACCTTCGGCCAACTCGCGAATCGCGTCGTCGTCCATGAGAATTTGAATTCCCTTTTGGTTGACACGAACGGCTCGAACAACCTTCTGGGGCTCAATGCCGAATTTCGCGGCGGCTACGCTGACGAATTCGCTGAGGTTTCTTTGTAGAAGGTAGACTGCCCGGTAGTAGGTGTCCTCGGAGGTCTTGCCCTGCACTTTGGACTGCAAGTAGAAACAGGCAACTATGTATTCGTCAGTCATCGTGTCGATTTGCAAAGGAAAGGATATAACCTTACCAGGCTTGTTAGTGCGCTCGGGGGGAGGCTGGTAGGCAGAATCTACGCCAACGGCTTCGAACCAGCCAGCGAAAGTGCCGCTGGTGGGCGAGTGAGCTTGCATCTTGACTGGTTGATCAGGTGGGCTGGCCAAGTGTTGCGGGTTAGAGGACTTGAGGTCCATGGGTGCGACTTGAGAGTTGCTACGTCCCCACTCGGTAGAGTTGACGCGCGAAGGGGGTCCAAAAGCGCTTGGACGACGGAAATTCGACGGAAGCGATTGGTTGCTTGGGGTAGGTGAAACCATTGCAGAACTGGTCTTGCTCTGGCCATCCCACATGTTTGTGTCGTTGGTATCAACTCTGGTCAGGCCTTGAGTATCGCCAGATAAACTGACTGGGTGAAGGTCTGGGTCGTCTTCCTCTGCGCCTCTCAAGAACAAAATACTGATTGGACGAGTGGAGCCAAACATATCTTGCAGCCCAATAAGCTTCACCTGAAGATCTTCCTCAGCAGAGGTTCTTCCAGTAGAAGCTGTGGAGGACATAGACCAGGTCCTCTTGTGCTTGGGTACCTTTCCAGGTCGCGCAGGCATTGCGTTCGGCTTGGAGATTGAGCCACTTCTCTTGCGCTTGCTCGAATCTCTCATGCCGGACTCAATTTGCGAGATTTGTTGGTTAAGCTTATCGATCATTTTCTTGACATGAGCAACATCGTTTGAGAGCTTGCGTTCGGCACCGTGGTCGCGGAAAAGCTTTACTCTGCAGTAGCACACTTCGTGCGCGGGTTGTTGAGATGGCGACATGGAGTCAAGCAACAGCTCGGTCTTTGTGCACAGACGGACAGGAATGCCTTTGACACCCTTTGAGTGGCTGAAATCGGTCGAGAGGAAGTTGAAGCGGACAGAGATGGGACACTCAATACCTTGAGCATTGGGCGATGGGCTCCACGTCACACAGAAGCCATCGAATGAGGAGGATTCGAGTTCCAGCTTGGGTCGGTTGAGATCGTTTGATTGGTTCTGATCGACAAACTCGACGGCTTGCAGGCGGCCGCCGCGTTGGTGAGCTTCATTGGTGCCACGACCTTCTTTCCAGAGCTGCCAGCAGGCTCCAGGGCGCGCTCTTTGTGAGTCCTCTTCGAAAGACACACGGACGAAGGTACGGTATTTGAGTTGGCCAACGACGGAATGCTGAGGCGCTGTGTCATGGACATTCAGCGTGTAGGCTTGACCCTTGTTGAGGTAAGTAACAGGGATCTCGTCGGCAGTCTTGACCATTGCGGTCGGCGCATTGAGTGTAACGCGGTAACGGAAGTTCTCACTCGATGGGTGTTGAGGGAGAGCGACGAGTGCAGCGTTGCTCATGTGAGGAGGGAACATGGGATCGACGTGAGACTGGTTAGACATCTCGACGTCAAGGTTCATATCACCACCGCACATAGGCGAGTCAGCAGCCTGGCTGTCAAGTTGATCAAATACCGGGGCCTGGTGTTGGAAGTTCTGGGGTGGGAAGGTGGGCTGGTGGTGCATTTGGAAGGGGTGGGATCCGAAAGGATTCATGTGATGGTGGTGATGCTGCTGCTGTTGTTGTTGTTGTTGTTGCTGCTGCTGCATTGCATGTGCAAACGAGTGCATGTGCGCAAGCTGAGGAGCATGAAGGGCTGACGTGTCAGATGTGGGCATTGACAGCGGAGTGTTCAAGCCCAGACTAAATCCTGGAGTATGGAGGTCACCTGCTTGCGGGTGGTAGAGGGTGTTTGTGCCACCAGGGGTGGGGGTGTAGTAGCCCGGGATGTGGTTCGCAAAGGGGTTGAACGACGAGCTGTTGACATCCAGGCCTGAGGGGGTGAGGCCGGTGCTGCCAAAGTTCCATTGTTCCGTCGAGGATGCTCGAGGAGTAGGGTCAGCATCTTTGATGTTGTGATGCTCGGCGAATTGTCTGTGATGGCATGATTAGAGTTTGGGTGCTTACAAGTGGAGGAAAGGAGGAGCTGGCTGGGTGAGTGGGGAGGTGGAGAAGAGAAAACATACCGAGGATTCAGAGTCGCGACGTCGAGGGCATTCAGCGAGGGCGCATTGGCGTGGGCTTGCGAGGTGTTGGGGTTGAACTTGACGGCGTCGAGGTATGGCCTGAAGCTCTTCTGCAGTTCGATGCTCGGCTTTTGCGAGCTTTGTCTGCAGCAGCAATAACAAATCATGTCAGCCACGGGATGCGCGCGAGGATTCTCAGCCAGCTGTGGCAGTGTGGCTCGCTCTTACCTGTGCTCGAACATGGTTGTCGGACGCTCACCATGCAATGTCGATAGATGTCGAGGTGTTTAGGGCGCCGAGTGTGCGAGCGCGAGGTGAGGAAGGTGCTTATGTGAAAGATCGAAGACGACTCTTGCGGACTGGCTCGTCACCAGGTAGGTCGATGAAACAGCGTGCAATAAGGGAAAGGCGCAACCACAAGCCACAGGATGCGCGCCGTTTTAACTGCAGGCTGAATTGTGGCCCGACCAAAACTTACGCTACCAACATGGAAGCGACACGACCCAGCCTGTCCCGTGCTCTGCCGATGCCTTCGCTTGCGCTTGCTGCACTGTTGACCACCATCGCTCGATACACACACGTAGCGACCCTCTGCCCGTGTGCCTCGCACATCTCCTGCGCGCTCACTTTTCGCTGTCCCAAGCAGAACCATATCCCAGTCAGCGCCACATCTAGCCACATGGCTGTGCAAAAAAGCACCCTCGACTGCCGAACTCGTCAACAGCCCATCCTCCTCGTGCCACACTTTTGCTTTTTTGCTTCGGATCGCTTGTCGCTCACCCATGCACGCTTGCAAAAACGGAAAGCGTGTGCCCTCATGTGGCTGGAGTCGCATCCCCGCAAAGGCTTCCGACGCTGACTCAAGCTCATCAACCAAATCTTCGATCGAGTCCTTTCACAAGCAACGCGGCTCGATCACCATCCCTTCTTTCTAAACTTGAAGCACCGTGTCCGATTTCAACAGCCTTGAAGCTTACGAGTACAGCGCATCGAGCCAGCAAATTCAGCTAGCTAGCACGCACTCGAGACTCGCCGTCTTGACCCTTGTCCCACGGCCTCCTTCTCATGCCATTCACTGCTTGTCGCGTTTTGCAATCGTTACGAAAGGCAAAGCGGACTGCTGACCTACGTGACGTAGCTATATCTGGGAATAGCACCATGCTCCGTACAATCTCCTTGGATCGTTTCTGTCTCTGCATGCTATCAAATCTCACCCTGCATCAATGGCGGATGCACTCTGCGATGGTAATTCGCCGATACAGCCACAGTTGTTTTCAATCGTTGACACGGTGCTGCCGCTCTGCCATCGGCAATATGCTCTTTCTATTCTAGAAGATGCTCTCCTCTGCCGTCTCTCTGCTCAAAGCAATTTCCCTTTTGCAACACCAACCGAAATTGAGATGTGCTTGTCTGCTGCTAGAGCATTGGGACTTTGGTAAGCCACTAACATCATGCGCTGAACGAACCTTATCGCTATGTCGTTCCATCGCATTATTACCACAGACATTGTAATTGCGCATGGCCTCCCCCCAAGGGTCAACACGCAGACCGAAAGAAAAACAGAGCACGTCCTGCCGTATCAAACGAGCGCTGTCAAGAAGTGCAGCTTTCGTCATCGGAACCTTTGGCGCTAAATGGCCCCGCTTCGCACCGTTTGAGCTGTCCAAACGGCGCTTGGCTTCCTCACTCTCGCGAAAGCCACCTAAGCACCACACGAGTGCAACAGCTCTCGAGGCATCGATCAGCGAACGAGTTGGTCCGCAACATTTCCGAGAAGCTTGTGATTTGCCGATCTTTCCCCCTCTCTGCCCCCATGCGTCTGCCACAGCGAAGTGGCGGTGGACAGCGCAGCATCACGGAGTATCCACTCTCCCGGAACGCTTTTTTGATCTTCGACGCAACCCGAAGATCCTGCGATGTGCCTGTGACCAGAGTTGCGTCGGTGGTCGCGACCTCTTCGTCCAGTGATCGAGGGTGGGCATGAACTTTGACGTCTAAGGTTGGCTGATGAGACGAACCATCTAGCGCAGCGGGCTCCGGAATGTGGCTTGACGAGCAGCACGTCGATTATTACCTCAAGTTTGTGCCACACCTCACTCGCCACACCAACCGCTCCGCTGCTGACCTTATCTATCTCTGTGGCGGTGCAATGTCGTTTCGCTCACCCCTCTTCTGCAAAACTCTGTGAGAGGATGTGGCAGGTGAGTTTGTGGCTGTGGCTGAGCAGCTGTCACATTCGTCACGCCTTTGCACCACTCTCGATCCGCGCTCCAGGCCCTTCCATCCCAAACTCCCGATTGATTCGATGAGAGCTTCCTCTGCGGGAGATTTGCTGCAACCCGAAATCCCAGCGCGGAAGGTTCGGTACGAGAGAGAGGGGTGTGGCTGTCCATATTATCACCCGCTGAACAGGACATGGTTGTCAACAACCTCATTGAAGGTAATCTCGCGTGCTTGCTGCATTTACCCTGTTCGATCCTTTCCCAAAGAATGTCCAGAGTTTATCATCATCATCGTCAACGTCGGTGGTTGGTGCCTGGTTCTCAAGAACAGAGATCGAAGGGGGGATCTACATCTCGGAACCTCGAAGACTCCCATTGATCGCGCGTATTTGGAAGCACTCGCGCGTTGTAATCAGCGACTAGCACTGGTCGAAAGGTGTAACGCAATATCACTGGCGACAGCATCCAAAGCATGAAACTACAATGACCCTCAAAGCAAACAGCGTCGCACAGTAGCACTTTATCTGTTGCTTGCACTTACGTCTCTATTCCCCCTCATCTTACATCTCCACCATTAACTGACATCTGCTATTGAAACTGTGTGGAGATTATAGTAGCTAGTAGTTCTTTTTGCGTTCTGTTGGAACGCAATCTGTACTCTATCTCCACGATGCGAGCAATATAGTAGTGATAATGACGCGGCAGGGAAAGTGGAATGTAGGGCGTGGAGTCAGCCCTGATAGTAGGAAGATGCAAGTGCCATATTGCGGCTCAGTGGTACTCTTACGGAGTAGATAGTAATCATTCGTGCTTGTATTAGCCCTATGTATGATCAACTATGAGGTGTGAGGGGACTGCGGTCATTGCAAAATGTGTGGAGAGCCACTCCGAACCACTGTACCTGCGCATTGTTACGAGACCTGCAGCACAAAGGGACATCTGTACCATGTGTACGCGTAAACCCCCCCCCCCCTTTTCTGCAGACGGCGGTTGTCGAGACACGTCCAATGGAGACAACCGCCTACACACAGCGAATCCAAACCCCTCAAACATGGGTGCCTATGCTCTGACAGCGCAAGTAGAAGTGAAGTTGTGTGTATTGCACATTCTATTGGTTCCAGCTCTTTTTCCCCCCTTCGAGGCGACTCGAGAAGACAAGCCACTACAATCTGATTGATGGAAGGTATTGCACAGCCACATCAATCAATCTTTCTTTGACCCATGCATGATTGTGCCGTCATATTCCATCTGTACTGAACCACATGACCATAGGGTTGCTTCCAGCCCTTCGAGGGATTTTGCACATATCTTATTACCCATGCGATGAACCCATACTCTTGTCATACCTTCTATTATAGAGCTTCCTGATATGATTCCAGGCAACGTGCTGTGCAGGGTTTGTGTGCTCTTCGCCTCATGCGTTGGCGTGATACGACGCACGTAATTCTGCTGATGGCTTTGGCGAATTGGATGGAGCAGCAGCGCGAGCAGCAGCAGCAGCAACCGCCATGTTTACATCGTGCATGCTACCGTAGCGACCGGAATGGCGCTGACTGCTACCGAAATCACCACTGCCTCGAAGACTGGTTGATTGGTGAGGACTGTCCAGATGGAAACTTGATCTCGAAGTTGCTCTGCTGTGGTTCGAGTCACCCTCAGGGGCACGGATGGCAGTGAGGAAGCTTGACGACGAGTCTTCTCTTCTCGGTCTTGCTAGAGATGGGTCAAAGACTGGACTGGGTATCTTGGATATGCCTAGAAACTCTGACATAGAAGTCCTGACTGGAGATGACACAGCACTGTCTGCAGCCAGGGTGCCAGGGCCACCATGTATCTGGTGTGCAGCAAAGTGGTCAACCGACGTACTTCTTTGAAGAGGCGAAGTCGCGGCATGTGGATGTCTAGCTTGTACAGGACGATTGTCATCATTGTACTCAGAAGAGAATTTGCGTGCATGTTTCAAGCGCAATGACTCTGGACGACTTCTTGTGGCGCGAGGGGTGAGCCGTTCAGTGCTTCCAGCTTCGAATGACGGCGCGCGAAAGCCAAAAGAGTCGACTGGATGAGACTCATTGTCGATGGTATCGTCTTGTTGAAACAATGGTCCATTGACGTTGGTGACAGTTGCTGCTTTCTCTTCACCGACTATCTCTGCACTTTCTTGCTGGACGTACTCGTTCTCAGATGAGTCAGTATCAGAGAGGGTTGTTCGACCAGCCAGCATTTCGAACATCGAGGCCTGAGAAAGGCTCGTAAAGTCCTTAGGGCTGGGGGGAGATTCAAAGTCGCTGTAGTGGTTGGTCGTAGAGAATTTGTGTGATAGTATGGCCATCTTTTGCGATGGGGATACGGGACGGGCTCGGCAAGGCACTGGCAATGTTAGTCTTGACTTATTTGGATGAAAAGGTATTCTCGGCATACCTCGTTGACTCCTTCTGGCAGCTTCTTGTCTCTTCTCGTCTTCGATCCTCGTTCTTTGGAGGAACTCGACAAGAGTCTCTCTGGAATCATCGTTTGTGTTGGTACCAGATGCAGTACGTCGTCTGTGCTCCTTGCGCAGCAGACTCCCTCTTCTGGCGCGCATGACTTCCGCCACTCCTTCCTTATCCTTCGAGATGATGAGTTCGAGCCTCTTGACTTCAGCTTGGTACTCCTCTCTTTCCTGTTGCCATCTCTGTCGCTCGAGTTCCAACTCATGGTGTGACGAAAAGCGAGTTTCAACTTCGTACTTTAGCTTGCGCACAAGAGAGGCGTTTTCGTCGCGAAGATTGCGGAATCCTTCGAAGATCATGAGCAGAGGTGAGTTGTTTTTGACATCTAGAGGGCGATAAGGCTCGGCGATCAAGGTGCGCATCATCGAGTCCATGATTTGGTCTGGGTCAGGCTCACATCCCTCAGGCCAAGTTTGACAGGGCGAGGAGATGGTATCCTTGACAGAAGTGCGCTGATCGGAAGACCAGAGGGATGATTTACCGTGAGTGGCGGAGGGACCGAAGGACCTGGGGTGGAAGTAGGAGCTGATCTTGGGTCGCACCTTCTTGCGAGTCGAGCCAAAGCCGCTTGTGATGTCTGGCTCCGTCTCGTCTTGCTCGCCAACAGGCAGGAGCGTGTGGGAGAAGGCGGGCTGGATTCTCCTGCGCCATTGATAAACATCCGCCATGTTGAATGGTTGAATGCGATGAGCGGTCGATCGAGGTGAGTGAAGATTATGGCCAAGAACAATGCGGATGCAAGCCCCAAGGGGAGTGTTGCGAGGAACACGCGATGTTCACTTGAACAAAGCAAGCGTTGATTCATGGACGGAAGGCGCGACTATGCATGTGGACTTGCCTTTTGATGATAATCTTTTGAACTTTGTAATACGCGCATAGCAATGAACAACACAGTGATGCAAGAACGATTGGTTTTTCTGTTTGAAGTGGTAATGATGAAATTGTCACATACATAATTATGCAATGCTAAGAATGAGAGATGTAACCCCAACTCCATGCACATGTACCCGATGGATGACAGGTCAAGTGTTTGGTAATGGTGGGGTCGTTGATATTGGCACGATGGAAAATCCTTCAGCAAATTCTGCATGGAGATCGCGAGTTGCTGTACACACTTATGCCGTTGTTGTTTCTGTTTTGGAGTAGATGGATCACGTTGGAAGGTGGAAGTGGACGAGAAAGTAGAGGTGGACCAGGACGATGGGCGACGGGACCGAAGGGCGCATTGCACAACCAGATTCGTGGCATTTGTCGCAAGAGGAGTCATCTTGTGCTCCTTCTAGCAAAGCTTCCATCCCATAACACTAGACGCCGATTTTTGACTTTCGTGATGTGGTTTGATGCGTTTATGCGGCCTCGCGCTTGCCCTCCTTGACCTCCTTCTGCAGAGGCTGTCAGTATGGCGTCCGTGTGGTGGTGGTGGGAGCTACGCCACGTACCAGGGCTCTCATGGTGCCGTGAAGAGCATGTCTGTGGTTGCGTCTGAACTTGGGGTCGGTACCCTTGAGCGAAGGGTATCTGTTGGTCTTGGGCTTCTTGATACTGTGCGTGTCGTCGTGTCAGTCGATCGTTCTCATCGGTCTGGTTGCTGTTCGAAGGGTGTCGTCGTAGGCGATTTCGCTGCGTACCCGTTCTTGTGGGCCTTCTTGGCCTGGTTGTGCTGCGACGAGTTCTTGGACTCTGTAGAATTTTGTCAGCATTTCATCAGCATGTCTATCGGCATGCGGTCGCAACTTACTGGCCATTGCGACGTCTGTATGTGAATAACTGGTCGAGGTTGCTGGATCTCCAAGGTTCGCACACTGAAGTCGCCCAATTCTGCGCACACGGCTAAGCGAGTGGCCTTGGCAGCGCACGGCCCCGCATCAGCAACTTCACTTTATAATCATCACTCTTCGACAGCTCGAGATACAATAAATACATGTCCAGTCGATCTATAAGCAGATTGGACTGTTCAATTGACGAGAGGTGCTCATTTGGCGGATTTCGCCTTGTGTTATCCAGATCTGTAGCTGGAATACCATGATACCATGGATTTCGTGGCACTTCAAGCGCTGTCAGAGTAAGGAAACAACCTTCTGCAACAAAATATTCGCAATCGATCGATCACTCTCTTCGGAAACGAGATTGAGTGGAATTGAGCATGTATCAGTAGCGTTAGAGAGATAAATGGTTCAATTATGTGTCGTAGCCAACATCTTATTGGCTTTCGAATCGCTCTGGCACCCAGAAAGTTTCTTAACGCGACATCCTACTCCACCAAATCTAATAACTAAGACTGCAGACACATTCGCCCACGACTATGAGCAAGGATTTCGACCACGATTTCAAGTATGTTAGTTGAATTCCATATGTTGCTTGGTCGACAGAGCAGGCTTGACCATATATGTCACTAGTCCAAGAACCGGATCAAATCACAATCACTCTGTGGTCAGCATACTACTTGACTGATGTCATGTTTATGCCCAAATCCTCGAATCCACAAAAGATATTGGGATTAGTCTTGAAGAATGGATCATCACATAAGTCGACGGCAAAGACAAGTCTGGCCTGCTGTATAGATTTATTAGCGATAGATCAAGATACCAAAGGTTAATCACTGCTTAGGACCATCTGTCACGAGGGACTAATCTGCTTGTCACCGTCGATACAGTCTGATCGGTTTTCAAGTGGTCGAATTATAGAACATAGCAAACTCGTACGGGATATATGGTTAAGATGAAAGAAAATGATATACGCCCAAGAGTACAAGGTATAAACACAATAAAGAACCACTTCTTCACTCCCATTCTGTGAATCACTGTGTGCGTGATGTCTCCTCTACCGCCCCGGTCCGGATGTCTCTCGTATCCGGCTCATTATTTTTGGTCAAATAATAGCTAGCTGTCCCCAATGCGTGAGACTGTTCGTGCAATCATTTAATTCTTGGCGGACTTGGCCATGGTGTTGAGAGCAGAGCCGTTCTTGAACCACTCGATCTGGCCCTCGTTGAAGGTGTGCGAAAGCTTGATCTCGTATGACTCGCCGTTCTTGGGGTGGACCTTCATGGTCATGGGCTTGCCAACGGCGAGCTCAGTGCAGAGGAGGTCAACCTTGTCGTCGGGGTTGAGCTTGTCGTAGTCGGCAGGCTCGGAGAAGGTAAGAGGAAGCATACCCTGCTTCTTCAAGTTGGTCTCGTGGATACGGGCGAATGAACGGACAATGATGGCGAGACCACCAAGGTGGCGGGGCTCGAGAGCGGCGTGCTCACGGGATGAACCCTCACCGTAGTTCCAGTCACCGACGACGACCCAGCGGATACCCTTGGACTTGTAGTCACGGGCGACACCGGGAACGGTGCCGAACTCACCAGTGGTGTAGTTCTCGATGTTGTTGGCCTCTCCGTTGGCAGAGTTGATGGCACCAATCAACATGTTGTTGGAGATGTTGTCCAAGTGACCACGGTACTTCAACCAGGGACCGGCCATGGAGATGTGGTCAGTGGTGGTCTTGCCGTGAGCCTTGATCAGGATGGGGAGGTCAGTGGCGTCCTTGCCGTCCCAAGCGTTGAAAGGCTCGAGAATCTGGAGACGGTCAGAAGTGGGGGAAACGGCAACGTTGACCTGAGAGCGGTCCTTGGGAGGAGCTTGGTAGGTATCCATTCCCGGGTCGTAGCCGTTGGCGGGCAGACCGTCACCGGTGGGGGCCTTGAGCTTGAACTCGTTGCCGTCCTTGTCCTTGAGGGAGTCGGTGAGGGGGTTGAAGTTGAGGGTACCGGCGATGGTCATGGCCACGACAAGGTCGGGGGAGGTGACGAAAGCGTGGGTGGCGGGGTTGGCATCGTTACGCGAGGTGAAGTTACGGTTGTAAGAAGAGACAATCGAGTTCTTCTCGCCCTTCTTGACATCGCGACGGTCCCATTGACCGATGCAGGGACCGCAGGCGTTGGCAAGAACCATACCACCGAACTCCTCGAAGGTCTGGAGCTGACCATCGCGCTCAATGGTGGCACGGATCTGCTCGGAACCGGGGGTGACGGTGAAGAGGGCCTTGGCCTTGATGCCGTGGTCGAGAGCATCACGGGCAATGGAAGCAGCACGAGACATATCCTCGTAAGAGGAGTTGGTGCAAGAGCCGATAAGACCGACCTTCATCTCCTCGGGCCAGTTGTTGGCCTTGACGGCCTCCTTGAACTTGCTGATGGGGGTGGCAAGATCGGGGGTGAAGGGACCGTTGATGTGAGGCTCGAGCTCAGAGAGGTTGATCTCGATGAGCTGGTCGTACTCGGCGCCCTGGTCCTCTCTGAGCTCCTTGGCGTAGGTGCGAGAGAAGTCACCGATCGACTTGCGCTTGGTGGCGTTCAGGTAGTCGTACATGCGGTCGTTGAAGGGGAACAGCGAGGTTGTGGCACCAATTTCAGCTCCCATCTTGAGGTTTATTAGCAAAAGAAAAATGTATGGAAGCGTTGTTCAGCTCACGTTGCAAATAGTTGCCATACCGGTAGCGGAGATGGAGTCGACACCAGGGCCGCTGCAAAAAAAGTTAGCCACAACCACATATTATTTTTTGCTCAGAACAACACTCACTGGTACTCAATGATAGCTCCAGTGCCTCCCTTAACAGTGAGAATACCGGCAACCTTGAGAATAATATCTGAAAAGAAAGTTAGCATGAAATCCAGAAAAAAGTTTGGAGACCAAAAACGCACCCTTAGGAGTAGCCCAGCCAGACAGCTCGCCAGTAAGCTTGACACCAATGACCTTAGGGGCCTTGAGCTCCCAGGGAAGGTTGGCCATAACGTCGACGGCGTCAGCACCACCAACACCAATGGCGGCCATACCGAGACCACCAGCGTTGGGAGTGTGAGAGTCAGTACCGATCATCAAACCACCTAGTTTTCGAGGTTAGTCTATGCTCGTAGCTTCTTTGTTTTGTCATGATACTAACCGGGGAAAGCGTAGTTCTCGAGGATGATCTGGTGAATGATACCGGAACCGGGCTTCCAGAAACCGATGTTGTACTTGGCGCAGGCAGTGGACAGGAAGTCGTAGACCTCTCTGTTGATGTCCTGAGCGCGGGCAAGATCCTTCTCACCGCCGATCTGGGCCTCAATCAAGTGGTCACAGTGGACACTGGAGGGGGTAGCGACCGAAGGCATGCCGGCGGACATGAACTGCAGAATGGCCATCTGGGCAGTGGCATCCTGGCAAGCAACACGGTCGGGACGGAGCTTGAGGTATGAAACACCACGCTCGATCTCCTGCTCGTGGGGGTTGTCAAGATGCGAGTAGAGGATCTTCTCGGCGTAGGTAAGAGGACGGTTGTTCATACGCTGGCGAACGATGCTCAGGTTCTCGCTCATCTTGGCGTAGTTGATGTAGTTGCCGGTCTCGAAGTTGGTCATCTCGACCTTCTTGGCGAGAGGCGAGTCGCCGACAGTCGCAAAGGCGCGACGGCCCAGCTGTAGAGCTTGTCAATGCCATGATCTGTGAGAGAAGAACAAGCTGTGAAGGAAACCTACCAGCTTGCGCGCTGCCAAACGAGCAGACTGCATTGTGATAGTCAACGGCGGGGAAGCTATTGACAGTGACCTAGGTGCCTATACGGCTAAGAGAAGGACACGGGGAGGTGGAGAAAGGTGGTGAAGCGGAGAGGTGTTGATGGGAAGAGAAGACGGTAGAGTTATTTAAGAGAAGATAGCGCACCGAGTCCTCCCTTGGCCCTCGGTCACAGCGACCGGCCTCATCAAAACTGCTCCTATTGGTTCAAAAGCACGAGCCAGCCTGGTCTAGCTGTTCGTTTTACACACCCCCGCCGCCTTCTGTGCTTTTTCGCTTCCGCCTCAGCTTGCTTGCCTGTCTAGATCAATCCTCATTCGCTGCTTGTGTTCTTCTGACATCAGATGGCGGTCCATATCTGCTCTCTGATCGTGATCCTGATTTGCATCCCTAGCTCCTCGAGCTGTCCTGCGTGAGCTCTACCCAACCTTCCAGGGGCTCTGCCATGGCCAGCTCTCGAAACAGCTGCCACCTGCCGCGTGCGGGTGCTCGCGTAGCCGTGCCGGTAAACATCGGAGCGCTCCGTCTATTTATTGGTTGGCGGGTGGCTCCAAAGCACTCTCGCTGATTGTTCGGTCGGCAAGACAAGAACTCGGCCGGCTCGATCGGCTGCAAGCAATTTTTTCCTAAAGTTGGAGCCGATGGCCTCGCATGTGACTGTTTGGAACAGGTACTTGACGAATGGTCTCGATGCTACTGGGTCATATCCCCTCCCTACCAGCCATTCAGAACTTATCTGTAGATGACTTACCATTATGCGAGAAGTTTTGATCTCAGACCTACTTCCACACAGATGAATTACAGACAGTGTTTGATAAGAAATACGTCTTTTTGGAATAATGTCGATGGGTTGTTGTCTGATGTGTGATAGAGAGAAAGTGCTTGGCAAGGGCTGTCTAAAAATTCCATGCGGCTACCATCAACTTTCTTCAGAGTCTTGAAGCAACCAACAACTTTGCGTGACCACGGCAACTACGACTGACACTCCACCTCTTCGCCGAACCAGCACCAAAAATCCCTCCAAACCTCAACAGGAAGCCACGATGCCTGCCATTCGCGGTCAAGACTCGAAGAAGAAGACTCGCCGTCACACGCGCGATCTCGATCAGATCCACGACGACATTCACAAGGAGAAGCATTTGGAGAAGTACAAGAGCACAAAGGCTGCAGAAGACCTGCCTGGCCTGGGACAATTCTACTGCGTAGAGTGCGCCAAATGGTTCGAGTCTGAAGCAAACTTGACCGCACACTCCAAGGGCAAGCCTCACAAGCGCAGGTAAGACTCTATAACAACTCGCAAGATCGCATGTGCAGCACTGACATGTATCGCAGAGTTCGTGCGCTCAAGGAGAAGCCTTACTCGCAGAAGGAAGCCGATGCTGCCGCTGGTCTGACCTGGACAGACAACGGCAAGCCCAAGGTCGACGACCACGAGCTCGAGATGGCCGAGGCTACCTGAACAGCTGCCTGGCATATGTCCGCTGCCCAGAAAGTTACAGACAATCACCATGCGCTTCCATCCCTCAGGTCGCACTGAGATCCACTCACCACGGTAGTGGCCGCGTCGTGCCCTTCAGAGAAGAGTTGCGACTTCGAACATATACAGCGACCGCTTCGGCGTTTGCAGTCAATAGCCACTGAACTTCCCTCAGTTCAAATCGGGTTGGTTCACATAGGGCTCTGGTTTCAAGAATGGCTCATTTGCTTCACCTTGAACCTCGGGTGACCCCGGTTGGGAACAAACGATACAGCCGACGGTCCAGAAAATCTCGTTCTCCGCTTTGCGGATATGACTTACCGTGGAAAAACACATACCGGCAACATCATTGCCAAGCGGTGGTAGCGAGGAGCATCGATAGAACATAATAATTATGCATTCGTAACTTTGTAGTCGCGATGTTTGCTCAAGACAATCAACTTACCTCAAACAAATTATTCTGCATCAGTGACTCATGTATCCAATCAATCATGATCGCTTTGTAAGCGCTCAATCAACACACCGTGCAAACAGCGAATAGTAGGTGAGTTGCTGGTGTGACAATGACTAGGTGTCTGCCTAGGAGCGTGTTGCTGCCTGAGGTCCATCAACTACAAATTCTGTGCCAGACGTCCACTCCAAACTCAAAATATTATAACATCCAAACCACACAATATCATCACACCAAAGACTACGATTATCAATCCAAAAAGCAAAGAAAGACACACAAACACAGCAATAATCTCGCGACCATGTCATTCCAAAAAGTCGAGCTCTACGGCGGTGCCATGACCGTCGACCTCCCCTCCAACTTTGCAGACGTCAGGTACGAAAAGACTCGCAGCGCCTACCAACCTCTTCGCTTCCGACTAACTCAAGGAAAAAAAAAACAGCCAAATCAGACAAGTACCCGATAACCAAGAAGTATACCTGGACAAAGATGGCCTCTCAAGCATTGTGTTCGATATCTTGGAGCGAGTCGACAAACCTGATCTCGATGCTTCAAAGTATCATCTAGAAGATGTCGTCGAGGATGATATGAATGCAACAAAACTCTGGACTTCGAATTCTGCCGTGTTGAGTGAATTGCCGTGAGTCTGATCTCTTATACAATATCTTCATCCACCCAGAAGGGGGACCTCTGAGCAGTTCTTTCGCTCTCTCATACTCTTCCCCAACAAACCCCAAAAAACCTCTATCTGACCACATCACACGCAGACCCCAAACACCAGCCTACACCCTCTTTGCCACCCACACAGCATCTCCCGATGCCATATCCCGCGGCAAAGCCCCCGACTTCACCGGCATCCTACTCACCCTGATCCGCTTGGAAGCTCAGCAAACCGACCTAGTCATCTGCGTCAACGTCCCTCACGTCGACGGCGAATACAACAAAGACGACGTGGACCCCTCGGCTGGCAAACAGGGAACTATGCTGGACGCAGCAACTGCCTTCCGTGATCGCATCTTGCAAACTTTTGAAATCAAGGACTGGGATCTGTTTGTTCAGGAATGATTCGAGGGATGCCCTGAGAGTATGTAGTTTGATCGACAGTGCTGCACCAGTGGAGGTTTATACATTTGGGTTTGGTGGAAATAAACAAACAAACAAAGTATGTAGAACACTCCGAAGAAACAGAAAACGGCATGGGTATCATGAAATGCAAAGAAAGAAAGAGCTGGGACATCCATCCATCCATGCATTCGAACCAAATCACTCGCTGTCCAACGTCACAACCTCCAATGCCTGTGTTGGCGGCGTTATGGCACCCGCACCCAAATCACCTTTGGCCTTCTGATCCCGATACTTCTGACCCAACGCAGCCATGACTTCCTTGTGAGGGGCTCCTGCCATCTCCTGCTTGAGACTCGCAAAGTTTGCTTTCACGAATGCCGCATAGCTGGTGGGACCTGCCTGTTTCCTCGGCACTGGCTTGGTCTGAGCGAGTTTACCGCGACAGACACCACAAGAGTGACGAGCTGGGTCGATGCTCTTGGAATGGCGTTTGAACTCATGGCTGCACATGTCGTTTGTGCATGTCCAGATGTACTTGTAGTCGATGTGGTAGGAGTGCTTGGTAGTGACTTCTACACCGCGATGGCCAAAAGCATCACTGCACTTTTTGCCCCAGACCTTGAATTGGGCACCGTGAGGTTGATCTTTGATGTTGCTGACCATGAAGTTTGCGAGATGGCAGAATTCGTGGGCTACGACGTTCAAGAGGCGTTCTTCGTCGTTGATGACTTTTTCGGCGAGTTCGATGGAAGCGTGGTTCTTTTGTGTGGTTCTAAGGGTTCCGTCTGGATTCTTGTGTTTGGTCGTCTCGCGCTTCCAGTTTGCTCTGCCGGCTGTCGAGTTTAGTGTTTTGCTCCAGATGAACTTGACGCCGCCGGTCGTTGCAGCCAACTCGCCAATCTTGCCTTCGGTGATCTTGTCGTCGAGCTCAATGAAGAAGTCTTGGACAAGTTTGTGTTTCCTACTCTCAAAGTCTTTCTTTGCATCAATCTCGGCGCGAGTTTTCTTTGTGGGGCTTTGCAACTTCTTTGGCGATGAAGAAGGAGAGTCCGAGTCTTCTAGCAGCGCTGCACGAATCTTCCTTGGTGACATGAGAGGCTTCTGGGGTGAGTATTCGTCGTTCCAAGTGTTCACTGCGTGAACGTTCCAGAACTCTTCGAAGTTTGGGGCGTGAGGGGGTGTGGGAATGCGCTGTTTCTTTTTGGATGGAGATACGAGGCGTGATTTCGATGGCGAGACTGGTGGGGGAGTGGCTGGTCGGTCTAGCACAATCGGACGTGCCGCTCGAGGAGGAGAGCTATCGGCCATTGAGTTAGTGAGTGATGCATGCGCTGTTTGTTACAAACAAACTTACAACTTGAGGATGGCGAGATTGTCGTTTTCCTTGTCTGAACCGTCAAGGTCAAGTTGAAGCAATTTCTGAGTGAGGTCGTCGGAAGCTTTGGCAGTGAAGGGTTCCTTCACTGGCCTCTGTGATTGCTTGCTTGGAGGAGTATGGAAGACATCTTCGTCCGAATCACTCGAATCCAAGGCGGGACTCCTCCTGCCAGCAACGAGTCTGCGCCTCGGTTTGTTCACCGCTCTTGGAGCGGCCACAGATTGCTCGTCCTCTTTATCACTCTCACAGTGTATGCTCTCCTCGACATCTTGTTCCTCGACCTCTTCATAACTCTCCTCGGATTCCGAATCTTCTAGACGTGGAAGTCGTCGTGATGCCGGCTTCGCCCTAGCAGCCCTTGACTTGGACTCCCTGATCTTTGTGTCCAGCTCCTTCAGCGCGGCTTGTCCTCTCGGCTGCAACTTTGGCTCTGTTGCTGATCTTCTGACCTCGGGAGCAGATTTCAGCTCGGTCAGCGGTTGACCGGACGTCTTCGCTCTGGTCGAGCGCTTTGTGGGTGCATTTGTAGTAGTATCGTCGCTTTTTAATCTCGTTGTCTTCTCAACTGTCTTCCGAGGTGCCAGACGGGGAACTGTGAGTTTCGAGGCCAAGAGCTTTGGCGCATTGAGTGCGGGCAGTCCCTTGACATGTTTGTTGATGAGCGCATCCAGTTCCGGGAGGTCGTCGCTGTCGCTGTCGTGCGCATAGCGAGAGGGAGCAGCCATCTTGATTGCCATTTTCTGCGTCGCTTGATGCTATCTCTACAATCGAGCTATCGCGTCGAAGCAGAAAGCCAGAATGTTTGCAAGCTGCGGTTGGCACGACAACGCTGCGAGAATCGGGTCTCCGCTTCGAGTTTGCTCCGATCTGTGACTTGCAGACCGCTCTCTCGTCTTTGACATCTCATCTTACAGATCATGCACACCTGCTTCCGCGGTTAGTCGCATATGGAAGCTTGGACAACTTATCCGTCTTCTTTCGTATGTCTTCTCTGCGCGGACCAACATTATCATTGCTCAGCTGAGGTTACGATCTGCGCATGTGATCGGTTTGGTTCGCACTACCAAGTCGCTACCATGACCCTGGCGGTGCTGGCTACGAATGTGGTTGCCAGCCAATATACATGAGATCGACGGTGCTCGGCGCTGTACCAGAGTTATCGAAATTGCTGCCAAAACAGTGTCAGTCCTGTCGAGTCTGTACCTTTCGGTAGCAACACGAGCTCCAACACATTGGTCCACTGGAGTTCTAGGTTGGTTGCTGACGGCTCTAAGGCATGCACGCAATCTGCAGGTCGTGACAGTGAAAAAAGAAATTCAAGATAGATGAAAAAAAGAACCGCTCGTAGCGGTACATGCGTTATTGTCCTTCTATTGCCATGAATCGCAGCAAATGCAGGGGTATCAATCCGAAGAGAAAAAACCAAAAATATCCAGCGCCCCGAAGATCCATATAGCAATCCCACAAATGCTCCAGCCTCCCAGACCTCTTCCCATATAAACACCTGCCTATCCCAGAGGCTTCTCGTCCAATGGATGCGCCAAGCTTGCCCACCGGTCAATATTTTAATATATACAGATATCGCCGACGGCCAACTCCTTCTTATCCGCATGCTGACCCTTTCCCCAATGTATACATTAAGTCGACCAGATCATATCGTAATTCGTGAATGTCAGCCGGTTGCACCGTTCATCTGACAAGCTTGCGGCGGTGGATGCGGCGGACATGATCTCTCTGCATAGACTGTTAGTGCTTGTAGATGGAAACACGTGGTGTTGTTGTAGAACTTACCATATTGTCCACCCTGCTGAACACTCTACTGCAGCCGTCCCACTCGCAAACGATCTTGGGATCGTGCTTAGCCTCATGGCGTGCTCGATCTTTCTCGCTAGAGAAGCCCCCTTCGCTTGCTGATCTGCAGCCGATATGGCGGCAGAAAAGGGTCTTTGTGTGTCTGCGATAGTGCTTGCGCAAGTCGCATCCTCGGCGGAAGACCGACTTGGATGTGCAGCCAGGGTAGGCACATCTCCATGTGCCATCCTCACTGGGAGCTCCGTACTTGGACATCTCTCCAGCATTGGGCGACGAAGAGCGAGAGGGCTCGCTTCTCGGGCAGCTCATCCATGATGAGCTCGTGTCGGATCTAAATGAAGGTGCTCTCGAGACGGGGCGGCTCAGAGCTGTTTGCTCGATAGAAGGAAGAAGGGATGGGCTGGAGCGGACGACGTTGAAGTTGTAGTCCATGAAGACCGGTTGGTAGGGATATGACTCTGGCCATGTGGGTGTGCATTGTCCAGAGTATGGCGCATGTTGAGTGGGAAGGATGGGTTGCATGGGTCGGTACATAGGTGATTGACAGGTGTTGAACATGGGTTGGAAGTCTTCCGGGTAGCAGTGGTCGATGATTTGGTTGTCGGGACTCGAGCAGAGTAGTACTGGTGAGCCAAAGGACTCTGTGTATGGTTGATGGACAAGGCGGTTGGGGTAGTTGAAGGCGTCCATGGTGAAGGTCGGGGAAGGCTTGGGTGTGAAGGTTGGTGGATGATCGTCAAGTCAAGGGTATCGGCCGGGTATATATACACGAGATGCGAAGGATGCTACGGTGAAGGGAAACCAGAGTGGGGGCTAGCATGGCTCATGTGGATGCCCGGGAGCCGTAGAAGCTGTCCCGACGAACCGACCTACCTGTGGAAGGCTGCGTTTCAAATGCAAGGAACATTACTATGCCATGGACCGGCGGTTGGCCAAGCACGTACCTTTCCATGCTGATTCGTGCGGCGAGTGGTGCTGCAATGCATGGAAGGAAGAACAAACTCTGGTGTCAGCAAGCAAAGCCGCAACAGCCCTACGTGACTTGCGCCAGATGGACACACACACATGATGCGCGGGCCGTTATTAAACTGACTGAACGGATCGCATGGTGTTCCAAAATACAAGCCCAGCGATTGACCAGGGTCTGAAGGTTATGACTCGGGGACAGTTTAGCCCCAAACTCGAGAGTTCGCAGGCACCTGCATGACAGAGAAGAGGCTGTTTTTGACGCGCAACGCTGTCCCAGACTTGTTCAGAAACCCCACCACGGTCTGTGAACGAGTGTCTCCCGCCAGGACATTTTCCGTAAGAGAGAGAGCCAGTGCTCACCCGTATCCTGTTTGTCGGGCGTCATCAAGAGCTTGGTAATCTTGGAGGTAAACAACAACATGACGGTCTAAGAATAACACACAGCCTCTCCCAAGTGGTGGGGCGGGGCACATTCGCTTGAGTGTGATCAGATATTGGAAGCTGTTATGCAGAGCTCACATACAGTTGCAGGCGCCACAACCTCGTAAAAAGGTGCGAAGGATTCGGCGATAGAGCTGCGGCCTCCTGGGCTGTGTCAGCAATGCACCTCTTGCTGCATCAGGTAGGAGATGAGGAGGACGGCGCAGATTGTCGGTTTGGCAAGTATGGAACACACTTTCGCGTACCGGACGTTTGGTGCTGGTTTCGCCTCGAAGGTTGGTCATCCGCAACACCAGGACATTAAGGACGGGATCGTGACGCGCAAAAGCTTCCATGATCCTTCCATTTCTTCCATGAGTGCGTGCTAAAATGAACGCTCGTTGATCAACGCGCTGTTCCTTGGGAAATGAGATGGTTCCTGCCAAGCATCTCAGGCTTCAGCCTTACCCCGTGCTTCTTCTCTGACCGCATGCGCTGACAATCAAGGAAGTGCTTCTTGTTTGACGCCATCACATTCCTTGACCGCTCATCGAGAGTGTAGATCCAGCGATCGGTCTTTCGCAACCTGCTACTCTACATCAAACGTCGTCACATCTATCGATCGGACGGTCACCGATGGTGGAGTCTCATCTATATCGTGAGAGACTGCAGTCAACTGTATATGCCGGAGTCGAAGACATGTTGTCAATTTGCCAGACTTCTCCATAACCTTCATGGTGTCCTACCACAGAGCGCGAGCGGCCTCGGAGCGCCGGTCCATGGAGAAATAAGCTGACCCACTCCAGTCAACCACACAGCCTACCGTTCCCGAAATTTGACAAGATGTCACCACCGGGTGAAGCTGTTTTGACTCATACTGCTCTTCGCGAGGTCAAACTAACCGCTTTCCTGGAAGATCTGTGCTGTTCGGTAGGCCCGTTCATGGACCTGGTTCGTGCTCTAAAGGTCGAAGCTTGTTCTCGATTGCATTCCCACAACAACACCTCGCGGCCATGCCGAATGATGTGCGAGCTACCAAGATATGGATTGCTTCTCAGGGTCGGTAACACCGAAGTCATGACGACTCTCGGTGGACAATGCTCTATCTCTTGAACACACTATGCATTGTTATGGCTCCCGGGTTGAAAATACCACGAAGAGGGTGACTAACAGATTGTTTACCTTAATCAAGCCTCGCAGACCATCACAGTAGCTGGAATCTATTCTACAGTAGCTGTGTTCAATCCTACGTCCAACGTGTTGCTACAACGTGGTAACGATCGGACGTGGGAACTCATTATCACAGTTGTAAGTTGAGCTCACCCCAATGATAACTATTCCTCCGTAAGCTCGAGTGTTGCTACTGCTTTTCACGTGCCCGAAAGTCTTCTCCGACCTTTTCTGTGGCACTAGACTCTTCCATGACAATGGCTGCAAGGGTTCCTTTGTTCTTGCATATTTCCATATCAAATTCCGTATCTCAGTCAGGAGTTTCCAGCTTTGTCCTCGTGGTGTTGCGGCGTCGCCTTGCTTTGGTCTTGGCTCATCACAGATACTAGCGCGCACTCAGCGACCTCATACAACATTATCCATCTAACTGTCCATCTTCGCCAAACGGCTTGCTCATACGCGTGCTCGCGTGAACCTTGACATTGCTGCTTCCAGGTCCATTCCAAGTAAGTCTTTTTCTAGCTCTCACACCTTCAAGTCGCCTTGTACCTGTGTCCATCCCCTTCTTATCTTCTCATAATCAATCTCCTCCCCTTGCTGAACGCACCCTTCCCGCGACTCCGCGGCATATCCAACCTGGTTGCAGCAGTGTGCAGCTAGTCCTGTGGAACGCACGGGTTGCACGTGCTAGAGCCTCTCCTCGTTTGCTCCTGCTAGCGCAAGCACGCTCTGCTGGCGTTCACGCGGGGACTGCATTGATGCAACCACCTCCCATCGTTATCCCCAAATCGCTACCCACCTTCTGCCCTGGCCTGTTTGCAAAAAAACATGTCTGAGCATGCATGATTCGTTCATCAATTCCGTCCTCACTCTCGAAACCACAATTGGACTACACGTCGTCTTTTGCGCATCTGCATTTGTGTAGATCTCAACAACTTCACCCCGCCGTCACTCCCCTGACCCTATGCAATCTCACAGGTCAGCGTCGGAAACCAGACGGCATACAATCCGCATCGACGTGCCTGCCTCTCCTACTCCCCTCTTGCCCTTTCCATCTGCCCCTTCCGCTTCTTGTCACTCACCCTCTTGTTCCTCGCATTCTTTCATGCTCCTTCCATACTTTATTTTCAGCTTGATCACAGTATCTCTACGCCTGCTTCACATGCTCACGCAACTCAATCAGGCAGCACCCACTCTATCTCGGAGGCAGCCAGACCATTCGGCGAACAGGCAACCATCCCCAATCAAACATCTCTACAGCAAGGCTATACCGGCCAGGTTAGTGGCTCATACGAAGTGTGTCTACTCTCTGTGACATAGACTAACTTCACCAGTCACTAGCTTTACGTCCACTCAACACATTCACTTAACCTGACGCAAACATCGACTCAATCGCCATGATACCTCGCCCCGAGATCCAACGTCGCAAGTTCGAAGAGCTGCACCCCAGAGACCGCAATGTCAAGACCAACCGCAAAACCCGTATCGAAGCCAACTGGGGCTGCAGCGTTCAAGACTGCATTCCAATGAAGATCCGCCCCCGTGTCGAGCTCAAGAAGGGAGCCAAGATCCGCGTCGGCGATATCGCTGGCAGTGAGGAGATCTGGTGGAACTGGAGCGTTGAACTCCTGCGTGGCCTCGAAGAGCTGTCGACCCTGATGGCTGGCAAGCCTGAAGTTGCTGAGGCACTCATGATGCACGAGGTCCAGAAGCGTCAGTCGGATGGCAGGAACCCGCAGAGAAAGGTCGCCGAACTACTGCTCGGTGACATCCAGCGTATCGTTGACAATGTCAAGCGACACCAGGCTCAAGCTGCTGAGCTTGGCAATGGTGACCAGCAGCAAGACACTGGCATGGCGGAGCTCGAGCCTAAGCCGGAATTCAGCATCAACAAGCAAGAGGGAGAGGCTCAGGTTGGAGCCCCTGAGTACTCCGAGAACAACTTCTCTCCTGAGAACATGCCTCCCTACCCCCCTGGCGCTGCGTACAACCACGAGGGCACTTACCAGGTCGACAACACACCTCAGATGAAGACTCTCAGCTTGATCAACAACCCCGCTCGCCTTGCTAGTGTGCGTATGCCCCAGAGCACCAGAGACCTCAACGCCGGCCTGCAAGTCGACGCTATGGAGATGCGCGCCCGTGCCCACCGTCTCCGTAGCCAGGCTATGCGCCTTGAGGCCGAGGCTTTCGATCTCGAGTCGGAAGCCGCCATCGCCAGAAGAGGACCTGACGCCTGAGGTCGGGCACCAACGCAGAACCAATCCTCGACGCGTTACCGTGGATTAAGGAGAGCAGTAGAAGCACAGTCATACCAGGGTACCAACATGAGTCTTGATCAGGCACACCAGTCTGTGGCAAGGCCACTTTAGGACATCGGCACTCAGAAGGAAATGGTTATTATGGTCATTGAGACACGCAGACTATCGAGACTCAGGAAAGAGGAAGGCAAGGAAGCTGCGCATCTGGAGACTGTAGCGCCCTCGAACATTGAGGCAAATCAACTATCGGAATGCATGTTGGCCAGTACTCACATAACTCTTTCTCATAGCTGTCACGTGCGGTTTAACAAAACACTCAGATCAACACAAGTTCTTGACTGATATCGTTAAACAAATTAACCTTTTCAGGGTTCAAAAGCATCAAACAAGAGTCTGGCCAAGAGGTAACGTGCTGTTTGACAGCCGATCCTGGTTGGTGGCCTCATTTGTCAGAGAGACATGCGACACGCGGCAACATGAAAGGCTGTACCGAGACGAGATGCTCTCGGCGGATACTTGGATTCAATCAATGTTTATATGAATCTGATGATAAACAAATCATTTCGTGAGACATTGAAGGTTTGCCAACGTGTAGCTTGGCGTGGAGGATCAGTTCGGAACGAGAGCCGGGAGGAACTGGCGGAGAGGGGCAGGTTGAAACACGACAGAGTGCTAAGTTATGGCAAGCAACAGATACATGAAGTTGTAGGATGCAAAGTCTCGGGTGTTAGAGTGATATTGATGGCGTAGGGCCATTGGTGGCTGAGCAGCAGCAGATAGGTCTGCTTGTTGGGCAGCGACTCGAGGGGCAGCAGCAGCTCGTGCGGACAAGCACCATGGCGCAGTTTAGGACAAAGGTAGATGAGTGATGATACACAGCATACAGATAGACAGACTAGGTAGTTCAAAGAGAAATAGAATACCAGCGGTGCAGGAAAGATGTTAGGGGTGCAGGAAAGCTGGCGAATTTAGCGCCAGAGTGGAGTCTGTCAGGAATCAGGAGTCTGAGCGTGTGTCAAGCAACGTCGAGGACTTTGTGCTGCTTTGTTCGACTTTCTTTCTCTGCTCGACCCAACCCATCGTCGCTTCTGTCCTTTTCTTCTCTTTCTGGCTTGTCTGCGCACGGTAGCCGCGTCCAGGACAAAGCTACGACCGGAGGCCTTTGAGGACAGCAGGAACTGCAGGTTCTCCGTCAGTTAATAAATTCCATTAGCCACTACTACATTCCTTTCAACACAACCCACCATGTCGTCCAACCACAGCATCGGCAACCGCAACAGCACCCCCGATGCCTCGAGCTCGACTCTGCGCCCCCCGTCCTCTCGCGGCATGAACCCTGGCCATCACCTGCGCGCCTCGGCCGACATGGGCGCCTTCTCGACCTCGTCCCCGCTGGCATCGCGCGGCATCCGCCCCGCCAGCGAGATCTACTTCAGCGGCGTCGGTATCGGCAGCCAGGACGATGCTGCCGACAAGGCCGCCCAGCAGTGGATCGCCGACATCGACCAGTACGAGACGACTCTCGAGGACATGGCCGCCGCTACATTGGACCAAGACTTCAAGGACGAGCTCAGCGCTATTGAGCAGTGGTTCCGCGTGCTCAGCGAGCCCGAGCGCACCGCTGCTCTCTACGCTCTGCTGCAACAGACAACCCAGGTGCAGATTCGCTTCTTCATCCAAGTCCTGCAGCAGATGGCCAAGAGCCACCCCATGTCGGGTGTTCTGTCCCCTGCCAACTTTGGCGAGAAGGGTACGCTTCCAACGCCCCTGACCTTCACAGACCCAGCTAATGTCTTGTGCTTTCAGATCCCATGTCGACTCGCCTAAACGACGCCATGAACAGACTCAACATGGAGGGCACGAGAGCATCTTTCGGGTTCGGCGCTAAGCCCCCACCTTCGCCTGGGGCCAAGCGCAACTCAGGACTCGACCCGAGCACCATCAACTCCCTCTTCCCAGATGCTGCAGCCGCCATTGCAAAGCAAAAGGCCGATTTCAAGGAGCACACCGGCAACACACCGACCTCGAGCCGCGTCGGTGACCGCTCATCCCTCCTCTTCGACGACAAGAAAGATGCCCCCGTGCCACTATCTCCCTCCCCCTGGAACAACAGCCGCAATGAGAACCAGCCTCCCATCAACAGACCTCGCTCGTCGCAGGGTCAACAGCCCATGGGCCAGTTCAGCCAGCCTCTGCGCTCGCCCCGTCCCTTCCAGCTGTCGGGCGACACCAACCTGCAAAACACCACCGTCTCTGCACCCAACCAGGATCCCGCCATGAACATTCTCTCGCCTTACAACCCCAACAACAGCTGGGCCTCCATGGTCAACACACCCATGCTCCCCAACTTCAACACGCAGCAGCAGAGTGCTGCACATGCCGATATGATCGCCAACGCCACCGCTATGAAGCTCGCCGCCCTCTCTACCGTTAACAACCGCATCCAGCTCGATGATGTCAAGAAGTTCCGCCGAACACGCTCGTCTGAAGGCCAGCCTCAGTACCAGCAGCAGCAGAACATGAACATTCTCATGACAAACGAACTTGGCCAAGTCCTAAGCCCTCAGCAGGCCGCTGTTCTCCAGGCCCAGCAGCTCGCTGCCCTCCAAGGAGGCCGCTCTCGGCCCAGCTCTCCCGGCATCGCCATCTCTGGTCCTCCTGGCTCCAACATGAACAACCTGCCCATGACTCAGAACAACGGATACCTTTCTACCTATGATGCCGGTATGCTAAGTGCAAACATGGGCGCCCTCAACATGGGCAACTTTGGCGTCATGGGAGGTCACGAAGGTTACCTCTCCGACCACTCTGAGGCTCGTGGTAGATCACCTCGCGGCAGACGCGGAAGCTCCAAGCCCCCGGAGGATCCTACCGATCTCCAGCTCTTGAGTGACATCCCCAGCTGGTTGCGTAGTCTGAGACTGCACAAGTACACCGACCAACTCAAGGACATGCGCTGGCAAGATCTTGTTCAGCTTGATGATGACGCTCTCGACAAGAAGGGAGTTAACGCTCTCGGGGCCAGACGAAAGCTCCTCAAGGTAAGAACATCAATTTAGAAACGAATATCCATTCCAGATTGACTAACATTTCAACAGGTCTTCGAGACAGTTAGAGAAGCTCAAGCTGAAGGAAAGGTGTAAACGATTCTACCTCCCAAACCAGTGTCCATGTCGCGTCACGACCATTGTGTCATGCATTATTGCATCTGACCACCAGATCTGAGAGTCTCTATCCCAGGCTTGTCAGGAAATCTCTTTGTTCTTCGGATCCCACTCAAAATCGCGTAACAGATACTCGCCATTATACTCGGCGCCTAATAATGCAAAATTCAAACAAATTTCGTTTCAAAGGATGTTTTCATTATCTTTCCCCCGTCCAATCGCGCTCTTTCTTGCCTTTGTGTAAAGAGGCGAAGGTAATTGAAAATGCTTCCTTGTTCGATCGAGTCTTCCATTGTCGCCATTGTGTCTTGCTCTATTGACCCTCGCAGTCCTGTTGATTCTCCTTTATTCCAGGCTTTTTTCTTTGTTGTCTTGTTTTAACACTATCACTCACTTTTTATCCCCAGCAAGCAACACTACTCGACTTGCTTAGAACACCATCAAAACTTACAACACAAAAACCATCTATCATGTCTTTTATCAAATTCTCCATTGCAGCTTTGGCTGCGACCACCACTGTCGGCAATGCCTACCAGCTTGTCGACAAGTTCAGCGGTCCGACCTTCTTCGATGGCTTTGACTTTTTCGAGGATGCTGATCCCACACACGGCTCTGTCGCTTATGCCTCAAGACTCACTGCCGCCCCTAGCAAGCTCATAGGCGTTGTTCTCAACGCTGATAACTCAACACCCTCGGCTTATCTGGGCGTCGATGCTACAACCATAACCTCAAAACGCCCTTCTGTTCGTCTCACCAGCAAAAAGTCATATAATCACGCCCTAGTTCTCGCCGATATCAAACACATGCCCAGTGGTTGCGGTGTTTGGCCTGCTATCTGGATGACTGGTCCCGATTGGCCCTCGAATGGTGAGATTGATATTGTTGAGCAAGTCAATGGTAATCCATACAACATCGCGACTCTTCACACCTCTGCCAATTGCGCCATCACTGGCAACATCAGCAGCGGTCACTCACCTCTCTTCTCTGGCACTCTAGAAACTCCAGACTGCGACGTCAACTCTCCCTCTCAAAGCAAAAACGCAGGCTGCGGCATCCGCGCCCCTGCCAACGACACCTTCACCATCGGCAACGAATCCTGCATCCACTCAACCGCAGGCTCAGCCTTCAACGCCCAACTCGGCGGCATCTACGCTACCCTCTGGACCTCTGCAGGCGTCAGCATCTACTTCTTCCCCCGCGACTACATTCCCTCCGACATTTCTTCTGGCAACCCTGATCCCTCCTCGTGGACATCAAAACCTCAAGCTGTGTTCTCAGGAAACGGCTGCAATTTTGATGCTCACCTCAAGGACTTGCAGCTTGTGATCAACACAGACTTTTGTGGCGATTGGGCTGGCACTACGTGGGAAGCTGATGGGTGTGCGGCTAGTACTGGTGTTGCTACTTGTGCTGAGTATGTTGCTGATAACCCCAAGGCTTTCGAAACTGCTTATTGGCTTTTCAATTCGATCAGTGTTTTCTCGAATGAGACTGCTACTGATTAGGATGGCTGGTTCATTCTTTGGGGGTTTGTCTTTTCTTTGTTTGGCATTTGCATTGCGTTGGGGTTTTTGGGTTACTCATCTATTTCTGATATATTCGGTTCTTTCTTTTCCTTATCTCATTCTACTCGTTCTCATACCTTATAAATGTGACCACTATTGCGATGCTCGTTCTGTGATACTCTGATCCAAAAAAATTGTTTCTCAACTCGTCGGCAAGGAGGTTAGATGGAGGTCAAGCCCAGGTCAGGCGTACTTGCCGGTATAGTCGAAGAGGTTGAGCGTCAAGTGTTCTCAACATACCATCCGATCAACGCGTAGAGCCATGATATTGCACGATGGTTTGCAGAACAATCTAGTATCCATCGAGACGTCATCTGCTCATGGCTCTCTGTGGATACATGGATTGTCTCGAGTCTACTGTGTCTTTTCATAGTGACTAGTATGGATGTAAAGAGATGGAGAAAATGAACTCGCATTTCACATTGTCTTCTCATGATAGCTGGAGCTGTTCTGAATTCACAGGTTCTTGTAGACGGCAAGGAAAGGTCCATCGAGAGTTGACAATCTCAACACCCTCAGTTAGACATGTCTCATCTGGTGAAGCGATTGTGCATTCCTATAGCTACCACTATATTGTCATGATTTCACTCATCTAGAGACCCTATTTCTTACTCCCCCACTCCTTGCTTACTCCCCTGAATACCGTATCAATCACATGTCTGCCGTCCCAAATTGGATAAACAACCACAGCCATCATAGCAGCAAAGTGCCACAGAATGGCTACGGCCACCCAGCCCTTGAAGAATGACAATGTAAAAATGTAGTCCCGGTAGAGAGGTACCGGCCACAATACCACCGTGACGAGAAGATTGAGGACAAAGTAGCACGCAGCATAATTTCTCCACTTTTTGATGTGGCGGATAGTTTGATCACTGAAGGGGTGAGTAACGTCGTCGAGACTACCGCTTCTAGGGTTGGAGATCGAGGATACAGGACTGACGAGTCCGGTCTTTGCTTCGTGCTTTTCGTTGACACCGGTGAAGGCAGGGTCACTGATCTTGTTGACGTCCTCTTTGCTGTCCTGAGGTGAAGGTACAGAGGTACTGGGCGAGCTGCTATCCTCAATGAGGTCGATTCTGAGGAACTCCCTCCAGTCGAACTGGCTGGGCCAAATCAAAGAAATGATGACCGAGTAAAGTGCTGGCGAGAAGAACGATGTGATCGCTCCGTACAGACCAGGTAGCTGTATTTGGGTTGTTTGAATGTTCAATGCTCCGCCCCAAAGGTACGAGAGTCCCAGCCATACACCGACTCCCGATATGAGGCCCAAAATGGGTGACAAAATGGCGGCTGCCTTGGTTTGTCGAGACCAGAGAAGAGTAAGCATCAGCGGGAAGATACCAGGGCAAGCGATGATAGGGCGGAAGTACGTGGTCCAATTATTTGTAGCACCGGCATACTGTAGCATAATTGCGAATCCGGCCATGAACGCTCCGTGGCCGACAACGCCCCAGTGACTGACCTTCAGAATCTTGCGATCCGAAGCCTTTGGGTTAATGTATGAGCGGTAGAAGTCGAGAGAGATAATACTGGACACCGCGATAACAGATGAAGACACCGTGGACGTTATGGCCATGAACACTAAGACAAGCAAACCAGTGGTGGCGCCTTGACCAAGCAGGGAGCGAAGGACGTAGGGCATAACCAACCCAGAGTTGACCTGTTTCTCTGTCAAGAGATTTGGGTAGTCGAACCAGATGGGTGTTTTCTCAATGGCCCTGCCAGATAGTCCGATGATGGTACCTGTACACCAAGGGACGGCAAGAATGACGACGGAAACCAGATCGTAGGCAGGAACGACCGACTCCACCTCGGAAGCAAAACTCTTTTGCCAGAAGGCAGTGTCCATCAGAACCAACGCAAGGTTACCGAATTTCAAAACCAGCCCAAAGAAGACAGCTGTGAATTTGTTAGCAGGTCCCTGTCTGATGAACGATGGAGAGCATACCGTGTCTCGACTTCATGGTCAGCAGCGAGCCCTGGTAGTTTCCATCGATGTAATCGTCGGCTGCCTTGACTTTGTGATACAAGCCAGAGATGCCTCCGATGTGCTCGTTGGTAAGGACGGATAGGGAGAAGTAGATCAGAAGGATCAAAGCAATCGCGGTGTGAATATAGTCTGTGATGAATGTTGCTTTCAGACCACCGACAGCCGTGTAAATGACAACTAATCTGTACTCAGCATCGATTCTCAGTATCCATGATCGAGTTGCTTACCACCAGCAGGAATCAATATACAAGCAGCCACAACATGCATGCCTGTCATTCCAGTGACTAGTTGGGCGCCAGCCAAGATCATACTACCACATCCGAAGATGTTGTTGACGAGATTCAGCAAGATGAATATTCCATGAGCATATTTGCCATATCTCATTCGTATGAATTCGAGCGAGGTATGTGCGTAAGGAACGCGGAGCTTCGCAACGATACCAAGGAGGGCCATGAGGGCGATTTGGAAGGAGAGGCCAGAAGCCCACCAAATTGGCAAGGCAACACCCCACTTGTATGTGTAAGCGGCACAAATGACACTCTCGTTGATCCACATCCTGCATTCGATCAATATCAGCTTGTATGAGGAAAGTAATGTAGAAAATAGCTTACCAACTCGAGAAGACAGCAGACGCAGTCAAACCAGTGCCAACGGATCTGTTGGCTACCATGAACATCTCAGATTGCTCACTGTCCTCAGACAAATATCGCTTCTGTACCCGAACGGCAGCCAGAATGATAAGACAGAACAAGACGGAAAGCCCAATGATGATGCCATAGCCATGGGCTTGGTTGAGGAGGACTTCAGCCATCGTGGTAACGTGTTGTCTATACTATGAAAATATCTGGGGGAACGTTCACCTGTTATACATCTTACATGTGACCTTGACCGTGAGTAATCACAGGCTGAAAACTTCATCCACTGCCGCTATTGACGTGCGAAAGACTAGCGATGGGACCATCCTCAACGCGGCAGATGCGTGATAAAGCTTGACATGCATACATGCAAGACTGTCCGCCGAGCCGGTCAAGCATCGGACACGTGGAGAAGGGGTAGAAGGTTGGTCGAAAAGACCCGTTTGCTTATCTCGCACGCTGAGTCTTACTGTTCGTGCAGTAGACTGATGTGATATGTTGACGCGATGGCGTTATATGGTATTCCCGACAGCGAGGTCATGGTTGTTACAAACCCTCCGAGGACGGAAGGATCAATTTTGTTGGAGCAAAGAGATGACCATGTGGACGGTGACTGCCAAAGGTGAGCGACTTTGTGCTCCAAACGTGCCTCGGGGTAATGAGGGGCAACAAGGACAGAGCCCCACGCACGAATCATTGCCGCGTGACAATAGTCGTGATAAGGCTTGTTGAGAAACCATCCGGATTGCACCATTTAGACATGGTATGGGCCAATATACTTGGCTGTGGGACAGCGTTTGTAGATCCTTCGACCCCACCACGTGAAATCTCAAGAATTATACCCTGCATGCGAGTCTGAAAAACAAACTGTCTTGTCGTCTTCATCTTTTGGAAAACATTCGCTGTACAGCACGTTGTTGTTGTGACCACACCATGACCACCACCACTGAGCACTCTCGCACTACAGAACTGTCGCAAACCGTGACAAACATTGACTCTATAGCTGGGCCCGATGCGAGTTATGAGAAGAACCGCAGAGCAGATTCACCACTGGAGAATGGGCTGCCATTGCAACAAGACGTAGCGCTTCTACAGGCAGCTCGCCAACGGCTGGTCTTGACGCAAGCCTACCCTGTTCCTCTGCCGAAAACAGATGATGAGCTCGTTGTGGAAATCAGAGCAATCGGATTGAATCCCGTGGACTGGAAATCAATGTACGCACCTCTGTTTGATCAAAATTCGGATACGGCTGACAAGAGTCCTCAGCGATTACAACTTTGCCATCCCCCAGCTACCATACATCGCAGGACGCGATTTTGCTGGTGTTGTCGTCCAGGCACCCGCTGCTTCGAGTCGCATACGTCTTGGCGATCTTGTCCTCAGTCCTTCGACGGATTATCGGGATGTCAGGAAGTCGGCTTTCCAAGAGTATGCGATTTCCACACACCAAAACGTAGCCAGGATACCGAGAAACATTCAGACTACACAGGCAGCGTCAGTCGGTGTCGCATTTGTTGCTGCCGCGCTCGCTCTAGGCATCAGTCTCGGACTGAAATTGCCTGCTCTTTCTGGTCAACCCGAACTTGATTTGTGGGAAACAGTCCGTCAAGTGCCTGTCGCCGCAATTCCTGCTGATATCGCAGCCGAATGTCTGTCTAGCATTGACAATGCAGAACGCCCTCAACCCGGCGACTGGATCGCTATATACGGTGGCTCATCCACGAGTGCATTGTTGATCTCTGAGATTGCGAAGTTGGCGAAGCTGAAGGTCATCCTCCTTGCAGACAGTGTGAAGCACGGTGGGCGCCTCAGCGAGAGAGAAGGCAGCATTATTGTCGACAGCCATGATCCCATTAGAGCTATCAACATCGTACGATCAATCACCAAAGAAAGGCTGAGATTCGCAGTCGACACAGTCGGCAAAGAGACGGCATCATACATAATCCAGGCTTTGGAAGCAGACACAAAAGAGGGCAAGCGAGCTCATCTTGTAGGACTGACCGGAGTACCAAAAGAGACAGTCGAAGGCATCGTGTCCCACTCGGTACCGATTAAGCTGTTCCACGAAGTACCATCCATCGGACTCGCCCTGATGAAATGGTTGGAAAGAGCTTTGGAGACTGATGCGATCGCACTGCCCGAAGTCGAGCACGCAACAGGAGGACTGGATGGTATCAACGCTGCACTGGACAAGATGCGGCGCGGCGAGATCTCCGGCCGCCGATTGGTCGTTCCTGTGTAGAACAGATGTTGCGTCTTAGATGATAGGCTTGGCTAAATAGAGGGTAAAAAGGATTATTGGGAGGAGGTTGGAGGTCTGCGCCAAAGCAAACTAAACAAACATGCGTCATTCCTCCCACTTAGCACATCAACCTCTTCGCTCCTGCTTTCAATCTGTGAAAGAGTCGAGGCAATACATCAACTCTGTACTGCTTGCGTGAACTGTTTATTTCTCGAACCTACTCATCTGCAATGATTCGAAGACGCCTATCGCCGTGAGCTTTCTGCGTGGCGCAGATCTGTGAAGCTTGCCGTTCGGCCCCCACCACATAGGCAATGGCGAGCTCGCACGCCATTTCATTCTATCGCCAGACTACGAATGAAAGTTATCTCGAGATTGCACGCCATTTCTGTGGTCCCTGAGGATCCCAACGCACGAGTTACCCCAAATTCTGCTAGTTCCATGGTTCGGGATCACATGTGTAGTAAGTATATCTTGCCATGTGAATCTTTCTGAGCCAGCCCAAACAAAGCGAACAACAATGGCTGCTGTTACTGTCCTTCAACCCAATGGAACTGAAATCAGTCATAAGACATTGACTGAGAAGTCACCAACTTTGATCGAGCTAGACACTTCGCAGGATGATTGGGTCTATCCTTATCCCACGGACTTCAAGATACACGAACATCCCCTCGACGATATTCGCGAGTTGAAGGTGGCAGTCATTGGTGCTGGACTTGCAGGTATAATCGCCGGCTCGCTTCTTCCTGCAAAAGTCCCAGGCATCAATTTGACCATCCTGGAGAAGAACGCAGACCTCGTAAGCCAACTTCACTGTCACTCCATCGCATAAACTGACAGTATAGGGCGGAACCTGGTACGAAAACGTCTATCCAGGTGTCAGATGTGATATCCCCGCGCACGTCTACCAGGCTACATTCTCACCGAACTCTCAATGGAGCGAAGAATACGCCCAAGGCTCCGAGATTCGCGATTACTGGCAGAGTGTAGCCAAGAAGCATGATGTCTACTCGAAAGTCAGACTGCAAACTAGAGTTCTAGGAGCTTACTGGGAGCCAGAAATATCCCAGTGGAGAGTGGAAACAAGAGATGTTCAGAGTGGTGAAGAAAAGAAGGAGCATTTCGACTTTCTGATACCTGCTATCGGCCATTTCAATGAATGGAGATTGCCAGACATCCCAGGCATCAACGACTTCCAGGGTCATTTGAGGCATTCATCAAACTGGGATCCCAACTTTGATCCGAGAGGTAAGCGTATAGCTACCATCGGAAACGGAGCATCAGGCATCCAGATCACTCCCGAGCTGCAAAAAGTCGCCAGTCACATCGATCACTATGCGCGCAGTCGGACGTGGATCGCCGGCTCATTCAATCCGGATGCCAAAGACAGACAATCAACGCCTATGTATATTCCACAAGAAAAGCTTGAGTCGTTCTCGGACCCCAAGGTCTACCTCGAGTATCGCAAAAAATTGGAAGGATCATTCTGGCGAAACTTCGATGCACAGCTCAGAGACTCCGAGATCAGCAAGACTTCTGCGCAAAACTTCAAGGAACTGATGCGCAAACGATTGACAGACAAACCTGAACTATTGGACCAAATATTGCCTGACTTCCCCCCGCACTGTCGCCGTCTCACGCCTGGGCCTGGATATCTTGAGGCTCTGACAAAGGACAACCTTGACTTCATCCAGACGCCCATCTCGCATCTTACGAAAGACGCTGTCGTGACTACGGACGGAGTACATCGTCCTGTGGATGCGATCATCTGCTCCACAGGTGCGAATGTCGACTTTGCACCCCCTTTCCCTATCGTTGCTGGTGAATATGATCTGTCCCGCGATTGGCGACCAGAAGGGAAGTTCGGCTTTCCATACACTTACATTGGTATCGCAACACCTGGTCTGCCTAATCTTTTACAACTACATGGTATGATGTGCTTGAATCAATCACAGCAGAACTCGTGCTGACACTGGGCAGGTCCCCAAGGATATGGTTCTTCCGGAACAGTTCCACACTCTGTCGAGACGCAAGCAACGTACATCGCTAAAGTCCTTCGCAAGGTCAGCAGCCAAGGAATTGCAAGTATTGTGCCTAAAAAACACGCCGCCGACTCTTTCGTCGAGTACTGCGATGCTTTCTTTCCACGCACCAATCTGTCTAGAAAATGCAGTAGCTGGGCAAATGGCCGCCGACCAGGTGGACGCATCCACGGATTGTGGCCCGGAAGCGCTGCTCACCTGACTAATATCAGAAGGGAACCGCGCTGGGAGGACTACGAGTATACATATGTCAACAAGGACAACATGTTCGCTTACTGGGGTAACGGGGTGACTAAGAAGGAGTTTGATCCGGAGAGCGACATGACGAGCTATCTGAGGCTACCCGAGGAGTTGGACTTGAAAGACCTCCATGAGCGCTGGTGGGATTTGTGAAGGGTATGGTCATGACACCACTGGAACAGACTCGTTCTCAGCACATTTGCTTGGAAGCATCCTGATGCTGAGCGGATGCGCCCTTAGATAGACATCGCATAACTAGGCGAAAGATTTGTGTCAGTGTTCATATGCTTAACTAGGCGATTGAACATTGAAACTCGGCAACTACTCGAGTACGGTCAGCAACTCCCTTCCGTCCTCCTGCCCACTGATCCGTCCCTATGACTTACCTAAGCTGGAGAGATCCCTCCGTCCTTATCTCCTGCCATTCACCCCAGCTGCGGGGCTTCTGCGAATGATTTCTCTGACACGAGCACGCCATCAGTTTGGTTTGCACGTGCTATACATCTCGGTAATAATGTCTCTTGCAAGGGATCCACCTCAACAAACACACGGTGCGCGACCCACACTCAATGATGCTATGTCTCCAAACGGTTGCGTGATAGAGGGGTCTCCGTGAGCGGTCTTGTTTACAACTCCATCAAGGTGTGGGGTAGACATATCATATGTATCGCAAGGCCCCTTCGATAATTTTTTTTTTCTCCAAAGAACACTCGCTTCCGATCGTTCTCGACATTCAATAAACAGATACAGTTGCAGAATCAACAATGAGCGAGGCAACTACAAATGGTGCTCCTGTTAAGAAGCAGCTTATTCTCAATGCTTTCGTAGAGTCATGTAAGTTGAGTCTTTCTTCTATACCGACATCAGCTGACACTATTCAGGCAGTGGACACCAGTCGCCTGGTTTATGGAGACATCCAGACGATCAGTCCACCGGCTTCAACAAGATTCAGCATTGGGTCAAGCTCGCTCAATTGCTGGAAAAAGGCAAGTTTCATGGCATATTCATCGCTGATGTCTTGGTGAGTTCAAACAGCAACCAAGAAGCCATAAAGAATTGATGCTAACGAACGAACTTCTGATAGGGCGCCTACGATGTTTACAAAGGACCCAGAAACCCTGATCCAGCAATCATCTCTGGTGCTCAATGGCCCGTCAACGAGCCATTGGCAACTGTGCCTGCTATGGCAGCAGCTACTGAGAACATTGGCTTCGGTGTCACAGTCTCGACTACCTATGAGCAGGTAAATATTACAACAATCATGTCAATGACACAACATGACTGACTGCTCCCAGCCTTACCATCTGGCTAGACGTTTGAGCACAGTCGACCACTTGACTGGTGGCCGTGTTGGGTGGAATGTAAGTTTGGCCAATCTACCATTATATGATACAGTGACTGAACATCACTACAATAGGTTGTCACCGGTTACCTTGACTCGGCAGCCAGAAACCTGGGCCGCACTGAACAACCAGAACATGATGACCGCTACGCCATGGCCGAAGAATATATCGAAGTCATGTACAAACTCTGGCAATCCTCCTGGAGAGATGACGCAGTCAAACTCGACCGTGAAAAGATTGTCTACACCGATCCAGCTCTAGTCCGAACCATCGACCACGTAGGCAAATACTACAACGTTCCTGGACCTCACATCTGCCAGCCTTCGCCCCAGAGAACACCAGTCATCCTCCAAGCCGGTACTTCCAAGGCTGGTAAAGAGTTTGGAGCAAGAAACGCAGAAGCCATCTTTGTATCTGGCCACAGTCCCTCCGTCCTCGCAAAGAACATCGCCGACATCCGTACTTTGGCAGTTGAGAAATACGGTCGCAAGCGAGACAGCATCAAGTTTCTTGCCTTGCTCTGCCCTATCATCGGCAAGACTCAAGAAGAGGCACAAGCAAAGTACGAGGAGTACCTTAGCTATGGTTCGGAAGACGGTGCTTCTGCCTTGTTCGGAGGCTGGACTGGCATCGATCTCTCGACGTACGGCGATGACGAGGAGCTTCGTCATGTGCAGTCCAATGCTGTCAGATCAGCTGTCGAGGGCTGGTCGAAGAGCTCACCGAACGTTGCGAAGTGGACTAAGCACACTGTGGCCAACCACATCAAGGTTGGTGGCCTAGGAGCCACTATTGTTGGTACTGCAGAGCATGTGGCCGATGAACTAGAGCGTTGGGTTCAGGAGGCTGATATCGATGGTTTCAACATTGCTTACTCAGTGTACCCAAGAACGTTCGAGGAGGTGATTGAGCATCTGCTGCCTGTCCTTAGGAAGAGAGGGCTGTTCTGGGAAGACTATGCCGTCCCTGGAGGTACTTACAGAGAGAACCTGTACGGCAAGGAGGGATTGGCTCGACCTCCCCAAGACCATCCCGCAGCTGCCTTCCACTGGAAGGCAGACTGATGGACTTGTTAGCAATTGATGCATATGTAAAAGCTATTCTCACTCACCTTCAACTCACTATCTCTCAGCTCTCACGCGTTCCCTTTTCACTTTTTGCAACGTTTATCAGTTCACTAATCTGGACTTTCTGCAACAGAACAGTGGCGATGGTCTAGTGGTCAAGACGCTGCATCAAAATGTCTTGGTAAAACAAGCTCGTTAAGTTATTACCATACGACTGTGCACGAGCGTGTAGGTCTGTATTGCAGGGTAACTACACCGGTAACATGACGATGCAGAGATCGTGAGTTCGAATTTCGCTCGCCGCGAGTAACATTTTTTTGCTCTTGTGCGTGCTGATATTTGTTGTTATTGCGTTTCTTCTCGGGAGCTTCACAAAGTTATGCGAGTTGCGTTAGTGGACACAATAGAGGGACCTCACCATTGAGATCTGAGACGAGAGTACAGAACTGAAATACCATTCCGCTGTCATTTGATGCTACCAACAACTTTTCTTCGGAAGGGGTGGCGGTCTATGGCATATGTATATAAATTTAAGCCGACATCCAGTGCTTTCCATGCTTGAACTCGCCAACCCATTGAACCATGATACCAACAGCTTCGTCAATAGCAGCCTTGGCTCCAGCATTGACCTTTGCATTCTGTGTGACCAGATCACTAGTATGGAAACCGCCAGGGACAATAACCACGGGGTTGCGTGTGGAGTTCGCTAATTTACCCCCAGGTCTGAAGTCTGATGACACTCCTGCCTCGCGCCAAGGGTCGTAATCACCGTTGACATACAACAAACCAGGCGAGTAGTTGTTCCAGCCTTTGTTCTTTGCGTTGACCGCTTCTGCTGTGGCACCTCTATCGAGACCAACGACAGTGGTGTTCGATGCAGGGAACATCAAAGCGCATTGACGTTCCCAGTATTCAGCGGTGCTCAGACGTGAGACGATAGAAGGACGATCCTTAGGAGCTCCGGTCTGATAGTAACCAAAAGGCTCATTACAGGTCATCCAGACCCACTGGCGATCGAAAGCGTTGCTAAGGGAGATGTCTGTGTACATCGGAGATGATTCGTCATAGGTGTCGAAGCATTTGACGTTGCGTTCACCCTGCCACTCTTCGTAGGCGGAGCTATAGCCTTCACAAGTGCCTGGCAGATAGGTAGAGTTGAACCAAGTCGCATAACCGGCCAAAGCTAGCCCACCATAATCAGCATCTGAATTTGACATCAAGGGTCAGTATGCTTACCTTTCTCGAGACCGACACCCTCAGCGCCAGGAAGAGCGGTGGCATTGGTACTGTTGGGTTTGACATTCTCGACGGCGTCGCAGAATTCAAAGAATCCACCTTCCCTGTACAGCTGGTTGGACTGCCATAACCAAGGACCATTCTGTAGTGCGGCGGCGAAATCGTCGTTGTGTTCCAAATCTTCAAGACCGAAAGACTGCTTTAGTGAGAAGATCTCCGAGTCCGTACCATTCAACAAAACTGAGTCGATGTGATCGATGACAAGAGAGATATCGGTAGAGCAGTTCTTTGCCATTCCTTGCTGGATTGGGACAAAGTACTGCCAGTAATCCAGAATTGATTGAACAGGTGCACTCGAAGCCCAGTATGCCCAGTACGTTCCAGGCTGAGTCGAAGCAGTCCAAGCTGCCAGAGCTCCAGAGTAGGATCCACCCATCATGACCCAAGGTGCACGGTTAGGGCTCGATTTTCTATGATAGTCGAAGGGAAGTCGAACGTGCTTTGCGAAGTTCGTCAGATCGCTCTGGTGGAAAGGTTAGCAAGCTGACTGGGAGGAAGAACATTCAATGCTGAGACTCACGATGGAGTTGTCAAGTGTCAAGTACTTGAGGTTGTCGGTCGTGAGGTCAGCGTAGGGCGAACTGTAGCCCCAGTATCTGTGTTCAATGCCTTTTAAACACTAGATTAGCACAGTCATCTTGGAGTTGGCCAAGAGAGTCAATAGTGACAGCGTGACGTACAAACTATTGCAGCCCCGATCTCCTTTGCCAACACACCAGTAGTTCTGTTGGTAGTGAGGTAACTCGTATAAGCGCTAGCGTTGACCTCTCCGGGGGTGAACAAGATGATAGGCGAACCAGGACCGCCATAAAACTCAGTCGAGTAGAAGTAGAATTGTTCAAAGGTACCGAGATCTTTGTTGTCGTGATCGATGTACTGTCTGAACGTCGCATTGCCTGTGTTGGAAGAGGCCATGACAGATGACATGGCTGCGTGCTCATCTTCGCCGGCCACATGAGTATAACGCCATTTGTTCGTGCCGCCATTCGTGGCTTTCCATGGTTGATGCTGATCCTTGTTGAATGCTTGCACAAGCGGCAAACTACCAAGTAATAATGCAGAAAAATATGCCAACACACTCTTCATGATGGCGGTGATGAAGGATGATTGATAAAGAGAGGGGAGAAAGAACTGGAAGATGTGCGCCTGGCTAATGATTTAAAAGACTCAATTCTGTTGCCGAAGTCCAACAGATTGGACAGTCACGGATGATAGCTCGGACTTTTGCACCACTATACCTTCCATATTTGATAAGGGTCACACTCGCGTGCTGGGACTGCAAGGGCAGATCTCCTAGCTTCCTATTTGGGCGATTGTGCCTTGGCGACCCCTCTCTCGTATATAGATTGTGGATACACTACGGCCGTGAGATTGAACAAACTTTGGATGTGGAGATCCATCGGAGCGAAATGGTATACAGCGGATCACAACCTGATATCAAGCAAGCACAACAGATGGAAGTGGTGAGACATAAGAACGATGAAACAAGATCCTGTGGCTGAACCAAGCGGCGTCTTCGAATGCTTGCTTGTCGCCAAGATCGCGGAACATCTTTCGGCCGATATCGCGTGCGAGCTTGGACTCCGTATATACCTTGGACCTTCCGCTTCTGCTCTGTGCCATCCTTCATCTTGAATTGCCGGCAAGACCTTACATGTGGTCCTGAGAGCAAGGAGCAAGGGACACTCAGTTCACTCCAAAGTGGCGAGTCTCACAGTATAAAGAGCACAAGCAAAAGACGAAACGGTCTCTATACATGCACTACATGTGGCAAACTTCGCTGTTGGATGGCAAACCGTTCCCATGCCTTTCGGCTTGATAGGAGATTCAAGGCACTTGGTCTCTACTGAGTCGGTCTTCCCTAGAAGGCTATGTGATTGTAAGTCTGGTCTGAGTGACACAAGTCGATGTGAATCGAACGCTGGTAGAAGTGAAAGTGAAGAGTTTCAATATGGAGTGAATGAACAGGCGCAGATCTGTATCGAGCGAGCAATCGACCGCCACATCACAAACTTCCTCCCATTTGCATTCTATACCAGGCAAACTGTTCTCGAGTAGGTTATGGACGGCCTCCCTCCAGCAGCGCATTGATCAGTAACATCGCCCACGCCGCTACACCTACATTATGCTCAAAGACTTGTCTGAGCAAGGTGATGGTAAGATCCAACTCAGAATGGAAAGCCTATGCTTCCTCACCCTCTCGCCACGCCTCTCATTCTATACGCATCCCAGACAGGCACGATCTTCCTCAGACAACCATGGATAATAAAGCTTTTTCGATTCGCCTCAGGCAGCGCATCGCTCTTGACGCGCAACAAGAATACCAAGTACCCGAACAACATCGACCCGGCCGCCAGCGTCCATACGGCATAGCAGAGCTCAGGCGTTTGCGCGAAGACGCAGTTGCGAGAGAGACCGACTACAACCGCGGCCTCATCGCTCGCAATGACAAGCGAAGACAAGCCCGCTTCCGACTCGATAGGCAGCACGCCATCTTTTGGCGGCTACACCAATGGCTATTGCCCAGAGGGGCCTGACCAGGCAGTCTTCCTCGGCAACGACAAGGAAAATAACAAGAAGCTCAAGCGCTGCTCTCCTGCCGGCAGTATAAAAATGGGTCTGCGCCGACCACGTCAACTTCAGAAATGGATTCAACTTTGGCATTCGCCAGAGCCGATGCCGAAGCCAGATACAACTAGGCCCGAGCTCTCGAGAATTTGGAGCTGAGTGGAGGCATGTCCAAGTCAGAGTGTCAGATGCTGGCCGATAGGCCAAAGGGGTACTCGCAGTTAGCAGGTCATCTGGTACTGTGTCGGCGCTTGGGCAGCAGCGCTACCCGTGGCCAAGGATAACCTCAACCTGTACGCTGGCGACCATGTCGAACCCCACACAAGAAACTCGACCGCCCAAGCTCGCGGTCTCGAAATCTTCGTCAACTACAAGGAGGTTTACGCTAGTGCCGCGCCTCTCACGCGAAGCCGTCGCCCGTGCTGTGTCATTCTACAGGACATTTGCCATCCGATTCCCAGATAACTATTCTCCAGACGACCATATGGACCTCTTTGTCACGCGGTATCTCGAATTGATGACTCACGAGATGGGCGTGCATGCCGACACAGTCGAAGAGGTCAAGCACCGGTCGTTTTGACAGGGCATCCCCGTGTGTAAAGGCGTATCCAGTGTGTAGCTATCACAATGCACAGTGCTTTCGAGAAGCAGGACGATGTCCACCGAGAGTTCACTTTCGCGAAGCTCTCTTTGGCTCAATCTTTAGTACGCAGATCATGCTGCCTTTGTATAGTGTCTAGAACTTCGTGAGAGAAGGGTAGGAGATACAGATACCGATGCATTCGAGCCTCTCTCTCTCTCTGTCCTATTCTCCTCATTAATGCTTGGGAGCCATGAAAACGCCGAGTTCCTTCAGTAGATGCAAGGTATCCACTGAGACCCGCGATACCGCCGACTCTCTAGGGGTTTACACACCACTTGAATAGAGCCATGCATTTTGACAGCAATCTCTATGACGTACCATTGCATACGAGAGGAACACACAACACGTATGAAACGACTAGGATACGTCAGATGTTTATCAAAAGGGATCATTTCTCGACAACAAGCTACTCCTGGGTATCTCTACTTCGTCTCACCTCCTCAAAAGTATTTAACCTCCACCAAACGCGTCCTCTTACCAGCAGGCTGCGTAATCGCAAGTCTGACCTGCGCAATACTCGTCGCCGTAAACTGCACATTGGTGATACCATTGGCAACAACAGCATCCTTCTTTTGTCCAGCAACATCCACCCACTTCCCATTACTCAACACCTGTACCGAGTACGCAGTAGGAGCTTTGAAATCGTTCCCATTATCAAAGAATGCAATCTCGGCCCTCGAGATCTGGGTCGCAGATTCGAACGTCACCGTGTACCATTGAGTGGTCGCAGAGTTGACGTCTGAATTCCAACCATTGGCGAGTTCGGGGAAGAACCATACGCGGCCGTCGATAGCGTCGTGGACGTTGTCGATGTTTGTGCCGGAGGAGGCATTGCCATAGGGATATGTGGTGGTGGTTTGGAGTTGGATGCTCTTTGCGATCGGGCGAGTGATGCCTATGATTGCTTTCTTCTGGAAGGGAATTACCAGGCGTTTGAGTGTTGGTGAGGTAGCGATGACTACGCCGTCTCTTTCGACGCGGAGGCCGGCTCCTTGGTTGTAGCGGCTGCCATCTGCGTCCCATTGCACAACAATGTTGGTGCCGTGGTAGGGTACTTCTTCGGCTCTGAAGTATTTGATGTCGCTTGTGATCAGAGGATTTATTTCGAGGAAGTCGTCTGCTCGAGGACGGATACCGACCAGACCTGTCATGATGAGGTCGATGTAGCCAGAGTGGAAGCTAAACCACAATGTTAGAGAAAGTTAGGGAAGAGAGCGGAAGTGTACTTACTAGTGTGGTGATCTGGCCAAACCAACAATAGCACCGCCATTGTCAGGGTCGTAGTCTTCCTGCAGATTGAGAGATGCACCGTTGTAGTGTATTTGTGTGTACTGCTTGAGCAACTTGATGTAATCAGAGTTGGTGACGACATTCTGAGAATAATGGTCGAGCAAATTGGACATGCCTAGAAGTGCTTGTGTGATCTGGAAAGGCCAAGCAGGTCCATTCCATTGGCACTCACGGCGCCCAGAAGCAGCATCGTAACGGTACTGCTTCATGTAGTACTGGTAGCTGGGCTCAACAGTGCGTAACCCCTTGGCTCCGGCGAGTTCGTTGGGGTTCAGAAGGTGCTTCCATGAGGATGCATACTCGGAAGAGTTGTCGGGAAGATCGAAGGTCCAAGGTAAGATACCGACAAGCTCACGTCCGCGGATCGGCTCCCAGTACTTGACGTAGTCGTTGCTGACCTTGTACCTGTCGATGAAGTGGCTCAAAGTAGAGTTCCACAGGCTTTTCTGAACGTTGCTCTTGATTGCTGCAGCACGAGAGTTGTAGTCGGTGGTGACACTCGTCTGGCCGACCAGACCAGCCAACTTAGCCAGAGCACGCGCATTGGCGTACATGTAAGAGTTCACCGAGGGGCGGAAGGCATCTCCCCCAGTAAAGCCATCCTTGCCACCAGAAGCATCGATCGAGGAGATGGTATACTCAGTTGCATCAAGCAATGGCTCGACCTTTTAAAACGTTAGCTATCATATCTTGAAGATGTCCAGCTGACAATCTCACCCAGTATAGACCTTTAGACGAATCAAAGTGGTCGACCCATTGGTTGTACAGAGTCTTCATTTGATCCAGATACTTTGTCGCGCTAGGCACATCGTTGTCCACCAGATAGCTACCCCAGACAGAGTCTTGGATGTAGTCTGTGAAATGACGGTCGTCACCACCAGTCAACATGTGAGTGAGGTAGTCATCCTTGAAGCGGCGGTCTCTATTCCATCTACCCTCAGCAACGTGGAATCCAGTAGCGTCGTTCAAGGATGCCCACGGCTCGAGCTGCCAACTGACATCATCCAAGAATTCGGTAGAAATATAGCCTTTGGCACCCAGATCACGTTGGTGGGCTCTGAAGATCTTCCAGCGGTAGTAGTATACATCGGTAATTTGAGAATCACTGCATTCAAAATATGCAATTCTGTCCTTGTACCAGGGTGCATCATTTCCGAAATACTTTGTTGCAATTGCAGAAGTGTCGAGGGCTCGTTTCTCGTGAGACGGGGATGAGCTAGCCTTGGCTCCTTTGACAGTGAGGCCTGACTGTACAGCCAAAAGGAATAAAGATGAGTACAACATACTGAAAACACTGCAGGAATTCAGCTATTGGTGGTGACGAGAATTTAGAATGCCATCCATCTTCAGTATATATACCAAGAAGCATCGGCTAATTTGAAACAACGCTTGCTGTCAAATGACGGACTATGGGCAGGCATGGTACAAGAGCAAATAGGGCGAATTCTGCCGACGAGACATGATACGATGTAACGTGGTGAAAGAGGTTAGGATGGACGTGGTAGACGTCGATCCCCCACAACTGATGCGGGGACTCCGGAGTAAGTGCTTGTGGTGACCATGTTCTAATCTGCCGAAGTCGGCTGGCATAGCAAAAAACATTCCAACGGCTCGTGTTAACATGTTGCTTAGCTGTGCTACAGCTGTCGATCTAGGGAAATACTGTCAAAACATTGGCATCATGACACATTCTTGCTTGGCAAGGTCGGTCAAAAGAACAAGTTCTGGATAATAGCCGCAAGTGCGTTTGACAATCTGCAGCCCCTCCGGAGGGTCGAAATAGGTGACTTGTGGCTCAAACTCGGCCGAGCAAGCTAGCAAGGACTAATAAATATATTCGTGACTTGGTGGCTGTATTTCTCCTCTTTTACTTCGTCCTGACGGCGCCACCGTCGACGGTGATGGCCTGTCCGGTCACAAAGCCTGCGTTGACCAAGTATTCGACAGCATCGGCAATGTCCTTGGGTCTACCGGCTCTGTTGGTAGCGTGGTCGTCGACGTCCTTCTCCTCATTCTGATGTGCCCATTCGATGCCCTTCTCGTCGCCGTCCTTGCATTCGTGGGCGACCTTGATACGGCCGGGAGCGACGAGATTGCAGCGGATGCCCCAGCGACTCAAACTGATGGCCATGCTGTGCATGAGGCCAATTTGGCCGGCCTATGGTTTTGATCAGTCATGCGGTATAAAACAATCGATGAGAGCCAACGTACCTTAGAAGATGCATAGCCTTCTTGGTTGGGATCGCTCATTTCTGCGCGAAAAGAACCTATGTGGATGACTACCGGGCCAGCATCGGAATTATCGTGATGATGAGATTCTGTCTTGTCCTCGAGCTTCATGTAGGGGAGGCATGCTTGTGAAACGGCAAAGGGAGCTGTAAGGTTGGTCTCAATGTAGCTACGTTTGGTCAGCATTTCGTCCAGCTAAGAGGAGCGACGTTGCTTACGCCTGCCATTGAGGGAACGTCTCAAGATCATCCATGGCTTTGCCATCCTTCCACGTTGGCGCAGCGATACCACCGTTGTTGACAACGACCTCGATTCGACCGCCTAAGAAGTCTGCAGCTTCCTTGACCTTCTCGCGAATCTCGTCAACAGACCGTAGGTTGCAGATGGCGGAGCTGAGTTGTTTCTTGTCATAGTACTGCTTCAGATGGACAGTGGTCGTGTGCTTCAGTTCTTCCTCGTCAATGTCAAAGATAAAGACTTTGTATCCGCGCTCGAGGAATCTGCGCACAATGCAGCGGCCGATACCGCGAGCACCGCCGCTGATGATGGCTGTCTTTGCGACTGATGGATTGGTGTTGTCTAGCATGGTTGATATCTTTTATGAGTGTCTCGTTGAAGAGAGGCTTCAGCCAGCTGAGAAGGTTGAGCCATTTCTTTTTCTCTGTCACGATTGCGCAGTTCTGATGAGTTTGGTGATCCTGCATGAACGAGACAAATGGTGACCGTGGTGAACGTCATGCTCCGCCTTTTGTTTGTTTGAAATCTGGGGAAAGGTTTCGGCTACGCACCCAACACCTTGATGGGCAGGGTCGACAGCCTTGACCCTCCTTCTCGAGTACAAAACCATGTCACGCGAGTAGCTATCGGAATGCACAATATTCTCGGAAGAGCGGACAGTGTCCATTGAGATACTTACGCTCTAGGCTCTCGCCGGAGACATCTCTAATTCGAGAACCATCGTGCCTTTCCATGGTGAAGATCCACCGCAGGACAGACGAGCGACTCACGATCGAAGGGAATGTCGAGAGTAGATAGGAGAAATGACGGGTACGCCTTGGTGATTGACGGATGGAAGAAGGAGGTCTACCACCAAACAGAAGGGAATTATTCGTCCTCTCCAGCCCATCACGTCCCACCAGTGAAAATGCCCTAGTTCGTCGTGCATTGGACCACCTAACGACTTCGAAAATAATGGAAGAAGAATCACCCAGAAATACTGGCAGCGCATGGGCAGAATAGTAGATATCCTTCTGATTTGTATACAAAGACAAAAACGTCTACGCTCTACCAAACTCAGACAGAACTTCACGCCCATCGAGATACCTAATATCGACGAGGCGTCTGCTGCTTAGCCTTCTTCTTCTTACTCGAATCCGAAGCATCACTACCATTAGCATCCAACGCGCGCAATGTCTGCGCAGCCCCAAGTTCCTTGCTCACAACCCCCTCGGCTATGGAGCCTTTGCCTCCTATACCGAAGCTAATGCCATGTTCGCCAAAACTCGCTTCTCCGGCCGAGGACCGTAGACTATCTATACTGCGTCTGGATTTATGGGATGATGGTGGGGAAGTAGGGGTGGTTTTGACGGCTGCGACCGAAGATGGGATGGCTGATGGAGGAGGAGAGGAAATACCGAGACCTGTACCGCTTTGGACGATAGGGAGTCTGCTTATCCGTCTAGGTGTAGCTTGTTTCTCGTGTTGAGTGTTTGTGTCTGGTGTTTCGGGTCGTTTGTTCTCAAGTTGGCTGTGTGTATCTGGTGTTGCCGGGTCGGACGTGGTACCTGCGACCTCGTCACTCGACCACCAGCCCTCAGGGCGTGAATTTGTTGATTGCTCAGTGATGGCAGAAGCATCGGGTGAGCCGACATGGACCAGCTCTGGCGAAGTCTTGCCGCTAGGATTTCTGGATTTGATAGACAAACGACGCGGCGAGTTTACACGGTATGCTCGTAGCAGCCTACTCTTTGGATCTCTCGAGCCGTCGGTGTCCGCGGGATCCCATAACGTGCTTTCTGCCTCCGAGTAACTGGGAACCGATGCGGGTAGCAAACTCTGCGGGCGAGCAGGTCTGAAGGGCGACATCATACTCCTACGTCCAGCATCAGTAGAGTGGGACTCCAAAGCTTGGAGCACGTGTGGGATGACCAATTTGTGTACGTCTTCGGCCCACAAAAAGTCGAGGTGCTCGTAGTGGGGGATCTCCTTGGCGATTGTATGTCTAGGCAATTCCTTGAGCATGACCTTGATATCCACTAAGCTGTCGCTTCCACCGTAAACAAGAACAATGGGTGTCTTGATGTTGCGAGTAGGATACTTGGCGACCTTGTAGTACTTTGCACCAGAAGCAATCGAGAGAGGAGCCTGTACCTCATCATCGAACATTTGGAAAGTTTCGTTTCTGATGATCTGCAGCCAGTGGACGACCGACTTGGTGCTACTAAAAGAGAACAAGTGCGGGTAAGCTGCCAGCTTTTGGTATGCGGTGATGTTTTTTGCGTGCCAACCAAAAAGGTAAAGTAGAGCCTTATCAATAACCCAGGAGAAGATACCAGGATATAGTAGCGCTTGCCACATGGTGGTGCTGCTCAGGATTGCCTTGCGACCGAAGAGCAGGAACAAGACTTCCGGTGATGCTTTGATGAAGGAGCTGACAATGCCCATTGCCAAGCCTGGGGGAGCCATCGCAGGGGCAAGTGCAACAAAAACATTGACCTTGTCGTTCAGATTAGGATGGATAGAGAGAGTTGCAAAAGCTTGAGCAGTTCCTTGAGAGAAGCCGACATAGGACAGAGCTTTTTGACTGGTGGTTGCAAGAATGTAGTCGATAGTGTCCGGGATATCGTGGAAGGCGAATTGATCAATTGAGTAGTTCCAGAATGCGGCACTTGTGGGAGAGTGGTGGACGTTCTTCTTGGAGTATTTGTTACCACGGTTGTTGCCGAGCCAGACATCGTATCCCTGGTCGACAAGAACGAAGGGTAGACAACGTTCCTTTTCGGTCAGGCAAACCCAGACCTCGGAGTTCATCATCAGGCCATGGTGGAGATAGACGACCTTCTTCTGGATGCTGCCCTCCCCACTGTTGACTCTCTGGTCTTCTTCGCCACGCTTCCATCCTAAACGGTGTAGTCCTAGCAAGTAGCCGTCCTTGGTTTGGACGATATGCTCCTCTGCATAGTAGCCGAACAACTCGCAGAGCTCGACAAAGTCCGAAGCTTGAGCTATTGGGGATGAAATGGCCTTCTTTCGGTTTCGTGATCTCCGGCCTTGTGCACCTGAAAGCTGGTTGAATAATTTACGCGAGCAGTTGTAGAAGAAGCGTATGATGGGACCTGGCAGGGCTAGGGTGATGCCTCTGATGATGACTTCCAGACCTATCAAAACAAAGGAGCCGAGCAGAGCCAGATACTCCTGGAGATGCAACCTCCCGATGAAGGGAATACTAGGCATGTTGGTGTGTTCCAGATGAGAGCTATATTGTGAGGGCCAGATTGGAAATATCAAACATCCATCGAAGGGACGCGACAAGGTCAGTCTGGAGTCAAGGAAGCAAGCTGCAGAAAGCTGTTGAGTCGTAGTACAGATGCAGTGCCGAGTCGACTCAATTGAGACACTAAGAATCGTTTCATCGACGTCATGGGGGGGAGCATGTGAAAGGGAATGTCCGTGCGCATGCGGTCGGTCCGGGGTTCTTGTTCTTTCTTGTCCGACACGTGAGCAAAGAATAATTAACCGACTTGTAGTTGGCCGATCAGATATTGTCCAACAATCAACACTGTTGTTGCAGAATTTTATACGCTCTTTTATATCACGGGCACACTCTTAAGTGCGCTATCGCTAGAGTAAACTGAGTCACTCTCCAGCCAACCAATCATCTCTTCGGTCCTCTCTGTCCAGCGCAAACCACCGCAAACATGCCTTCTTCGTGCAAAGACATCCGTATGCTTCTTCCACCAGCATCCAAACCTGTCCATGTCTCAGAGACTGACTTGCCACAGGTGCCGCACTAGCCGAATGTCTCCAACAGAGCGACTGTATCATGGTCCAACGCCACAGCGCCGCCGATTGCCTTCGTCCGCCGCTCGTCGATACCCTCCCCACTCGATGCCAGCAGCTGAAGAAAGGATACGGAGAGTGCAAACGTGGCTTGATTGATATGCGCAAGAGATTCCGCGGCAACAAGCCTGTCTCCTCTAGTGTGGAGCTCGAGGCGGGCGCAGACAACCCGAGCAGACAGCTTTATGGTGGAAAGAGTGCATTTGGAGATATCAAGACGACGGATGGCAAGGATGCTCCTGAGGACGACCCATAGGACTGCTGGAACAAACCCAAGCACATGAGAGGAGAAGGAGGTGGTTGAGAATTTGCATTGCATATACACGGCGCATATGGGTCGGTCTGGTTGAGGAAGTATGGCGTTCTTGTTGCTTGCTTACGGCACTCCACTCCATACATATGATACCACTTGATTTGGAAGTACGGTATGTCATACACTTCGAGCTGATTGATAGCTCACCTACCCGTCCGTCTCTCACCGGTCAGTGTCACCACCTTCTGTATCAGCCGGCGCACGGCAAGACAAGTACCATCTCCATCTGCAGGGCACCGACAACCACATACGGATGGCTGCTGATCACAGATGTACAGCATCTCACATCACAGTCACACGTGTAGATCATTGACCATTATAGCGGCAACACTGTGCCATACTTGAAGCCTGCTACTCATACATGCGCCTACAGACCAGACCAAAGCAAGAACGTCATATCCCGGGTATAATCGTATCACTCATTCACAAACACATCAGCCAGACAGCAAGTTAGTCCGAATTACTTGCTCCGCATAGGTCCCTCAAAGTGCCAATCACCATCGCTCGAGATGAAGAGCTGATTCCAGAGTTCGCGGGCCTTGTTCGCCTTCTCGATGAACGTCTCCATGGTGATGCCTTCCTTGGATACGATTGCTGGTCGAGCCGCTCGACACCAGCGACGCGCAAGATATAGCTCCGTACAGGGTGGTTGGCAGAGGTACATGCGACGCCAGCTCGCTTTCTCGTACAGTACGGCGGGATCTTCTGTCGGTAGTTTGTCGCTGGGGTACATGACATTGACATCCCTAGTGCACGGTCAGAACAGAACCTCTCCCAACATCGCAAGATACACGTAGACTCTTACCAGGTCCAGTAGCTCGACGGACTCTTCACCGATCGAGGTATGCTACTGATATCATCTGGATTGACATCTGGAGCTTCTACACCTTTGTCTGCGTACTCTTCCTCATCTTTCTCGCTGGTCACTCGAGGTGTGAACGTAGGGTATCTCCCACCCAGCACTTTTCTCAGCATCATGTTGTTTCTGGGTCGTTCGCTGGGTCGATTGGCTTCGCAGGACAGGTGTGCGTCAAAGGGTTTGGCTTTTGGCCATGACGGCCTCATGAACAGCAGTTGCTGCAATTGGGGTGAGTTTGCGGTTAGATCGTGCCAGAGTGTGTTGACGCGCTGGGAGACGAGTAATTGGCATGGGTGCAGCTCTGCTAGTATCATTTCGAGCAGTTCTGGGGTTTCGAGCACGCGTTGGGCGGCGGTGAGTGAGTCCATAGTCTTGCTTAGTTACTAGGTTGAAATGATGCTGGACAGGAAGGATTGTTTTGTAGAATAGTTGTAGTTTGGTATAGCCGAGGCAGTATCAGGATGACTCGGAATCGATATACTGCCGAGTACGAGCAAGCAAGATCGTGGGGAGACGACGATGATGTGGGAAGATTGCGGAGAGTGGCAGAAGAGGGTTATCAAGATCTGGAGACGCTGAGCATGTGAAAGATGAATCACAGGCGCAATTGCACTCTTTTCGAAAACGGGTTTATTGCCCTATGAAGTGCAAAGAATGCAGAAAGCAAGAAGGACGATTGACAATCGAGAAAGGAGCTTCGCCATTCCTCTTTAAACTCTCCTCTTTGTTGCTATATCTTCTTGTATTCATTTTTCCTTGCGCGATTAAAACGATGCGGCCTGCCCTGACATCGCCATGACTGTGCTGGCCTCCTGAAGGTACGTTTGTATCACGACAGAACAGTCTCTCAGAGCTTAAAGCTCCTGAGATACTCACAAAAATAAAAGATAGGCAGGATCGCGGCGCACGTCATGTCATGCGCGCGCTACATGCGGGATGCACGCGGCCGAGGCTTTTTGCTTTTCAGGGTCTGTGGTCTGTCCCTGTGACTCTTTGTGGAATGTCTTTGCTTTGCTTTCCTTTCGTCCGGTGGAGAAGGCAGCTCAGAACAACAACATCAGCTTATCATACCTTTTCTGATCTAACCGGGACTGCGCGGTCAACACACTGGTGATGTTGTTTGATGACTTGACCAGGCTTATCCTTTGCAACTGCGACTGTAGACATGTAGCTAAGTTAAGCCTTGCTTGGGTGTGAGATGTGTGTTGCTCACAGAGGCTTGGTCGTTTGCTTGTCGCTCAGGCTGGATGACACAAATAGCTGAGTCTCTTGGATCAAGCAGCCAACAAAGCAATCACAACCAATCGTCGATGTTTGGAGTCAAAGTCTCCGCAGTCAAGACATGGAAGCATTGTGTCCAAGTTTTGCACGACTTCAGCCGTGGACCGCATCATACTGAAGAGACTACTCAGGTTTGGCGGTCGCTCACACCGATCTGGGCTCTGGCAAGCATACACGACAGAGTTTAGACGCAAGATGAGATTCCTTCACACAGCAGCTACCTGTTCAAAGGGTCTGGGCAGTAACGCGAAAGTTGATGTAGCTACCCCACCAATATCCCTGTCTGGATCTTATCAGGGCACGTCTCGCTAGACCAGATGGCACGAGGCGCACAAGGTGATGGACCAAGTCTCCTGCGATCGTCTGGATGGAAACTCAGAAGTTTAGTATCCAAGCATCATCCAAGCGCTGGTTGTCCTCTGCTAGGCCTCCTTGCACGATAATGCACTCTTTGCCTTCGACTACCATAGCATCAGCAGCATACCATCCTCGAGCCTGTGGTACCTCCCCGCCCTCTTCTCCAATGATCTTGCTCCATTTCTGGTTCTCAACGTCCCAAACCCAGGCATCGGGCAACATATTCCCTGCACCAGCATGTCCAAGAGAACTAGGATCACTCTCTCCGAATGCAGTGATCAGAGAGGGCCTACCGTGGACACTGACAGCGAGTAAACTGCCCACACTTCTGCAGCCAGGCCCTCCCTTGCCATCGGGCTTAAATGTATGGGTGTCCCATGTATTAGATGCGATATCGTAGATATCAATCTCACCACCCAATTCATGGTTACCGTCAAAACCACCCATGCGGTACAATTTACCACCTGAGAATGTGATTGAAGTACCTCCTCTAGGGGCGCCAGGTGCAGAAGTTAGTTGGCTCCACTTGCGCTCATTGACATCGAAGGACCAGAGATCGGACAAGCGGCCAGAAGTGGGACACCCTGCGTGCAAGTACAGAGTGTTCTTTCCATCAGAGGTCATGCAATGGTAACTTCTAGGCTCTGGTACGGGTCGCGAGTAGTTGGTAGGTGAGATTGCATGCCAACCGGTGCCACCAGCATCGAATCGCCAGAGCTGACCCCTTTCGTCAATCGGCGCCATATCCACGCCGCCACGACCAGAAAAGTAGTAGATCTTGCCATCCACCACAGCGCTGGCCGTACCCACACGTGCTATGGGCGAATCACTGGTCTTGACATAGCTTCGTAGGGTGGCCTCCTGCGCGTCCTGATCCCTGGAGGTTGGGACGAGGTCGATGATGTGCACGTCGTTATCGCGGGGTTCGCGAGGGCGAAGCTCCCCGCCGAAGATCAAGGCGAGACTGCCAATTGCGGAGAGGGTTTGAGATGAGCGTTGGAGTGATTGAGCTTGATAGACCTGAGTCCAGGTGCCCTTGATAGTCGCCATGACTGTGTTCGGTGGTGATGGCTGATGTTTTGGGAGGTTGGGATGTTGCATTTTGGTTGTTGAGATGGCGTGTCGCGAATGTCACTGCCCAGTCTGCCCTAACATCGTGGCTTGCTCGGCCACCTTGATGGATAGGACGGCTCGCGATGAAGCAGAATTTTGAACACGAAAGCAACTACCTTATACATACATGGTTGATCAGCAACAACCTCGAGAAATCAGCACACTGAATATAGTATAGTAAACTGTCCGCTTTACAGTGTCCATGGGCAACACGGCAGAGGATGCGATCGATCAAATGGTCCTGACAGGGTGTTAGTGCTGACGAGAGTTTTTGGTCATGTCTGGAGGCCCAACGGCCTTGAGGGGCTGCTCCTGACCACAATATAATGATGTATCCATCCGTTTTTTGGCATCTTTACCACTTGCGATCATCTCCATCTGATGCTTAGTCGAGTCAATCATTAATCTGATGTCTTGACGATGATGTGCTGTGAGAGACATGGACTAGATTGAGTTTGCCGCAGCTATCCGTTTCCCCTCATATCGTCATCATCTTTCTCCTCCACCACTTAAGTAACCACGTCAACATCAACATTGATACCTCTGTCGCATTACTGACATCAAAGATATCATGACATCTGCACCTACCTCTCCTACAATCATTTGGCCGGCGAAGTTTCTTCCCGGTACCACCGACAATTTTGTAAGCAATGAGACCATAGTCAAAGGCCTCTCCTCAGCAGACATCTGGAAATATCTCGCCGACATCACCAAATGGGAGTCTTACTACTGGAACTGCTCGAAAATCACTCCTCCAGACTCTGGACCATTCCTTGAAAAAGGCGACAAGTTCAGCTTCTCAACTTTTGGCTTCCCACCTTTGCCTTCTGAGGTCTACGAATCAGTCAAGCCGTCGAAAACGGAGGTTGGTCGCCTCGCTTGGCGAGCGATATCTGACGGAGATGGCGACGGAGATAAATCGGTTGACGTTTACCATGCTTGGGTGATTGAGGATCTTGATCAGGACCGTGTCAGGATCTTGACACAGGAGTCGCAAATCGGCAAGCCGGCTGCTGACCTTTCCACAAAGAAACCCAATCCTATGCTAAATGGACACCAGGATTGGCTGGACGGGCTCGTCAAAGCGGCGAGAGAAGGAAAGCGAGATTGAAGAGCAGAGTAACGAATAAGAGCGGTCGGAGGTGTAGCTACTCTACGAGAACCCTGCACATGAAGACAACAAGTAAAAACAATAGTTGCCTTCCGAGCTTTCCGAATAGAATAACAACGTTTGTTACTTGTCTCCATTGCTACTCGAGTAGCTTGTGTGGTTCGCTCCAAATAGTTCCGATGGCAGCGACGATCGCAAGTCGTACCTGATAAACGGCGCAAGAGGCTTTCGGCAATCCAAGTCTGTTCGATGCCATCGTGTAGCCTACAGAGCACAAGTTATCGCACCACCGCACCATTGCTGCACCTCTGCTCTTCGATTTACGATCATCGGTCGTGCTTTGCGCGACATATCGGAGCTTCATGCCATCGCCTAGTCAGATTCCGGCTGAATGTCATGTATAGCGAAGTCTCCAGCTTGCCCCGTTCATCTTGATCCAGCGAACGATATGATGTCCTGAGGCTCATACTGAGCCCCGGGGTTCATGCTGCAGCGACTGGAGTCTGCGATGGAGCTCCGCACGAAGCAGCACCTTGTTCCCCTCGTCCAGAAGAAGATCACATGGCTCTGTGGACTTTTAAACACCCGGAGAAGTGGGAGAATGCCCGTATCAAGGCCCATAGTTCTCTTCAAAGGATGTGTGTGGGTCTGAAGTCGGCATCAGCTCGGTGAAAAGACGTCAGTGGTTTTGGATTTTGAAGCGACATCTGGGGATATTGGTCTTAACATTGAACCCGCAAGAAGAAGTAATACAGGCAAGACGAATTGCAAGTCGTGCTGACAATCTCTAGAAAATACTGTAAAGAAGTCTCTTCATGGTCGCACAGAAACATCCAAGAGTTAAAGCTGTCGGACTTATACTCCGTGGTGCGACTCTTCTTCTTTCGATCTCAAAATCGATGCCTCGATCGTTGCGCCCGAAATCCTTTCTTCGTAGCGACGGTTGACCATTTTTGCCTAACATAGATGTAGGGCACTATCCGGAAGGGTGATCTTCACGGCTGTACTTCTCGTTATATTACTCGACAGAGTGGAGGCTAAGCCTTTTTGAAGAGCCTTTCAAGAGTTTGATACTACCGCCCAGCCATATCCCCGAACACCATGTAGAAAATGACATCACTGCTACCTGCAGCGGATCTCAATCACAAACATCGACGCTTCCGAGCGGCCTTCTCCTCATGGTTGACATCTCAACATACAGGGTGGATCTTTTCTCCAACAATTTTTTTTCATCGCACGTCATGGCTGTGGAACCCGGGGCTCGCTTGCCCACTATTGAGATATCATACATAAACATAGCAACCGACCGTGTTGATGGACCCTGTTCTTCCGCAAAACTCTAGCCATCTGGCAATTCTCAATCATGACGGACGTACGGCCACAAGAGAAGCACAACCCGAGCCACGACCTCAGTGGAAACAACTCAGAAAAGGACGATGAAACAACACGAAGCCCCAGCCCTGTCGGCGAGCAGAACGAGAAGAAGCCTGTCGACGCCCAAGGACGGAGAGAACTTAAGGAGACCGATGCTCCAGAGATCCTGGCATATGCCTGGCCAACATGGAAGAAATGGATGTATCTGTCTGGTGTCGCCGCCATTCAGATATCCATGAACTACAACACTTCAGTCTTCCCTAGTGCTGTAACACCTTTAACAAAGGCTTTTGGTATCGGCGCACAAGAAGCAAGAACCGGTCAAATGATCTACCTGATCCTATACTCCTTCGGTTGCGAATTGTGGGCACCTTGGTCTGAGGAGTTTGGTCGTTGGCCCATCCTCCAGCTCTCAATGTTCCTCATCAACATCTGGCAAATCCCTTGTGCCTTGGCTCCCAACTGGGGAACCATTCTAGTTTGCCGTGCTTTGGTAAGTTCACTTTCTCTCCACGTGTCAACATAAAATTAGACATTGCAAATACTAACTTGGAAACAGGGTGGTCTGTCTACTGCTGGCGGTAGCGTGACTCTCGGTCTTATTGCCGATCTGTACCAACCCGAGGAACAACAATACCCTTTGGCCTTCATTGTTCTGTCTTCTTGCATCGGTACCAGTATTGGAGGTGTCATTGGTGGACCCATCCAACGCTTTCTCGAGTGGCAGTGGTTCTTCTGGATTATGCTCATCTTCGGAGGCGTCGTTCAAATCGTCCATTTCTTCATGCCCGAGAGTCGCTCGACCATTCTCCTCGACAGAGAAGCCAAGCGTCGCCGCAAGAGTGGTGAAGACCCCAACATCTACGGACCCAACGAGCTCAAGTCGCCCCGTATTTCGCTCAAGGAAGCTGGTAAAGTCTGGATCCGTCCCTTTGAGATGTTCCTCCGCGAGCCGATCGTTCTTTGCCTGTCGCTGCTCTCTGGTTTCTCTGATGCGCTGATCTTTACTTTCCTGGAGTCTTTCCCCGAGGTCTATGGCAAGTGGGACTTTGGCATCCTTGCTCAGGCTTGGGCCTTCATCCCCATCAACCTTGCATACTTCCTGGCCTATGTCATGTACCTTCCATGCTTCATGCGTGACAACCAAATCCGCAGAAGAAAGGGTCCTGACTGTTTCCTGCCAGAACGCCGTCTCAAGGTGCTGCTTTGGCTTGCTCCCCTAGAACCTATCGGTTTGATTGGTTTCGCCTGGTGCTCGTTGGGCCCCGCCTATAACGTCCATTGGATCGCACCCATGATCTTCTCCACTCTGGTCGGTATCGCCAACTATGCCATCTACTTCTCATCAGTTGATTACATGATCGCCGCATATGGTGTCTACTCTGCCTCGGCCTGCGGTGGTAACGCCTTTGCCCGTGACTTCCTCGCTGGAGTTTCGGCCATGTACGCCACTCCTCTTTACACAAATATCGGAGGACACAGCGTAGAATATGCCAGTACCATTCTCGCCAGTGCGTCGGTTCTTGTGGTTACTCCGATCTACGTCTTCTACTGGAAGGGACCTGCCATTCGTGACAGATCGAAGTTCGCAAAGACTCTTGCAGAGGACCGCAAGAAGGAGGGTGTCAGACGTCTTAGTTATGCTGACAACTTGCCTGTCTAAAGGACACGCAGATGTATTTTCGTCGCGGCTTGTTCTGTCTCATACTAGATTAGATACCCGGTGGATTTGTATAGATACGGAATGAATAATTGCAATGTTTCAAGTTCGACCTTCAAGCCTCAAATGCGCCGACTCGTGAGTAGTGGTGTTCGAGCGTGATCTTGCCGGCCTTCGCTGTATACATGTGCTAGACCAACGGGATGTTGCATAGCCGAATTGTATCCTGATCTTAACCTTGCCCTCGTACTGCTCTGACCCATGAGCCCCACGCGTCCCGTGTAACGACAAAACGTGGCAGCGTGTCTACCCGACCATAAACCTTGGATGACTTTCTCAGACCATCGCTATGCAATAGAGGGACGATTTTTACACAACATACAGGCTTTCACTTGGCAGTAAGAGAACTGCCCTTGGGAACACAAGTCGTGTGACGCTTTCTGGCTGATATTACATATGCAAATATTCACCATCTGCTCGAGTCGCAGGTTTTCCCATCTGCGGGATGTTGATCGTCTTTGCTTTGCGATGTTGCAGCACTCTGCGCAAGTGTGGTGAGCAGATGCAACATCAACATATCGCTTGCACATCTGTCGCTGTGGGGGGTTAGCTCTGTAGCTACTATCGTCAAAGCGCCACTGTCCATCTAGCAGATGTGTTGTCAAAAAAGCCAAGCATAATGCCGTACACTCGAAAGGCGCATGACCTGTCTTTGCGTCCTTATGGGAGACAAAGAAGAGGGGCGAAAGTCCATCGGCTAAGAGCATACCCCGAGTTTTGCTCGACGACAGCACCACCAGAAAGTCGATGCGTGGAGTGGCTTGCATACCGCCTGCCTCGCATCACTTTCCATTTCAACTACCAAATACACGTGTTGAAGCCTTGGACTCGCTCTACCGTAGTTTGACTCGAAAGATCCACGGAGCCTTTGAAACACAAAAACACGTGTAGATGCTAGAGGCTAGGAGAGGCCTCGAGCAGGCGTTCTAGAGCAGGCTTCAAGCCAGCCCCCCCTTCCATACAACGGTTTAAGCATAACTCTACAAGGTGCCGGCGTCCGCGGATCTTTTTCCACAAAGGGGGTTGAACCACCAACCATATACCCCGCTGGTGGTAACGCGATTTCCCAATCTGATGGTGAGATGAACAAATACATGTACCTTTTCCTCGGTAGCAAAAAACCCGCCGCATCGTTTCTTTGCACGCACTGCATTTGCAGCAGCAAGCATGCTTTACTGACACGCATTCTTTTCCTGCCACACTTGCTGCAAGCCATAGCTAACCTCGTTCCCTTTTTGGCGCGACGCGAGCGAGACTCAGACGTGTGGACTATAGAGTTTCCCGCACATGGCTGAAGCAATGGGGAATGTTCACAAGCTTGGCGATGGAGGAGGAGGAGAAGGAGGAGGCGACGAGGCAAAAAAGACACCCTCGGTGGTGGTCATCGAGGAAATTCAAAAGGAGGACGAAGCCCATGATACGACGCTGCAGTCGCCCGTAGCAACGGGATTTTTGCAACGTTGGTGTTTTACGCAAAAAGGCACGCGACGAGGTAAAATCATTTTTTGGTCATACGTTGTGGGCTTTGCTGGAATGTTGTTGGTACTTATTCTTTTGGCGAGCATCTTGGGGGTGAGGGCGAGTGCAAAGTCGTCGTCGTCGTCTAGTCATGCCGGGTTATCGTCTAGTCATACGAAACTGACGTCTACGCATACGAAGTCAGCTTCTGTTCATCCATCATCGACATCTGGGTATGGGCCACCGACGTCGGCTCAGTCAGGCATCACTTGTACTGTCACACCAGCAGCCAACGGGGCAGATTCAGCAGCAGTTATTCGAAAGGCCTTCAAGAGCTGTGGCAGGGCCAAAGCTGGACAACGCAATCGCATCGTGTTTGAGAACACCACCTACACCATTGGAAGCGTACTGGAGACCACCAATTTGCAGAACGTCGACATTGAATTGTACGGAACACTCTCCTGGGACAATTCGAATTTGGACTATTGGCTGAAGAACTCGTTGGTCGTTGGATATCAAAATCAGAGTACGGCTTGGAGGCTTGGTGGAGATAGCATTACGTTCAATGGATACGGAACTGGCACCTTTGATGGTAATGGAGATGCGTGGTATCGTTTCATCAATGGAAGGTCGAACTATCCCGGGCGGCCGCATCAATTGACCATCACCGATACCACGAATTCGACTTTTCAGGGCTTGAATTTCCTTCAAAGTCAAATGTGGACCATGACCGTCATCCACTCGTCGGACGTTCTGCTGCAGGACATATATGTCAACAATACATCCAAGACTGGCGTAAGTTGTACTTTCCGATTTTAAGATGATCTCTCACTAACATAGCATCCAGGCACCGACAGTCGTAAGTTTGACTCCCTGACCTCGAGGGGATGTGTTGCTGAATTTAGTGATCTGAAGAACACCGATGGTTGCGACACAATCTATGCCAACAACATCACTTTCCGCAGATGGGTAGTAGACAATGGCGATGATGGAATATCGCCAAAAGCGAATTCAACAAACATCCTCATCGAAGACAGCGAGTTCTACAGAGGATCCGGAATTGCTTTGGGAAGCATTGGGCAAATGCATGACCAATTCGAGACGATTGAGAATGTGACTTGTCGCAACATTACAGCTCACAACACGAAGAATGGGGCCTATATCAAGACGTCAGTAATTCCTGCTTTTGTGGACTGAACCTTTGCTGACGATATTGAAGATGGACTGGAGTGACGAAAGGATACCCGTGAGTCAACCCGTCGTCGAAGTTCGTGTTCTGCTATTAACAAGCTCCAGTCCAAATGGAGGTGGTGGTGGCTTTGGCTATGCGCAAAACCTCGTCTTTGAGAACTTCAAGCTGATCAATGTCCAAAAGGCATTCACGAGTAAGTACAATACCGCTGTTCGTCACATGACCAGAGCTGATTTAGCAAAGTTACCCAATGCACGAACTTTGAGGGCAACAAGGGTAAGTCGTACTTGGACTCCTTTGTAAGGCATGGACTGACAATAGCAGGTGATTGCGACACATCAAAGTTCAACATCCGCGACGTATATTTGAGAAACTTCACGGGTACCGTTCGAGGAGGGATCGTAACGACAATGCAATGTAGTGCGGCTGCACCCTGCCGCGACATCCATATGTCGAACATTGTTCTGGAAAACAGTTCGAACCATACAACGCCAGGACAATACCAGTGTGCTAGCGTCAACGACACGGTAGGGTTCCTCTGCACAGGACCCCCGGACGGCGAAGACAATGCTTTCAAAAGGCGTTGAATAGAGATGTTGCGGCAATAGATATATATATATATATTTTTCGGAAAGACAAGACGGAGGTTTAAGAGATAATAACAAAAGCATGATTCGGAAAACGGTACGAGCCATGGAAACGACCAAGAGACTGTCGGTGATTCGTTTGGCCCTCCTGCAAAAATGGAAAGAAAGCCAAGAAAGAGTCATGGTATGGCGCGGATGGTTCGGAATCGGATGCTAAGGCATGCAAGAGAATCATGTGAGCGAACGACAGGCAGCCATCAGACAGCAACAATGCATAGAACATTCAAGCTGCCAATGCTGCTTTATCAGCATTCTTGAAAAGACACATCATTCTGCAGCTGTGAATAGGGTATCTATAAGCATGCATGTGTTGATTGCAGTGGACCCTGTCAGCCGCCTGATATCGGTCAAGAACAGCCAGTCAGACCGGCACACGATGAGAAAGCTGCAAACTCCGTCGGAGATGGACAAGATGGTGCCACCGCTATCGCCGAGATGTAGGCACGGTGGACTGTTGGATACATGACTCTGCGAATCAAGGCCGGAAAGGGGAGATGTTGACAATCCGATTCGACGATTGACATGGACGTGTGTCGGGGCGCGTGAACGATTTTGCCAAGACGCCATGTGATTTGGTCAAGCTGTATAGCGGATGCTCGGAACCGGAATGCTGACTCACCGAGTGCTTGGGAAAACATGGAAGCCCTAGACATCATGTTGCAGGCATGGATATGGCAACATGATTTGAGATCGTGCGTGTATGTGTTGGATCAGAGTGGTGGGCGCAAAGCTTCAAGATCTGAACTTTGGAGCTAAGATACAGAGGCAATCGTCCAGCGACAAAACATCTTTGTGATATGCGGTATAGAAAGCATGGAAGCACGGAAGGCGGCGGGATCAAAGGATCGGCCGGGAAGGAGGAACGAAAGGACCGTTTTGCCTAGAGGTAGCGTCATACCGAGCAAAAGTCATCTATCAAGGTCATGAGCATACACACCATGATTACCAAAAATCATGATCCAACCATCGGTATGGCTCGGAATCGGGAGCAAGGGAAAGGGAAACTTGACGTGTTCCGCGTGTTGTAGTCATGGTATCAGTGCTATTAAATCAGAATGGAGGTGGGCTCATCGCGCTGTCATCAACTCGATCTTTCCTTCCTGATATTTTTCGAACTTGCACCTTCTCGACGGTCTCATATCCGAATTCTTCGCAGTCTTTCCTCTCGCCGTCTCAGTGCCTGGGTACCGTGTCTTAGTGCTCTGCGACTACTCACGAAGCATCCATAACATACTCTCCATTATTGTTCCCTTTCATCCATTTGCACGCACAACTCGACAAACACGGCTACTTCTTGAAACTCTGGCACGACCGGCTTACTCCATGCTATCGAATCGCATATCTCTAGCCAGCTCAGCGGTGCTCTTGCTCGCAGCGCTTCCTTTGGTGGCCGCCCATGGAGACGAGGATGTGCATCGCGAAATGACTATGGATATGGGGAGTGCATACATTAACATGACAAGCACGTCGGTAGCAGCAACAACGCCGGATGTTCCGCACAACTACTTCCGGTATCTGGGGTTCGCAGGCTGGATGTACGCGCACATCGTGCTAATGACAATCGCATGGGCAGTAGTCCTTCCAGTCGGTAAGTTTGATGATCGAGTCTGAAAAGCTCTTTGATGTTGACTCAAGTATAGCCGTTGTGTTCAGTGTAGCTCGATCACGATTCACGACCCCGGCGCAATTCGCATTCTTGGCTGTCAACAGACTCGGTCTATTCACCAGCATCATCTACAATGCAAAAACACCGGACTTCTACCCAGGTAATGCACATCATAAGATGGGATGGGCCGTATCTTGGATTGCCACCGTATGGTTCCTCACGACGTTCTTGAACCTGTACATGGCGCGGTACAAGAAGACTAAGGAGAGACATGCTATGACGGCTGATAACATTGCGCAATACGATCGCCTTCAAGACCAGGACCAGAGATGGTCGCGAGACTCAGGCCATGATTCAGCGACGCTCTGCTCTGGGTCCCGCTCGCCCAGCTCAGACTCGGTGCCTTTGCACAAGTTCGAGATACCAGAAGAGGGCGACGATCAAGATGTCGGATTTGAAGAGCGAGGATTTATCCAAACCACTTCGGTCGATCGCTTCTTCTCGCGCAAGATGCCTCGCATTTCTTCTGGCCGAGCACTCACAGCCTTCAAAGTTGTGTTCACATTGATCGAACGTTGCATGCCAGTCCTTGGTTTTGTGAGCCTAGTAAGCGGCGGCGTAGTATATGGCGGTCTCTACGTAAGCAAAGACTTTGGATGATGCTCACAGGATAATGCTAACAAGAACAAAAGCGCGAACGTCTCATCTTTTCTGGAATGGCACACGCCGTCAAGGGCGGCATATTCTTGTGGTACGGTATCTTGACTCTTGGAAGATGGATGGGTGCGTTCTCAGATTACGGTTGGGCGTGGAACGTCAAGCCTCGATACCCCCTGGTCTCTCGCTTCGCAGCCAGGCTTCCTTCGGCCGAGTTTGTCGAAAGTTTTGTCATCTTCTTGTACGGCGCTAGCAATGTCTTCCTCGAACATCTCAACGCTTGGGGCAAGGCATGGAGTGCTCAAGATCTTGAGCACGTCAGCATAACCATCATATTCTTTGGTGGTGGTCTGATGGGCATGCTTGTCGAAAGCAATACAGTGAAGAAGTTGTTCAACACCTCTGTTTCGAGCTGGCAGGAGGAAGCCACGCTGTTCGGTGATCTTGTCGAGAAGCAACGCGAAGAGTGGGAAGTGCCAAAAACATACAGGACCAGCCTCAATCCCATGCCAGGATTGGTAATCATGCTTCTTGGCCTCTCCATGTCCAGCCATCACCAACACAGCATGGTGTCGACGATGATGCACCAGCAATGGGGCACTCTGTTCATGGGGTTTGCGATGGCTAGAGCAGCAACCTACGTTCTGCTTTTCCTAGCACCACCAAAGTCTTTCTTCCCATCTCGACCACCTACCGAGCTAGTGGCCAGTTTTTGCCTGATTAGTGGCGGTATGATCTTTATGGGCAGTTCTACCGACGCTGTGAGCACGATCGAGACCAATGGTCTAGATGCCATGTTCATATTCACCATCGCCATGGGTCTGACGGCTCTGATCATGTCTTGGGCAAGCATTTGCTTCGCGCTCAAGGGCTGGGCAGTGAGAAAAGAGAAGACTGTTTGAAGACAGTCTTCTCGACTACCAACACATGCCTCATTCCTGTTCCTACGCGAGAGCGCTGTGTGGCGTCTTGATCTTACGATATTGGAGTCTCCAGCGAGTCTGGACGATGACGCTGCCCGTATGTGCAGGCTACCGGCTCGATGTCGACCTCTTTGTTGGTCGTAGAGAGATGCATGCAAATCCTTCTTCCTGGCCTTTTGTACGCTCGGAACGCTCAGTCGTTGTTACAAGCGCATGATTTATCATGCCCTTCAGCACATAGAACTATAGCGTATTGTGTCGTTCATAGCAATGTTAATGTTTACTGCCATTCTCTCGGGCATGCGGTGTGCAGGAGATGTAGAGTATCAAGACATCAAAGCCTGACGGCAAGAGCCCGTGTCCTGGTAAGGCGCGATCATCTGATTATGCCTCTTCCTCTTCCTCTTCCGATGGCCGAACCTCTTGTGGAACCTGCGATAGCACCACCTCTTGAGCCGCGAGGAGCGGGGATACCCCTGCCTCTAGATATGGAGCTGGCGCCGCGAGTAGTCCTGGACGAGGTGGTCGAGGGAGGAGCCATGGTGGATCTGTTCGGACGACTTGTTTTTGGTGTAGGTGGATTTTCGACGAAACTAGTGTCGGTGGTACTGTGACACGAAGATTAGTATAAGATGTATAGCGCGACGAGGTTGTGATGATTTACAGGAAAGTAGCATCAACATCTCTCTCACGATGATGAACGTCTGCGGACATGGCATGATCCTGTTGAGCCTGGTTCTTCGCAGCCTCGGCAGCACGCTTGAAGCTCTCAATTCCAGGAGCCTCTGGGAAGTCGACACAGAAAGCGCTCATGTTCATGCCGTAGAGGAAAGCGCCAAAGCACTCGTTGAAGCGGTTCAGACTCTCGTGCAGCAATTGTAGGTGCATCATGTTGGCTTCCAGATCGGCCATTCCATCGGCGAGTTCACCGAAAGCAGGCTCCAGGGCTTCTAGAGGAACAGCTTGGTCGGAGAATTGGTTGCTGGCTGTGGGGGTGGTGATGGAAGCTCGGAGACTGGTTCGCGAATGTGGTCGTAGAGGGGTCGTTGGTCGCGAGGGTAGGTTGTTACGGGAGCGGGATGCTGAGCGAGCGCGCGACGGCGGTGCTGAGGTGGGTGTCGTCGAAGCCATTGTTAGACGAAAGTGGTGTGTTGGGCTCAGGATGCAACTTGGTGATTGTTTTGATTGCATCGAACAAGCGCCAAGAAGAGCGGAGGACGGGTGCGCGCCCCGCCGTCCAGCACGAGGCAGTCGCTGGTGCTGAAGCTCCGTTTTGTTTCCAATTGATCTCCAATCGATCTCCTACCTTCAAACAGTGACTGCTTGTGTGATCTGCTGCCTTAGACTATTCTGAGGTGTGTTATCGTGTGTCTACTCTGACATGCTATCGGATGACGAGGAAAGACGAGAGATGATACTCCAAATTGAATAAAGTCAAAAGAGACATGACATATCCACGCGACGTCATGCAAAAAGACATGGAACCCGAGCAGAGCGGGCCTAGGGAGTTTCAATCTCGGCGTGTCTGGCTGAGCCTCCCTGCTCCGTATCCCATCTCCATCAGATGCGTCCCTTTCGCATTACACACCTCGCCCGCCCCTCATCTATCCTCTCGTCACCTTCGTGTCGCCTGTCAGTCCAAGCCACCCGTACTTACCGGTCCTCGCCGCTCCGCCCGCCATTCCGTCAACCCCGTCACTTCCCCACGCGCCCGACTTTCCAATTGAAAGAAAGTCGTTTGGATCCTGTCACGCTTCTTCTTGCCATCTCTACTGCTTTTGCGACCGCCTACATCGCAAACTCTTATTACTCGACCACAAACCCGGACAAGGCTTCGCTCCCTGATACTCCTGGCCCTTCGCTTTCCTTAGAAACAGAACCAGAATCAGACATGACTCCTACCACTCTACCGGGACGCCCGGGTAGCCTCACCCCGGATCAAGATGAAAAGCTGCGCGAGCTCTGGCTTCAGACTCTCGATGTCTTTGGTGTCATTAGCGGTGCTCGTCCGAGTCTCGATGCTGCTCCCGCCGCTTCCACCCCTGCCGATCCTAAGAAGAAGTCAAAGTTGTCCATGTTCTCTCGCAAGAACAAGGATGCCGACCACTCTGCAGAAAACACCGATGACGAGAACGACAAGCACGGCCAGGCCAAGGAGTTCCGTCAAGCACTCCAAAACCAGAGCCCCGAGTCACTGCGCACTGCCTTCTGGGGCATGGTCAAGCACGACGATCCCGATGCACTGCTCTTGAGATTCCTTCGTGCTCGCAAATGGGATGTCCAGGCTGCTCTTGTCATGATGATCTCGACTCTCCACTGGCGCTCTCAGGAAATGCACGTCGACGACGACATTGTCTACAAGGGTGAGGGAGGCGCTGTGGTCGACGCCAAATCTGCCTCGAACGCGACCACAAAGAAGGATGCCGAGGATTTCCTCACCCAATTGCGCATGGGAAAGAGTTTCCTGCATGGCGTCGATGCTGAGGGAAGACCTGTTTGTGTCGTGAGAGCCAGACTCCATCGTGCTGGCGAGCAGACGGAAAAGAGTCTTGAGAGATTTACCGTTTACACTATTGATACTGCGCGCATGATGCTCAGACCTCCAATCGATACAGCTGTGAGTAAAACCAGAAAGTCACATAAGACCTGATTGCTGACAGTAGCTGCAAGACCATTATCTTCGACATGACGGGCTTTTCCATGTCGAACATGGACTACACCCCTGTCAAGTTCATGATCAAGTGCTTCGAGGCCAACTACCCAGAATCCCTTGGCAGCGTCCTCGTGTACAAAGCTCCTTGGGTCTTCCAAGGCATCTGGAAGATCATCCGTGGTTGGCTCGATCCTGTCGTCGCTTCCAAAATCAACTTCTGCTCGAACGTCGAAGAGCTCTCCGCTTTCATCCCTAAGAGTCAGATCTCGAAAGAACTCGGCGGTGACGAGAGCTGGGAATATCACTACGTTGAGCCCAGAGAGGGCGAGAACGACAAGATGAAGGATATTGCAACAAGAGACAGAATTGAGGCCGAGCGAAAGGAACTGGTGCAAAAATACCAGACCGAGACAGTACACTGGGCAAAGGGTGAGAACAAGGGAGAGCAAAGGTCAGCGCTGAGACAGGACTTGCTGCAGAACTACTGGCAACTCGACCCCTATGTCCGTGCAAGGACATTGTACGACCGCATCGGTGTCATTGGGCATGGAGGCAAGATGGACTTTTATCCATCTGCTGTTTCGACCAGCAGTGCCGACCTCGACTAATCAAGTCTGTTCTGTTTCGGATAAACGACAAAATGATCCCTCCACCTAATCTCACATTCATGTTTGGAGCTCTAAATATAAAAATCTATTAATATGCAAGATCCATACAGGATCACATCGTTCTATGACTTCGAGCCTTGCTGATGATGGAGCGTGAAGATCGAGGGCACAGCGTCCAGGCTGCCCAGTCTTAGTGCAGTCATATGCCCTGTTCTGTTGACCAAAACTCAAATGGTCAAGCCCTGTGTTGATTCACAAAAAAGGCATTTTGAATGAGCGATCTCATAGAAGAAGGCGGGCTGATGTTGCACTCGGTGCACACTTCGCCGGAAAAGCGAGTGGCAAGGTCTTGGAAACCCCACTTTCTCTCCACGGCCGTCCATCTTGACTATTCTCACCTCGTCATCGGATGATGCTTGACCCACGCTCTGCCCATGCCAATCCATACCAAACTGACTTTTCGCGGGCATGGGTCAAGTTGGAGGCAATGATCAGCCTCAGAGACAAATGCAATCTGATCAAAGACTCGATCATGAATATAAGTATGGCTGCTCTTTTCTGCAGCCGATTGTTCTTCTCTTAGAATGATTTGGTTTTAACCATGAAGTCCATCTACACGTCGTTACTTGCCTTTGTTGGCCTGGCAGCAGCAGTCTCCAAATATGATGAGTACATCCTGGCTCCCAAATCACGGACCATCCACCCTGTCGCCGTATATCAGGACAAAATCAATGGAACTGTCATTGGAGCGTCCAGTCTCGCAGGCGACTCCCCAGGCTCAGCCGTCTTCCAAGGCGTTTCAGCCGTCACATACGACTTCGGTGTAAACATCGGCGGACTTGTCAGCTTGACCATCGGCAACAAGACAGACACAAATCAGTCCATCGCTGTAACCTATTCCGAAAGCTCGCAGTGGATCTCTGGCGTGGCTTGCGATGCTACTCAAGACTCTGGTATGGATGAGGCGTTGTGGTTCTATCCCCAAGGCCCTGGTGTTGTGTCTGTAGACCGTCAGCATGAAAGAGGTGGATTCAGATATTTGAGTCTGGTCCATAACACTACTGGAGAGATCGAGGTTACAGAGGTCACGGTTGATTTCACACCGTCGCCCACGACAGAAGATCTGAGAAATTATACCGGTTTCTTCCATTCTGATGATGAGTTGCTGAACCGCATTTGGTATGCTGGCGCATACACTATCCAGGTATGCAATTGCGTCGCATCATTCCAAACTCATTCAACTGACAAGAAGTAGATGTGTGCTATCGACCCGACTCACGGTGATGCGCTCATCCACTCGGAAGAGACCAATTCGAGCGTTCCAAGCGACTCAACCCGTCCATGGTCATGGTACTACAACACGACTATCGCCAATTCAAGTGTTGTTCTTGTAGATGGTGCGAAACGCGACCGTCTAATTTGGCCTGGAGATATGCACGTCATCACTCCATCTATGTTCGTCTCGATCAGTGATGATGCAGCCATTACCAACTCTATCGACAACTTGTTCAGTTTGCAAAATGCGTCGGGCAAGCTTCCTTATGCAGGTTACCCATTCAAGCAAGACACATATTCTGCAACCTATCACCTGTACAACCTCATCGGTGTCTCGGACTACTACAAGTTCACGGATGACCTCGAGTACGTTCAAAAGAAGTGGAACGCTTGGAAACGCGGACTCAACTTCTCCCTCGGTTTCATCGACGAGACCGGCTTGATGAACGTCACAAGCCCAGACGATTGGCTTCGTTTTGGACAAGGAGGTCACAACATCGAGGCGAATGCAATTCTCTACTTCACTATCAACGAAGGCTTGACTCTCGCCGCTGCTCTTAATGATAGCAGCATCAAGTCCTCCTGGGAGAAGTATGCAACCAACATTAAGGAATCAGCCAACAACTTGCTCTGGAATGCAACTGCAGGCCTCTACCGTGACAATGAAACAACTACCCTCATGCCTCAGGACGGTAACAGTTGGGCAGTCTTGGCTAATCTGACAAATAATGCCACTCAGGCCTCCGCTATCAGTAACTCCCTCCGCTCTCGTTGGGGACCTTACGGTGCGCCAGCCGTGGAAGCCGACGATGCCGTGTCACCTTTCATTGGTGCTTTCGAGCTAGAAGCCCACTTCCGTGCTAACAATGCAACTGCTGCTCTCGAACTCATGCGTCTAGAATGGGGGTTCATGCTAGACGACCCACGAATGACCAACAGCACGTTCATTGAAGGATACGCCTTTGACGGAGCTACACATTACGCGCCTTACACAAACGATCCTCGCATCTCGCATGCACATGGCTGGTCGACTGGCCCCACTGCCTTCTTGTCACAATATATCGCCGGCATTCAACTCGTCACTGCTGGCGGCAAGACGTGGAAGATTGCACCTAAGCTGGGTGGTCTGGCAACCGCTCACGCAGGCTTCTCAACTTCGGTCGGCGTGTTCGAGGCATATACCAATGCCACCTCTGATGGTGGTGTGTCCATCGATTTTTCCACCCCTGTAGGAAGCAGAGGTGGTATTGCTGTGCCATACCCATCTTGTGGTGGCATTCTAAGAATGCACGAGGTGGAAGGCAGATGCAAGGATGTTGTCCTCGACATCCAGACTTCCGCAAATCAGACTGGAGATATTGAGGTAGAAGGGCTGGTGGGAGGTGATTGGCAGCTCAGGTTCAAATGTGCTGCTGCTTCATAGAATAGTCAATTTATTCACTGCGATGAAAATTTAACCGTTGTACAGAATACCGAGTTGTTGAAGGTTAAACTATCCCCTCATTTTCCCCGCTCGTGTAAGATTGATCTACAGAGTGCATGGAAGGATGGGCGATGATGCTATTTTTCCGTCTCTTCGGATCGAAATGCTACGAACTGATCGACTCTCAGAGCCAAGTCATAACAAGCTTTCTATCCTGCACTACGGTCTAGTTTCTTTTCGTTCCTCTCATGAGTATTGGTTATGCATTTCTCTCACATATTCACCATCATTAGCTTGGGACTGGCTGTTCACGCTCAGACGTGTTGGGAGAACCTGATCTGCACTGGTCCACTCGACACCGCATTCCCAGGTCAATGGGAAGCCAACATCTTTGCTCCCGATTGTCGCACTGTCTTTCCAGTTTCAATCTTGTCTCTAGCTAATGCTTCCGTCATCTCGAAATGGCCTGGCTCTGCTCAAATCTCTGGCAACGGCTCAGCACTCGTCTTCGACTTTGGAAAAGAAGTAGGAGGTCTGGCCACAGTATCCTACGCAGCACAAGGTTCCGGAGCTCTAGGTCTAGCCTTTAGCGAAGCGAAGAACTGGATCGGCTTGTGGTCTGACTCATCCAATGGAAGGTTCCAAGCTGGCGATGGAGCCATCTATTCGAATTTCTCTGCTTCTGGCAACTACAGCTATACAACGGATAAAGCGCATCTTCGCGGAGGCTTTCGATACCTGACTCTGTTTCTGATCACCAATGAGACCGCATCTACCATTGACATCAACTATGTATCAGTAGAGATTGGCTTTCAACCCACTTGGAGCAATTTGCGCGCTTATTCTGGATATTTTGACTGCAGCGATGAAGATCTGAACAAGATCTGGTACAGTGGTGCGTACACTCTACAAACCAATTCCGTACCTGTGGATACCGGTCGTATCTTCGAGGCCAGTGGCTGGAACAACAGTGGCGCTCTTTCAAATGGCTCCACGGTCATCGTGGATGGAGCCAAAAGAGACAGGGCGGTGTGGCCAGGCGACATGGGTATTGCGGTCCCAGCGACCTTTGTCAGCATCGGAGATCTGGACAGCGTCAAGAATGCTCTGCAGACCATGTATGATCATCAGAATAAGGATTGGTCGTTCCCGGAGGCTGGACCGCCTTTACTGCAACAAGGCTCAGATACTTATCATATGTGGACTATGATTGGGACATACAATTATTTGTTGTATACCAACGATACTGAGTTTCTGGACAAGAACTGGGATCGCTACACGCACGCCATGGAGTATATCTACGGAAAGGTTCATCAGCCTTCGGGATTGCTCAATGTGACGGGCGTCCGCGATTGGGCTCGATGGCAGCAAGGCTTCAATAACAGTGAAACCAACATGATCTTGTATCATACACTGATCACTGGAGCTGAGCTCGCAACCTGGCAGGAAGACACCACAGGCCTCGCCCAAACATATACATCTCGCGCCACCAACCTCAGCACTGCAATAAACAAATACTGCTGGGACACCTCCTACGGCGCCTTCAAAGACAACGCCACAGACACAAACCTCCACCCCCAAGACGCCAACAGCATGGCCATCTACTTCGGCGTAGTGGCCCCTTCCTCTGCCTCCGCTCAAAGCATCTCCTCAAGACTCACGCACAATTGGACGCCCATTGGTGCCGAAAGCCCCGAATTGCCAAATAACATCTCTCCCTTCATTTCCTCTTTTGAGATCAACGCTCATTTCGTTGCTGGACAAGCGACGCGCGCTTTGGACTTGATACGCCGTAGTTGGGGCTGGTACCTGCATCATCCTAACGGCACGGGAAGCACAGTCATTGAAGGATACCTGACCAACGGCAGTTTTGCCTATCGCAACTCGAGAGGGTATAGCTATGATGAGAGTTATGTTTCCCACAGCCATGGGTGGTCTGCGGGACCTACTTCTGCGTTGACGAGTTATATCGTGGGTTTGGCTGTTAGTGGAAGAGTGGGCAGTACTTGGACGCTGAAACCACAGTTTGGAGATTTGGAGTATGCGCAGGCGGGCTTTGTGACGAGTTTGGGTAAGTTCAGTGCTGGGTGGAATGTCACTGGTGATGGGAGGGCATATTCTGTTTGGTGGAAGGTGCCGGAGGGGACGGTGGGTAAGGTTACGTTGCCTCCTTTGCCATCGGGTAAGACTGGTAAAATTACGATTGATGGGAAGAGCTTCAAGAACAAGAGTATTAGGAAGAAAGAGGGCTTGACTTTTGAAATCGGTGGAGGGAATCACAGTATCATTGTGGTGAGTAAGTGAAGGTCTCTCTGACAGGACTCCAGTAGACACAAATAAGTCGAGCTTCTTCTGAAACCGGATCCCGAGCATTGACATCCCATCTCCTGTACAACTCAAACGCCATGTGAAAAGCAATGTTCGTGCTGATTGCAGCGGTGCAATGTACTTCGTCATTCAAGTTGTGAATGTTGTCTTCACCAACAGCAACTACCACTCGAATACCGGTACCCTAAATCGATGCGCGAAGGAGATGGGCAGCCTCGACTGCGGACTCGAGATTGGGGTAGATGGCGATGGCAGCGATGCCTTTGGTACCATCGGTAGCCAGCATAGTGTGTGCTGCTCTGGCGAGCTCGACGGCAACGACGAGGGATTTGCCTGAGTCCGAAGGGCCCAGAATTAACCAGCTGGGTTTATGCAAGGCTTTGCGGTTCGAAGCGCGAAGTAGTGTTGCTTATGACATGCGTAGCGTTTTGATATCCATAAGTCGTAAAACCTCTCTAAATTTGGTTGCTGTCACGCCAGGACCAGACTACTTAGTGCAATCGTCCACTAGTACACCATCTTCATAGTCGTCGTCACAACTAGTGAGGTTTGATCTTAGCAGAAGGAACTTTAACGAGCGTAGGAGTTGGACACTAGTAGATTTACAGATTACTCTCGATTATATTAGTCTTTATGACCGGGAGTCCTGATCTTAACAAGTAGATATAATATGTTGACAACGACATGATATGTACATGTAAGCATGTTGCCATCGCCGATCGACCCGCTAGCATCGAACACCCTGAACACTTCCGACCCAACGCGTCGTCCACGACTGCGCGCAATCCTACTTGCTTGCTAAATCTGAGACACAGTGGCTCGGTCTACGAACGACGATGACCTAGTCATACCGTCTGCCGGAACGCGGCAGTATTCGCCAGAATGATGTCTCAGATGCATCACCATGCTCTTCCGGATGTGCTTGGCACCGTGACTCGACAATAAGTATGGCGCCGAACATGAGCTCACCACACTAGTTCGACACAAGCCATTGCAATTGTCCGCGCTCTTGTTCGTAGCCATAGAGAGTACTTGGCATACCTGGATATATCGACAACGTATCGAAATCGTAACGTCGTCAACGCTATACAACGTCTCGAATGTTCGCCGATCCTATGGAAGCATCTTTATGTGGCCCCAACCTCGCATCGCAATTAATCGACTCCAGCAGATATTGTGATCAAGGACGATAGTTCAGGGTGAATTCAGCCTACGGACAAGAAGGCGACACTGCGTTGACTCAAGTACGGCCTTGAGAAGCATTCTGAGGTAAACGACATGCAACTTGTTCTCAATGCCGAGAACCGCTGCATCACCGTTGACAAGCAGCTAGACGTGTCTGACCATTCGCTGATCCTTCAACGTCTGTTTCTCGGATCCTGGATTCCAGACTGCTGTTCCTCACAATGGACATGGCAGCTTTTAAGTTAAGTTTTTGATTGTGTCAGTCAATTCTTAACCGGCGCTCGTACCCCACCCAAATTTGGACATGACTCTTGTGTATTAGGACAACTGACAAGGTCTCGGCCATGGAGTTTCTGAATACTGTCAGCAGTAACGGCTTCTACTGCTACGCCTCGAGAGATGGAGCCGGAAATACATAGGGTAATACTGAGACATGAGAATCCTGAATACGGGCACTGCTTTGCTATATAAACATGGCCCCCTCACAACTCTTCACATCTCATCAGCTCGCTCCAACTTCACCACTCTCTTTAGCAGACTTACAACTATCCTCCAGTGCTTCGGTACTAGTCATTCTTTGGACCCCACCACAACCAACTATCTCATTCACTCTTTGAAACAACACACTTCTACCTCTTTCCGATACCCCTTATACCTTTTACTACTTACCTTATATCACCTCAATCCCACAAGATGCGTACCGCTTTCTCCACTGCCGTCGCAGCTCTTGCCGCTGTTGCAAGTGCCCAGTCGACCACCTCCATCGACGTCGACGCTATCTCTGTGGCCATTCCTACCTCCGTCTTTGTTCTCCCTGTCGTCTATGTCACTGCTGAGGGTGCTCCTACTTTGACCGCCACCACTCTGGCTTCTGCCGAGGCCACTCCCAGTAGCGACCCCAAAGCTACTGCTGTCTTCGACTCGCCTGCAGATGTCACTGCTGCCATCTCCTCTGCCTCTGAGGCTGCCCAGGCCTCTGCTACCGCTGTTGTCAAGCGTGACGGCACCTGTGTCCAGCAGCCTCTTGGTATCAGCCACGTCTCTCTTCCTGACACTGCCGCTGCTTTCGCTGCCGACCCCTGGTACAGCTTGCAGGCAACCACTGCTCAGGTCCCTGTCGGATTCGTCAACACTTTCACCGCCTTGACTGCCTCCAACTCTGCCGACCAGTATGTCGGATTCACCCTGATGAGCTCTTACGACCCTGCCTCATGCGCACAGAAGTGTTCTGCGATGAGTGGCTGCAACAGCTTCAACATCTACTTCGAACGCGACCCCCAGTACGACCCTTCGATTCTCGCCTGCGCCAACCCAGCCTCGACTGTCAATGTCAAGTGTGTCTTCTGGGGAGGCGCAGTGTCGTCTGCGAATGCCAACAACTTCGGTCAGATGAGAGATGGTTTCAACGTCGTTATTGCCGGCTCGAACGGATACATCGCATCCACTTTCGCTGCCAAGCTCGCCGCTCAGGCTACTGCTACTTCCAGCTCCTCTGCAGCTGCTTCGGCCACTGATGTCGCTGGTAACATTTACACCATCTACTACGGTTCCGACAGCACTCAGGGCGCCTACTCCAACGCTCAAGCAAGCAGCTCTTACACTGATTGCATGAACGCTTGCGATGCTGATGCTCAGTGTAATGCATTCACCTACGTGGGTGGCAGCAACGGTGTTGGCTCTGGTACCTGCTGGTTGAAGACTCAACTTGGCAACCCTTCGAGTGCTGGAAGCAACGTCCTGTCTGGCGTCCGTTCCGGCAAGGCCATCTCTTCATCCTCCAGCAGCGCTGTCTCGACCTCGTCATCTTCCAGCTCTTCGTCATCTTCGGCCTCCAAGACCTCGATTACTGCTTCATCGACTTCCTCCGGCTCCTCATCTTCCGTCTCTGCTACATCTACCAGCGCCCCTTCCTCATCATCGACGGGCACCGCCGCATCAGCCACCAAGACTACATCTTCCTCGTCTTCCTCAGTCAGCTCTACGGCCACTACCATGAACACGGTCACCAAGTCTGCATCTTCGTCGACCAGCAGCAGTGCCACCAGCACCAGCACTAGCAAGACATCGACCAGCACCACCACCACACCCACCCCTACTCCGACTCCTGCATCCAACTCCCAGAATTGCCCGAGTTACTTCTTCTTCTGGTGCTTGTTCTGATCGATCGACTATCAGCTTGAGCGTCTAAAGCGGTGGTCGATGCTGTTAAAACTATGTTCTATGACGATTGTCTTTTTGATGCAGGGGAGTTTGGATATATTTGAGTATTTCTGCAGCAACGGTGTGGTTTCTTGTCGATTGGCAAGGGTGTATATAGACGAATCTACCATCTTTTTTCTTCTTCTTCTTCACTCTTATTTAACATCTTTTCTTTCGTGATGTTGTTTCCTCATGTATCAGAGTGCTTATCTAGAACATGTCAGCTGTACGAAACCCACAACTGGGCCTTGCAGAAAACACGTTCTTCTCTCACGCACAAAAGGTGATATCGCAGGTGTAACCAGCACAGAGAACCGGATAGGTATGCATTTGAGAAGTTGAGCAAAAACATCAAACTCCCATTTATATGTTTTTTCTTGGACATCCAAGTCTGCAACATTTGATGTTGTGTATTTTCTTGATTGTCTTGGGTGTGAAAAGGGAGAGATTCTAGGCTATCTTTACATCTTCGATGAATTACTTACCTACCATTGCTTTCAAAAGCTCTGTGGGCATTGTTATAAGCTACTCTTGCAACGTCACCCTTTGCGGTGTGTGTCGGAAACCCACACTGGTGTTTGAGCCTGCTTGAAACACCTCTTTCTTCCTCTTTTAAAGTCAGGCATAATTTTTCCTTCTGATTGTGATTCGTTTGTTTGTCTGCCATTTATTCTCATCTAACCCCAATTCATCCAACCTTTTACTACACTAAACGCTCTCTTTCATGTAAGTTCTCAGCCTTTCCCTCTTTCAACAATAGAAGAGTGTTTATAATGAAGAGTACAGATTTCCCAATCCGGCAAGTTTACGCAAGCGTTCTTGCACCGCATCCACCAATGCGCTTTCCCTCTGCAACAACTGCATGACCTGCGCAATCTTTTGCTTTCTGAAATCGGCGGGTACGCGATTGATACTAGCACTCAAGTCCTGCGATGATTCCTGATCTTCAGTGTTGTCGGGGCGAGTTGGCGTCGACGGTTGCAGTGCTTTTTGCTGTTCGGTGGCTTCGTTTGCGCGGGCGATGAGGGTGCGTTGTAAAGTGTTGATGGCGGAGAGACGGGAAGTAAGATCGTCTGTTACGAGGCTGGCAGTGGAGGCGTCCGAATCGTTGGAAGATGGTGTTGCGGTTTCGCCTAGACTGCTCGACAAAGCAGAGACTTCGACCGCCCAAGCTTCCTCTTTGATGCTCAGTTCCTTGCCGCCCAATTCCTTGGCCATGCGTCTGCGCATAGCTTCCACCCTCTTCGCAAGTTCTTTGGACTTCGTTCGTGCATTGTTCATTCGTTCCTCAATTTTATCTTTGCCGACTAGACGGGGTTGCTCTGCATCTCCGGCGCCATCGTCATCGTCGCCAGTGACTGCCTCGGCGCGCTTGGAGATCTCATCTACTTGGCGAATCTGCTCGGAAAGTTCAGCGCGCATGCGCTCGCAGCGACGGAAGAGGTCTGCTGCTGCGGCGCCCAAGCGGCTTGTTTCGGTTGATAGCAAGCGATGGGCATCGGTGAGTAAATCTAGAGTGGCGGGGGAAAAGCGGACTTGGGTTTTTAGGTCTGCTTTTCTGAGTTGAGTGTTTCGTTGAACAGCGTTATCTAGGAAGGAAGGCAATGCGGAGGAAGCAGAGAAAGCTTCGGAAGGTTGGTATGGTTGACGAAGATCTGGAGCGGGAAGGGCCAGTGGTGCTTCGTCGGGAGCGAATGATGCGTAGAGCGATCGATCGAACGGGAGATCGAGAATTACGGCTTGAGGTTGAGATGAGGTTGCGGTCAGGACGAAGTGACCTAGATCAGAATCGACTATTGAGACACAAGCGGGAGCGGCTCCAGCATCTGCGGTACGTTTGAGGATTCGATCAACGGTGGACTTCTCGACATCAAACAGCACGTCGAGACGGAATGCAGCGCCCGAATCGCTGGGGTTGATGAGCTCGTCCTCAAGAGGAGCAATCCAAGACTCCAGGGAAATGTTGAAGATGCCTTCATTCGTACTGAGGAAGAAGCCGTAACGGCTAGTGGTGGTCGAAGTAAAGGTAGGCCATGAGGTCTCGGTCTCAGGAGTGGTCAAAGTTTCGACGAGAAGCAGTTCAGAAACAGATTCTTCTTCATCGAAACGACGTCGGAAAGCAGCACGTCTGGATGGTAGCCACTGAGCCTCGACACCATCAAGATCTAGACAAATGTGAACCTTGCCAGAAGCGGTAGCCAAGCACACTATGCCGACCGAAAGACCGTCGTGGCCAAGGAAGTCCTCTTGATCTTCTTCTTGCATCAGGGCAGCATCATCGAGACGGGGAGCGATAACAAAGATGTCGGTGATGTTGTCGTAGTCGGGTTCAGGGTTGAGAAAGAAGGGGCCTTGCAGCTTTGGAACAGCAGGAGGGTTGGCGGGACGCTGGTAAACCTCGAATTCGGCCAGAGTATCGATGTGGGAAACAACCAAAGGATCCTGGTTGTCAATATCGGCAAGCCATCTCTGCTGCTGATCGACAATGCGACGTTCCTCAGGGGTAGGATCTGATTGAGAGTTGACCTCTGCCTTTGCTACAACAGCAGTGGTCAGAGAAGGAATAGTGGTGGCAGTAGGCTCCCACTTGGAAGGCAGCAGAGGACAAAGAGCATAAACGTCTCCTTCGGTCATGGCGATCCAGAGGGTCATGGGAGACCAGCCGTGCTCGTCCGAGGTGGCCCTGGCGCCAAAGCAAGCAGCAGCGACCTCCATTTCGACCGAGTCAGGGGAGAAACCCTTGCTGGTACCGTATTTGCTCGCACTGAAATCCTGATCGGCAGAGGTGGCATTTGCGAGCTTCTTCAGATCCAGAGCGAGCTCGGGCTCGTCGAAAGAGGCGCGCGAATCGCGGTTGAGCTCCCATAGACGCACACACGCATCCTTGGTAACGGTGACCAAGCAGCTGCCCAGGTGACCTAGAGGATGCCAGATGGCAGAGACGACGGGAGGCTGTTCAAGGACATGTGCTGTCGGGCCTAGCTGGAAGGTCTTGATACGAAGGGGAGAGGCATCTTGGACGGAGAGGTGTGAAGAATCGGGCAAGGCGGCAATGTGAACGGTATGGTCGGTCAGAATTGCAAGGTAGTCGCCGTGGGGAGAGACGACGAGCTGCTTGATCTGAGTCGAGACGGGAGTCTTGAGGACTCTGTAGGACTGGTTGTCGCCTTCTTTGTCGGCATCCTTCAGCGAGACCAGATCAGACCAGCGGATCTCATTGCCGACCAGGACGAAGACCTCGGTTCCGCGGTGGGCGATGGTGCGCGTAGGACCGCGTGCTTCTGCCTTTGCGAGTTGATTGCGCAGAGACGACGGAGCTTTGGTGTCGGGGTTGCGCTGGAAGAGATTGAAGCCCGGCGAGGGAGCAGAGAGCCACGACGGAGTGTGGCCGACTACGCGTGCCATGGTCGGAGGGATGGGCGAGGTTGTCGTGCTTCGAGTGAGGTCGCGTGAAGAAAAGACGGAGCTTGTTGCCAAACATTCACTCTCAGTCGGGCCCATACCAGAAGCTTGGACCACCGACACCTTGAAAGCCTCTCAGTCGACACTATTTACTGTTTACTCTTACCACCACGCCCATCTGTTTGTCGCATCATCCTCCCACGCTGCGAGGATCATCATGGCAACCATGGCTGCCAACATCATGCTGCGCACCACATGCGACCGTCTGGATCGCCCAAGTTCATACACCGTCGCCAAGGCACGTCTACTTCGACCACCATCTACCTTTCCCAGCTAGTTCCTAACTATTTCCCAGAACCGTCGCAGATACAAGCGCGCTCCCGACGACGACACTCCTCAAGAAAAGACCCCCGAGCCCGAAGACAAACTCAAAGACGCAACCACTCTCTACGTCGGCAACCTCTCCTTCTACACCACCGAAGAGCAAATCCACGAACTCTTCTCAAAGTGCGGCGAGATCAAGCGCCTGATCATGGGTCTGGACCGCTTCCAAAAGACCCCTTGCGGCTTCTGCTTTGTCGAGTACTACACCCACCAGGACGCCCTCGATTGCTTAAAGTACATTGGCGGCACAAAGCTCGATGAGCGTATCATCCGTACAGATCTGGATGAGGGCTTCAACGAGGGCAGACAATACGGCCGTGGAAAGAGCGGTGGTCAGGTCAGAGACGAGTACCGTGAGGAGTTTGATCCTGGCAGAGGAGGCTACGGCAGAGCCATCAAGGAAGACTATGATGTCTACAACGACAACTACCGATGAGCTTCTATTCTTCCTCTGTCAACCGGCATTTCCACGGAGTCCTGGCGTTCGACGATTGCTTTCATGTTCTTTTTCCCTGTGCAGCTTCATCAAAAGGGACGCTGCCATTACTCTCCGAGCATCGACGACGAGTAGCCGTGCATCTATTTCGTATATCATTCCAACACTTTCGATACCCACTTTACCTTCCTTGTCTTTTTATTTCTTCACTTGTCTTTGCTTACTCTACAGCCTGTAGTACCTGCTTGACCCACCACACGTGAATCCTCGCATCTCCCGTCAACTCAGGGTGGAAGCTAGTGCCAAACACATTGCCCTGTCTCACAGCGACAATATCGCCCTCCTCGCCCAATTCCCTCGCTGTAGTCTTGTTGTCGTTCAACGCCTTTGCTCTTCCCGGCAAGCGCGCCATGACTTCGACATTGCCGATTGCCTTTCCCTTGGAGACTGCCTTGGCCGGCGCGACAACCGTATCGTCCAACTTGGCCTGTTCCTCTTGCACCCCCTCCCGTGTCTCTAGAATCTTCTCCACCACAGGCGCCCTGATAAACACACTCCTGAACGGCGTCGTGGTCGTAGCAAAAGCCTCCCCGCCCGCATCAACCAAAAACGGCAAGTCCAACGCTGCCTCGAAACTCTCCACCTGACGACCGAAATGGTTGCGGTTGACGCGTACATCCAAGCCTCCTATCAACTCCTGTCCAGTCTGCTTTGTGCGGTTTGCAGACTCGGCGAGCAAGATGAGTCCAGCGCAGGTTCCCCAGGTGGGCTTGCGTTCTGCTTTTACAAAGTCGCGCAGGGGTTCGAGGAGATTGGATCGTGCGGCCACCAGAGAGATTGTGGTGCTTTCGCCGCCGGGGAGGATCAAGGCGGCACAGGAGGATAGTTGAGCGGCTGTGCGTACTTCGATGAATGACCATTTTCGTTTCGGGGCCGAGGGTTCCGAGTCGATGTAAGTGGCTGCTTGGTGGAGGAGTTGGATGTGTTCGCTGAAGGCGCCTTGGAGGGCCAGCACTCCGATGGTGATTTCGGACATGATTGTTTTGCTGTGGTAATTGTGTGGTTTGAGAGGCGGATGGGATGAATTGGGGAGAAGTATGACACATTTCTTATCGATAACGGATTGTTGTGCTTCACCGCCTTTGGGGGATCGGCCCCGCCATCACCACTGCTTCACTAAACAGTGGACCCCCCGAGAGTTGGTCAGACCGTCAGATCTGATGTGTATATAAACTCCAAGCAGATCTGCTCGCCAGAGCTCAAAAAACACAAAAAAAAATGTCAGAATCAAATCTCCAAGGCCTTACCTGCTGGCTCATCGACACCCGTTCCCTCTGGCCAGGCCAAAACATAAAAGACGCAGTTAGTGCCATACATCTCTCGCCCTTTCCACCCAACAAAACACAACCTTTTTTTAATCCAGTCCAGGCATCTGATATCTTGCACCTTCTCTCCGCCGACGAAAAAGATGCAGTGCTCCGCAAAATGTTCATCGCGGATGCAAAAATGTCCTTGGCCTCCGCACTGCTAAAACGCCTCTACATCTCTCGCGCATTGGATATACCTTGGAAAGACGTCCGCATCACCCGCAAAGGAGACCCCAAACACGGTAAACCCTGCGCGGCACTCCCCAAAGACTGTTCCGTTGCTCTCGACTTCAACGTCTCGCATCAAAACGGCCTGGTATCGCTCATCGGCTGGAAAAGCACTCCAGGAAGCAGCACCTCCTCCTCCTCCTCGGCAGCAGAGCAAGTCCAAGTCGGCACCGATATCGTATGCGTAAACGAACGCGATGACTACCGCACTATCGACGCAGAAGGCTTCGACGCATGGATAGACATCTACACCGATATTTTCTCAGAGCAGGAGCGCTGGGATATGAAATACACACTCGATCACATCACCCTGCTCAACGGCCTCGTTCTCCCAGGATCATCACTCAATCGCCTAGATCGCTGTATCGACCGCAACAAACCACTATCCGTTACTCTGCCTTCTGGGGAACAGCACACCTTTTGTTCAGATCTGATTGTAGAAGCAAAGTTACGTCGCTTCTACTCCTTCTTTTGCTACAAAGAAGCTTTTATAAAACTGTCAGGGGAAGCGCTGCTGGCACCTTGGCTCACCGATCTCGAGTTTCAAAACGTAAAGTCGCCGTTACCAGGTACACAAGCACGATGCTCCACTCATGGGACCTGGGGAGAAAGAGTCACAGATGTGGAGGTGTTGTTGCATGGAAGCAAGGTCGAAGATGTGCAGATGACGTTGCAGGCGTTCGAGGAGGACTTTATGTTGGCGACAGCGGTGAAAGGGATGGAAATGATGCGAGTGCCAGAGTGGAAGAGGTTGGACTTGGATAGTGAGGTATTGGCGTTTGCTGCTTGAGAGCATTGCATAGCTGGTCACCACTCGACGGTCAATGTTAGATGCTTGCAATGACACGCATACAAGGGACAAATTCTGGTAGACGCGTCGTCGACATCAATCACAACACAAAGGAAAAGAGAAACGTTATGGGTTTGAATCGGAAAGTCCATACTATTTCTAGAGTTACAGACAACATTCTGTTTGGCATAATCAGGTCGTCGCAACAGACCAACAACCAAAGATACCCCATGTAAAAAAAAATCCGTAATGCCTATGAAACGCCAGGGTGTATTTTGCTTCACTTCAACTCGGCTTTTCTCGTGACTTGCTACTTCTGGAGTCAAATCATTTAAAGCTCATCGTGCTCACCCATGTCGCCCTCGCTGTCCATGAGACCGTCCTTGAGGACGGCAGCAGCCTCGCCAGCCTGCTCGACAACTGCATCCTTGACGGCACCGGCGACTCTAGCGGCGACACCCTCAGTGGCAGCCTCAGCCTGCTTGGGCATACCCTCAGTCTCGACGTCGTCGCTCTTGGCGTCAGCGGCAATCTTGTGGCTACCGTTCTCGGTGATGAAGGCGGCGAGGTCCTCGACGGTGCGGGCACCGCTGTACTCAATGGGCTCACCCTTGCCGTGAGCGGGGAAGAGCTTGATGGTGGGGAAACCTTGGATCTCGTCGGGGACGTCGTTGGTGGTGGCATCGACCTTTGCGATGGTGACCTTGTTGGAGTGGGGCTTGAACAGCTCACCGAGCTCCTCGTACTTGGGAGCAAGGGACTTGCAGTGACCGCACCAGGGGGCGTAGAACTCAACCAGAACATCCTTGTCGGCGTTCATGACAATCTCGTCGTAGTTCTTGGCGACAATGATGGTGACGGGGCCGTCGTTCTTCTTGGGGATGGGGTCGGACTTGATGCTGGGGTCGACCTTGCCAGCAGTGAATTCGTCGAGGAACTTGGCGATCTTCTTCTCGGAGAGGTCAGTGCCCTCGAAGGGGAACTTCTGGTTCTTCTGAGTGTCCTGAATGGCGAAGGCGGGCCACTTGCCGACCTCGAGGTTGAGGTTACCAGCGTGCTGGCCGAAGGCCTTGGCGTCGATGGTAGCAAAGTTGACCTTGCCCTTGTGCTTCTCGGCGACCGACTTGAGGGAGGCGGAAAGAGTCTCGCGCTCCTCGGGAGTCTCGGCGAAAATGTAGGCGAGAGGAATACCAGCCTGGGATTGCAGTGTCAGCTTTGCGCTCAAGGAGAGACTTCCACAATCGAACTTACAGCCATGTAGGTAGAGTAGGTCTCGGGGCCGACCTCACCGATCAGAGGAACGGAGGCAGTGTTGGCGAAGGTGGTGATGGCCTCCTTGGTGAACTTCTCGTCGAAGGTGTTCTTACCCTCGTCGAAGCTCTTGTAGAGAACGATCGAGGGTTGCTTGACACCCTCGGCCTTGGCCAAAGCGGCGTCGCTGGTGGCACCGAAAAGGAAGTTGTCGCGGAGGCCGTTGGCGGCAGCGGTGAAAGTTTCGTTGGAAGCCTTGTCGTCGGCGGCGAAGTAACCGACCAGGACGACCTTGTCGGCGGTCTTGAAGTCCTCAATGGTGGCCTTGTCGACGATGGAAACGGCGGGGAGGGACTGCTTGGTCATGTACGAGACGATGCTGTAGGATTGTCAGCTGGGCTCCGAGGTTGTGATGGTGACGGTAGAACGTACGCAGGGGCCTTGCGCTGGCCGCTGTAAGGGGAGACATTGTCGAGGCCTCTGAAGACCTTGAGGGTTGGGTAGCCCTCAACACCGTGGTCGCGGCAGAGGTCGGCCTCCTCGGTGCAGTCGATCTTGGCCAGGGCAATGTTCTTCTCCTTGAGGGTTGTGGCGGCCTCCTCGTACTCGGGTGCAAGAGCCTTGCAGTGTCCGCACCAGGGGGCGAAGACTGTGTGACGCTGTTAGATGTGCTGGTGGTAAAGTGGTCCTAGAAGCGGTGCTTACACTCTGCGAGGACGAGGTCGTTCTCCTCGACGAAACCCTTGAAGGTATCCTGCTTAAGGTCGACAACGTCGGAAGCGGCGGCCAGGGCGGCTGCGCCGAGCAGACCCAGAGCTGCGAAGTTGCGCATTGTGATGTGATGTGTGAAGAGGTAGTAGAACAAGAAACAGATCAAAGGACAAGCACAGGATAGAAAAGTGCAATGTCTGGTGAGTGCTTCGTAAGGAAGTTCGAGTCAAAGGAGACAGATCACCTTGAATGTGCTTGCTAAGCCGGCGAAGGGACCAACTGGCCTCTGACCGCGAAGCTTCGCGAACCCCGCCTTCTTCCAGACTTGCCCCTGGTTTCAGCTCGTGGTTAATCTATTCCATGCCTCGATATTGCATTGGCTATGATCGCTATAGCCTGATGTCGCTCACCGAGCAAGACTCATTCGATCATTGTGAAAGAGCAATGTATTCTTCTCCCAGAACTCCACACCATCAACTAAGAGAGGGGTATCTGGATTAAAAGAACCATTCATCTACGTGGACTCGGATACGGCCATCCGATAAGCAGCATGCCGCGGAGCTAAGAATCCAAAAGTCCAGAACACAACCATCAGCTCTCATCACAACCACCATCACCATCACATCTGAGACAATCACATCTCCTGTACCCAAACTTCCATCTTGCCCATCTCGACTCCATCTCTACCCGCCTGTTCTTTCGCAATCGTCGTCAACATTTCCAAATCGTCTTCATCTCCCATGGTAACCATGTCCCCCTCTTCATCTTTCATTTTCATCTTGAAACTTTCTTTACCTGCGTATCCGAACTTCTTGCGTATTTGTTCTACAAAGGCGTCGTAGGAAACGTCGGGTTGTATCATCACATAGCGTGTATCTGATGCAAACACCTTTACGCGTATTTTGCGAAGGGCTGCGGGAGCAGGTTGTGGTGCTGGTGGGATGGTAGGTGTGATCTCGTAGGGTAGTGCGTTTGTGATTGTGGTCTCGAGGAGAGCATGGAGAGCAGGGTCGTCTTTGAATGTTTGACTATCTTTTGATTCTTCTTCTTCTTGTGCGGATGTTTCGTCTTCTTCGGCGATGGAGCGAGGATACTCGCGCAGGGACTGCCCTCCTGATCGCGTGCGTTGATGATTGAAGGATGTCGGTTGTAGTTTCTCAGGCTCGGCGAGTGCTTGTCGCACCGCCGAGGCCACTGTATCCGGCGTATATACATCCGGTCGTAGGACGTGTGTGTCATCGTGTGTTTGATAAGAGTCCGAATGCCGATCGCTCTCAAGTCTTCTCTGTGGCTTTGAACGTGAAGATTGAGGGTCGCGCGCTCTGGGTCTCTCCGAAGCAGATCTTAGGGTTCCCAGCCGTGGCTTCTCTATTACCAGACTCGTTGTTGACGAGGATGCTTCAAAAGCAGCAAGTCCCAGATCCAGTTTCGCAGGTTTAGATGTTGATGGCCGGCTTTGATGCAGTCCTGTCGGCAGGCTTGCTGTGCTCTCGGTCGATCTGCGTTTGGTACTCGTTGTCGCCATCTGGGCCGCTCTTTCGGCTTCAGGTGGTGGAGTAGGTGGAAACATGTTTCTCTGAATAGGTGGCTCTGATTGTTGACGCGAGCGACTTGCGAGTCCGGTTCTGACGAGATTGATAGCCGCATATGATAGCTTTTCCTCGGGACGATCGTCTATCGCAAAGCTCGAGGCGGTCAGGTTACGTCGATGATCCAGATAGACCTGTTTAGTTCTATCTTGTGCCCGAACTAAAGTTGAGGTTCCGAGGTAGTTCTTGGACTTGATGTTTTTGACTTTGGCCTCATTTGGTCTGTACAGCATGCCTACTGGTATGGAGAATACAGTATAGCCCTGATTACTGTCAGCTACGACGGAAAATACTTTTCGATCGAAGACTTACCTCGGCCTGTTCACGTATCGCTTCGTCGATCACATCGTGGTCCGGTACAGCCTTCTCCTTGGATGCATAAAACAGATCCTGAAGACCAGCACTTCGCTGCTGAAGATAGATATAGCAGAGACCACGATTGAAGAGCGCCTCGCAAGAGTGAAGTTTGAACTTGAGACCCAATTGATCGTAGTCGATCCATCTGTTGCCACGGAGGTACAGTAGCGTGTCGTTGAAATTAGCCAGAGCCTCCTCGAAATCTCCCAGGAGAAAGTTGGAGACGCCCTGCTGGAAATAGGCTATGGCCATATACTGGTCAAAGTGGATTGCTCTCTGATAACATTGAACCTGGGACATGTCTGAGTATCGAACACGAGGACACAGCACGATATGATCGCTTACAGCTTGAGTATGCTCTCCTAGCGTCGCATGTATTACGGCGCAGTTGAAGAGTATCTTCGATGTGTCTGCGACCGTCATGAATGCTCGGAGAGCAGCATCGTATTCGTTGTAGTCGTAATGCTCCAAAGCTCGTACCCACGTCTCAATCTCCTTGATCGACTTATCAGCAGTGGCTCCCTCGAGCAAAAGTCAATGACTTACTTGTTTGAGTGACATGACTAAGAACAAGGGGCACGGTATAACTACACCAAAGCTAAAATCCACTCATGTGGATGGTTGCTCGACAATCGACAATTGTATAAGGAACAGAAAACCCGACAGGTCGGAATACGAAATTTCTTGGTCACAGGTCGAGAAGAAGATGCGCGTGCAGTGCTTGAATAGACAACTGAGGAGAGACACAGACTTACATGGACAGTTAGGGGATATAACATGCAGCTTTGAGCCGACCAAGAACAGTGTGCTACATCGTAAAGCGTGGGGTACTTGGGCGCTTGAGCGGGCGATCGCATTGGCTGGACGACGTCGAGAGACCAATCACGGAAAGCGATCATGCACTTGGCGAGGATGTATATCATGCAGGTCGATTCGGTTGGTGGGCGGCGCTTAAAACTGACACTTCAGTACATTGAAGTATGTGAAGAGATTGAGTCGAGGCGTTGGTTTCAATCCAAGACACTTGGCTGGCTTCGGATCCAAAGCGATTCTCCAATCGACTGTCACATCTTATACAAATCGTTGTAATTCGCGGAGACTGATAGCTTCCTTGGAGGATAAATTTCCACCGCAACGAAGTCGGTGTGTTTCCCAGACGGAGGTGTCCTGCCGGCATTGGGTGAACGCTGCGTTGGCATTATCATAACTCGTGATTCCAAGACAATAAGATCAAGCATGCTGCAGATATACTCAATGAAAGCGCGTATGTGCACGAGACTTTCATCTCTTTGCAACAGCTTAGAGCATGCCCTTTCCGACCTGCTCCGTCCTCTCTTCCCACACAGTCTTGCCCGAGCACGAGCAAACAGTCTTGTCGTTATCCCAGACGCCGGCACTTCTGGCAATGACACCAACAAGAGTGTCAGGATCCTCCTTGTCGAACTTGCCGTCTTGTTGTCTGGAGACGACTATGCTGCGGCCGATCATCTCCCAAATTTGGATAGGCTTGTCGAGGAAGACAGAAGCGATGCCGCTCTTGTTGACCTCGACGGTACCGAAGACACCTCTAGCAGACTGAGGCTTGCCCTCCTCTTTGGCACGTAGCATGTCCCAGATGGCACCGGTGTTTTCAGCGCCGCGCGAGATGTCGCCAGTCTCGCGAACGGTCGCGTGATATGTGCCAGGCGAGAGACCACGAATGGAGAGATCGATGATGGTCATGTTTGAAGAGACCTGGACCATGCGAATCAAACCGCGCACCTGATCCTTGACGGAGGAAGAGTGTGTTTCGAGAATGCAGACGGCAGCACTTTCGGACTTGCCCGAGCCTCGTAGAATAGCATCGCGACCGGTATCCTGGATAGCGGCAACAATGGCGGAAGGGGCAGCAGTACCATTTACTGAGATGAGCTGGTTTGGGAGGTCGGCCGAGACATTATGAATGCCTTGTGATCGCATTAGACAGGGAGGAAGTAGATGGAGGGGTAGCGAGAGCATGTACCGGGAAGCTTGTACAAGGACGTTGACACGTCTTTGATGCACGATTCACAGCTGAGAGGCACTGCGAAGGTTGTCTCGAACGGAGGAATCATGGCGGTGTATTGAATGTATTACGCAAGTCTATGAGAGAAATAAAAGACAACATGGTGGATGGTCTTGTTAATGGCAAGAGAGCGAGCCGGTTGCGCCTTCCGTGATTTCAAAGCGGCCCCGGTCGGTCTTCATTCAGCCTTGGCACATCTTTTGTCCATCGAGAAGTTACTCGACTGCGCATATCGCATTGGAGGGCAATTGCAACACACACATTCCTCCCCGAGTATACGACACCTCGAACCATTCTGGTCCCCCTTCGCAGACAATCAGCGTCCCATCAGCGCGCACCTGTACCCTCACCGAAACACCACCCAGGCCACCGAGCCTTCACCAATTCACAATGTCGCAATACGTCGGAAAGGTACACCACAGCCCTGAATAGAATGTGAAAAAAGAGCAAGGAGCTGAGAATTACTAGACAAACCTCGCCTACTCGCGCGCATGGCACCTCATCGATGTAGGCGCTGACCCCCGTCCCCTCGGCCGCATCGCCTCGCAAATCGCCATTACCCTCATGGGCAAGCACAAGCCCATCTGGGACCCCTCGACCGACTGCGGAGACTATGTTGTTGCCGTCGGTCTTCACGACCTGCACACCACCGGAAAGAAGCGCTATCAGAAGAAGTACTACAGCCACACCACCCGTCCTGGTAGCTTGAAGGAGATTACCATGGACCGCATGATGGAGAAGTGGGGTGGCTCAGAGGTCTTGAGGAGAGCTGTCAGGGGTATGTTGCCCAAGAACAGACTGAGAGATGACCGTATGGCTAGGCTGAAGAGTGAGTTTCTGCACAAAAGCACACGAACGGGACAATTCCTAATCACTACCTCTGCAGTGTTCGAGGGTACCGCTCACCCCTACAAGCAAAACATCATGAAGGACTACACCCGTCCTTCAATAGCACAGCAACCCGAGGTCAAGGTTGCCTTTGCTCAGCAGAAGCAGCAATAGTCGCATTGCAGCCCCTGTATTATTTAGCATCTTACTTTTCTTCACGGCGTCAAGGAAAAATCTTTCACACGGGGTGTTATTGGTTTGTTTGAAATTCCCGTTCTCTGTATCAGAACCATGTAGATATAACCCGCGCTGTATTGCCAGCCTACTTTTAACGCCCAGCACAAAAAAAAATTATATATCATCCTTCATGTCATGAAACGCCCTCTATCACTCCCGAACCCAATCCACGATCGATTTACAGCTTGGCCTTGGGATCCTTTCGCGACACACGGCAGTGAATCAGACCGTTGGGGTCGCTTTGAGGGGCGTACACCTCAGCGTCCTTGCCGTTGTTCTTCAAGCCCTTGAACCAGCTGAGGTCAACCTCAAAGTAATGCTTGTTGGGCAGAGTGTACTCGATGTCCGTCGTATCGGGGGCAGCAACGAGGATCTGGTTGCACATGTTGTACATGGTGGCTTGCACACTAGGACTGTTCTCCTTTGCGAAGGTGTCGATGGTGATTTGTCTGGCAGCCTCGTAGCACTTGTTGAATTTGTCCTGCTCCTTGCGGACCTGCTCGACATTTTTGAACTGCTTCCATTGCCATGAGTTTTGGACTTCGGTGCTGAGAATGCGGTCCCAGGTTTCGGGCAGTCTGGTGTACTCGTCTCTGTGGAAGCCGTAGAAGGCAGAACCGGTGCTCTTGAGGACCAGGAGGCCGTCGATGCCGGACTTGACGGTGATGCCTTGACCGCGTCTTGCGACAACCTCGACAGTGCGTTTGTCGGTACCATCGCGGAGGAAAGAGTGAGGGTGGTCTTTGCCGTCGACAGTCATGCGACTCCAGCGGTGAACAATGATCTTGACATGTGCGACGTGAATGTGGCTGTAAGTGTCGATGAAGTGTTGGCCGAGGATAGAAGCGAAGAGCTCAGGAGGGTCGACGGGGTTCTGCTTGGCAAGTACGTAGACGGTCTGCTTCTGAGTATCGGTTGCGACGACGGGCGAGTTGTCTGCCTTGGTGTAGCTGCAGTTTATTAGAAGGACGCACGAAACACCTTGATGTTCGGTACGACTTACGACTCCTCGATGTCACCCTCGAGAAGGGTGCAGACAGTCATCTCGGTGACATGCTGAAGACCATTTTCCTCGCGGCGGACCTTGAATAGGCGGACATTGTCCTTGCCATAGCGTGCATAGCTGAGTTGCGAGTGAGACATGGTTGGATAAATTGTGCTAGAAGACTTGGGAGGTATGTCGGGGGAGCAGACGGCAGAAATGATTCAAGTACTGCAAGGACAGGTACAGATGGACTACTGATGACTACAAACCAGACTCGAGACGACGGGGAGATTCAGGTAGATATAAAGATGGGCGATAGAGCTTATCACTTGTGCTGGGCGGGTGCGCCCGCAGAGAGTAACGGGATTTGAAGTACCTGGCCGGCCCTGTCTATCGGCGATGGCCGACGTGAACAGGTGGGAGTGTCCGGTCGACAGACGATTGTATTCGACAGCAGCGAAGCAATCGTGAAGAGTGGAGAAGGTCAGGAGATGGTCAATTGCATGATGCATCAGAGCATGAAGATTCCAAACTCAACTCAGACGGTGACAGAAGGAGGAAGGGGCAGCAATTTTGGCGGAGAAGGAGTTCGCCAAAGGGAAGTCGCGGCGGGGACAGCAAGAGTGGGGACTCAGTTGGAGGCTCGAAACACATGCAGATGCTGAAACGGCCTTGGCACTTGTACATGATTGCATCAACAGGGACCGCTCTATAGCCCGTAGCTAGCAGCCAACATCGCCGCCGTCGTATACAGACATCCGGTCACCGCGACGGAGCTGATGCGCTCTCTGCACCTCGTAGCTGCCGCTGCCGGCTCTCGACACACGCCCCATGACTAGACAGACGTGGTCGTTATGCCGCCCATGACACGGCCCACGGCGCATTCTGTGACCGGCCACACCAACGATCAATCCCTCTTGCCGCCTCAGTTCAAGGACAATCGCTCTCACTCGGCTACCAGTCTGGTCTCCAAGACACTTCCCCCAGGCAGCTTCTCCACCGAACTGCGACCCACCGTCTCACGAGTTGAGAATGCCCGCATCGACTTCTCTACCTTCGATGTTGATCAATCTGCGTCCGCCGTGACCACCGAACAACGTCTTGCCGAATACCGCGACAAGATCGAGAAGGAGACAAAGATCAAAATTGGCAGCGAGAATCTGCTCGAGGCTCTCAACACAAAGAATGCGAAACAAAGTCGCGACCAGCGCCGCCTGGTCGAGTCGGAGCTCAACACTTCGAATCGCAAGATTGCTCAACTGAAGCTACACCTTGAGGCTGAACTACAGCGCCAGAAGGAATCTGCTGTCAGTCCTGCCAACCGTCTCTCCTTCGCTATTCCACAAAGATCTCCTTCCAACCTTACCCTGCTCCAAAATGCCGAACCGGATGACCTGGACCCGGAGTCCGAGTCGCCCACATATATCCTGGCAGAGATTCTACAGGCCCTCGAGATTGAGGATATGAAGCCTGACTACTACGTGAGCCACGCAAATGAGTTGGTGGGCCTGTTCAAACGGCATCCTGCGCTGAAATATGATTTGGCGTGGTCCATTTTCGGTCTGCGTATGCAGATGATGCTTCTCAGCGATAGTCGCGAGGTTATTGCTGCAGGTTATCGCGTTTTGCGACATGCCATAACCGATCGCAAATCATTACAAACCATTCGAGCCCATCACACAGACTTTCTCGTCATCCTCTCGTTGGTCAAGGAAGCCAAGGCCATGGTCGAGAGAGAGCAGGCATTGAAACTCATCCGCGCTTTCCTTGATGTCAAAGACGGTGTCCACGAAGTCGCGCCGTCCGTCGTCCGAATCATAGTCGCTATTGCCGAACACCCAGAGGATCGCCTTCGTTCAATATCCATCATGACCTTGGCCGAGCTGCTCATACGTAGTCCTGATCTTGTCGTCGCTGCTGGCGGTATCGGCACTCTGGCTGACGCCATGGGCAACGGTGCCTACCAGGCTCCAGAAACACTAGCTTCGGTCTTTCTACATCTGCTCGATCTACCAGCGCGGAGAGGTCTCTTACGCTCTGGTTTCGAGCTCAGTCTTCCATTCGCGGCTTTCACTGAATCTCCGACCTCGAGCGCTCACGAGGATCGCATGAAATCGAGTGCGAAAGTGGTAGCAGCGTTATTCAAGAGCTGGGCCGGTATTATGACAATATCCTTGCATGACTTCCTGCCAGCTCGCTCTGTGGTGTCTTCCTTGTTAATCGACGCCGCGTCGGTGAGGTCAATCGTACTTGAGCTTCTCTTTGACATCCTTCGCATCAAGCCCCCATCTTGGTCTTCCTCTTTCTTAGCAGGCAGACGACTGACTACATATGGTCGCGTTACCAACCTCAAAGCGAATGACCATCACAAGCCTACCAGCAGCGACCCTGAAGAAGCCTCGAAGAGGATGAGTTTGATAGAACACTTTTCTGCAGTCGTTTTGACAATCCTCTTACGAGTTGGTCTATTACCAGCATTGATGCACGCTGAACGTGACGCACCAAATCTTGCTCTCAAGCGAAAAACGACATTACTGATCGGTGAGGTGTTGAAGCTTGCGAACCAGCTACTGCCTAGTGAATGGAGCGCTGAACTCCAAGTGCTACCAGATCTGTTCCACCAAGCGACGGCGTTTGGTCAAGACGAACGATCGCAGGCTGTAGCTACAGTATATCAAGTCGACAGTGTTAATCGCACATTATATCGATCTGTGGGCGGAGGGCCGGGTGTCAAATCTACACGTGCCGACGAATTTGAGCCCATCAAGTCTGCAGAGCAACCGAAGGTGCAGATGAGCGCCAACATGGATGAAGCACAATTCAGGGGACTACTCATGGAGTGTCAAGTCTTGAATACCGTCAACTACACCAAATGGAGATGGGATCTGATCCAACCCATGATTGAGGGACCCCTGACCAACTCACGGAGATTAGACGAGGCGATGAAGGCGACAAAATTCGTCCATCGTCTACTGGGTTTCCTTCGACCATTTAAATACAGATTCTCAGACGCAAAGAACACGAAGCCAAACCAACGTTATGTCAGAACTGGGTGTTCGCTTGTCCGCACGCTACTCATGACTCCAGAGGGCACAAAGTATCTCGCTGACAACAAGATGTTGCGACAGATTGCAGAATGTTTGGCTCAGTTCGACCGTATGAGTGGGATCACATCTACAACGCCACTCTTCTCTCCGGACAGACTGGCAGACACACTGGTAGGTGGTTACTTCGCCATTCTCGGTGTTCTTTGCAGCGACCAGAAAGGACTACAAATGATGGAACGATGGAAGATCATCAACATGTTCTATCACATCGTTGAGCTCAGAGGCAGAGACGATCTGATCATGGCTTTACTCACGAATCTGGACTATACTCTAGACAGCCATCCTCGCATCATTCTTTCGAAGGCCATGATCTCAGGGTCCAGAGACGTCCGCATAGCCGCTACGAGGATACTACGCAAGTACGCCATCAGACCGCTAGATGCTGGCCCAAAATCAAGCGGCAGTGGAGAATGCGCTGCGTGGGCGATCCGCTTGTTGGTGACACAACTCTACGACCCTGAGATCGAGGTCTGCGAAATTGCCATCAAAATCCTCGAGGAGGCTTGCAACGATAACAACTCACTTGAGTACGTTGTAAAATGCCGACCAGCACTGGACCACCTCGGCGAAATCGGTGCACCTCTTCTGCTCCGCTTCTTGTCTACTTCGGTTGGTTATCACTATCTTGATGGTCTCGATTACATCACGAAAGAGATGGACGACTGGTTCCTCGGCCGCAATGACACCTACGTGACTCTGGTCGAGGCCTCGCTCGCGCGCGCTCTAGCCGACATACCCGAGAAAGCAGTCTCGATGTTCGAAGAAACGCCCGTGCCACAAGACTTCGGCCTTGTCCCTCCACACTTCTATCGCGAACTCACACGCACCGCAGAAGGCTGCGAGCTGCTAAAAACAAAGGGTCATTTTGAAGAATTCGTAGCTACGATACAGGATTTCGGTATGGAAGAGGAAGATGCAGAGACGATCATCAAAATCAAGGGTTGTCTTTGGGCGGTGGGCAATGTAGGATCCATGGAGTTGGGAGCACCATTCCTGGAGCAATCGTATGTCACACAGCACATCATCGAGATCGCAGAGAAGTCTGAGGTGTTGACTTTGCGAGGAACTGCTTTCTTTGTGCTAGGTCTGATTTCTAGATCTTTGCATGGTCAGGAGATCCTAGCAAGTCATCATTGGAATGGCACGGTCAATATGTTGGGGGAAAGTTTGGGGTATTGTCTACCCCTTGACTTTACCAAACTCTTCAACATTCGACAATGGGGACCCACACACCCATCCCCATCGACCCTGACCTCTCCCTCGGGCCACCTACACACTTCCCCTTCCCTCACCAAACCTCCTACCACCACTCTCCTTCCCACTACTACCTCACCACAAACGACCGAAATCCTCAAAGCAGTAATCAAACTCGGCAACACTGTTCTCTCCAACAAAGCCGCCGCAGATCTCAATCTTCTGAAACAGAAGAAAGCTGCAGGTCTACGCAGTCCAGTGGTCTTTAAGCAAGTTTTGGAGGTGTTGAGTGGACACAAATACAAATTGCCGGCGTGCAGATTTGTGTTTGATCTTTTTGATCGGGGAGTGTTGAGGAGGTTGGTGCTTGATGAGGATGAGAGCGACGAAGAGGTTGAAGAAAGTAGTGACGAAGGGGAGGGAGCGGGCATGGGAGGAGGGTTCCAGGGGGCTTTTGGGGGCGGTGCGGTGGTGGCTGCTTGAGCAGGTGTCGTTGCATTGCAAAAGGTATTTGGGTCGATCGAGAGGTTGACAAAAAAAAGGCGTTTTTGGAGTTCTTCTCGGTACATTTATGGTGTCTGGTGGTGGGCTTGAGCGATGAAGCATAGTCGTTAAGATATGGTGCTGTTTTGGAAGAATGGGATGTAGGCGATCATTTGCCTTCTGCCTCTTACTTTGTAGAACCGTCTGCAAAGAAACGATCTCACGTGTCTTGTCATTTGTCGGGTGCCTCCTTCCACTTTCTCGATTTTCGATTTCGAGTCCTTCGTGCATAGTCTTTACATCGGCTGGAACCGCTATACACCAACAACTCTTCAATCTACAACTCTCCAACAGCTCCAGGACCTCCTGCTCTCGAGTTCGAGATCATACCACACATATAGCCACAACCTAACAATGCCATTCGCAAACGCGAAACGATCGCTTCGACATTCTCCCACCTCTAGCCTCTCGTGGTCCGAAACAGTCGTCACAACTTACCCGACACCGTTGGCATCACAACTTCACCATGTTCTACATAATCCTGTCGGCGTGCCCCCACTACTACACTCGAGTGGTGTCGGCGTTGACGCATTGGAAGCAATGGCAATGCGCTGTCTCTTGGATCATCTGGAGCTGCTGGAGAGAGAAAGCTTAGAGCAAGTGCCTGAGATATTGCTACACAAGATCTGGAGGCTTGTTGAGAGCAGGTGAGTTCGTCTTCTTTCCCTCTGTTGCTTGTTTACTTTTCGTCGAAAGATTTGGGAGGCCCGCGAGAGAGGCAGGGTTGCACTGTTGACAAGCATTATCTGAGCCAACGATGTGATTGCGGCATCAACTCGAGGACGGGCATCATTGATATACTTCAGGAGCCTTTTTGAGAAGTCAAAGTTGCTTCGGCCATGATACCATTTCGTCAGGACTGGCCGTTGAGGAGCAACTGATCAATATCTGTTTTCGTCCCCTCCATACAAGACTTTCGGCACCAAACCCCTGCTTCCTCTGCGAGATTGATCCACAAGACCAATAACACAAACATACATCATATTCAGAGGACTAATGTCTCTATCGCAGTAACCTTGTCACTCTCCATGTCTGGCAGATCTTTACAAAAGCCTGTCCAGTTGACCTATCAAGGTCTACCCGCAAAACAATCACACATCACCACATTCCTCTTTCCCTTCTTTCTCCTCATATCTCTGCTTCCCCTCTCCATTACCTTATCTCTCTGACTCTCATTTCATCCATCTCCGACACCAATGCCTCTCTGTCTTGCCTCTCTACCCTACCTAATTTGATGTCTCTGCACATCAACGGCGATTCCTCTTCCACCGAAAACAGCTCCATGATTTCCGACGACACCATACGCCTCTGGAATAAGAAGGCGAAGCTTGACAAGGAAGTGTTCCCGTGTCTGAGATATCTGTTTTTGAGGTTTCAGTTTGGCGTCACAGAAAGAGCATTGGCAGAATTGGAGTATTTTCCGCGCTTGGAAATGGTGGTTACAAGTCGATGTGGTGTTAAGATCAGAGAAGCGAAGAAGATTGTTAGGGAAAAGGGGTGGAAAATAACAAAGTATGTATTTCTCCTTCCAAACACTTTGGACGATGTGCAACTAACGACGGTGAATCGCAAAACAGAAACGCCTTCTTCGCCCACGCCGACACAACCCTCGAATCCTCGCCACGAGGACGAAATTACCTCGACGTTATGAACAGCTTCATCGCTTCCTCCGTCTCCTCAACACCATTGTCTCTTATACAAATCGGACGTCAAGCGCCTACTCTATCCACAAATGTTTTGCTCACCACTCAAGAAATAGAATGTTGGGTCAAAGACTCGGAGCCGAGCGAAGCAGTAAAGATAGAGGAGCTAAGGAAGAGGCAACAGGCGAGGGATGTGGAGGAAGCAAAGCAAGAGAATGGCAAGAAGAGACGGAGGATTAAGGAAGCGAAGAAGAGGGATTTGTTGGCTCTGCTGGAGGGGATGTGAGGAAACGGAAGGGAAAGACGAGGCGAGAGTGAGAGGGGACGGTAGAATAAACACTGATCTGGAAAGACATGTCTCTAGACAAAGGAAAGGTGAATCAGAACATGACTTACGAAAGACATTGGCGAATCAGTCATCGACCAATGTCCGAAGAGATTGACGCAGGAGCAAGAAGATAGAAAGCTCCCAGTATCACCATCGCAAATTTCCCCTGGAGAGGACATGAGAGCAAGAGTTATATTGGAGACCGAAAAGATTATTTTTCAAATGCTGAAAGTCCAATTTTTTTTGGTGCTGTCTAAGATATAAAGTAGCTTTGTTTGATAGAAATCCAGGTTCAACCTGTGAATCCTTTTCCTTTCATCACATTAAACTAAAGGATAGAACGCCATCCGCTCATGATCGATAACAAAGGGAATATCTGGGTTGTGTCCATCCATGTGCTCCAGGCACTGTGCTCATGAAAGGGTGATTTGTCGTTTGTGGGTAAGATGCAAAAGAGGAGTTTGGGAGAGCAACTCTTTACATGCAGGCGGCACCGTCGATGCCAATGACCTTGCCGTTGACCCACTCGCCGTCCTGGGAGGCAAGGAAGCAGACGACGCGGGCAATGTCGATGGGCTGGCCAACACGCTGCATGGGCGACCAGGTCTTGGCGTACTCGTCAACCTGGTCGTCGGAGAGCTTCTCACCGCCGGGGATGTACTCGCGGCAGACGGCGTGGTACATGTCGGTCTTGATGCCACCGGGGGCAACGGCGTTGACGGTGATGCGCTTGTCACCAGAGTCGATGGCCATGCAGCGGACAAAGGTCTCGATGGCACCCTTGGAACCGGAGTAGACGGCGTGCTTGGGGACACCCTTGGCCTGACCGGTGATGGAGCCCATCAGGATGATGCGGCCGCCGACGGAAAGGTGCTTGTAGGCCTCACGGGCAACGAAGAACTGGCCGCGGGTGTTGATCTTGAAGACGCGGTCGAACTCCTCCTCGGAGACGTCCTTGAAGTGACCGAAGGAGACGACACCGGAGTTGGAGCAGACAATGTCGAGCTGACCGAAGTGCTCGACGGCCTGGTCGAAGAGCTTGATGGTCTCGGAGACCTCGCCGACGTTGGCCTTGATGGCGATGGCGTCGGTGCCGTTCTTCTTGATCTCCTCGACGACCTGGTTGGCGGCGTCGGCAGAGTTGGCGTAGTTGACAACAACCTTGGCACCACGCTTTCCGAGCTCAATGGCCATGGACTTGCCAATACCACGGCCTGTTGATGCGTGTTAGAGGAGTGAACATAACGAAGATGCAGAAGGAAACTTACCAGAGCCAGTGACAAGGGCGACCTTTCCGTCAAGGCGAGAAGTCTCAACAGCAGACATTGTGATTGTGTTTGTTGGTTGGGTTGGTAAAGGTGGGAAAGTGGTAAGAGAAGCGAGTGGCTTTGGAGTGTAGTAGGTTGGATGAGGAGTTGATTGATGATGGGAAAAGAATGACTTAGCCTGGTGATTGTAGACCTCTATATACCATTGATGCTCGCTCTTTCGTTCTCAGAAAAGTTCCGAGATGTTGAGTCCACGTTCGGAGAATTTCCCAATGATAGAACATGACGGCTCCACTCGGGTTTGGTAGAGGCAGTGGATCAGACGAAGCACTGGGCAACGACAGTAGCAAAATGGCAGTGTACCAACCTCATCGATAGCTAGCTAGGCTCCAAAGGGCGAGCAAGGCGCAAATGTGCAAGGGGATCTTCGCGCCGGACCAAGTCGCCGAAAGAGCGAGCAGCGAGACATACTCTCAATCAGTCCGTGTGAGTTTCGGAGAGGCATTATCGACCAGCAATGCTCGGCAGGGCTACACGCAGAAAGTCGAGCGTGGAGACTAGATGGCAGGCATGTGGTGCTGGAGCCGCTGCAGAATGGACGTTCAGCACGGACGCAGTTGGCAGCCAATGTTCGGACTTTTGGTCTTGGGTGCAGCAATGACGACGATCATTGCCGAACTCTCAGAGAACATCCATGCTCCCGAACATAGTCGTCTACCTCACCACTGCAACAGCTTGTGAAACCTCTGGATACAGCAGATTCTAATCCTGTGTCGAGATATTCTATACCTGTGGCCAGTCGTTTGAACTAGCATGTCCCTCGTGCCAAGTGTGGTCCCTTTTGTTGCCCTTTGCATTCCAGGAATACCCGGTGCCTGGGTCTTGTCTCAAATGATCCAAGTTTAGCCTTTGGGGGCAACTCGGAGAATAGTGGATGCGGCTGAAGTGCATCAGATTGGCTTTCCAAACGGGGCCCCGGCAGTGCCCGAAGTCGTCGAGGTATGTTTCCAGCTACGGAAAAGGCGAGAGCGCGAATAAAGTGCGCCTCCCGTGCTGAGCGGCTCTCGTTTCGCGATAACTTGTGGGGTAGTTTTACTAGCCCCGATTTGCCTGCCTGCCTGCCCTGTCCACCAGATTTCTGCCGAGTATGAAGTTTGTTCGCACCTCTCGCGCGCGGCTCGGCGTCGGGTGGAGTGAGTAGATACACGGAGCAAGTGGCTTGAAGGGTAAGCGCTGGCAGCGTGTTGCTTGCATCGATTATCGAATGCTTGGTCTTGCTGCTTCTCGGTCGCGCCTCTGTTCTCTCTCCCGGACCCTCACCAAGACGCTATCGAAATCCCGCGGTGTTCAGCAATCAGGATGTTGTCCGAGGCTCGTATCTGCATTCCTGAGCTTCAGCTATGTCGAGGCGAGTCGACAAGCTCCGGAAGAACCGCTTCCTTCTCGTGTCGTGGGAAGTACAGGTACCATAGTCACTCCCAAGAGGTCTCGCCAAAGCATCACGCAAACGGGCAATGCTACAGCAGGATTGTTGAGCTGCTCCAGCGCGATGGCAATGTATTGCTGAGAAACACGAAATGAGCTGTATGGTCAGCAACGTGGTGATGGTAGATTTGCCTAACGTGATACCAAGCTCGTGGTGTTTCCAGCTGAGCCTTGGAGAGTCGAAAGATCCTCGTCAGATTGCGCTTGGCGAGTTGTGAGTGTTTTGTCATCTTCGGTATGACAGCGTTTCCCGTGCTCTTGTAGTCCTGGGCATCCGTCTTGGAAATCCACCTTGTTCAGACGTTGCGCGGCCTCTCACCACCGACTTCTCTAACCTGGTATGCAGTGAGCAGTGTCATGCTTCTTTTTCAGGACGTTGAATATTTCGCAGGATAACTTTGTGCACTCCGTGCATCATGCAGTGCGACTGCAGCTCCGGATTGCTTCTCGGCTGCCCGCCCAGTCCGCTGCAGCGCTTCCCTGGAACCTTTCTCACCAAACATTACCACTGCTGGACCATCACCAGGACTGTTTATGGATGAGCAGAGTATCATTGCCATGTCAACGCGTAGGAGAGCCTGCTCACGACCAACGATAGCCACCTCGAGGCCGATCCCCTGGCGGTTCTCCATGGGGTAGCGATTCCTCCGTCCAAGGACGCATGAATGAGATCACTGAAACACGGCAAGCCATTACCACTCGGTCGGAGGACATCAAAAACGCCGTTTCGTGAAATGCATGATGGGAAGTATCGCAACATTGTTGTCCGCCGGCAGAGCAGAATAGCAACACGAATAGCCATGGCGCCCCAGAGACACCCACCAGGGCCCTCAGATAGCATAGACAGCATAACAATACAGATCTCAATACCGTCTCCACTACAGCTCCAGTCCTAAAGCACATTTGCGAAACAGCATAGCAGTCATAGTAGACATTGTGGTCTGAGATCAGGTGGTCGTTCTCCAACTCCTGAAATTCCGGATCACCACACTAGAACACGAGACCCTCCTCACCTCCGAAGTGCACCTCCGGACATTGTTGGTCTGATCTGCTATTTTCATCACAATTGTGTCAGGGGCAAAAAACAAAATGTCCTGTTGATCCATGCACCGGACAATGTTGGTTTTGTCCGGGTTTCAGGAGTTGTTATAAAGTCGTCGTTTCTCACGGTCTTGGGGTTGCTTGATTTTTCTTGCTATATCTGGGCTCACGGATGGAGTCGTACAATCCGAAATCCATCTTACATGTTTAATGAACTGTCTCGGAAGAACGACCTTGGTATCACTGGACTGGATCAACCTCAGTCAACAAGAGCCTGCAAAAAGGGATACTTGATTGAAAACAGAGCGAAATCAACACTGTTGGATGCAGAAGATGGATGGATGGATGGAGCACAGTTGATCAAAGGAAGGGAAAGGGAGACACTGATGAGATGGAGAAAGAGTTCAAGGAAGATCAAATGGATATTTGGCATCAAGGTCTACCTGAAAGAAGTGACACAGAACAACAAAGGACGACAGAGAACGCCATTGACCGCTTCCGCCGCGGTCCAGTTTCGCCCACCCCATTGGTATCGAAGACATTATCGTCAAAGCAAAGAACAAAAACCAACAACACCGATAGCATCATGCCCATCTATTTTGGACAAAGGAGTGAAAAGGGAAAGAAAGAAGAGAGTCGTAAAGCATAAAGTGAGAGCAATTAGCTTCTCATCAAGCGGTCGAGCTTGTTGCGGACGCCATCGACAAATCTGTTAGAAGTGCCTTCGTCCATGATCTCAATGCAATGAGCCAGGACAGTAATGCCATGGTCCATGGGAATGTGAGTACCATCCCTCTTGCTAAGGGCAGGCTGACCTAGACGCTTGCTCAAGAAGCGAGCGATAGCAGGATGATCAACTGGCAATGAGTCGATAGCAAAGGTAGGTCCTGGCGAGGGGAAGCCGCCAGTAGCATTTGCTGCAGGAGACTCCTTGTTGATCAGACTGTCAGTCCAAAGGATAAGAGCAGCGCGGTAGACTGCACCAGCCCACCATGGGGGACGCACGCCGCGGGGCATGGAACGAATGATACGCAAGACTTGGCCACAGTGGAAGACGGCTTCCTCAACATCAGCGATGCATCTCTTGTGGGTCCAGACCAGCTGCTGGTAAGTGCCATCGAAACCCTCACGACGAGCCAGACGCTCGATCTCAGGGAAGTTGGTAACAGCGTTGAGACTGATAAGGTGGAACATGACAAGGTTGGCTTGCATGACGGCGCAGATAGGGTTGACCTTAAGGTAGCGGTCGGCCATATCGTACCAACGTTGAAGCAGTGACTGCACTTCCTCGAGACGGCATCTAGTCGACGATGCAGTGACGGTGCGGGTCTTGTTGCGTGACGAAAGCGAATCGGAGAAACAGCTCATAAGCTGACCGTAATGACACACCATAGACTGGAGAGGGTGTAGGAGTAACCTCATCTGAAGAGGCGTCATCCCGATGCCAAGAGAAGCCATCTCGTCATCCAAAAAGTGACGGAACAGATCGTGCAGGGACATGGGTCGGGCGCCCGAGCCAAGAGAGGAGTAGCCTCCAGAGAACTCGTGAACCTGTTCGAAGATCTGAGACCATTCCGGTGCACTCTTGGCCTGCCACAGACGATCAGAATCAGGCATAGGAGCGCCAAATTCAGTTACCGAGAAGAGGGGTGCTGTGTCGTGGAAGAGAGCAAGGTCTTGGTCGACCATCACCCAAGAGTAAACAAGTCTGCTGCGGCTCTCATGCTGGATCCATTCAGTCCATAGAGAGTCGGGATTGCCTTGATGGTCCATCTGAGGAGAGTTAAACGCCCTACCCTCAAGGACACCAGAGTGTCGCAACATGTGGAAGTACATGCTTCGCTGACCCATAGCAATATCCATCTGCCACTTATCTCCACTCCAAGCAGCCTGAGAAGTGAAGAGGAGTGCAGAGTGCAAGGCAATGGGGTCGCTAGCCATAGTGATGTTGCGCTCGATCAGATCGAAGAGCGAGATACGGCAAGCTTCGGTGAGACCGCCGGCGAGCCATCTGGCCTCGACAGAGCTGATGTTCATCGAACCCTGAGCAATCATCATGAGTACCAAAAGGCAAGAAGCCTTGTCGTTGTAGCAATGCATCAGCTCGTTGGCGTCGAGGATACCTCGTGATGTCAACGAGTAGTATCGCTCGAAGCTGTTCGCGTATGATCGAAGGAAATACTCGAGGACTCTGGCTGGAGGCAAGAGAACGAAGTTTGAGCCACCATTGGACGAAGGAGATTGACCACCTTGTTGGCCTTCTTTGTGAGTCTCGAGAGCCTTGTGAAGGAATGTCTGAGTGATGGCGAGAAGCTTGTCGCGCGTGCTCTCGTGAAGCTGCATGACAGCCAAGTTCTCGCCGCCAGCAAAATCGGCCTCATCCCAGGTAGGAGTCCAAGTGCTCCAACCTTCATGATTCTTGAGAGTCTGTTCTAGACATTCAAGGTTCATCTTGGCAGTAGTCGGACACGAACTCGAGGGAACAGTAGGTGTGCATCTGAAAACATTCCATCCGTCCTGAGCCGCAATGACTGCTCGGATGTCTTGACCATCGTTAGACGCCAGTGAGACAGTCGACATGTGCCTGGCGTGGGCGTAGAACATGTTGTTTGAGTTTCCAAGATCCATCTCGGCGAATGAACGTTCCACTTTAGGTGTCTCAATAGGTGTGATTAGAGGGGCACCGGCATTGGCCATCTCGGGAATGATGGTAAGAGTATTCTCGGAAGACGGCATCAAAGACAACTGATTCGGATCAAAACCCATGCTGGGATCAAGCATAAGATCTGCACGAGCCATGTGGTCGAAGCCCATGGGCATAGGCATTTGACCCCAGTCAAGCATGAAGCGAGGGTTGGTATCATCTTCCTTGGAACCATTCATGAAGTCTTCGTAGGTAGGAATAGCTCCCTGGATGAAGCCAGAATTAGGTGTAGCCAGGGGTGAGATTTGTTGAGTGGGAGGGGAGTGGCCATTAGACATTGATTGCTCGAAGTATTGAGCAGAGACATCGTTCATATGCTTCTCTTCGGGGATGGTAGTAGGTACACCAGATCCAGGACTCGAGGGCTTGTGGTGCATGTGTTTCTCGGCCGACTTAGGGGAGGCAACGGGCATAGGGGCTGCTTCGGCAGCGACTGTTTGGTCTGGTGGAAGGATGCCATTGGCAACACCACTGGCAATGGTCTCGGCCGTGATCAAGCCCATACGGTTGGCATTCTTGGACGAGCGACGAGTGGGACGGAGTGTGCATCGAAGGTTGCGACCTGCACAGCGACTGCATGGGAACTTCTTGTCACACTTGGTCTTCGTCTTGGCGCAGTTGCTGCATGCAATTGGAGTTCTGCCAGCCGACTTGGGAATCATGCCGTTGGCAGCAGGGATGATCTCTTGATTTTGGTCCCGGCCATGGACGGTGTAATGCCTTTGGAGAAGGTCGCTAGGTATGATATTAGTCTTGCTTCTGGAATGTCTTGCCAAGCAGAAGCCCCTTACCGTCTAGCGAACGACATGTGGCAGGTGAAACACTTGAAAGGCTTAACGTTTGTGTCTGGGATTATCAGTAAGGTTATTCCACGAAAGAGATAACGGTTGGACATACGGGTGAGGATATGTCTTTCGAGATGCTCGTCCCTGGTGAACGAGTGACCACAATATGTGCAGAAAACCATTGTGTGATAGAAGGGGGTGTCAGAGTGTCAATGGAGACCCGGACATGCAGTAGAGAAGAAGAATAGAAGTGGAAGGTGAGAAGAGATGAGAGGGAAAAGAGACAATGGAAAAAGTGAGAGCGAAAGGTGAGAAGAAGAGGTGCTACTAAAGTGTTGGACCAGCCTGACCGAGTTGGATACACTGATGGTATATTAAAAGCTGAGGGGAGAGCATAAAGCTTGGGGCTGGTTTGCGGATCCTTGACACATCATGACTTGTCGACTAGAGTACCAGCGAAGCGAGGCAGAGGTTCCCAGGGGCGGAACGTATTTGGTGCATAATCAAGCTATCATGGGCGACGTTTCGTATGGTTTCATGCGGGCCCAAAGCATGGGCTCCAGTCGGAGGCACACACTACGAGCACGCCAACCGCCTCATTATCGTCGAACGCATGCACGAGTCAGCCCGCCTCCAAATTCTCCTACCCATCCTGAGGACCCCAGTACACGGATCAACCTTGCTTGGCAGCACAGTCGGGAGTTGACCTGATAAGACCCAAAACGGTCAACCCTCCTGCACAACGATGCCGCTTATGGCATACGCTCCGCCAAGCTCGGCGCGTCTATCCGTATATAGATGTCACTCAGTGATTGGGTCGAGACCCGCACTGTGCTATGATGGCGTCAGCACAAGTCAGGTCAGGAAAGCGGTTCACTTCAAGGTTGCACAGCGGAGCCGTAACCAAATCTCAATCTCTCGAGAGGCATCTTCGAACAACGCCAGATCAGCCACTATCCGAACGACACTCGGAGAGATTGGATCTAGCATCGCGTTGCAGAGAGCAGCTAACGTGCAGCCCGATCTGCCTGCAGCACTCCGGGGCGCATCCCTGCGATGAGCCGTTTGTTGAGAGTGACGCGATGAGCATCTACAACTCAAGGAATGGTGATGCGTTCGTGCATCTGCGCAATGACGATCTGCGAAGAAGAACCTTTGAGTCCTGGTCGCTGAGGAGAGCTCGAGTTGTGAGTAGCATCATACAGTCATACGCTGATCCTGCTTGTACCTACCCTTGTAGCACGGTGGATAACCCTCGAACAGGGCAGCGAGCGAATCCTCCGCTCACCACTTGAAAGTGCTGACATACATGGGACAGGCACCGCGTATCGCTAGTGTACTCTGGATCTGCTAGTCACACCTCAGCCGCCGGGGTTGCCCTTCGTCAGGGCGTGCAAGGATTTCCAAGGGATCTGCGGGCCAAGCTTTCTGATCTAGGCTATATCGGGTATGCTCAAAGATGCACTTTTTCCAACCCCACTGTTGATGGACACCGGTTTCCTCAACGTTGACCTTGACACGCCTTCGCAGAAAGCTCCGGTATCAAGCAGAGGCTCTAATGTTTCGAGATTCGAGACGAGTTCTGGGGTAGGTCAAAGGCAATCCGATCGCCGATTGTTGTTCGAGGAGTGCATTCCGACTGATGCTGCTTTCTGCTTGTGTCCGCACACGCAGGGACATCCCCTGTACGCTCGAGATAGTCGAACGCGCTACAATTTCTATGTATCCGATCTGCTCTGCTGAGTCTGCTCAGAGCTCATCCATGAAGGCTGGGCGAGACCCTCCAATCTCAGCCCTTTGTTCATAGATACCCAGCTCGCTCTCGTTATTGTCCGAAGACAAACTCTGGAGCTCAGCAGTTCACGCCAAGGTCGAAACCTTGTCCTTTGTCAATCCGTACCATCCGTCCATTATCCACGGGGGAATGAATATTCGCCTCTTGTATCCTTTCGAAGCTTCTGCTCAGCCGAGATTGTGGAGCAATGCAAGATTCGAGCCAGTGCTTCTCAGCAGCAACGAGATGGTAGAAATGCTAGTAGACGCGGGCGTTCCTGGGCTTGTCCACGAGCCGTAAACGGTACATGTGGAGTGAAGGAATCGTTCGAATAACGCTGCAAGAGCCGGAAACGGCTCACAGCGACCGGGGTTTGCTAGATCTGTTCAACTAAACTCAAGGATGATCTTCAACCGGCGATTTTCTTTCAACACTAGTCGATAAGTCCATCTGGGTAGTCTCCCGGGCTTGAGATGGAGCATTTCTCCGCCACCAGAACACAAGAAGTCTTCGGAGAGCTTCGCGGAAGTCTAACTCGCAACGTGCCGCGAAGGCGCCAACCGTCTGTCCTCAACAGACGGCAATCGGCTAGCTGGTAATTTGCACGATATGCATATATCTCTCTGCAGATGGCGGAACAATTATATCGTGCTTAACACGATTCGGGTACTCTTGCTTTCGTCCGAAAGCAGAGGGCTAAGGCCCAAGCCACAAGTCAAACCTGCTTGCGCAACATTCCTCCGACAAAATTGTCCGCTGCCCCTTGTCCTCTTGCCAATACGAGTCGCTTGCCGAAGGCCATTGTTTTTGGTAGCCTATCGAACGTGTACAACACATCCTCAGCGGCAGCATCAAAGTGCCTTCACTGGCTCGGCAAGTTGCTGACATCCTGCTGAGTTGGCTTACAACTGCACCTCTACAAGGGTCGGCAGGGATGTATCGCTTTTACCCGCATATGCATAAGGCTATATGCATGTACTCAATTTGTACCAGTGGATAAGCAATGAAAGCTCCCATTCCAAGCCAAATCAGTTCCATTCAGGATTTCTTCTCAGCAGCTGTCATGCCAAGTGGGTAGTGGATACTCGTATTCTATTTGCTATAATCCTCCTGCGGGAGGCCTGCAGATGCTGAGGGGGAAATCTATCAGTGCTTGTAAGCGGCCACGTCTGCCCTTCTCGAATAGCACTTCCTTGGCCCGTGTTCGTCACGCCCGTACCTTTCTCTATTATAAGGTCAGCGTCCTCCAGGATCTTTACGAGGCGCTGCAGATGAGTTACTTGAGGGAGTGTTATTGGTGATCAGATGTTGGACAGCCTAGCGACTCGGTCCTCCCATTCTCTGCTGATCCATACGCATACTTGAGGTACATTTGGAGCTGTAGCGATATGAAAAACACACGGCAGCTGCAAGTACGTGCGTACGCCGTTGTCGTGAACTGAGTCTATCGGCTCGGAGTCTTCAAGCATGCTCGTCAAGGTAAGCAGCTCGAGATAGAACAGCTCCAATAGCCCCCCCGCGCTATATGTCCTCGCTCACAAGGCACGCGCGTGCGCGTGTCCTCGTACCGAGCATGGCAACACGCACACCAGAAGCCAGCCATACGGTGTGTTGCACAACGCGCCTCGTGCCTGTGCTATCAAGTCTGTTCCAGGGCAACGTTAGTGAACCCGCATTCCTATGTTTCGGGCCTTCGAGGTTGCACTGCGTCCATAAAAACGTGAGAAGGACAGTCCAATGATGCTGCGATGTGACTTTGTGCGACAATCCAGAAAAGGAGTGTTGCACAAATCCTCGCCACGTGCTGGACTGATCGATAGCGAATATTGTCTGACCACTTCACATCTCGCACGACCTCTACCTGGATCATCAGTATCTGGACAGTGCTCGTATGACACTTCTATCCTGCAGGCCGTGACCATGATCGGAACCGACGAAACCAATCCAATGTTGAGATGATTGAGTTATATACCAGGGTCGCTCCAGCGTCAACAAGTGGTGATGCTGAGGCGGCTCAGGGACAGAATGATGACGCTTAGAACTCCAATCCGAGTCATTGTGCATTATTCCCTGCAAACTTTGCGCTGCCAACCTCATTCTCAACGCACGAGTCTTCTTGCGTAACGCGACTCCGCTAGAGGTACAGACCAGTAGGTTAGCAGGCAAGAGCTGGCAAGTCAATGACGAACGACGGCAAGATGTTATCACACAGGAACCGCTTTGTGAACCGCTTGTCGCTGATCTGGCTTCGGTCGATATCGAACTCAATCTTGACATACAGTACTGCCATGGTGTTAGACCCATGCACATCTCGGTGGGTTGCATGAGGCTTGATATCGGCGTCATGGTCAATCTCGCTCTATGCAAGGTCAACGCGCCTCTTACGATTGTTGAGAGTCGACATACGACCGCTGCACTGGACATGCAAAACTAAGATCTGCGTCTCCTCCAGTTGACATGAGAGGGTCCAGTCAGCCATGATTGATGTTGGTCCAAGTGGAAGTAACTCAGGGTTGTTGTTTGAAGAGCTTCTCTTCTCGTCGAGACGCACGGTGTTGGGGTTCAGGACGATTGTAGCTGAGAATAGCTTGAGAAACATCTGACAGGTTGTTCCTGGGTTGTGTTTTGGGAGTGTTGCTGCTTAGAGGCACGAGCCATGGAATGATGAAACGCGGGTCAGAGTCGAGTTTGCCATTATTTTTGGTGGGTGCTGATCTGAGTGGGGACCAGTCTGAGGAAACACAGACATGAAATTTGGCACTTTCTCGTTTCGATCTCGCATGAGAGCGCACCCTTCTCGAATGTGCAAGGCTCCAAACAAAGCTTAGACATGGCTCTGGACGCTGCATGCTGGTGAACCGAGCATCAAGACAGCAAGCTCCCACCGAGAGAAACAATGGAAACCAAGCATGTGCAGTGACTCGGGACGGTTCTGACAATGCTTAGCATAGAGCCAGGGTACACGAGGCTCGCTGGATGTGAACACGGCCTTGGGTCATGAATCGTTCGTTCATGGTCGAGGCGAATCGCACGCGAATGTCTGATGTAAGAAAAGGATACTCGCCATGTGTTTCTCGAGCACGACTTTGATTATTTCAAATCAGGCTGTTGGCTGTCTAAGCTGTAGACGACTCTGGTGTTGCTCCGGATGCTGTGGCACGTCGAGACAGAGCAACGTGCGAAGAAGCTGCCGGGTGCCAAGCTGCGGCAGGCCGGAGCGGCGGTCACGTTTGGATGATGCTTTCACTGTGCCGACGCGCTACGCACTGTCAAGATTTCGTTAGAACCCCACAAAACAATGGCCGCCTCAAGTTCCTCTACAGCTTGCGCAGTCGTAGGTATCGTATAGCCAGATGCAAACCGCGTGAGAGTAACCTAACCTCAGCCTGGTGTTGCCCAAGTCAAGTC